TCATCGAAGAAGGCAAGAACAGGCAGAAAGTAGAAGACACGACTGGGGTAATCGGAATGCCAAAACAACAGGTTTAGAAGGCGCCAACGACTTTATAGCAGAGCAGATGTCTTCCTACAACGGAGAGATGTCTCAAGACCATGTCATGTCTTACCGGGAGCTAGGTGACAAACTCTACCAAAACGCCATCGGAAAAGGTAGCAGAAGCAGCCTCGGCGACCGACATCCATATCATGACACGGGTGATATGGCGGGACGACAGCGTTTTTCGTCGAGGCACAGAACCATAGAAGAGGCTGCTTACCATCAACGTCAACATGCTAGAAGTACCGGTAGGCACGTAGATTCGACCAACCACATCGGTCACACAGCATCACGTAGTAGTAGAGGACTTCGTTCTACTTCTGCATACCCTCCATTTTCAGATTTTGCACCTGAGTCGCGGGACAGCACCGACGAAGCAGGTCGGTCTTTGCAAGTTCTACCGAATTCCAACGAGGTGGATACCATTGGCATCACGACCCAGTACGGAGGTACAATGTGGCCACTCCCGCATGAAGCCGGCTACTATGTTAACGCTTCCACACCTTTTTGCCTGATGGAGGAGTGCATCGAGGATGTGGACCCAAACGCGCCACCCCCTGTTCGTCCCAGTACCATGGCCGAGTGTGCGGCGCTCACTTGCGCGCAGTGTGCTTCTTTCACAAACATGACTTGCACCGTTTGTCTCGCCTATACATTGGGCCGGTCCGAGTACTTCTGCATGCACAACGAAAACGCATGTTATGAAAATAGAAACCGAGATGAATAGAAGATGAAACGTACCTAGTTGTACAGAAGCAATTGCTGCTTACGGATATCAATCATAAAAAGAATCAAGAATACTAGTTCTTATTTGTTTTCTATGGTGAAGAAAAAGAGCAAGATCGAGTTGTCGTAGTCGTTTTCCTCTTCCTCTAATGTAGTGCGGACATGCGCTACGCGAGGCCTTTCACGGATATGGTGGAAATCAATGGGAAGTGTCCCGATCAAGAGCTGATCTTATCACAAGGAGACAATATGCTTGGTGTCATCATACGAAATGACACGAACGTCACAGCTCCCAAGCAGTGGACGAACCCGTTTCAACCCGATCTGCTTGGACCGAAGTATCTTCCTTACATTGTGGGTGGAATAAGCGCGCCCTTTGCAGTGTTTACCATCTTCTTCATCTACGGCAGGTACAGAAAGATGATCGAGCGCATGAAAACCTTCAACGAAGATGGAATGGCGAATCCAGAAGTCGCCACGGGAGACTTCACCAAACTCAAAAGGGTACTACATACAGGAGCTTCTGACAGTTCAATTTGGTTCATCCTCAGACACTATCATCATTGAGAGCTGGTGCCGTTATACGTAGTTATCCTTCTGGCATGATTGAATGAAGCTCGAGTCGGTTACATGACTCTGTTCTCGTTTCATCTTCTAAAAAGGTTCACATGATTGTTTTACTTGCAGTTTTTCGTCGAGTTCATGAAAAATTTAAATTTATTTTGAAAAAATCACATTCCCTTCAGTTTTTCGTCGAATTCCTGGAGGATTTCTTGGAGAAGTCAAAGAAGGCTTGGGACGACGAGCTCGCCGACTTGAAAGAGTTTGCGAATCGCAACGAGAAGTGCCGCAAGCAGCTTTCCACGTATCGCCGAACTCTGAAATTTCGTCGAGAGAACATGATCGGCGCAAAGCACTTGAACCTGATCGCAAAGTACATGCGCGTGATGCCCTACTTGTGTCTTCACTTGCACTGCGATTGGTACGAAGCAGATGAAAAAACACTGGCGGCGTTGTGCAACGTGATTCGGTTGTCGTTTTCGCAGGAGAGCCTGCGGTTGTACAAGATCAAGTGCCGCGTGACGTTCGAGACTGACGTCTTGAAGTTCCCGCCGACGATGAACGCAGCGGGGCGCAGCTCCGTAGATGATATCGCGGAACTGCTGTTCTTCAACCCGACCGTGAATCGACTGAAGGTGATGAATCCAGCGGACATTCGCTTGGAAAAAGAGCGTCTCGGACGCAACGCCTGGCATCGCGTCGTCTACCGCAAGTACATCAAGCCCATTCTGTTCCCTCCGAAGAAGAGCCGGTCGGCGTACCAATCCGTTGCGCCAGAGATGCTGGATGGCGGCCCGATCTTGGACAAAGACGGCAACGAAATCTTGGCGCTGGACGACGGCAGTGGAGTATACGGCACCACGATCTCGCCAGCAGACCAACCGGTGGGCGAGATTTACGAGGAGCAGAGGGGCCGACGAGAAAAGCCCGGTGGCGGTATCTTGAGCGCGATTGTGGTCGGCCAGAAACCGTGGGATGCGGTCGACCTGTACAAACTGAGGCAAATTACGGGTGGACGTGTTGACACCAAGGAGATGAACTTCGGCCTCATCGGCAGTTGTTGCTACCTAGGAGCGTTGAAAGCGTTACGAAATCTGCGTGTTTTGCGACTGCGCGACTGCAACCTGAACGACGGGGTGACCGACACGCTGATTAAGCTGTTGCAGCGCTGCAAGCTTTCGCAACTGGTGCTGTCGAACAACTACTTTGGTGACGTTCTGATGAAGAAGATGGCGACGTACTTCGAAGATCGCGAGAGCAGTGAGGACTTGCAACTTTTCCAGGTGGATAAGAACCTGATCCGTGGCCGTGGATACAAAGAGTGGCGTTCCGACGATTATGACGAGCAAATCACGATCAAAGAGCTGGTTATTGGCACCGAATTTTTTGGCAATCCGCTGATGGGAGACTCGGGTGTTACGAATTTGGTCCGTGCCTTACAGTTCGAGATCGAGCAATTTTCATCAGGACCAGTTGAGGAGGACGAGGAAGAAGTCCTCGAAAAAGCGTTGCCACCAGCGCAGAGAATGATGATGCGGTTAGCGAAGCGGCAAGAGAAATTTTCGGACGGAATCAGTGGCGCGATCCGGAAGAGGACACCGCCGGAAGTTTTAGCCAGGAGGAAGGCGCTCGAAAACAGCGAAGCTGCGTCGATGAAACGTCCCGTGAAATGGAAATTCAAGTGTCTTCGAATTTTGCGTCTCTGCCACTGTCGCATGACCGTTACGGGCACGAAAGCAGTGGCGAACTACGTGTGTCACGCGAGCAGCTTGCCATTAAAGATTTTGGCCTTGGACGGAAACGCGGTGAAAGACGACGGTCTAGAGTTTCTCATGAAAGCGTTCTGTCAGCGTTTGAAGATTCGTCAAGGAGGGGCGCATGCGGCGGTTGCGGCTGAAGCGAAAAAGGTCGTTACGGATCTAGACGACATCGACGAGGACGAGGAGAAAAAAATGGACGAAGAAAACGAAGACAAAGAATTCGAACAGGAGGCAGCTGGTAACGCTACTACATCCTTATCGATCCTTTGTCTTTTGATTTGAGTACTTCTAGTTCCAGTCATCAATTCCAATTCCTTTATCGACATTAATATCACAAGTAAGATAGAAACAGGCGTAATATGCGTTGGACATTACAACTACTTCAACAACTCCATCAACAATGTCAAATCTTAATCTTATATTTTTGCTTCCCTCCTCTTTGTGAACCAGGTGCTGTGTCCATGCTTGATATGGACATCACTGAGGAATATGTTTTGCATCAGTGCGAGCGAAAAGCCGTTGGTGCCGAACCGGTATTGGAAGAGTTGAGTCTCAACGATTGTCTGGTCACTGACAAGAGTCTCAACATGCTGATGATTTTCGTGCGAACGGAGCGTCTCGACTTGGTCCGTTTAGGCGGGCAAAACCCGATGTCTGTGGATATGCGCCAAGACATCCACAAGCACAACATGGAAGTCGTGCGCGTCCGCAATCTGGAACGCGGGTTTGTCACCACCAAAGTGCCAGTGTTGTTCTAAAGGTACAGGAGATAGCAGATGCATGGATTTAAATTTTTAGTTTACTCTGCCTGCGGTATTAAAGGACAACTAGGAAGTTATTGCAATGCCGGCAACTGGCACGCGTGCTGTTGTCCTTACTTATATTCAATTGCTCAGTTTGAAACTAAGTAGTTTATTGTAGCTGCGTTTCCCTAAGAAAGTTCGCTTAGAAGAATATCTTTTAACATGAGGAATGATATCGTTAATAACAGAACCACTAGATCAACGAAAATAACACAAGCACAAATCAAAGTGTGCTGTCAAGGAGGATTTTTTTTAGCTGAGCTTACCCGAGGTCGAAACCTTCACAACTTGAACTATTTTTTTTTTCGATTGGTAACAGCAAAATGAACTACAGAAGATGACCTTGTCAGAAGAGACGATGGAGTTATAATTTTAATCTTGTCCGGCTTCGTTGATAGATACTGCCCAGTACTGTACAGCTTCCAAAAATCAAATCAATATGCTAGTAGTTCCGACCAAAATAAAGAAACTACTTATTCAAGAATAGGTAGTTAGAGTCGGATGCAGAAAATTGATTGGCGAATGATCTTCAGTGCTGAACTTGCTTGAGTATCGTGAATGAAAAATACTGTAGTAAAAGTCCTTTGTATTTTTTGAGTCCTTCTAACTAATAAAGTAGCTGCAAGTAGATAGAAGATTCGCGAGCTTTTTTGATTTTTCGTGCAAGCCTCCCTGAGATAGTCGACGTACTCATGTGTTGAGAATGAAATTACAATGCAACGCTTATTCCTTGGTCTCGACTTCCTGACGTTATCCTCGTTTGCTGGGAGTGCTGCATGACCCCCCTGTCCTTGTTCTATCCTCTCAGTCCTTTTCTAATATTTTGACACGCTTCCCCCCTGTCGAGACTCGAGGGAGCGCACCTACGCTTCGAGCAGCCTGTGCCTCGACAGGCGAGTGTTGTTGATCATATTTTATGCCTCCATCCATGTGCACCAAAAGTAAAAAGACATCATTGAGCAAACGATCCTGGTGTGACGTGTGAATGATTTTTGACAAGTATAAAGATCAACACGATCAGTATTTACGTATAGTTCAAGAGAAGGTCAAATCGTACTCGATCTGTGCTCGTCTTTTCAAAAAAGGAATACAGAAGATCCCGATCCGCCAGCATATTAAAGAACTCCTCGAGGAGAACAGATAGTGTGATCAGATCTGATTCCCAGTCCGTCCAGCTTAGATGATGAACGAAAGATCAAGGATGGCCATCACACACAGATCTTCATCCGTCTTCACGCCGATGGATCCCCTAGATAGGAGAGAGAGTCGCTTCTGTTCCCATTCCTCGAGCTTGCGAAATTTCTTTTCCACAGGTGGTTAGTATGCAGATTGATAGGTAGGTTGTAATTGTATCACATTCTTGAAACGTGGAGAGCGACTCACTGTTTATTTCGTTCTTGGTAATTTTTTACCATGCAATCCCTGCCGCTTGTGATTTACCACTTGTGTAACCAATGAAACACGACGACTTCCTATGCTAGAACAAAACGTAATATCTGCTTATTAACCTGCTAGATACCACCATCATGAAGGGTGACGGCAAAGGAAAAAAGGGCGGCAGAAATGCCTCCAAGGGAAGCGGAAAGAAAGGCGGGAAGGGGAAGGGGAAAGGCAAGGGCAAGAAGGGCGATGCTGCTCAGCGAGAAAAGAAGGACACGCAAAGTGCCCGTGAGCTCGCTGAAATTAAATCTCTCAGCGATCGCGTCCTCATCGAGGCGCCTAGAGAAGGACAAATTTTTACAGAACAGACCCCTTCCAAGTCAGCCACGTCTTCTACTGGCGACAAAGCGGACAAGGATCACAAGGAGGAAGACCCCGACGCTTCTTCGAGCAAAGCTGGAAAAGAAGCTGGTCACCCGCTACTCACGAAGAAATTCTTTTCTGATTTGCCAATATCAAAAAAAACAGTGGAAGGCTTGAAAGAGTCTAAGTTTGTGCAGATGACGACAATTCAGCGCGCAGCTATTCCCCACGCACTTGCAGGCAGAGATATCATGGGCGAAGCGCGGACCGGTAGCGGAAAAACGCTCGCTTTTATGGTGCCTATGCTAGAAAGGCTTTACCGGGAGAGATGGTATTTCTGATTTAGATTTTTAGATGCTCGTTAGAATTTTAGCTGTCTCTGTGAATGATCAACAACCATACAACTGGTTGCATTACCCCGATGAGTGTACTTATGTCAAATTGCTAGCATCCTATCCATGTTGCACCCTCCTGTCGTGATATCCCGCGACACTTCAACAATTGAACAGCGAGGAAATACCGTGGATCAAATTTTCAGGTCCGCTCTCGATGGTCTCGGCGCTTTGATCATTTCGCCGACGAAGGAGCTAGCGTACCAGATTTTCCAAGTGCTGAAGCAAGTAGGTCGCGCTCACGACTTCTCAGCTGGATGTTTGGTCGGTGGACGGGACTTCGAGTCCGAGCAGAAAGGCCTAGCGCGTATGAATATCGTGGTCGCCACTCCAGGTCGGCTTCTTCAGCACCTAGAAGAGACACAGGTCTTCTCAGTCGAGAATCTACAGATGCTAGTGCTCGATGAGGCAGATCGAATCCTGGATTTAGGATTTAAAGATACAATGACGCACATTCTCGACGCGCTGCCCCTGCGACAATCGCTACTCTTTAGTGCGACTTTGCGACCCAACATATACCAGTTAGCAGCCGTGGCACTCAAACCAGACAAGCAGTTGATCACCATTGCAGGCATGACTGGAGGAAAAGGTATAATTTACATGTTGTGAATTATTTCATCGATTCTGTACACCATTATGTATAATCTAATCAAAGTTTCCGAGGATCAAGCCTCTTCAACTTCAATACGACTGGGTCAGCTTTTCGTTTCTACTTATTCTCTTTATCCTGCCACTTTGTACTGCAACAACCACTTGTTTATTAGGTGTTGACGGCAAAGAGGGTGCTTCGCGATCGTCGCATCGTCTTACTCAATGTTTCTCCGTGACACCTTTGGAGGAGAAGGTCTCCACATTGTTTGCCTTTTTGCGCGCTCACAGTCAGAAGAAATGCATCGTTTTTTTGAGCTCCTGTAAGCAAGTTCGCTTTGTCTATGAAATTTTCAAGCGGCTGAAGCCTGGGCCGGCGTGTTTTGAATTCCACGGAAAGATGTCGCTGACTAAGCGATTGCTCATTTTCCAGGAATTCCTCGAGAAAGAGCGCGCGGCGTGCCTGTTGAGTACGGACGTTGCCTCTCGTGGTGTGGACTTTCCGGAAGTTGACTGGGTCGTGCAGTTTGACTGCCCAGATAGCGTGGACACCTACGTGCATCGCGTTGGTAGAACGGCGCGATATCAGAGCAGTGGTAATAGTCTGCTCATGCTCACGCCAACGGAGCGCGCAGGCTTCCTCGAAAGACTGAAACAAAAAAAAGTCGTCGACTGGGTCGATGACGGCAAGTCAGACGCACCAGATGAACAGTGGGATGATAGACGAGGTGGAGCATTTGTCGAAGGAGATATTGGAGCCGCGTCACAAAGGAACTCAGCTAAAAATGGTTCTGACGACGGCGAAATCTCGTCTGAACAAGCGGCAAAATCAAAAGACAAAAAGATTTGTATTAAGCAGGTGAAGATGAAAGCGTCCAGGCAGATTCAGATCTTACCTCAAATTCGTTCGATTTTGTCATCCCTGCCTGAAATCAACCACTTGGCTAAGAAGGCTTTCGTCAGTTACATAAAGAGCTACCATTTGCAACCGGATAGAACGGTCTTCGTCAAAGTCGAAGAGCTAGCACTGGACAGCTTTGCAACCAGCATCGGGTTGGGGTTCACACCGGAGTTAGATTTAGAGAAGATGGTGAGCCGCGACGACAAGATCGCTGCTGCTGGAGTAGAGACTGCTGGTGGCTCTGCTTCATCAACCTCAGGTAGTAAAACAGCGGACAAAAAGCGTAAGAAACCACTCACGAAGAAGCAAATCGAACGCAGAAAACTTCTAGGCTTAGACGTTGGCGAAGAGGATGGGAAGGACGGCCAAGGAGAGGAGAATCAAGAAGCGGTGGTGCCGTCTCTAGAGGAAATAACGCAGAATTCTGAGGCTAAGCGACTGAAGAACCGAGACAAGGTGATGCTCTTGCTGCAGGAAGCAAAAGCGGAGCGCGCTGCAAAAAAAGCGGGAAAGAAACCTTCGAGTGAAGTAGGTGACGATCAGACGACGCCCAAAGTTGGCGGTAAGTTTGCGAAACTTGTGGAGCGACGACAGAAAATCAAAGACGCGTTAGCGGCTGGCGAATACGACGACGAGGATGCAGCGGGAAGCGTACTGTTGCAGGCCAAAAAAAAGAACAAGAAAACAACAGCCTCATCTACTTCAGCTTCATCTGATCAGCAAAAAGAGTTACTGGATGACGATGACTCCTCGGAGGACGACGAGGAGAAAGCCGTGTCCTCCCACAACACAGGACTCAGGTCCCAGAAACTGCGCTTCGACGACAAAGGCAATGTGCGTGGACGAAAGAAGAACACAGGCACAAAACATGTCTATTATGGCGAGGATGAACAGGAACAGACCTTCCTTGCACATGTGGCTAAGGGAATGCACGAAGATCACGAGCAAGATGACGGACTAGAGGACCACCTTCTTGGTACTTCTAGAAACCAGAACCACTCTGACAATGCTGGGGACGTCGATGAGGATCATAGGCATGTGATCGCAGATGCATCTACGTTACCAGCGATCCCGGCATCTGTAGATCGCCAGGGCTACCTTGCCAGATTACAGAACCGCATGGCGGTTACTTCAGATGCTGATAAAAAGCGGTATCAGGACCAGCGCCGCGAGCGGTTCCAGAAAAAGAAGCTGAAAGCTAGGGCAGCGCGTGAAGGTGAGGACGGGCATCAGCTGGCTGTTCTTGGCGGCGGAGGCAGCGACGATGAGATGGGGCAATCAGCTGGTAGTGATGTCGAACGAGGAGGCTATGATAGCGCACCAGAAGTAGATCATTACGACCACGAGCAGCACCAGCACAGTGATACCGATGAACTACCAAAGACTTCTACAAAGAAGACCGCCCAGAGAAGAAAGAATACTTCTGCTTCCAAATACACTGAAGGAGAAGATGAGGGGGATGCGGTTGTTGGACCATCAATGAAAAAGCGAAAGAAGACATCAAAAGAAGGCACTTCCAAGAGTTCCGCGCAAAGCATCGAGGATCTCGAGAAGGAGGCCATTCTTCGTCTTCTAGATTGATCGAGCAGCACCTCAAACTCCTTACAATCCCTAGTGCACTTCTAATTTCTCTAAATTTTCCTATGTAAGTATAATGTACTTGATCCACCTCGACCTCCATTTGCAGATGCAATTTCACTTCTGTGGTACAACATCCATATCTTTGTTTTAGCATCACATCATTACTTCTAGCGACAGAGTATGATGATGATTGATCATTTTGGTCCGGCATTTTCCTGTTCGTCTTCGTGATCAGCAGCGCTGGACGAGCGCATCCATACACCACCCTCCGCGGCAAGCACAAGGAGCAGTTGCGAGAAAAGTAAAGGACACTGAAGTATCTGTTTCTATTATAGTCCTTATTCGGTTTCACCATTCGTGCCAATCTGAAAAGCGCTTATAAAAGAAGTTGAAGTTGTATGAGAATGATGAACGTGAGAACTACGAGTGAGGATTATAGTTGTACGTAGACAAGTGTCTCCCCCAGCATGTAGTAGAGACGGACGAAGAAACGGGCTGAGAGTGAACCGTTACACTAGTGACAGTGAGTATTTTCGCAGGAGAGTTTATTTTTTTTGGAAAAAGGATGCACTGATCTAGTCGAGCGGAAGTGCTTTTTGGAAAAAATGTCAGTAATTGAAAGGCCTATAAAAACAAATGTTTAATCATTATGATAATACAGAGAGCTATTGCACCAGTTGTTACTAATTGTTAGCGCGACGTCCCTGAAAAAGCCAATAAGTACAACGATAGACTCACGAAATCTGTTAACAAGTAGGTGGATCGGTATTGAAGTGTCGGTGTTCTCACCTGTGATGGACGTGGTCGTCCCTGTCTGCCATTGCCGACATATATTATCACTAAAAGCAAAGAAAACTTAAGCTAGTCGTGGTCCGTAAAAGCGTAGTCCACAATGCTCAAGAATAAAAAAGAAATACCTAAAGGCGAAGGGGCTTATTATTAGACTATCATCTCTCACAAATGGCCAGAAACCCGCCGGGAAAAATCTAGAGCAAGGAAGCACTTCAATTCCGTGCAAGACACGCAAACGAGTCAACTGGTGATAGTTTGTTGTGCCAGCGCACATAGACACGCAAATCCGTTTGGATTTTCCGACGCCCGTTCGCATTTTCTCTACGGCGGAATAAACAGTTGCGTGCACGTGCATGCTATATTTGAGTTCGACGAACACGAGTCGCGCGGCGGCTCGTTGTAGATACTGAAAGTGCAGCTCCGCTTGGCACGGGCTTTTTCCCCAAGCAGCTACAACTAGCATAAGAAAGCCTGACGACGGACGCTTCACCACCGATTTGTTGACGCACTGAAAGGCAACTTCGGAATTCTTGCCCGAAGTAGAACAAGGCAACGGCAGAATTACTCACCGAACAATAAGGCAAGTGCAACTTCGAAACTACAGCGCGTACACAAAGATGTCGGGAACTTGGAAAACAAAGGAAGTCCTTATAGACGGAAAGATAGTCTATGAGGTTCCAGAACACCTCGAGCTTATCAAGAAGGTAATGCTCGGTGTAGAATCAGAACATAGCTATTTATCGGAGGAGGGTACTTAGATGCTTTTTGAATCTAATGTTGTGACACAGCTTAAAAATGATGCAAGCGTTGGAGAAGCTAAAATATTCATTGGCCAATGATGAATTAGCTACCACGTCCTGACTTATCACCTTCAGGTCGGATCAGGGGCTTATGGATGCGTCGCATCATTCATGGACAGCAAGCGGAAGGAAAAAGTTGCGATAAAAAAGATAACAAACGCTTTCGCTGATCTCATCGACGGAAAACGAATACTACGCGAGATAAAACTCCTGTCGCATTTCAAGCACGATAACATCATCCAGATTCTGGTATTTTAGTCCAGTAGTGTTTTTAAGAAGTGCGTTCTTGTTCGCAGATCATGTTTGATTTTAATGCAGAAAGATGACTCAGAGTCTTCGAGTACATGGTGATATTTTTTTGTGCCTAGATCCCGCCCAGCATTCTTGCTAGATTACACAAACATCTTACAGGACATATTTCCACCAAAGTCACGAGACTTCGAGGATATCTACATCGTCACAGACTTGATGGAGACGGATTTGCACCGAGTTATCTACTCCAAACAAGCACTTACTGAGGAGCACGCGCAATACTTCATTTATCAGGTACTACATGTAGATGTGCCTATTGATGTAGTCCATGGGAGTAATTACCGTAGAAGTGGCGATGGATTAGTGTTAATCATACAGTTTCTTGATCTTCATTTTGAGTTTGTTGGTCCTTTCTATCAGGAGAGGGTAACGGAAATTACATCTGTGGCAGAAATTCTGTAGAAAAAGGCAACATACATCTCAAACTCATCTGCGAAATCCAAAGGATCAAATCAATCAGAAAAACTTTTTTACCAGGTTCTCCGCGGCCTCTACTACTTGCAGTCATGTAACGTTGTTCACAGGGATTTGAAGCCAAGCAATTTGCTGGTAAACAAAAACTGTGACCTCAAGATTTGCGATTTTGGTCTCGCACGTGGCATGAGCGAGGATGAGGATGATCCAGGTGCTTTCTTTGTTATTTTTTTATGTCAGCATTAGGGTCTGCCCTGCTTAGATTTAGGCCGCTATGAAGCATGTCAGTTTCACACTTCAATCGGCTAACAAACTGTAATACATTATTTTTTTTATCTCAGCAAGACAACGAAGGGCGGAGGACGAGTCGTTCTACCACACAACATTTCTACTCATCAAGGGAAAATATTACTTTTTTTTCTCATTCTTGTTGATTCAGGTCTAACGGATTATGTTGTGACTCGGTGGTATCGAGCTCCTGAGGTGGTTTTGGCAGCCTCAGCTTACAGCGAGAAGATCGATGTGTGGAGTGTAGGGTGTATATTATTCGAGATTCTTGCAAGGAAACCACTTTTCACCGGCAAAGATCACTTGGACCAGATTAGGAAGATAATAGAAAAATGCGGCACACCACAAGAAAAAGACTTGGGCTGGATTCCAGAAAAGGTAATTTTTCATACCAGGGATGGGCACGTGTAATTTCTTCTGTCGACAAACAGTTGTTTCGGGATGTTCTCTTCGATACCTCCTGAGAGAATAGAAATAATTTAGTAAATGCATGTCGACCAAATACATGAATATCATGTTGATCATGACCAAGAAGACCATCTTAGATGATTAAGATGAATCACGACACCAAAAACATCCTCTAGCTACTTACATGACCAACATGATGACCATTAGATTATTATCCATTTATTTTGCAGGGGCCGAGTCGAAAGTTTTTGAATAAGTGTCCCCACTCGCCGGGTATCAGAATGCAAGAGTTATTGCCGAATGTTACGGAAACAACTATCGATTTTATCAAGCGCCTCCTTACCTTCGACCCAACGCAAAGAATAGCAATTGCGGTAAGCAGTTATAGCTGGTGTTTATGGATGAGGGCAGTTCCATATGGATGAATTCAATAAGTAAGTACATCACATCATTTATCTTCTGAGTGAAGAATCAACATGGAGAAAATTCATGCAAATCTGTACGACAATTTTGTTGTTGTAGAAAAGTGACAATCTTCTTGATCAACAGGATTGCATGCAGCATCCGTATATCAAGGACCCCGACTATCCAGAGGAAGAACCAACCGGCCCAAAGGTAGACTGGAAGTGGGACGCATTTGAACCGACAAAACCCTTGCTGCAAAAGTTTGTCTACGCCGAAGCCGGAAAGTTTCATCCGGAAATCTTGAACGCATGATAGCGGAAAATACGGCAGTTGCAGTTTCCCCTTCCCTCTTTCTCTTTTTTCTTCTCCCCTCCGTCCCCGCATGTCCTTAGATTCTGATTCATGTCCTTCAGGAGGATTTATGTTGTGTAGTCTTAGCACTTACTCTACTTCTTCGTTTTTGTTTTTACATATCCTCCTTTGATCATGTTCCCGGCAACAAGTTGGGCTGGACGCGATGGAGTGCTCATCTCATGACTTCTTCACTGACTAGTATCTATAAGTAATGAAGCTCCTTGTTCTAGTCGTCAAGTTCATCATCTGCATGATAATTGATTCCACGTTTTTTTCTTCCAGATTTATATATTTGTTGATCATTGCCTGTACGTTCGTTCTTATTCCTATTGATTCTTACAAGGACAGCGGCAACCGAAGCGCTTGGACCACGTCGTTGCATATTTTTTCTCTGACTACTTCTACATCAGTTCACCAGTGTACTGCGCGAAACGTCTTCTAGGATCTTGCATGTCCAGGTTCTTATTGCATCACAAATACAAACATTATTGTCAACTTGCGCGGTCGCAAATGGAAGTAGAAAGATCAGCAGTCCGCGAAGCGAGTCTCCTGCGATCCTTTTAATGCAGTGGCAGCTTTGGCCCAGCTCGGCTAGCACGATCGGAGACTCTCTGAAAGCACTTGACCAGAAGCTGAAAGATGTTCGACGAAAGAGCGCTTAGCGGAATTACAGAGCAGAATGTGACAAGGCACAATAAAAAGACCAAAGACAATTACTCATTTGTGAGATGAGGAAAGAAAGATTGTTGCATCAGTCAAAGCAACCACTGCTGCAATAGGAAACATGGAAAGCAATGTTAATATACATAGGTCGATATACCTTTTGAAGAAATCCCCGCAGAACAAGATTCTCAATGCAAAACGAAAAACGTGTAAAATATTTTTACAAACAGTAACTACGTGGTTGCACACACACTTAGGACGCTCTTATGGGGTTAGATAGTTTACTCTAAGAGTTTGTTTTGTATCAGAAAATAAGGAAAGTCGACTTGTTAGCTGTACGTCACTGCCTCTGTAACTACCTGTTTTCTGGAGAAACACAGGGACCTCTCAGGATTACAACGGTCAGGGAGCGCTAATTTTCGGCGTAGTCACGCGGCGCCGAGCTCCGTCTGGGGAGGAGCATTCGCGTGAGGACTACTATAGAAGAGTGAAGAAGACTGTGGCTGGTGCTACAACCCGCGTTGGTGTTGGGACGTCGTGGGCAACGAAATTTCACGCAGGTCATCGCTCGTCTCAAATAAGTACTTCTAGAATCCACCTTTATAGTAGCCAAAAGCAAATATCGCCGAGGAGATGGCGGGCCTCGAGCGCATCCGACAGATTAATCCGGGTCTGGAGACCTTCTTACAATCGCAATCAGAAAACTATTACTGTGCGGACTGCGACGCTAAGAATCCAAAATGGAGCTCGGTCAGTCTAGGAATATTCATATGCACCTCCTGCGCTGGGATACACCGGAAACTTGGGGTACTAAGCACATGATATTTTTCTATGGCTTTTTTGTATACAGGTAGAAGATCATGAGGCACCAGGGTTAATATTTCGAATTATTACCTTTACAGCTTTGATACCAGCAGGCAAGCAGATATAAGTAAGAACTGTAGCGTCTTACTTATGATCTTTCTTCGTGATAGTTTTGAGCCTGTTCTGTAACAACTACAGGTCCACATTAGTTTCGTACAGTCATGTACGATCGATCGATGGAAGCCGGAATGGATCGTGAAATTTTCGAAAATGGGCAATGCAATAGGCAAAATGTACTACGAGCACTCCGTGACAGATGAGGAGCGGGCAGCAAATGTAGTGGAACTAAGGCTCTATCTTTGTAAACGGTAGCCTTAGATGAAGTTAGAGAGACTCGACCTCGAGTGATATGAAAGAGATAGATTGACAGTGACACTCGAGAACTTTGATTATGAATTCATCATGCAGTTCGTCTCTGTACTAGGGTGAGGGGCTACTTCGTGTTGAAAATCGACTCCACCTTGTAGCTCTAAGCAACGGCGCAGGGCTAACGTCGGGCGACAGCATATCAGAGCAGGACGCGCGTCGATTGGAAGCGTGGGTTCGGAGAAAGTACGAAAAGAAAGAGTTTGCCCTAGGCCGCCAAGCGGACGGATCCTTCGCTTTGCCAGAGCCAAAGGTGCTGGTGCAGCAAGGAAAGGATCCGAGGACAGAGTACTTATACTGACTTTAATATACGAAATAAAAAAATGAATATATTTATATATATAAGTACTAGATATAAGTTGTACTCAGTCGATCTGATGTGTCCGGTTTTGTCGTATTGAGTAAGTGATTTCCTCCATTTTGACTAAAGCATCAAAAATTTCTAGGAAAGAGATGAGGTAGATGTCCTGTCCACTCGTACGTCGAAGGTGCTGAGAGTATACTGTAGTAAATGTTGTTGTATTTGTATGCTGTTCGTATAAATATATTTACAAGTACTTAACTAGGACAGGTACGATTCGTATCTGCGTTCCATGAGAGGAGAGGAGCCTGCTCCTTCACGGCATGAGGAACCGCCGGGTATACCGACCCCGTCTGCCGCAGACGAGGAGCGTAGGCGAAAAAAAAAGGAAAAAAAGGAGAAAAAAGAAAGAAAGCGGGCACGAGGTACCAATGAATATCGATGGAAGGACCTGACTAGAGGAGACTAGGTGCAAGAAGCAAGATCAACGCCAATGTTGTATGAATCAAAGTGAAGATATCATCTTCCCTTCACCAGGTGATTCATTCCCTGCCACGGAGTCGAATTTTTCACCTGACAGCGGCTCGCCTGCTGCCCCCGAAGCTGCCGGCTTTGGGGGTTCTTTTTGGACGCAAATGTTAGGGGCCAAGTTTGTTCAATATGAATATTCTAGTAGTTAGGGGTATCTGAATCGCTTAAAAGTTGTTTAGTACGAGAGGATCGATCAATTTCACTCCTACCTGCTCTAGTCGTGGTTCTTCTAAGACTAGGTTTTGATGAGGAGGACGATCTTCCGAGACCACCGCCGGCAGCGGCGCCGCGGCCCGTTCCTCGAGCATCTGCACAAAAGTCAGGCACAGGTCGCGCTACATCTGACACTTTTCCGAGCACTGCCTTCGACGCTACAGAAGAACACTCGGCAACGTTTTTAAGGTCATCTGGTGATCAGAGGGATCATATTTAGAGATTGATTCGCAATTAATTTCAGCGAGAGCAACGTACTCTTTCAGCAGCATGATCATCTGCTTTAGACTGTGGGAACTCTTGGGAGTTACAGGATCTAAGTACTTAGTTTCTCTACGCTTTTCTATGAAGATTTGTTTCTATGAGTGAATAAAGCTACATGGCATCAATTTGTATTGGGAGATTGGCCAAAGTAGAGTCTACTCTTTCATATTTTGTGGAAGCATCAGCGCGCGTTCCAAATTCTACGCGGTCTCAGGGAGGGACGCGGTCTCAGCAGGGAGGGGAGAGAGCTCAGGGAGCGGAAGCAGACAAGACGAGTGCGCCGCCGCCAAGCAGGGCGCAAGCTGCCTCGCAACCGCGAGCCTCATCCGGTAGTCAGAGCAGAGGGCAGCAGCAAGCGCAGAGTGCTCCGCGTGTGCAGCACCCTCCACCAGGCGTGTCTTTGCCGCCGAAGCAGCCAGGGTTTTCGGTGCCACCGTTTCCTCTAGGGTCAGCGCAATCCATGCCGCCTCAACATGGAATGTCTACTGGTCGATTTCTGACGCATCCGAGCGCATCCTCTGTACAGCAGACTCCAGGGAGTCCAACATTCCTACCGACAGGCTCGCCGCTGCCTCCTGATATTGCCGGTCCGCCGCATTTTCAACATCCTGGAGGAGGTTTCATACCACCACATCCACAGGCATCTTTTGCCGCTGGAGGATTTTCGCCGACCGCGCAATTTGCGCAACCGCCAAATTTCCAATTCGGTGGAAGCAGTAGCAGCGTCCCACCACCTTCTACAAACGGCTTCCAGCAGGCAAGGCCTGCCGGCGGCGGGGCTGGATTTCAACCAGGCTCTTCCTTTGGCAATTTCATGAACTTGCAAATGGGTAGCGCTACTGCTAGTGCTGGGAACATGACCACGACTACGATAAATGGCAACATTGCGCACCAGCAGAATTTTGGTCCACTAGGTATCAACAACCTCGTCAATCCCTCAACCCTTTTGGCAGAACAACACCGACAGCGCAATCCATTGCTCAGTGAGATACAGCAGAACCAGTCTAAGATTGCGACATCATGGAATTTAGAGGCGGGAAATCTTCCCTACGTGGACCTCGCACAGCTGGCTTCGAGTATCTACTTTATTTCCTCCTAACTTCATTCTAAAGCTCAACGCTTAGATGGAATCCGACAAACTATAACTACTGCATCATAATTTGTGGACTGAACATCGAAGAACTAGTTTGCAAATATTTTCAAGGACAAGAAATTGAAATTACAAAACGAGTAAAGTCGTGGAGGTACCACATCAGATACTAGACCATTGAGACCACATCAACGCAACTAATTCAGTTTTCGGCATTCCGTACAGCGAACCAACAGAGAAAGAGGAAAGGCGAGCAGCGCGAAAGGCTAGAGCCGCGCAGAGACAGGCTGCTGCAGGGCACGATGCATACCAGGACGTCTCTAGTTCGCTCACGGGTGTCAAGAAGTATCAGGAGTGGATGCTGATGATAGAGGAGCATTATCCGGATCACGCAAAGAACGTCGAAGTAGTGCGGAAGCGGCGTGCAGAGGGTGTTAAATGCGTCTCGAGACTATTTTCAGATCGCAGTAGCTTCAGTTTCCTTTGTCCCCCTGATTAAGGCCTCGCGTACTGACTGGGAAATGATGTGGTACCTGTAAATGATAGAAGAGGTGATAGATCGATAGAAAATTCGGTATTGAATGATCGCAAAAATTGTCTAATAAAGTGTTTACTCTCAGACAAAGATGATTCATATTGAAGGTACAACGAGTACGAGAATCAATAATTAGCTTTTCAGAGCGACTGACTCCGAATGAGGAGACGAACGACACTAGTTGGTTCGTCTGCTTCGGAAGCTCCGCTACCTCTAATCCATTGAGGAGACGACCACAGGATGGCCAGGGTCAGCCATGATGGAAGAATCTACCGGATCTATTAAGGCTACTGCTAATCCAATCCTATAGAGATTCCTGAACCGTATACAGGGGATAAACCACTTATACTCTTGTTGAGGGATCTACTCCACGGGGGTGACTTAGCCTTTGATGTTGTAGCTCTAAATCTAGAGAAGACAATAGCACCAGTCGCGACGCCAGGCCTGGCTCTACAGGTAGGTACAACAATACTGTTGGAATGAGCAATAAGACGCGTCCTGGTGTAAAGTCATCGATGTCAGTATCTGCAAAGGCGGCAAAACTAAAAAGCGAAGGCGAGGAGTTGCGCTCTGCCTCTGGTGCTACGTCGAAGGCAAATAATATTAAGGCTCTGAAATTGTATAGTGGTAGTGGGATCAGGACCATCATCATGCTTGTTTAATCTTTTACCTATCTCGCTCCGATGATGCACAGGCGTCGCGTCAGTCGTTTTCTTGATTCGGTTATACGTAGAAGACACGACTAGAAAGATGAATTCAAGAAGTTTTGTGCCTGGTATAGAGAAGGTTATGTGTGTGTGTGAGTAGACTCATACCAAATGAACTCGCAGCGACCACAGCGAGAATTTTTCTTCGACTAAGATTTCGTCGCGGTCAGGCCACCCTCAATTGGAGTCTATGAAACCCGTGATTCCACCCGACACGCTGATTCTGCCGTTCGGGCTGAATATTCATCAGCAGAAGTTCCAACTCGAGGAAAAACAGAAGAAAAGCACATGTACACGAGGCACCCAGACAGAAGAAAGCCTACTTTTGCACTACATCCAGGAAAGGTTACTAGAGCAAAGCCAGCGAATGCTCAAAGAGAAAATACTGCAGCTGCAGGCTGCCTCCGCCAATCACTTCCTCTCTACGTTTAGTTATGGACTTACTCTTAGAGAGGACACGGGTCTACTAGTGAAGGTGAACGGAAACGCCAAGTGTTCTTTCGAAGAAGAAAGTCTTGGTCACCTTAGCGAAGATCTCAATCGAGTCCCTCGCTCGTTCTCTACCAACTTCTTTGATACGCATCCATAAGTGGATTAGAAATAGAACTAAGTACCTAGTAGTCTCAAGAATGACTGAATGTGACACTCTAACTTGCGCAGCTGGGGGGCCTCGGCAGTTACGGAGCAGCTGCGGACAAAGAAGCAAGAGATTCGGGCAACCAGTCCACATATATCGCTCCACCAGTGAGGCATTAGTCCATGCAAATGCCTCGGAATATGTACTTGTATCCGTGGTATCGCGTACCTGTCGTACGCTTCATCGATTCAATTCTTGGCACTTCTCCTACGCTTCAAAGTCATGGCGTTTTGTACTTGCTTTGAGAATACGCTTGTTCGTTTGTACATTATCAAAAATAGGACCGCCAATCCAATTCCAAGAGATTTAGGAACCGGGGAAAGAACGGTAAAAATTGCTACCTTGAACATCATCTACGTCAAATGCTTTGTAATTGATACCGCAACCGACTAAGTAGGACAACACCTTCCTACATCTAATTATACCTGAACACAACATGATGCATTCCACATCTTCGCACCCTCTTGAAAAAAATTCAAACTAACTACCGACGAAAGAGAAAGCAAGCGGCAACATCATTGACGAATATGAATATATCTCAATTCATTCATCTTTATAATGAATAATTTATGGATGTCAATCGCTGAACCAACGCTTCCTTGAGTTGAAAAGGCATCCACGTAAAATCAATTACCGGGATGCCTCGCCTAATTGTTTTTGCCGAACCGCGACCGCGTCAATCTAGAGAATGAAGAAGGACGACAACGAAAGGAGCAAGAAGGCAATTGTCAGTCGGAGCAAAACACGCCTTGTAATTTTTGTCGTCTTTTTTTTTGATTTTCTTTGTTTCCTTGTTTGTTTGTTTTGTCGTACACGAATTCATGAACGAAAGCAGCTCTCTTTTTTATTTTGTATAAGCTTCCTTGCTCCTCCTGATGTAAACAATTGCAAATTTGAAAAAAAGAGACAGCACTTCAACGTATAACTATAACTCCGCCTAGTGTTTTTAGTAGACTTGCGGCTTAGATAACCTTATTCTGTTTTCGTAGACAACGTAATTTAGAGTAGAGAACAGATACAGATCTTCTGACATGCCATGATCATGACGATGAATCGCGGCGCATGTTGGCGTGGCGGGTGGTGTGGTGGCGGACGGGGCTTGCGGTTTGCCATTGAGCAGGCCCGAATCGATCAAGAACTGTACGAAACAGCTGCATCGCAGTATGATGGACAACGAGGCATGTTTTTTGAAGATGAGGAGGACTATTATTATAACCGCGGAGGATCTTTCTACTCGATGGCATCTAATTTCAACGGTTCAGCTATACCAACCCCCAGAGGTGGACTAATTCGTGGTGCTGGTCGAGCAGGGTTTGGAGCTCGAGCTCGTGGGCATCCTGAAGAGTTAAGACCACCGCATATCCATCTGCTCTATGGGGAGCCATTGATTATAGTAAGAAATAGTAATAGTTGTACACAAGACAGAGAGTATTTGTGTTAATCCTCTAGGCTCTGGCACTTCTCTCAACCTTACCGAGCTATTAACTGGTTAATATCCCTCGTCTTATACTTTAGACTTCTCCTCCACCGATTTTACATAGTATACAAGAAACCGACATTGTTCTTGAACTTGAAGGATATCCTATATAGTTAACAGAAAGTAGAAATATAGGATGGAGGACTTCCTCTAGGTGTAGCTCTAAAAAAGGAGGAGGGTGAGCAGGCGGGTATTTTCGTGGACCTGCTTCGACGGGCAGAGGCACTGAAAGGGGCCGACCGCTCTTCGGTGGATCATCATTTTAAGGCTACAAGAAATCCATTTTCCCCAGCATCTTGGTCCCTTTTTTAAAGGGAAAAGGGGGCCCAAGATGTTGCCGGAGATGGATTTCCGCTCTTCGTTCTAATCGTCGCACATCTATCAAGAAACAGCGTCGGAGCACGGTTTCCTTTCTTGTCGACGCCTTTGACGGTAATGGAAAAAATGCGCCATCATCGTCTGCTAAACCTAGTAACTCCACTAGCAGTAGCAGCACTGGGAGTCACCCAGCACACGGAAGGAAATCGATGGGCGTCAACATCGGAGTGAGCATTATGTATGATTATGTTGATGACATTAGAACTAGTACAAGTGTGCTGGAATAAGAAAATGAAGAAAAGTGTTCAACTTCTCCAACTACTGTACCAAGATATGATGTAAAGTACCGCTCAGTATTACCTTGTTAACCACGAGGCCTTTTCAACGAGGAAAAGGCTCGAAGAGTAAACGGCTAGCTGGGTCCTCTCCTGGAGGATGCTTTTCCACAACTTTTCTCATTGTTCTTCTAAGACGGGCAGGAGGCAACGGCAAATGAAGACAAAGACGAGTCGTTTTTTCAGACATGCACGTACTACTCCATCCACGCCAAGAGAACGTCACCAGCATCCATCAATCGGGCCGCAACGGATTGGTTCTTCCTCGCCGAAGAGTAACACAACATCCACGTTTCAAGCACCACCAGGATGGATACCCCATGCGATTCCAAATGAGAGAATTATTAGTGAGGAGAACTACAGGAACAGTGACGAGAATCACAGGTTCGGGTGTCCGGGTTCTCGCCAGATTCAACACACTTTCTGTTCTATTCTCCGCGAAGCAAGCACAGCTAGCATACCTAAGTGAGGCGGGATAGATTTTTTTTGCTAGATCTTGTTTTGCGACATATTTTCTACAACATTTTCTTCTCATGGATAAAGGGCGGTCGTTTTGTATTCTTGATCTTCAACCATATTTCTTGAGTTTCGTAGTTCGCGCTCTTGTTTATCATCATTTCAACATAGATACGAACGCACATCGGCATACACGCTGCAGCGTGTTGGTAGAAGCACATTTTACACATCATCCATGTTGACTTGTAGGCTCCATTTAACGTTCTTCATCTTGCAAAGTTTAGCACAACAACTTCCGGCTTCCCTCCATACGACGACTGGTAGTCTCAAAAACTTACGTAAATCATTGAATAATTGGCAATGACACAACTACTGAAATCAAATGTAATATAGTATACCTGGCTGGCTTTCCGGATTTGGCTACTATTTTCATGTGAAAAGAAAGAGGCAAATGAAATCTTCATTAGTACTTCGTCAAAACACTGTGTTTCGTTCACCTCGATTTGGAGGACCTGCGTTACGGATTTTGGATTTCATTTCTCTAGCTCATCGAATTTTCTATTTCAAGCTTACTTTCCAAAATGAAAATCACTATGTGGGCTAACGAGATGGGTCTTCTTCTGCGGATCCAAAAACTGCATGATGTGGATCCATCTTCGATGTGAGTGTTCTTAAATCAAACTTCAGTTTTGCCGGATCGCCACGTACCTACAGAGAAATAAATCAAAGAGGATTTTAAGCTACAAAGAATTGCATCAGTGGTTTCTTGAATTATGAGTATGTCTTTATCAAATTTTCAATCCTCGATTTTGTTCGGAAGCTCAAGGTTCTTTCGATGTCACAGTTTCGTTTTCAGAGATGATGAACATTTTCTACTCCTTAAAGGCACAGGAAAACAAGAACAACACCATCTGCAACATGTATGCTAATTAGTTTTCTCCTTCTTTCGTGCTGTAGTTTGTGTTCGACGGCAATGACTAACGTGTAACTTATAACTACCTATGCAGCTTGTTGTTCCTTCGTGGTCTCATCAAAAGAATGAGCTAGGGTTTTAGAAGTCGAGATAACGGAAGCAAAATCAAAATGATGATCGTCCCATGGATACCGCGCCGCGCGGCGCCGAAGGGGCAGGACAAACAGAGAGCGGTCTAGTAATTATTGATGCCCCTGAGGAGCTACGAGCAGTAGTGTTGTCGTCCTCTCGCACTGATATACGAACTTCCGCTGAACGAGCTTCGCTTTTTCTGCCGAATAAAGCGTCTAAGAATCTGAATTTCGCTTTCATATTATCGATGGGTTAAGCTCTAAGCCAGCAGAAAACACCACGAGCAGAATGCAAGTCCCTTCGTCTTTCAAGTTTGTGCCGCGTAGTCGTCGGCTGCAGGCCTCCGGGGATGCTGGAACAGGAGAAAGCAGCAATAAAGGCGTATCCAAGGGTTTGAGTATTGCGGAGTTAACAGCGCGCGCCAACCGTAAGCCTGCTCCTGGACCTCTAGGTCACAGCGGTGCACGCATTGTGAGTATCACAGGGCGATCGGCCGCTAGCGCTCGCGGGGGCCCCCAGGGGACGCACAGTGCGGCCAAACACTTTCTGCGAACAGGAGCTGCAGCTTTCAACAACAAAAATCCTCCGTTGGGTGCCGCTCCTTCATCAGGTGGTGGCCAGGGAAAAGGAGCAAAAGCACTCCCACCTTCGTCTCATGGAGGACTGCGAAACGGTCCGCCAAGCGGCACAGCGAATGCAGGAGGACACAGCATTTCAGGGACTGTCAGCGGAGGAAGCTCCGGCGCTCGAAGTGAAGACCCATCATCTCTGAGTCTGCCCCTTTCTATGGTCGGTGGTGGAGCAGCAAGCGGAGACCCATTGCTACTGCAACGACAAAACTTAGCGACCTCGTCGAATAGCGCAGGCCAACCATCTTCGGCGAGGTGTGAGGAACTCACCGGTAGCAGAGATTTAGTAATAAATCTACCAGTAAGTGGCAATTATCCAGCTGGGGATCATAATAGTTCTGCGGCATCAACGCCCAGTAATGCTTCCATACGCGGCTACCTTGTCGGCATGGGAGCATGTCCGATCAAGCCCGGAGAGGAAAACTTAGTTCCAGTCGCGCAGCTGCTGGATCAGGGCTGCAGTCCATCGGGCATGGATGGTATAGCGGCGGAGCGGGAGCATCAGTTACGATTTCATGGCGCAGACCTGATCGCTCGAGCCGGCCTCGTCCTGAAGGTGTCGCAGAAAGCTATTTGCTCGGGGCAAGTTGTGTTTCACCGCTTTTTTTATCGGAAAAGCTTTGTGCACTACGACGTGCGACGCACTGCCGCGGCAGCCCTCTTGCTCGCCACGAAGTACGACGAGGAGCTAATCAACGCTTCCGATCTGGCCTTGGTATTCGTGAAACTCACCGGCGGCGGTGCTGCGGACGGAAGTAACGCTTCTTCCTCTTCGAAAGCCAATTTCGATGGCAATAGTAGGGGCAACAAGCGGTCTTCTAACAAAGCAGATGCTGGTTTAGGTGCCAGCGTCGAAAAATTTTTGCGCGACATCATTCGCTACGAGCGGGCCATATTGGAGAAACTCGGATTTCAGATCGCCTGCCTGCTAAAACAGCACCCACACCGCTTCCTACTTCCGTATGTTAGTAGTCTGTTGCCTGCTGACGAAAAGAGCGCGAACAGCAAGGAAGCATGTGAACAAAATATTAATGGCGCCCTTGTGAATGACGCAGATCCAGATGCGGATGACGCCGATCCCATAGAGAACGGCGCGTCTGGACTTGCAGTGCTCGCAGACACCGAAGAGCAGGTGGTCGAGGAAGCTGCAGCTTGTGCCGAGGACGAAAATGATGAAGAACAAGAGGCAGAAGAAGTGAGAGATCTCGATGAACAAGTTGAAGATGCGGGGGATGCACGAGCAGAAGTAGACGGTCAAGTTATCGATCAGGATGAGGATCATTCCGCAGGAGAAGACAATCAGAACCAGAAGATGAACAGAGAATCCTCATCTTCTATTGGAGGAGGGCAAGAAGATGAACGAGCTCGACCCTTAGTATTGGAACCTAGAACTGGAGAGGTAGATGAAGAGGCGGCTGACAGTCCTTCCAGCGGTGCCAGAAGGCGACCTAGCCGGTCACGGACTAGCAGCGCTGGGAGCCAGTCAACGTCTAGTAGCAGAGAAGACGATGCTGGAAACTACGACGATCGTCGAAGGGTAAGAAAACAGCAGAAGCGGGGAAGACTGAGAAGCGATAGAAATAGCAGCAATTCAAGCTATGAGGGACGCGACCGAAAAGCGCGTAGGAAAGCCTTGCGTCGGTCGCCTACACGGCGAAGCAGCGCGTCCTCGAAGTCGTCAGAAGAGAGTCGAAAGAGGACTGATTCGCGCGGCCTCGAGGACAAACGCGCTGCTGAGGCGCCGCCTCGAAGATTCAGGTTCGAAGATGACACCAGTGAGGACTCGCCCTCGCCACCTCCAGCGCAACGTGGTGGGCGATCAACTACGTCGAAAGCGCGGGATCATCCAGGGGGTGCAAAGAAAAATATTTGGGCAGCTCACGCACGCAAGGAAAGGTATCAACACAGATCGTCACGGTCCTCCTCGCCACGGAAACCGGCCAAAAAGCTTCGACGCGTCGATCGCGGCCATGGGAGGACATCCTCAGCTGGGAGCAGCAGTGACGAGGAGCAGGAGCGCCATGGAGAAAAGGACTTTGCGAGAAGAGGGAGTGACCCAAACGCTGACCACGAGGACGATCACGGTGATAGAAATACTGAACAAGAGAATGGAAACATCGAGGGCCAGGTGGATTCTCCTGGTTTTGAGGAAGACGATGAGGGACAGCGGGAGCAAGAAGTCGATGAACCGGAAGTTTTTGAGGACGAGAACCAGCCAGAAGATGCTGAGCAAGCAGTTTCTTTTGATGCCGACGCGGACCATGACCAAGAACAAGAGGAACAACAGGCAGACGAGGATGGGGCTCCTGCTGTAGACGACGGAGTGAATAAGTCGAATCATGATGCTCTCGTTGCCGAGAAGGCTTGGAGTTTCATCAATGATTCCTATCGTGGGGATCTTAGCTGCCGCTACAAGCCTCACAAGATAGCCGTCGGAGCTCTGTGGCTCGCGTGTCGTGTCCTTCAGAAAAAGCTACCGCCAGATTGGTACCTGGTTTACGATTGCTCACACGCAGAGGTCCAAGATATCGCTCGTCGCATACTCGGAGTTTACCAGATTAATATGCCCAACCACTAACTGGACCTGAAGATCTTTATCCACCCATCATATCAATGCTTTTTGGATTTTCGCTGCTACACAAGGTAGGATGTTGACCTCGAGGACTTCGTACAGAAGTAACTAAACAGAGATTCGAACATCAGAAGAGTCATCCATGTTTTATTTCCCACCAAGTGAAAGAACGTCCTCTTGGTCAATGCTAAAGTTACAATATTCACCATTTCCCACCTCCTTCCATCCCACTGTAATTTTATTCGCGTCCATACAACACGCACGCCTCGCGAAATACATGACGTATTGATATCTCACCGTGGTGAACCAACTCCTCCTGGCTTTTCTGGCCGAGGCTTGCAGAAGACATCGCGTGTTTTCTCTGTCCTGCTCAACGACGAACAGAATGAAAAATTTTTAAAAGTAATGACATGATCTGCATTCATTGTGATCGGCCAAAATAGTTCCTGTACTTCTAGTTCTTCTTCTTCCAGCACTAGCCTTGTGGTGGCTCTATGATCAGATCAAATCGTCTTTGTTCGTGCGCTTTTTTCATATCTTCTATAATCTGACCTTAGTAGACGCTGGTATCAAAGGAGATCTCCATCATCAAAAGCCTAGGATCTATTGGACGAATTGAGATCAGAAGTGGGATCTTGTTTACGTGGATAGCTAAAGCCATGGTGGATTAGCGTTTTTCTCCCCGAAGTGTACTTTTTCTGACATTTTTCAGGCGACAACTTGTACATGTAATTTTCGTGCTTGGAGGTCAACTAAAACTAATCTCTTTTTTATGCTGCATAGCCGTAGCGCTACAACATGACGAGGATCGGGTTCCTTATGCCATCGAAAAGTTGCACTTCGTTTCTTCATAGTTGTGTATGGCCTTGGCCACTCCTAGATACCTGAAAATCGCTTGTTGATTCCTTAATTCAGTATTTCTAACTATCATCTGGTTTTTCTATGCGCTAGAAGCCTAAAAGCATCAAAGATTTATCTTTATTTGTAGCAACTACAAAAACCATCAAAATGAATAGGTCGACATCAGAGTCACAGAAGATGGAGGATGGCTCACAAGATGCGATGTGTGTGCAGTTGACGAACGATAGTTCGATCGTATCAAAAGCATCCACAGTTCAGCTTGGCTACTTTGACGACCCTTTCGTCAAATTTTTTGCTTTTGAGGAAGCGACAATTCTCAAGACAAGTCCGTCAACTACTACGCCGGATTCTCCAACGAAGAAAGAAACAGTGGTTGGCTCTGGTCGTGCCGGTTGTGAAGATGAACAACACGACGCGGGCCTGTCTGCCACCCCGCCAGGTCCAAAGACGAACGGCGATGTAGCGCCCTCGACCGAACCAAAGATGCCGAATAGGTCAAGTAGGAAGAAATCCTCAAGCAGGCAAGACGCGGGAAAACAGCAACAGAAGCAGCACAATATTAGCGCCAAGATGAATGCAACTTCTAAAAAGAAAGCCGCGCGAGCACCGAACTTGACGGGCGCACAGAGCATTCGTAGACGGGCGCCTCTGATACATCGTGGCTACGCCATCAGGTACGAGTTGGTGGAACGCGCGGTCATACGATTTTTGAAGAAGCATCAGAATCCGCAGGTAGTCGTTCTCGGAGCTGGTTTTGATACCCTCTATTGGCGCCTCCTCCGAAGAATGGAAACGGGTCATCTAGGTCTGCAGATGATGGAAGAAGATGTGGAGGATCATCCTCAAGCTTCATCGACCACACTCGCAAGCGAGGAAAGCGTGTTTGATCACACGGCACGCGCCGCAAGGAAGAATCGAAAACAACTACCGTTTTCGAACTTTGTTGAGATCGACTTCGCTGACGTTGTGGCCCGAAAGAAAGAGATCATGCGACGCAATCCTGAAACCTTTCACGCGGAAGCTGCAGAGGATGGCCGTTATCACATGCTCAGTTGCGACATGACTGACGCCGAGGCCCTGAGAGACTTACTACGGCCTTTTGCGTCCTCTGGCGCCCCGACATTGATCTTGGCTGAGGTTGTGCTGTGCTACCTTCCAACCGCACAGGCGGACGCAGTGCTCTCCACTGTGGGAAGTATATTCCGGGGAGAACATCATGCGGAAAAACCGGACGATAGAGATGGAGAAAGCGAGAACTCTGTAAAACTAAAAATATCAGAGAATGCAAACAAGAATTCCTCGAGGACGTCCAGCGCGAGCACTGCTTCTGCATCTTCTTTCACAGTCTTATGCTACGAACAGGTGCTACCGCATACCTCATTCGGAAAGGTGATGGACGCACACTTTCGAAAACGCGGGTCACCCCTCTTTCCATACCACAAGTACAAGACCTCTGCTATGCAGGCGGAGCGCGTACGATATTTGTTGACGGACGAAAGCAGGATGTCTGAGTTGTATGCTGAAGAAAAGAAGGACAAGAACACGGAGAGTCGTGCCGAGATGCGTTCTGATGGGGATTGTCAGAGCAGGATACATGCATCTCGTAGAGTAGATGCAGTGCAGTCCTCGGGTAAGTCTAGTATTCACACGTCTTGCCGCTCGCTACTAGAATTGCTGTATGAAGATGCGAACACGGATCTGGTGACCAAGTGGAGCACCATAGAGCCCTTTGACGAGTATGAGGAGTGGCATCAAAAACTCCAGCATTACGTTCTCCTTGCTGGCGGAAATGATCCTGAGACTTTGCGTGATGTCATGTTGCTGCCTACAGACTATGGTAGAGAAACTACAGAAGAAACTAAAATTTTCCCCTCCTCTACTAGTACTTCGAGTTGTACAGACGTTTCATCTTTCGTTTTGAAGATGACGGCCCGCGCGATTCCCTGCCATGAGGGGGCTCGTTTCGGCGCAGCAACGTGCTTCGAAGGGGGCAGTTGGTCCATATGGGGCGGTTTCGGCGCAGACGTCGAGACGGGCGCGCACAAGAGACTCGGCACGAAGGCAACTGTTGATGTCGCAAGAACATGCACTTCTAGCGCCGTTTCTTCTTCTTGCAATACTTCGTCTTTCTCAACATCATCCCCTCACACTACTTCTAGAAGAATTAGTCCAACTCCATCTTCACCTTCAGCACTTCTTTCTAGAAGAAGCACTACAATCGTACCAGTCCCGAAAGAACTAGGAGGTCAATTGATGGGTGCACGGTGTGTCTCATTCCCGCTTAACGAAATGGGTCATACATGCAATGCTGGCGGATCTTTGCAGATCGTAGTTGGCGGTCGCACTAGTCCATGGAAACCGGTGGAACCTAGTACAACAGGCCCACCTGGCGTGCACAGACACGGTCTCGTGCGCTTAGAAGATCCAAATAGTTCTGGTGGACGTCCTTTGGTGGCGCTGCTTGGAGGTCGCACGAGTGACTGCGGGCGGCCATCTAAAGAGATTTGGGTTGGAGAGGTCAAGAATGTTCATGTTGAAGTAGACGAAAAGGAACACAATGAGGAGGCTCCTCGTCCTGCAGCAGTTGAGGTTACAGAATGGCACAAGGCCGGAGTCGAATTGCCATCCGCAAGGCATTCATTTGGTTGCTGTGTAACGCAGAGAGGAGTCTACATTTTTGGCGGTCTCGATGAACAAGAAAATTTTCAGAACGATGTCGTCTTTGTGCCCAATCAGGCGCTCTTTACCCCAGAAGCTGCGACTTCCTGCTCTTCTGGTGCAAATCCTAGTGCATCCGCATCACAAGCTGGTGTACAGACGCTCACGAGTTCGCTAATGAGTAAACGCTGTCTTTCTCCAGAGTTGGGCGAACACAAAAACCTAGAGAGACCTCCTACATCAAATGCTGGCCTCTACAGCGCGCCTGCGATTGCATGCGCATTGCACGGTCGAGAGGGCGCTCTGCTCGTCGGCGATCCGATGGTATGCGACGCGGTGGACTCAGCAATGCGATTCCCCATTTACTTTTTCGATTTCGATCGAAAAGAAATCACGTTCGTGTTCGATACGAAGATCGCACCACTGGGTGGTGCCGAGGAGCACGCTGGCGAACTGCAAAAAATACTTCAAAAGTCAAAGAGCTCAAACGAGACCGCTTCAATCGAGACAACCCCAAGCAATCGAGACTTCAACTTTCTGTTCTCTAACTACAGTGCTGCACTTCATATGTGTGCTGAAACAGGGCTGGTTGTTTTGCACATTATCGGAGGAGGGGGAAATCTCTTCAGCTTCGGCACCCATTTAAATCGTTACCGCCTCGAAGTTGACCTCACTGATTCCGGAGTAACTATGATCTAACAACTTGAACTTCTTTAATAACACTCACAAGTTCTATAACCAGAACCACCCTTCAAAAATTCATCAGCCATCATGCTTAACCATGTTCAAACATGATAATGACCTTCCCCAAACAACGTCGAGCTCCAGCTACGCCGTTTGATACTTTTATGTGTTTTATTTTCTACATGTGTTCTTTTCTCTCAAAGACATGTTACCTGTATATTTAAATATGGTGCTGGATATACTCGAAGACGATGATCTTCCTGATCAGAAACTGGTACGACATGCACGAGACGCGTCTGTTTAGAAGCAGATTGCAGTATGATCAAAGTAGCACGGCATGGCCCACGAATGAGCAGCCGCCAGATACATGAGAATCTTATAGATACTAAAAAAGCTGTTGAAGTTCGCTGATGACTCCGTGAAAGGTGAGGTTCTGAGCGTGGCTGTGTGTGAGTCCTCTTATTATGGCTGTAGGTCTTGTCCCGTCCTTTGGAAGGTTGACCGGTAGATATCGGGAAGGTAACTTGTCATAGTTTTCGTCATTGAAGATGACTGTAAGTAGGTGTCTTTGCCAGCTGATTGGTATGAAAATCAATGCGAGATCGAGAATTCTTGTTTGACAATGTCTAAAATGCAAAAGCCGAAATCTATTCATTAATTATGTCTGCAATGTCTCCTGAGTATGAATTCAGTAGAGGTAGTTTTTTTTAACGTCAAGATTTTTATGATAAAATTGAAACTACTTTGACAAAAAATGTTATCGTTTCTTTTTTCTTTTCACGTCCTCCTCCTGCATGCATGCCGAGTACATGCGCGCTCGAGTGGCGGATTTCCGCATACTGCGTTAGAACCGTTATTGCATGACTATGCATCGCCAGCCTCTTCCAGGACAGGAAGTCAGGGCATAAGAGTGGCACCTATATCAAAAACAAGAGGTACAGGGGCGGCGACACAAACAACGTTGCCACCTCCGCCATACAATGCTCTTAATGGAGCGCGACACAATCCAATAGCAGAACAACCACAGCAACCCGAGGGCACCCAGAATTTAATCCTGCCTACGCGCAGTCCACTTGCTGGCGCACGGGCTGCCGCAAGGACGAACAGGGGAAACGGCTCACCAGAAGGCCATAGAACGGATCCACCAGCAGCCTGGCCAAGCTCTAGTGCCAGCGAGAGCCTCTTTATTGGCCAACGAGACACCAGACAGCAACAAGATGGAGACAACCAAGCGGCGCAGGATTTTGTCAGCGATGCTAAAAATACGTATTTCGAGGCAGCCCTTGGGCCGTCCGGTCTTGTGACTGCATCTGCTGCGCCTGTCGGACACGAAGGCGCTCATAATAGCACTGTTGAAGGTCTCAGAGGAGACTTTGTTGATTCGGACTCTCCTCTATCTTCTGCCGGAACTGGTGCTGGTGTTGCAACAAGGACTTCCGCGGTAGCAGGTTCCGGCTCGTCCTGTGATGACGAAGACGAAGATTGGTATGATGAAGATTTTGACTTATCCAATGTCCTAGCGTTGGATGTGTCCCAAGTCCAGCGCACGAGGGACATTTCCTGCGTTGTCATCGACGCGCAAGTGCACAAAGTACTGTACCACATCGAAAAGACGTGCATTGATGCAGCTAAGAATCATCATACAAAGCTTATGTTGAAAGACACGCATGCTGAGGACGAAGATGCGAAGGTGGTAATATTGCCTTCAGAGGATACTTACAATATTACCGCGGGACGACTAGGACGGAATCATTCTATAGCGACAACGTCTATCGCGGAGGAGCAGGAAAGCGTGCCTACTTCTGGTCTCGCAGCAACAGCGGCTACGACCAGCTTAGAAGGACCCGTTACAACGACGTGCTTTGCGTCGGTCCTAGGCAGCAGCTGCTCGACGACTACCGCATTTTTTCCTGATGGCGCAGCTGGAAACACCACTAGAACTGTAGAAGATGCCGCGATGCCGACTCTTGAGGATACTCTGGTGAGCGTAGCCGCTCAACTGTCGAAGAACGAGCTTCAAACCTTTGCTTTGGCAGTTGTTTTGGCCGACCATGTTAGCGACACAGAGACCCAGTTTGTGGACACGGTGAGAAACTACATTAGGAGGAAGGTTCCTGTACCCGGTTCTGCTTTTGCTAGGAATGCCGTCTCCGGCGGTCGGACAACCGGGTCGAAAATCTCCCCAGCAAAAAGCTCCAAAAACGCTTACAAAGGTGGCTCTAGTACTGCTTGTTATAGTAATAGGCACGAGGTGGACCACTATGATTCTGCTGGTGCTGCAGGCCTCGGCGCAAGATTTGAGGTCGAAGAGCAAGCGCGCACAGTTGGATGTGCTATGGTGTATAAAGTCGACCGAGAAGATAGCAGTACAGAGAGTCCGACGTTAAGCAGTAATGTCCATGATTCCGATGAGGAGGGAACAGCCGAGCTGTTGCATTCTGCTTTGGGAACGTCGAGTCCTCGTGAACGACAAGACTCTTATGTAGAGCAAAGAGTCCGCGGGCTCCCGCGTGGTGGTCGAGATGAAGTGCCTTCGTCGCAGTCTACTTCAGCAGGGTCGAGAAGTTCACGACCAGCGCATCCACTTGTAGGATGCGGATTACACCTCTCAATGTGCGCGACGCGAACTCCAGAGCGAGTGTCTGGCACTAGTCGTTCCTCGTCGTCTGCGCAGCTGAGTAGTGATAGTCGTGTAGCCGACCACTTGGCAGGAGCGGGTACCGCAGAACAGAGCGTTGCCGCCCAAGCAGCTGCTTCTTCGGCAGCGGGCATACTAATGCCACGCATTGGACCCGTGTTACCCAGTAGTGTCGGTTCCTCGTCACTTTCATATCATGGTGGTGCAAGATCCTCATCCGCTATATCAAGAGGTGACCGACCCACGTTCACAACCGGTGACCGTTCGCTTGATGTCGATGCCACTGCAACGAGTGGACACTCTGGCTTATCCGCGTCCCATGTAAATACTACTTGTCTAGTAGTCCCGTCTTTGCTAGTGTGTAATCGTAGTCGTGTAGTTGATCAGGGAAATGAGGATTCTCGCGTAGCTGTAGGTTCACGAGTACAAAATGCGCCACAATATCACGGACGAGAGGCACCTAGAGATGGAGCGCACCCACACGTTGCCTCAGCATCCGGACTCGCTTTCTGTTCTCACCCTACGGTGCTTGCGTCCGCTGCACCAGCTGCGACTATCACAGGTCCAGTAGCTTTTGAGGATGTTGTCGATGCACCAGAGATAAGAGCAGGATCTTGTGATTCGATGACACAAGCGAGATGTTTTTCGCGAGGCTCTTCATCGTTCGAGGAGGAAGATGATCATTCTTGGGAAGCACATAAAGGGGACTTGTCCCTGGACGAAAATAAAGTGGAACGTATTCGTTCTAGAACTTCTGATCTAAGTCCGTCAAAAGGAAGGGCTAGCCGCAGCGCTGGGAGAGGGCGACGGAGTGTCACGCTGCAGCAGTTGTTAGACGTTGCACAGGAATTGCGGAAGTGGGTACCCAAATCATTGGACTGTCCGCTTTATGAAATCAAAAACAAAATACACCTACTAGAAGTACTTTCTACTCAAGGAGAAATTCCAATTTTTGATTTTTCTTGCATCTGTGCTGTCAGTGTCTGTGAAATCGAGATCGTTAACAAACATATGGGTTTCTTCTAAGTTATCTCGGGGAAGAGCTGGGCTGAGTGTGGTTATGATCTTTTGACGCTCATCGGGGAGAGCGAGGACTGTGATCCGGTCTTCCTGGCTCGCGAATTCGTCTATCGTTGGGCCGGCATGCAACAACGAGTCTCTCCCGGGTCCTCTCTCGCTGCCGCCTACAATGCCGCCCGATCATGGAATAGCCTCCCACCTCCCCCGATGGGACCGAGTACGTTCTCTGGTATAACAAGTAGTACAGCGAGTGGAGTACCAGGAGCTACGCCTGAAGCGCGTGCTGGTAGAGCGGAAGCAGCGCAGAGACGTCTAGGCGGAGAACAGGACGATGCGGAAATTTTATTTGGAATGTTTGGAGGCGCAGGAGCACAGGGATCAGTAACTCAAGCCATACTTCGAGCTTCAGCGATTGTAGACCGAGAATATCGTCGTCTACTTCGGTCTAACCATCCTGCTTCTCCAAATATGCGTCGCACTTCCTCTTCAAGCACTCGTGCCCCAGAAGGCAGTCCAGTTTCAACATTTGCAGAAAGTACAAGTAGTATGAACACCACTACACGAGGACGAGGAGATGGACCTGGAGGTAGCCGCGAAGATGGAGTACTAGATCATATTAATGGGGTCTCTCCCAGTTCCACTCGAACTAACGTCACTCATGGTGTAGCTCACCTTGTTCGCCCACGTGGAAGTAGCACGACAAGCATTACTAGCAGTCGGGATCCGCCACAGGAGATGACATCGTCTGCATCAATCACGGGTGTCTCCCAAAATAGCGCAGCTGCTGAACATCGTGCTGCGGGGAGCGGAGAGCCACGACGTCATAGCCGGGATACCGATACGTCACGTGTGGTTGAGTCTGGGAGCCGTGACGTTGGAGGGGATGTGAGAGGTCTACACTCCCAGACCAACACGCATCTGACGGCACTACGTCGAGAGCAAATTGCGCAGACCTCGCGCCGAGTGCGGGCCACTCAACAGGCAGCACAGCTGGCTCGTGGATCATTTTCATCTCAGTCGTATCAACAACATGGTGATTCTGCATCAACTTTTTTTGGTGCTCCCGTGTCAAGTACAGCAAATTCTGACGGGCGGCGCGTGCCTGCTGTTGTTGATACATTCACAACGGGGAGGGGTACAACTGGTACTGAACAAGATTCTGCCAGTCGTGACGATTTTCGAGACACTGGCTCTGGTTCTGCAGGACCCACTGAGCAACTCATTGCGCCAGATCATTTCATACCCTGGACTAGATTGGGAGGCGATAGTCCTCCTGCGCAGCTTTCTACTCAAAGAAGTGGCGCCACCAGCATACCTTTACCTCCTGCCAGTGATCAAGTGTCAACTGGAGATGGAGATGAATCCGGGACAGCGCGTTTGTTAGCAGACGAGACTGCAGCGCGAAGCAGGGCGCGGAGGGAAGCAATCGGGCACTTGCACGCTTATCTGCGAAGTACTGGCGACTTAGGAGCATCTGATGATAGGCGAGCGCGCCGTGCAACAATACAAGAACCTCCAAATGCGGGTGAGGAAGTTCAAAGCCACCCTTCTCCAAGGCAAAACGTCGTGGGGGATGCGATCAGTAGAGCTGTAGGAGCTTCTGATCTAGCGCTGCAAAGTACTGTGGCTCTGCTAAGTAGTCGAGAGGCAGAAACTGTGGCGCGGCCGAGAGCTGACGCATTCGATGTGACGCCTTCATTGCCGCGGAGTCGGCTCGACGAACCGCGAAGTCCGAGATCGGGTCGGCCTGAGTCGACTTTTGATTTTCGCACGCCATGGGGAAGCCTACCGCCTTGGATGCGGGACATGTTCGAACGAAGGCTTGCGAGGAGATGGGAGGCAGTAGTGCGCTGGGAGGCAGACACTCAAGGTGGGGGAGGAAGTAGTGGAAGCAGAATCGTAGACGGTCAAGCAGATCATTCAGGTCGACCTCATACAGATGCATTTTCTTCTGCAGCTTCTCGTTCTCTTGGAGAGAGTCGTCCTCCAGCTCATTCCCGTCCCGCTGGGCAATTGATCGAAATTCCAATTGTTGACGTCGATCAGGAAATGCCAGGAGCAGATGGATCTGATTCTGATCATGAGCCATCGTCCAGGGCCGAAGCACAACCACGAGGATCCAGCACAGCTGAAATCGTGCATGTGGACAACCGAACTAGTAACAACGTGGGTGCACGGGCAGAAGGACGAGGAGATCACGTTGTCAGGAGCAATCAAACGACCACATCGGCGACAGATTTCAATGCCGCTGATGAAGCAAATGCCCTTCTCGATCCGCTCAGACGCGTGCTGTGGCCCTACCTCTCTGTTTCTCACACGGCGTCACCAAGACCTCGATACTATGCGCAGGTTCGTGATAGTCGTGGATCTCAAGAATCACGACAGGCTCGATCTACTCCTCGAACAAGAACTCGTGACAATTCCAGTAGAAGTGCAAACTCGTCTGCTGGTGGTGGTGCTTCTGGCCACTTCTACAGAACTGGGAGCACGAGCACACGACAAGATCACGGCACACACCAAGATCAAGCGACGAGTAGTGTTACCCATGGTGGACGTGACGATAGCGAAGACGAACCTTTCGTAGGTTCGACGTCTGTACTTGACGCATCCGTGCAGTCTCGTCGAGAGATGCTACGCCTCGTCCAGCAACACGATCCGGAACTGATCCGCATGTGCCTCCGCGACATTCCACTATCCGCAGAGGAGTACAGGGATTACCTCAGGCACGAACAATTCAACTTATGGATAGCAATTTTTTTTGTAGTGCGAGTCAGTCCCGAACATATAGCATGAATATGAAAATCACGAGCTGCCAATTTGGCAAACTCAAGGTTCTCCACCAGGAGTCTCTTCAAGTATAGCAGACTAGCCATCGATGAATAGGTGGATCATCATGCACAATTCCATGTCAGGACTACTACCTAGGTGACATCACAGCGTACGACGAGCTTGCGCTCTGAGCTACTGGGATCTCCCCAGTAAAAGTATCTATCACACCAGTTGTGTAGTACGATCAGCGCTAATGAACCGTGCAAACAATTACCAAGCGCAACTTCTGCACGAGCGAGTTTTCCGGGACTTCTATTGTCAGGTTCCAGTCACGACTCTGGACTACGTCAGCGCGTTTGAAATGGCGTTTCCCTTTGGCTTGGGTTGCCGGGAGGGTCTAGAGGCCATCTGGCATGCAGTAAAGGAGTGCAGCAGGACGATCCCAGCTAGTCAAGTACTTGAGCGTCGCGACTGCATTAAGCAGGAAGCGTTCCGGTATCTCTACAACAAGCCATACGGCAGGGAATGTTTGCGTCAGCGGACTGGAGGAATGGAGGAAGATCATGCTGAAGTTACGTCGTTGGCTGATTTGTTCACAACATAGCATGTTGCTTGCTCTCAGCAGAAAGTAAGTACAAAATTGAATGAAGTCTTCACGAATGAAGTTGCGAAGCACTATAGTCATCTGTTCGGTCACAAGAGTTGTTGAATTCAGGACTAGCGTACGACCTTGTCCTGTAAGTATGACACTACATCATCTACGTAAGAGAAAGGGTTCACACTTCAGTTTCACAAACTCTTTGATGACTTGGGCTAACAAGAAATTTTTAAAGTACAGATACCAGAGCAGTTTATAGCACGCATGAAGTAGCATGGAGTGCATGGAGCGCAGACCCATAAGGGACGCAAGAAGCGGCCCCTTTAGCTCCATGCAACTCCATGCGATCCATGCACTCCATGCCATGCGGCCTGCCAAATCTTACACATTGTTCTGAGATACCTATATCTAAAAGAGAGTGAGCTGGAGCGATGTGGTCCCCTCAATCTAAGGCAGCGACGCCTCCCACTGATCGTGGTTATTTCAACGAGAGGCAAGGGAGAGACCGGTCAGCAGGCTTCGCCTTAGGTTCGATCTCTACGCCATCGGGTGAGGCGCGACCAGTGGGTTTTGCTTTAGCTTCTTCCGCACCTGCAGGCTTTGGGCTCGGTTCCTCAGTGTCGGCGAACCTTGCCGTAGGGTCTTTAGCAGGCGATGCAGAGTCTCAGAATGAGGATACAGGACGCAGTCGAGTGAGCGCATTCGGGTCTGTACCCAGTGGCCCGGTAAGGACTCTTGCAGGAGCATTGGATGCGGGCCCTCCTGCTCGTCCAGGCATATTTGGAAACACTGCGGCAAGAGATATTGGTCCTCAAAAATTCCTTTGATAGCTGAGTTTGCAATTGTTCCTTTGATAGACAAGGAAGCACAATGAAACATTCAGTGTCTTGAAGTAGGTACTTCTTCTACAAATTCGAATTGCTCAGGATCAAGATTTTGCACATTACTTACTTCTTATAAATATCGTTCTACGTAACTGCTTGCCTTTGATGTTCACATCTTCAGGTTGGGAAGGCGTTGATTCCCGCGTGCTTCCTTACACCGAAATCGCGTCGCAGAATGTGGAAAGCATTGTGCGAGGAGCAACACTGCAGGAATTTTATAGGGTGAATCGTGAGTTCCAGGAGCCATCACCTGCTGGGATTCGTAGCACCACTGGTATTGCTGCTACAACGGGTGGTTACGCTGATTTTGGTCCTACCTCTAACCCTGCTGCTCTCAACGCTACTTCGAATCTCGCCATCTCGCCAACGGCGACGTCACCAATACCCGCGACTCTAACGGGATCTTCGACTCTTACGGGAGTTTAAATAGATTTGATCTACTAGTCTTTTTACATACATGTAGAATTTGAAAGATTAAGTTGCTAGGAGGTATTCTGCAGTACTAGCGCCAGGGGATTAATAGAGAGTACTTGACTTTTCTAGTAGCATAGAAGATTTTTTTTAGGAGGTCTACTTGTACTAGCTACTAGGAGGAAATGTAGAATGATAAGTATTCTGGGGTGCTAGAACGGGGGAAGTTGACGTGACGGACTATGATTAGTTTGCATGCGTGATACGTGTAAGTTGAGTTTCTATATTCGTACATAACTGCGAAAGTAGTAGTAAGTTGGCGAGGCTAGTGAAGCTGTTGTGATAGTCGGTCCTTAGATAAGAGAGCGTGCCGGCGTTACTCATGCCATAGCGCTATCGGTTCTTTGCCGCGTCTCTACTCGGGTCGCAACGGAATCAGGCAGCGAGAGCTGTTACGTGGTTCGCAAATGAATGAATGAGTGAGTTTTTTTATCAGCTCGTCTCGTAAGATGAGCGACGTCCTCTAATGTCCGGCCGGCCCCGCCACGTGGAGATCAGCCACGTACAGGCGATGAAGTGGGCGCGCAGACCACTCTTTCGGTTTCTCCTCTAGACTCTGCGGAGTTTCGGTTGGCAGTACTGCAACGCGATGGGGATCTCAGGAGAATCGACATTCAGCGTCTACGTCAGGCTCGTCATCAGGCTGAAAGGGCTCGAGGACACGACTACGAAAATTTTCAACGTGATTCACGTAGGGAGTGGGAGAGCGCCAATATTTATGGCCGAAAATAGTATGCAGATGCACTGGCTAAAGTCGTGTGCTTTTATTTATTAGTTTGAGACCTGGATCGATTATAAGGGAAGCAAAAAGTCGTTGCTCCAATCGCTGTGTTTATTAAATTTAAGAGAAAAACGAAGAAGTATTATGAATGGCTCTTCTAATATTCTGTTACTGTTTCTGGCGAAGGAGGTGGACCCATATCTCGTGACACTTCGTCAAGAGAACAACAAGACAACGGAGTTTCTACAACGCAACACGATGTACATCAACGTAGACCGGCTATAGAAGTTAGTGATGCCAGTGTCTCGACTCCGTTACATCGACGTCGTGATGGTGCTTACCCCCAGGCGCGAAGTAGTTCCGGTGGATCTGGAGTACCAAACACTTCGGCTCGACCCCTTTCTAATCAGTCGCGTGTCAGCGGGCTGCCGTTAATCATTCGGGCAGAAAGCAGGGAGAGCAGTGTAGTTAATGCCAATTCAGATGGGTTGACCAGTATTAGTAGAAGTACAGCAGGCGCCAGTAGTACTGCTCCGTCTGCGCGACCTACTAGTCCTACGCCAGCTTTTTCAGCGTTACCAGAGCCAGGTGTTGTACTAGGAATTCCAAGTCCTCTTCCTTATACTTATCATGCACCAGAGCAGCAACAACCTTATTTGATGGCAGGAAGTCATCTCCCTACTGCTATTGATCTTACTTCATCCGCCGGTGTTCTTCCACTAAGTGACGAGGGCAGAAGTGCTACTGGCTTGCCTTGGCCTACGCCTCGGTCTAGTGCAACAACTTCAGGTGGTGGCGCTGCTGCTTCACGTTCACCTCCATCTACATCACCTTCAGCCGATGTTCCTGCTTCACCACAAGCTTCACCTCATCCTCAACTGCGTCCATCTGGTAGCGTGACGAGAAGTTCTTTAGCGCCCCTGCCTGCGTCAAGGATCACAACAGCAGCGAGCAGCCCTGATGATTTTTCAAACGCCGCTCCCTCTCCCAGACCACCGCGGCCTTCGTCACAGCTCGAAGCAGGCCACCCCTCACCGTTGCCGCTTTTGTCGAGGGGCGTTCCGACAGGCAACAACGTGCTACAAGACTTGCGGACCCCATTGCTTTTAAGGCGTAGAACTAGACGTACCAAAAGTTGACTCTCAATGAAAACAACTTCTATGTACTACAATTTATTACCTACATGTGAGTGTAAGACCGATTAGGTGCTGCAACTCACTACTTTGGTCATCACCTCCTGCTCTACTCTATTATTCATTGTACCAGTGATGTTTTCTAATTCTATGCATTGTTGTTGATCATTGATATTATATTTGTAATTCATTGATATTGAACATAGATTGATACAATATAGAAGATACAGCTAATGAGCTTGACAGCAACGCCAGGCCCTCTTTAGATGAACATTTTGTGTTGCTAATGCCAGGCTCTTCTGGAACCTCGAACCCGGAACCCGATCCAGTCGCTGGCAACCTGGAGATTCTGGATGCATTGGCGACGCAGCGGGAACGCTATGTAGCCTTCATTCGCGGGCTTGGTCAAGGACATGCAGCGCGGGGACAGCGTGACGCGCAAAACGAGGCGAATAGTGAACGAAGGCGAACAGAGATTCCTGGATTAAGAGATTCATCGTGCTAAGTAGAAGTCGTCTCTTCTTTTGTAAATCCAGAAGTTATGATTGGAGAAAACGTCGAAGTAGGACTTACTGTAAGTAGTGGAATAACAATAAAGGTTACGGTTACCACGCTTCTTGCGCGTGCGGATGAACAGGTGAGAAATTGCGAAAGAACCACTGGCGCACTCTAATGGTAGCGGTGATCGATGTTGCGAGTTAAGGCCAGCTTCTCCAACTCACTCCTGTAGTAGCGAAAGGGTGAAGCCATGATTCTACTTGAAAAAAATTTCGGAGCAGCCTATTTACTTTTTTTCAGTTACTTACACTTACCTTTTTTCAGTTCCTTACACTTAGACTTACCTTTTTTCAGTTACTATTTACCTTTTATTTCAGTTACCTACACTTACACAAGCTCAGGTACCTATTTTTATAATCAACTTCAACGCACTCGCACTTGCCTTTTTTCACTTGCTTACACAAGTTTTATCATCAACTTCAAAGCCTTCTTGTTTTTCTAAGCGATAGCGGACATGGAGAATTTCTTCGAGCGAGAATACGTGGAAGAAACAGAACGCTTGTTATGGCTGGATACACACTAAGTCTAAGTGCATCCGAGAAGTATGCAGGGTCTTGTCCACTATTTTCCTGTTGTCACAGACAGGACACAACCTAGAAATAAGGGGAACAAGGGTACTTCTACTTCGCAACTCGCCGTAATGATATCATCTACTAAGCACACTAGTACGTAAAAATGATATCACAGTAATTCTTAGGTGATTAAGTAACAAATTGAACCTGAATCTTGATATAGATACAACGCACACGACAAGGGCCACTTCATCTCCTCGCTCGTCTTCTAATTTGAGCGAACTGGTGTAACGAGCGCATGTGCTGTTTCACGAAGTACTTCCCTATTCTGCTCTTCCTGTATTTCTTGTTGCCCGTGGCTTTTTTTCAGCTGTTGAGCGTCTATATTCCGGAACAAGTGGGGCCAGCAGGTAGGATTCATGCTATATGTGAACTGCATCAAGGCTACCAATACGCAGAAAGCAAGCAGCAGATCACAACTGCTCCGGAACAAGGGGGAACTGCGGAGAGAGGCTCGTCGTACCATCATCATGTTCATGCAGAAGACACAACCAGAAGTGCCGTGGAGAACTTGTTTCTCTACAGGAGTAGAGGAGAAGATCGGGGTGCCTCTGCGACCTCTAGCATACAAGAACTCTACGACTTCACTGCGCGATATCCTGCCGCGAGTAGTTGGACTTCAGTCGCGGAATCTATTGTTCATGATAGGGCAGTCGAGATGGCTAACGCCGATGTGGGAATGCTAAGGCCTGACGAATGGATGTGGACCAAGACTGAAGCGGAAAAGGTAACTAGAAGATACTCTTGAGTTCTGCATGTTCATATGGACGATACTAGCTAACGTCGACGATACTAGGTGTAGGTAAATATGTATGCGAAGAGTTGTTTTCAATCTTTGCTGCGCCTCGACTACTAGTCAGGAGGCTTTATTTTTCTTTCGCAGCATGATCAATAAATATGAATATTCGTCATGATCCTCACAACATCAACAATCACGATGGATATGTTGTCGTGATTATATTCAGCTTCACGAGCTGGTATCGGATTTTCTCGAGGTAGATCCAGTGGGTAAGGCTGCATGGCGCACTGCTGTTGGGAACAATTGCATGCTTGATCAGATGCATCTGGGATGGAAGGCTCTACTCCGTTTTCATGCCCTAGCAGACAAATTTGAAAACCTTAGGGGTGGTTTAAGTATTTTCGTATCCCTAGCCTTTTCCTGCACCTGCTGCTCGTGTGCAGTAATCATCCTGTAGTATCTTGTACGACGATAACGTACGCGAAGTTCTTAGAAGAACTAGGGGCGACCCTACAAATACTTCATACCACTCTTTACTTGATTTTATTTTTATGGACGATAGGATTAGTATTAGGAGGAAGAAAGCGAGGAGGATAGTAGAAGATCACTTGAATAAAAACTGATTTTGGCGCTAAAAAGCATCTATGTGCTCGTTATTAGATTATTTTTGCGCTAGTGCAGCGCTAGCTCTTAACCTTTGATTAAGTAATCACCGTCTAGGCATTTCGCATGGTTTTAGCGCTAAAAAGCATCTACGCAAGAAAGGCATGCTCGGCGATTGTGCGAATTGGCAGCAAGGCGACGAATACATGGATAAGATGAGCGGATCCAGGCTTCGTGGGACACCAGATGAGAGACGCTCACACGATGAGTCAGGACACAAAAAAGTAAAGCGCAATAGGAAAGATCATTAAGGCTCGATGCAATTCATTTCCAACGGCCATTTTCTTCTGTTTCTTCCTTCTCGGGATTCTGAAGAAATGAAGGGAAGGGGTGAAGCGTTTGAGCTCTAAGAAAAGGACGAGGACAATGGATTCAATTTCGAAGGTCCGACGGATCCGGAATTTCCCTTTAGCGGAATCGATGAGCTTAATGCACCAAGGAAAAAACGGGAAGCAGATGACGCGGAGGATACTAGAATTAAGGCTGCTGTATATGATTCTACTTTACTTGGACTGCATCCCTGAAAAGTATACCTGAGTTTTCTCGTGCTATTTACTCTTGAAAGATGAACATGAAGCAGCTGAAAGATGCAGGGCGGAGATGGCCCAGTACTTTTCAAGTTCAAGGATACCGAGTCTAATAGCAGTGTCGCTGGTCAATTGCGTGTTTATCTTGAAGAAGGCAAGGATGTTTTTGGAGCATTGCTGCCAAAACGTAAACCGCATAAAGCCATGGGTTTCCCATCTGGCGATGGCGGAGTGTCTCCTAGTGAACCGTTCTGGATGAGGGATAGCAGCTCTGCAGGCACATCCAGCACAACGACTGCAAAGTCTACGGAATCTACTTCTAGCGAAGTAGAGAATACACTAAACAAGCTTGGAGATGAAAACACTCCTTTAAACTACGAGGAACCTCGAAATAAAGTAGAAGGAGTAGATGAACTACAACTACATGAAGGCCGTCAACATCGAACGAATCATGGTGGAGTCGGAGGTAAACGTGGTGGAGGAAGTGGCACATCTAGTGGAAGTGGAAGTGGGAATAGTACACAAGATGGAATACGGACAACTCCAGAAGATGTGCGGCCAATTCCAGGTGATATGCGAGGAAATCCGCCCGACGAGGAGATTGACGGCATACTCATTCCGTTCTACATAAATGAGCATACTGTGATCGCTGGCATGGAAAACGAAACTGATCTGCCCGATCCATTCCTTCTAGACAGCGACTACATCGAGGACATGGCTGCTGGTGCTTCTGCACACCAACAACACGGTGGCAGAGGGGGCACTGCGACTGCAGCTCCTACGTCTAAGGGCAAGACGTTCATCTTCCAAGAAAGTCAAAGTGTTTTTTCAATTACAAAAAGTGAATTTGTAGTCTTTTCGACACTCCAATTACCTCGCGACTCTTGCTAACTTAAACTTACTAACTTCTAACGTCTAAGTAACGACCTATTATGAACCATATAAGTAGGAAGACTGAAAACCTACCTCATACTCATTGATTGTTTTACTCCTTCTAACATCATTGATTGTTCTACTCCTTGAAAGTTTCATCATTTTTAACTCTAACAAGTCTTCGCAAGCGGAAGATAAAGCTGACCACGACTCGACTTCACAGGGTCTTTCACGTGGTCCTTCCGCTGTCCAGGATACTCATCGTCGGAGTGCCACACGTGGAACATCATCAGCTGTGACTGAGACGTATTGCAAAGTGCTTAGGAGTCTTATTAACGGCAGACGCGCGCCATCATACTTTCAATCTTAAGGCTCCCTATTATTCGATGTACGTAAGTAAGTAAGTAGATCATACTACGCGGTCGCGGAATCTTAATAAATACCCCTTTCGATGTATGTAGATAGTAGCAGAAAAGCATTATATCTGGAGGTTCTGGTGTAATAGACCATCTTGCTCTTCTATTTTGGTGATTTTTAGAAGTTACTGTTCGCGTACTATACTGGGTGGAGGTGCAGTTCCTCCACTGATTATGACGTATACAAAAGGGGACTTAGCAGAAGTGTCAATGTAAATGGGATCGTCCCTCGTCAGGGAATGACTCAAACTTAGAGTCGGAAAAAACTGTCTCTAAGTAGATGCTTCCGGTAAGAAAACGCAGCATGATGTTCGAGAGTAGAGGACGGAGGCGCGGCTGGAGTACCACTCTAGAGGATTCAATACCGCTCAATTTAGAAGTTCTTAAATTGTAGTGACTGGTGAGACTGCTCTACTGACAATGTTGTACTAGAACAATGAAGTCGATGCTCTGGTACAACTAAAACAACTGAACACATCATAACATATGATGAAAATAGAAATAGTGCAAAACTGTTCAAAAACAAGAGAAAATTCGGGATAGAAGAGGACTAAATTTATAGAGGAAAACGAAATTGCTCCTCCTGAAGGACACCAGAAGCAGGAGGTGAAAGAAGAAAATCTAAATAGACGATTTTTTGGTAGCAAGCAGATATCTGATGGATTACAGAAGCTGCCTACTACATACATCGTACGTGATTGCAAGTATTTTCTAACACCATGTTGACCATAGCATGATCATTTTACACAGTACTGACTTAGACCACGACTTTCCTTTTGTTTCTATTTAGATTGACGAACAAGATGTCCATGAAAATACTGTTTGCATCATTTTTCTGATTTTTCAAATTGATTCACATGTTATGCTACGGGTCGTCGAGGACACGGCCTTTTTCTTTCTCATCTAAGCATCGCAATTGTTGCCACATGTTTAATCCGATTTCTTGTTTTGATTTTTTGTGATCTCTTCGTTGGCAGAGAAATTTCTGTCTCTATTTTTTTAGCCATTGTGAAGTAAAAAGAACCGTCGTGATTCTGCCTGCACGAGGACTCGCTGTCTGCAAGGTGTAAGCTGCAATCCAGTCCTGTCCCAATATTTCATGTACGACAATAAAACAATTACCTCAGCCTCAGGTATGGCACTTGTAGTTGTTTCTACGAGTATGGTCTCCTCCTGGCACTATATCGAAAAATATCACGACACGTAAAAACGACGATATTTCATTCACGAGGGGTATATATATAAGTGTACAAAAATTAGGTATTTTGCTCGGGCGTCGTTCCGTCGTAGTTGTACTTCTACAACTTTGTGGGAGCTGCAGTTGGAGCAAATCTACCTCACATAAGTGCAGTCATGAGTGCGAAGCTAACATGTGGTCGAATGTGAATCATATATAAGAGTTCTGAAGAAGATGCATGCAATGATGACTCACAAGTAGACAACAGTAGCTACATAAGAGGTGCCATGACGATGACATGACATTTCTTGTATGTGTTGGTGGTGTGCTGGTACTTTTTGAAAAGATGACTGTTTATCTTCTGAATATATAATCTTCCGATAATTTAACGATGATCGATTGTGTGGAATGTTCGATTGGTTGATTGCTTCCGTAAAAACCAAGTCGAAGTCTGCATTCAACAAAGATGTTGAAGCGGGCGGCATAACCACAGAAAAGGTAGACCAGAGCAGCCGCTGCTTGGCCTCTTCATGTAGGTGGAGCACTTCGTATTATATTTTTAGATAGGTGCTTAGCAAGACAGCACTAGAATGAGAGACACAGACATAACAAGCAGTCCTGGTCCTCAGCTTCTCTACTACAGAGACAAAATGAAAGACGGCGCGATCCACGATCCATCTCTTTACCAGCGTTTGGAGGGTGCATCTATCAATCTGCGAGGACCATAGGTAGCGTCTAGTATCTGTGAGAGTGAATCGTGGTCCTACAGTGATAACGCATTTCGATGAACATGAAAAGAAGGCGAGAAGCATCTTCCCTTTGTTAAGCGCGGTCGTGTATGTCGGTAGGTATGTGTTATCCACCGTTGTCTGTGCTATTTCTTTGTCTGCTACTATTACTGAGTCAGTGATTGACTCGTCCTGCTACCGAGGACATGGTGGCTGTCAACTAGTATCCAGTTGCTCGAGTACTGGTTTGGTGGACGTAAAGTCTTATAGAGTCGAATTGAAGACTGTCACTGTCACAGTCATTGAGACTGTTGAGTGACTGCATTGATCATACTTCTGCTTGAGGACGAGGAAGGAACAGATACTAGATCTTTGACTTGGCGTGCCTGTTTCGCACTTATTCGGACGCTAGCATGGCGTTTTGGGTAATAGTATAACTGGCGCTAAGTCAACTAAGAACTGCGCAAAAACGGCCACTATTGTCGCCTCCTCGTTCTGGAAGTGCTCCGCTTCGCGGCTTTTGCTACTTGCTTCCTCTTGGTTTTTCTGTCTTTTGGTTTCTTTTCATGTGATTCCCCGCGCCCCTCCGGGTGTGGCTGACTACGTGAATCGAGAAAACTGGCACCATTGCGCCGCTCTGAAATATATCATGCGCCGCGCCAGCTCAAAGTGCGAAGACGTGATCGCGACGGGGATCGCGGACGACGCAGATTTTAGAGACGAGTACGCGGTCGAGGGCAGCAAGAAAGGCGATGAGTTGGCCCGTAACGCCAAGCACAGCAAGCTGGGCGCACAGTTTCGGCATGGGTTCTACGATGGGCGAGGTCACAGGGCAGTTGTACTCCGCGATTTGAAAGCCTGCGCAGAAGTTCTAGCTGCGTATGAGGGGATGAGGAAAAGTGGAACTGGACCTGCGTGCTGCGTTCAGTAGCGGCAAGGTTATGATCTTAAGAATACAAGAACAATTTCAAAGCTTCCTCATTCCTCCACGAGATCATCATGAGCGTTCACTGAAAAGACAGCCCAAGAGCGAGAAGATAGTACTTCTGCCGTTGCATGAGGAGTTTTTTCCTCCTGGCAGCACCGCTGGTTTCTTTCTGTTTGATTACTTAATGGCCACGCATCAAAGACAGACGCATGTTGACTTTGACACATGAAAGCTAGAAATCGGCAGAAACCAAGTCCTCCTGTACGAACAGAGATGAAGATAAAAAACCCTAATAATTCTTCATAAAACAGAGAGAAGCCTTCATCTGTGCACTGTGATGTGTGTCTGTAAGAGTTTCTTGTCGTAGTTGGCTGTGGTATTTCTTGGTCTGTTGAGTGATGTCCGACGCAGTTTCAATCTGTTGCTTGAAGATGGGCATAAAGCATAGAGTGCATTAATCCTGACTACTAATCATCATCATGAAGATCATGCTTCTGTTGAGGAAACTTCTGAAGAGCAAGGAGGGGTGAGTGGCTCTTTTAGGACGTTCATTCTGTCTATTGGACCTGCTCAGGGTTCGTCGTTGCTAAAATAGAAGTTCATTTTGAGATATCTGTCGCGACATCGATGATTTTTATTGTTGTTATGCTTGGCGCGGCCTTCTAGCATTAGTAACACAAAGCGCATTTTTCCGTTCCATGCGCGAGAATGGCCGAGTCCGCAGTCTTTCAGTAGAGCGAACGATCTTGATATAATCTACTTACGCAGGTCCCCTACTGGCTCCTTATTTATGTTGTTCGCCCCTTCATTTTCTTACACTTCCTGTGATCCCTATTTACGGTTGTACTCCTTGATTTTCTCACGACTCACGACTGCCTTTGTTGAACTACTATGAAATTTCTCTTTAGTTCTGCTCAATTAAGAACATCATTGAACTATTTTTTTCTTCAGTCTGTCATATGCGTCTTCAAGTGGAGGAAGTATTTTTTTTATAGAACTTTTTTCTTGGCGGTCGTCCGTCCCCCGGTGGTTGTCGGACGGTCGACTGTCAGCAAAGCAGAAGGAGCTGTCTTTCCCAGAACACATTAAGTAGATGAATCAATATTGATGCTATTTCAAGCCTTGCTTCTGTTCTCTCTTTGTCTATTATCTATCTTGGTGAGAAGTAAGGGTAAACATAATCTATCACAAGCTTAATAATCGCATCAATTTTTATGATTATGATAATCCTTTTTTGCGCTTGCACATTGATGTCTTAAAGTAAGTAAGTAGCAGGAAGGGCCAGACATTTCGCAAACACACTGTGGTTGCGTGGTGCATGCACCTGAGGATTACACGGGAGAAGTTGGATGGAGACTGGGACGGCCGAAGCCTACAATAGGACACAAAAGAGCGGCGAAGGAACGGAAGAACTGACCACTCGCAGGAGCCTGGTGAGCCTCAGTTTTTTCCTGTCGTGGAGGACGGCGACGAGCGCTGATTCGCAACCACCTGGGGTACCTAAAGCTGCAAAGTCGTGGAGAAAAGATGGCAGCCCCATTGGCTCCGCCTTTCATGGCGGCGTCCCTTCTGGGCTTCGCCACCCGCGAGTTGGATGCCTTCGCTGAAACAGCGGCAGATAAAATCAATGATGATATGGTTCTCAAGGATCAAAGAAAAACTGTGGAAGCCTTAAACAAAGCCATTCCAGGGTATTTCAATATTTTCCTCTTCGTCGTGATTTTTTCTACTAGCAAGATAGGTCTACTATAATCGCTTTCGGGACTATCTATTAGGTTGAGAACAAGTGTAAGGCAGTAGCGCCGGGTGTCCTAGACTACAAACACAAAGCGATTTCTCCAGGGTATGATTTATATATATATGATAACTACTGGTGGCATTAAGTAGTTTAAAAAGTGGATCTGGACGTAAAGTGTCGGGCAGACAAAGCGATAATTGCACATGAGCCTTTAGTCATTCCATGAACCACCATACCAGATGGTTGCATTTGCTGATGAAGGAGCAGCACGAAATGTTGTGTACGGCCATTGCGCAGGCATTCGAAGGCGTTCTCGAAGGCCTGCAGAAGGACCTCGCTGACGCGGACAAAGGCACTGATAATTAAGGCTACTACTTACTACTTCTGCAAAACAGGTTATTAAACTTGTTGATCAAGGTTAATCGTCTTAGTGATAATCTCTTGCTGTGTCTGAGGAGGTATCCAATTGAAGCTATTCCCCTTACAACTAGTTAGAACTTGATGGGAGGCTAAGGGGAAGATTCATCTGAAGTGAATCACCCAACAATAAAGGACAGACTCAATAAGATTCTAATGGATTCAACGGGATAATTCCAAGGGTGAATTCAAAAATGGCACTCTAAGGGATTGTTCTATTCTGGGGGATTCGAGAAAAATCACAGACCGATCACAGATAGTAAAAATCTCACTGCAAGCTATTCATTTTCATCCTTCCGTAAGTAATTGTTTACTAGTATCCTAGGCAACATTCATATTATTTCTTCAATTTTTACATATTGATGATGAAACTGTTCTTGCAGTTACTACAGTAGTCGTGAGTACTATGTATTACTTTTACTACTAGTACCAGAACAAGTACAACAACTTCCAGTCTCCAGCGCTTCTAATGTGAGCGAATGAAAGAGCATGTCTCAAATTTTTTCGCAAAATTGAGTATTGCTGGCGACGTGAGGAGTTTAAAGGCGTCAATGACAAAGGCGATCGAGGATATTCGCCGCATCGAGGGAAGTTTAGCACAGGTGTGGAACGAACTCAAGTTAAGGCGAACCTCCGTGAATCTAATGCTAGAAATCTGTATTATAAGTATCAGAATCTTCATAAGGTAGTCTAGTGGTAGAAAGATGAAGCTACTCATATCATATTTCATTGAAGTCGAGGCACCCTATCCTATCCTGTCTAAAAATCTACAGCTAATCGGATCTCTTACATAGGTACACCAGCTGGTAGCGCGTTCTTCCGAGATAAGATTAGAATGATTATTTCTTCCTCTTGTTCATCTACTTGATTACTTATACTGGTAGGTCACCTGGTGCAGAAGAACATCTTGCAGCTGGCGGCCTCCACCCCAGTTGTTAGTTGGAAGAGCTAGTGGCCTCCCCGATTGTTTTCTGCGAGGGAACCGAAGAGAGGCTTCTCCACGATGCTTCTCAAAACTTAGAACTGGAGGCCTCCCATTTTGTACTTAGTACGCGCATAAAGAAAAATCGCCGGTTAGTTTTCCCTCATAATTCCTAGCGTAGTTCCTCCAGTCAATACGTCGGACGCTCTAATCCGTCCGGAGGTGAACGAGGTACAACAAAAAGTCGAAACCATCCAAGGCAAGTTTGCGGGAATATACGAGTCGATCGAGGTAGAAATTTGATTACTTCTGCACAACTAGTTCTTCAACCGCATCTACTTCATGAACTATTTAGGGTTACTAGGTAGTACGTAGTAGTTCTTGTTCTTCTCTCATCTTCCATTACTTTACAACAATTAATAGCATCTCGGTGTAGTTTGTCCACTCCCTTTAGTCACTTGTTCATCCTCTAGATGCTGCGCGAGTCCTTGTACGACTATTGTTCGATAAGCCTTCTCCACTTCTGCATCGTTTCGTGTAATATTTCTCTTCAACAAGAAAGAAACGGTAAGGGTAAATCACGTAAATTTTACGTTTAGTTCTATCATTGTAAGGTTTAGTTCTATCAACATCATTATCTTTAACTTTATCATCTTCATCTTGTAATAAAAAACAAACTTCTCCTCAGAATGAAGCGACGACGCGAGAGGAGCGACTGGGCGAGGAAAGGGAACTTTTCCAGGCAAAAATGGAGGAGTCACACGCTACCCTGAAAGCATGGAACAAGAGCCAACAGCAGCAACTGCGTGAAGATACGAACACCTCTTTCGATACCTTCACTTCGAATGTTGACAACAAACTTGAGATCTATGAGACGCAGAACAAGACATCCTGGTGTTGGGACTTACACACACACTGCTTTTCCTACGGCGAAGCCGAAACTCTGGAAGATGGTATAATTCTGAACCTGAAACCCTCGAAGATGCATGGTATAAGTAACGGGAAGAAATCGTCAGGGAAATCTTAGGCATTTTGCCGAAATGATTCGCGTCATCAATCCTTCAGTATTTGTCGTGATGGAGATGGAGTTTTTTTCTAAGTTTACTAAATCAATTGTTGCCTCAACAAGTAGAAGTAGATATTATCACTGATAGATAACCATTACACTCTTACTTTTTAGTTGTGAGGGGAGGTTTTTGTTTCTTTTGCAAATGTGCGTGACTGAATTTTGTATAGTTGGACTGAAGTTAGACTTTCCAGAGGTTGGATAGGATTAGGAAATTCTCGACGGCGGGTTAGAAAAAGATTGAGCGAGCAACTTCCTTCATCAGCGGAAATAGAGGATCCGAAGCGGTCTGTTCATCATGAATCACCATTTGCACTAGGTAATAGTGATACTCCCTTTCCAATAAGTATAAGAACACTGAGTAAGATGACACCCTGTTCCTCAGCCTCATGCACAGGCTGATTGCTGAATATGATCCTTTTTTTCTTCAGGCACCACGTCGCAGCCGATGATCGAGCACAGCTTAGAGAGCCCTCACGGCATGTGCATCACTCCCGACGAGCTAGACCGCGAACAGACGATCGTTAGTCGGGATTTCCACTGCTGCATGGTTTTAAGGCTTGCATATATTCATCTTGAGAGGCATTTTTGTCGTGCTTTCAAGGGGAAAAATAGGTCAAAGATCGATGCGCTCCAATATGAATATTGGTAAGGTCTAATGGTTCCAGGGAGTTGCATGAAGCTTTTCATCGGAGCCGAGAAGCTCCACTCGAGCATCGAGGAGCGACGTGTGGGCGCACCCATGACGCAGATTCGGCGGGCGGTCGGCGCGGCTCTAGTTTTGGACTTTCCGCGCGACGTGGACTTTGCGCAATCCACAATGCGCATCATGTTTCAGGTGAACGACAATTTGCCGGTCACCGAGGGACGCGGGCCTCGCTTCGGCATGAACCTGAAGAAAATTACGGAGTTGACCATCGCCGAACTTGGCTATGTGCACGTGAAAACGCAGAATCGGATTTCGCTGAAACTGACCATCATAGAACTCGACTTGAAGTGGAAATTGCTTAGAGGACTTACATTATGGCTGCTTTTCTCTAACTTGGTTGCTTTCAGGAGCATGACGTGCTCAACAAGAAGATCGATCTTGGACAAGAACATGTATTGTAAGTACATTCATTATGTCTCATAGCAAGATGAAGAAGAAGAAGACATGATAGTAGAGAGATCTGAACAGTAGTTGTCTAAAATGAGGATGATGCTGGATTTCAAGTAGCTGATGTAGCTGATATTGATGTGAAAATTATTAATATGCAGCTGAGCCTGAGCATATCTGATCTCCTAATTAGAGAGGTGCAGCTACATGCAGACGCGCGGACTACCTTGGACCATGAGTTAGAGGTTTTGAGAGGTCGTAACTGCAAGATCGCGAGTTGGACGATTCCTTCGATCTTGGATATTCTAGGCCATCCGGACCCAGATATCGCGGGAGCGCCGATCGTGTCCCCCTCGTTCGCCTTGGCCGGTATTGATCAGGTGCAATTGATCTTCTATCCCAAGGGCTACCAGCCGACTTTCCAAGACGCGTGCGGGGTCTTCGTCTGCTGTCCTAAGGGCGGCTGTTTTCTCAAATGCGAAGTGTCGGTCGGCGACCCTAAGAAGCACACACGGCTGTTCCAGCACGAGTTTGTCAGATCGGAGCTGACGCATGGGCGCGGCAGTTTCTGTAACTTGTACGAGGCTATTGACCGAGAGAACAACAGCGTGGAGATCACGCTGCGCCTCGTAGATGCGTACCAGTACAAGGCAAGGCGCGCAGCGGATAACTCCTTGCTGAAAATTTGCTTGCACCCGTCGGCAGAGGGCATAAGCGAAGTGCGGGCTTTGTTTGGCCCTGAGCAGGACGACGTGCAGTTGAGTCGAGCGCGAAAGGCATTTCGAGGTACCTCGCTGGCTAACAAGGGGGTCCTGCAGCCGAACAACTGTTACATTCCCGGTCAGAACACGACCAGTCCGGCAGCCTTGGGTGCTCGTGGCACCGGCCAAGGGGCCGGCGTGGGCCCGATTGCCCCGGGCCTGTCGCTGCCGCCGTTACCACAAGGTGCGGTCCACACAACTGCCGGCGGCGGTTCTCCGAAGCCCATGTCTTCCAGGCGCTCGTCAGGCGGCGGCGGCTCCTTACTTGAGAAAAAACAGCAAAAAATCATGCGCGGTCTAGAGAGCTCGCCTGTTGCGAGGCGCGACTTCGGACAGATGGACAAGGTCGAGCGTGCACAAGCGCGCAAAGAGGCAGAGGAGGCGGAAGCTCGTCACGCGAAAGAACAGGCTCTGAAGTACTGGGCGAAACTTCGCCTGTTCACGCGAAAAATGATTTTCGTCAGCCGCATGCGCACCAAGGCGCAAAAGGACCAAGACCGAGAGGCTGTGAAAGTAATGCAGATGAAACAGTACTGGGAGGAAATTACGAATGCAGAGGAAGCAGCGAGACTGCAGCGCGAAGCAGATCATCGTCGTTGGGAGAAGGCAAACCAATTCAAAAGTACTAAAAACTTCTTGTTCATCGTCATGTCAATGTCTTGTTCACGTTCTACCATTGTAGAGCCATTAGTTGCCCCTTCACTAAAACAATTTGAATTTACTCTTTTGGTTTTCTTCGTTTTTTCTTTTGATTTCGCTTTCGGTTGATATTGGTAGAGAATTTTTGTATGAATTTTTGATGAAGGAATTAGCCGTACCTGAAAAAAAACTAGAAGCAGCTTGCTTTATTTTTTGTTGAAAAAGTGCTGAACTAGCAGTGCAGCTACTACACGTGAATGCAATGTGCGACTGCGAACCTGCGTTCCTTCTCTCAATGGGTTTTTCTTTTTCGTTACAACCTATGCATGATTATCATTTCGTCTTCCAGAAATGCGCGAAACCTAGTACTTCCAAATCTGTCTTAGCTCCAGAGTACTTGCAGCATGTCATGGAGCAAGGTCTGGCATCGATTATGGGTGCCATGCAGGAAGTGAAGGCGGACCCGGAGAAGCTGCCACTACTGCTGACTGAAGTTGGCGGGTCGATGCGGGAGCTCTCCGTTTCGGTGATGAACGCGATGCAGGAGATCCAGCGAGTAGAAAAAGTGCAGCGTGATCGGGTGTCTGCCGAGGCGGAATCTGCCCTAGCTCGCAAGCACGGCCAAGAACTAGCGGCTCGCGGTTTCTCGTCCACTGCAAAGGACCCTGACGCGGAGAAAAAGGATATGGAAAGCTACGAAGTTTTTCTGCGGGAAGAGGAACTGCGGCGCGAGGAGCAGGAATTCTTTATGCACGGGCCCGCGCATGTGAGGTCGGTAGATCACGCGAGAGAAGGTCGAGCGGACAGCGACGAGCTGGTGGCACTGATGGCGGCGGAAGTAGACCGCAAACTTGCCAGAATCGAGATTCCTGGAGCCTTTTCTGACGATGTGCCTACTTCGCCAGGTGTTCAGAATCAAGGGAAGAGTACCGCGACAAGGACAACTTCCATTAGCAACTACAACAAATCGACGAACAAACTCGACGGAGCTTCTCCAGGCAGTGCGTCTCCCACAAGGACCGACCTTGGGCAGAACAAGAGCTGGAGACAGCAGGAAAACGAAAAGCACGGGACGGGCGCTTCAGCCGCAGCCGGGCGCAAGGAAACGCTGCCGCCGAAAGGAAAGGATGGATTAAGAAAACAGAAAGAGGTTTTTCAGGCAGGCGACGCCGAGGGCCGCCACGCAACGTCGAAGGTACGGACCACTCGTAGTCGGAGTCCCGAGAGTTTTGCAGTTGCGCGAGAAGTCGGAGGACCAGGAGGAGCCGCGCCTTCGACCGGCAAGGCCTCCACGACAAGTCCAAAAAAGAAAGGGAGCGGCCCTACTGTGGTAACCTCGAGTTTAGGAACAGGCGCCGCAGTTGCGTCGACTGGAGAGAGGGACCGGAATTTGAACCAGGAGCAGGGACTCTCGTTAGCGGGCACTCCGAAGTTTGGAGGCAGCAGCGCTTCCAACACGCGCGAAAATAGCAAGCGCAATAATTCGATCGACGGTCCTATGCCACCTCCAGTGCCAATTCATCCGCCAGGCAAGCCGGATGTGGCAACGCTGTCGCACCCGCACGGCGAGGAAGAGAGCGACAAGGTGCCGAGATACTGGAACTCCGAAGGCGAGGTGTTTCCCATGCAGCGATTCAACGACTTCGCGGAGCCCTACAACGAAAAGATAATCGAGATGGAAAAGGCGTACAAGCGCGGTGACTATGAGCCCTTCAAGGACGACTATGTGGCCGCGACCAACGCCAAGACGGCAGAAAGGCATAATCACCCGCCAGAGAACCAGTACAACACGCCCGACCCGGGAGAGGAGCGCGTGCAAAAAGTTGTGGATAAGCGTATCGCTGCAGCTGCAGGGAGCAAAGACTCAGCGGGCAAAGAGTCTTCAACAGCATCAGCGGGTGGAGGAAATAACCGTATGTCGCGTCCGGGCTCCGGTCATTCGGACCCGGACATCAATGCTGAGATTTTGGGTGGTGGAGACTTGCTAAAATTCCGTTCAGATGGCTTCAAAGCATCAAATGAGGCCGAGGCGGCAGGAGCAGCGGCGTCGGCCAATTCCACATTGACCGACTACAGCGGATTCGCAGTGGGAGAAGCGCAGATGCACCGCACCTACGACTCCAACCTAGGAACAGATGGGGGAGGAATGCCCGAGCCGCCTCCAGGTGGTGAGATGAGTGAGGAGCACAGCGACCATGCAAGCGCTGGTGGGAACGCGGCAGTGCCGAATCCCGTAGTGCGGGACTTGCCCGGTTGCTACTTTGAATATGATCCCTCGGGCGCGTCGGTGTACCAATTCGATGTGAACGGCACCGTAGTCGCAGTTCTCACAGACGCGCAGTACCGAGAGTTCTACTATGGCCAAAACTACATGGCTCCGATCGATGAGGGCGAAGAAGAGGAAGAGGAGACGGAGCAGCATCAAGAAGGAGCGCACAACATGCTAGCAGAAGGAAGCCACTGTCGCTCGGCCGTCAGTTCTCGAGGCTTCGGCGGCTCCTCGACCAATCCGCTAGTGACTCACGGAACTGCCGCGGCGGCCATTTCGCACAGCCCGAAGCGAGGCACCATTTATTACGGCGAGGCGTCGCCATCCGCAAAAGCGCACTACAATAATCGGACGACATCGTTCACTACTGGCAACAAGCGCAATTACATCAACAGTAAGATCGTCAGTGGTCCAACTACATCTTGTTCTAGTCGCTCTCCCAATTCCCGAATCAAAACTGCAGTAAAAACACCGCTTCCTGTAAGTCAGGGGGACGTGCTAGAGTATGATCCGGACCAGCTGCGTCATTTTTGTCGGGCTAAGCTCCTTGAGGGCGCGGGCGCGCTGAACTACGTGTTTGAGCGTCGACGGAATTGGGAGGACGAGGCTCGGGGTGGGCGTGCTGCTATTCTGGACCAGCATGAGGCGAAACTCGTGGCCACTGCAGCGGAGCGCGTCGACCAGGAGCTGGAGGAGAAGTACCCAGAGTTTGCTCTGGAACGGCGGTTGTTGAATGACGCAGCGCCTAACGAGCCTTTTGCTCCAGGAAAGAAGGGCATGAGTCTGGACGCTCGTGAAGTGGAGGCCTCAAAGCAAGGCTCATTGCCGGGCGTCAAAAACGACCACGCCCTTCGGAATCTGTTTCTGAAACCGAATGCTCTCGTCGTTCCAACAACGATCGATGCGCGGCCGGAGGGTTTCTCTCCGAAAGGACATAAGAGTGACAATGTCGACAGTTATGCTTCTTCACCAAAAAATGAGCAGAGAAGCAGAAACATGGACCTGAACAACAAGAACAAGAAGAACATGAAACAGGCTAACAATTATGGTACGGTGGACGGCCATGGCCATGCGTCCATGCACACAAGCTACACGGAGAAGCAATTTGTCAGTCTACAGCGTCCTGCGCTGGCAGTGCAGGATAAAGCAGCCCGGCAAGAGCGGAAAAAGTCGGAGTTTCTTGGTCCGAAGGCTGAGAGGTTCGAGAAGGCTATCCGGAAAATCACCGGTCACAGTGTTCGCGACCTAGTCGAAAAAGCAGCCAAAAAACACGGAATCATTTGTGCGGCGGCAGGCCAGATCGAGGAATCGGAGATGGCGCTCAAGGCTGGGGACCGAGTTGGGTTGATGGCTTCGAAAGAAAATCAGGTACTTGTTTCTAGATACACTCGGCAACACTGAGCCTGATGACAGCATCTGCACTGAATGCGATAGGACGCATTTCTTCATCGTTGTAGAGCGAATGAGTACGTGAGGTGGATATTCTTGCGATGAGGTGAGAGAATGTTTGTTTTTCTGTTGTACCAGATATACATAGTTCTTAGAAGTAGTTCTCTTCAAGAAAAAATTATACAAGAAACTTCTCAAAGGTTCAGGTTGTTGTGCAATTCCATAATTCATCACTCTTACTTTCACACCAGGGCCTGTATCTGCCCGAAAAGCAAGCCCAGATGGAGAAAATCAATGAGTTTTATGAGAAAAAGTGGACTCTTGTGATGGATCGAATCGATAAGGATCTGCTGCTAGAGGAGGAAGAGTACAGACGAAACCGTGAGTTCGCTATCCTGCATGGACAAGACCGCAATACCTCTGGATCTAACTGGCAGAAACCGCGTATGCAAAAGAAGACGGCTACCTTAGGGGATTCTGGTGAACAACAAGGAAACGTAGAGGACGAAGAGAATGCGGAGAAAGGTGCTGCTAACAAGGATGGATCTGGCGATGTAGGAACTGAACCACAACACCAGCGCCGGGAACAGCCATCGGCTGAGGCTGGTGGTGACGGTGATACCACACCGGGATTAGCGTCGAAGAGCGTTCGTTTGAGTGTTCTTGATGCAACAAGTGCTGATCAAGCAGCAGCAGCAGCGGCAGAAGGTGGTGTAGTTGAGGGTGAATATGATCCTATTTCTGCTTTGAAATCAGAGGCGCTTTCTTCTCCCACTGCGGATAAACCCAGACAAGCAGAGTTTCAGGAGGAAGAAAAGCGGAAACGTGCGGAGCCCTTGCGGGATGGGACCTTGCGGTTGATGACAGGCATTCGCATGCCTGGTCACGAGTCGCCCATTGGCTACCGCTACCGAGATCGTGACTACGACCCGCCAGGGGCCTTCTCCGACGCTCATTCGCCTGCCGCTCTCGCGCGTCGGCGGGGAGATGCTACGTCCCCGACTGTGTCCGACATCTGCAACCTGACTACGGGCGGAGGAGCGCCCATGACCCGACTCTTTCCCACGATCCAGCAGCCGCAGGGACTGCGCGTGAAAGACTGGATGGCCGACTACGAAGACAACAAGCTTGCTAGGATGGGGAACTATCCAAAACTGCGTGGCCACGATGAGAGCCGCTACTATCGAGGACCCTACGGCCTGTCCATGACGAAGGAGAGTCGGGAAATCTGCCACGAGAAAACTAGGCAGCGCGAGCAAGAGATGCGCGATACGTTGCACTGCGATCGCATGGGCGGGTGGCACGTTAACAAGGGTGTCCCCAATGCGAGCTTCGACAAGTCAGTGCAGCCCCTCTACGTCTTCCAGGCGGATGAGGACGAGGTTCTAGGAGGCATGGCCAAATTAGCGAAACGCGACCGCGATCAACGTTGTAATACTACGTTATCCACCTCTAGGAACACAAACACACTCCCGACAGGAGGAGGTAAAGAAGATTGGAAAGTAACATCACCCGAAACTGCGAGAAGTAACAGGCAGGGCAAGAATAATATAACTGGTGCTGCGGCAGAGCATCTGCAGAAGAGCCCGCTGCATGGGAATACTACGAGTTGTCCTCTGCCCTTTCAAATCGGTGCTGAAGGGCAGTCGTCCTTGGTGAATGACTTGACTTCTACTAGCAGCTTGAATAGGACCACGCTCGAACGTCTACCGGATACCACGACTGTTACATCCGAAATGGACGTCTTAAGCCCTGGCGGCGCTGGTGCGGCTCCAGTAGAGCTATTGGGAGAACTTGAAGTTGAAGGTCTATGCAAGCAAGAGGGGCTTTCTTCTTCGAGTGCCGCGAGCAGTTCCACGAGTCCATTTCGCGCTACGCGAGAGTTGCATCTTCAAGCAGCTTCTTCTGGTATGAAGAGCCCAGGAGGGGTGGACTCGAAATCAGCAAGATCATCATCACCCAAGTCGCCCTCGTCCAAAAAGGACCCAGCTTGGAGCATTCGGGATCAAATAGCCGGTCTGAAGAAATCTTTGAAAGGCGTCGCTAGATTTAGATGACGATCTTCCAGGAAGGGAAAGGGCGGATAGAAGAGGGGGAAGATGCTAGAAGAGTTGCCGCACTACTCGTCCTGGATGAACCAAGAATCGCTAGAAGTTTCCTCGGACTACGAGAGCACTGCAGCATGCTACTCCTGTAGCTGCAACGGGATGGTTCCCTCTCTTCCAACCGACTTCGTCGTGCATCTCTCTGCATACGTGCAAGTTAGAAACAGTACAATAAGTAGTCATTTTCATTCTAAGACTAGTACTATCTTCGCTTTTCTGATTCGGGTTCTCCTGAAGAAGGAGGTCATGATGGAAACGCCGGCTTTCCCTTATAATAAGCTGCAAGACGCGTTTGAGTGACGAGGAAGCCGAGGTGGAGCAAGTGTCCGAAGATCTTGATTCCGCAATTTGTCAAATCGGTAAGAGGGAGGACCAGGCAGAGTGGATTGTGGCTTTTGGGATTCCTCAGTTCTTACGACCGGATCCTGATCGAAACGCTCAGTCGCAGTGCGGACTCGCACAAAGCTGCGTCGTCTGAAGCGAGCTCACAAATCTGAACGTCGCGTATGATGAAGATGAGATCTGTGTTGAGTAGAGCCATCAAGCCACGAAGGAGTATCAACGGGTATGAAGACTAAGATCCACAACTGTTGACGTTACTAGATGTTACTGTAAAGAGTTACTCGTCGTCGTCTTACTGCTTCTGTTCTCTGATCTGTTTTCAGAGTGAGCGAGGGAAAGCTTGAAATCTGTCAAAGATGAAATGCTGCATTGAATCTGGAGGGACTTCTCTTTGATGAGGCTTGCATATGTTGGGCTGCTGCTGTCAGAGGAAAGCTCATTTAAGATTGAAAAGTTTCCCCAAATGCAGTCCATGCACATCCTTCGCTTTAGATTCTTTCTCATTGATAAGGATTAAGATCTAGACCTCTTCCTGCACCCGGCCCCCTGTCAAAAAATTGTCAGGCTTTTTAGATGAGCGCATCATTCTGGTTACATATTTATCAATAAATATCATGAATGAATAGCGGATCAACATCGTTAAGATCGTAAGTAAGTAGTTGTGAACATGATGGCGCATGCATAGTGGAGTTATCTCAGCAACAACATTGTTACTCAGTCATCGTAGTACTAATATTCGCAAGTAGACTAAGCTCACGAAATTCATGTCCTCAGCGGTTGCTTCTATCCCTCGTCCCATGATGTTAACAGCAGCGATCACGAATACGCGGGGCCGTTCGGCGACCAACAAGGGCCAGCACGGGAGCCCTTTCTGGAGCGAGAGACTGCAAGAGTACGTCTTTTCATCTGACGTCGAGTCTCTTTCGAGCGACAATGGAGAAAGCTCTTCATCATCAATTGAGATGAACTACAACTCAACGTCGAACGTTCATCATGGTGGAAAGAAGCAGCTGCAGGTCTTTACGAACGACAGCGCAAAGAACGTCAATTTAGGGGTACTCGGAGAGCGTCTATTTCGAGATGCAATGAGTGGATGGGACGAAGATCATCAACTCGAAGTTGATGATAGGAAGCAAGAATATTCCTATTTCCGGGATACGACATCGGCGACCGGAAGAGGCGAGTCTTCCTCGTCCGCATCTTCGTCGGTGGACATCGAGGACGTGTTCTCCTACGCAAAAGACCGCAGCTGTATTGTAGTTGGCACTCCTAGTCGAGCTGAAGGAAGCGGAAGTGGAAAAGGAGCTAGGAGCAATAGTGGTTCCGCGTCTGCTTCGTACAGAAGCTCTTCCGGCGGCTACGGTCCCCCGCTACAACAAGGCGCTACTCATTTGCTGAATAGATCAGCCCCTTCGTGGAGCAATGGAGGAAGCCGTGCGCTGGTTCGTGCGCATGAAAAGGATAGCCGTACGCATCTGCCTTTTGGAGGCAAAGTAGATGATAGATCTTTATTACTGATGAATGTCGAGGGGTTTCATCAAGCACGCGCAGTACGAGAGATAACGCCAGTAATGGCGGCTCCTGTGTCACGGCGAACGCGACAGTCATGGAACGATCGGAATTATGGGGAAACTGCAGCTTCCCTCTCGGCCGTGCAGGACGATCTACAACTCGTGGACGTCAGGGCTGAGAAAGCCGAGCAGGAGACTGCCTTGTCGCCAGCGGAGGAGTTGACAACGGAGGTTCAGACAAGACAAACAAGAGATTCGTCGTCAAGGAGCGACGAAATGGCGACACTACTAGAAGACGGAAAAAATTATACCGGAAAGCCAAGTCGTGACAATAAGAGCTTGCGATTTGAATTTGAGCCCGACCAAAGGGAGTTTTCAAGTGGCCAATTCGTGCATGATAATGATGCGCAGGAAGGTGCCCGTCTGGCGTCTACCTATTCTGCAACGTCAAGTGGAGGCGGATATCTCCGAGGTGAGGGCGAAGCCGCACCTCCTGAAACCTCTGCGCTCAGTTCTGTAGCGGAGCAACCAGACCCCTCACAAATTTTAGAGTCCTACTTCTCTAGCTATGGAAGCTCGACGTCTACTACCACTTCGCCTTATGGTGCGTCGGACCATACAACTCCATACGGCGGATCGACGTACGGATACGGACCATACGGTGACTCGAGTGCAGTGACCGACGCTGCTGAAGTTCTTACTCAGAACTATGACGAGAGCGAGCATCTGCATCACCATCACCACCATGATGGCCATCAGGGGCACCACCATCACCACCACCACTTTGGAGAGGATCCGTCTTCGCACCATCATCGATATCATCATCACCACCATCACCATTATAGTGATGGTCGTCCCAGGTTTGAGCACAAGTATGAGGACAACATGCGGCGTCTGATTGCGCGGTGTCCCCGGCTTTTGCCGGACGAGGATATCGCTTTCCCGGAGGGTTTGGATAAGCCCGTAGTGGAGAAACCTGACCTGAAGCCAAACCCGAAGCTGTTTCGGAAACCTGAGTTCAAAGATCAGTACGGGGACGAAATCACCATCAGTCCCATTGCTCTACACACGGGCGTGGCCCCAAGGTTGGGCAGCCAGAGAAATATGGGTCTTCCGACCGCGAGTTTCAATATAGGTCCTCCCAGTGACGACGAAGGGGAGGACGAAGACGCCAAAAGGGCAAGGAAGAAGTACTGGAAGGGCGTGCTCTTGCCTGAAAAGTGCTTTGATCCGTTGCCGGCGAAAGTCGGGTTTGCCTCCCTGGTGGGAGTCCCAGACATCAGGGACCCTCTGTTCACGAGTCCGAAACTCGACACCTCGTCCATAGCGCGGGTGCGTGCGCTGCCAATTGTAGGGCCACCGTCCCTACAACGGCTCAAAGGGGAGGCGAAGAAGCTAACCCGAAAACTCTCAAAGCACGACTTGGGACAGCCTCTTCACAAACCACAGCACCACCACATCAAACATCATCATGTCGGGTCGTCCTCGGGGCACCAGAATCCTACGCATCACCAGCAGCACCACCAGCAAGACAAGCACCAACATCAGAAACATGTCCAACACCATGATGGTGACAAGCATCTACATCACCAAAAAGGGCAAAAGTCCACAGATTCAGATACTCCTTCTAAAAACGGGGTTACTAAAACAAATGTTCTTGTTGGTAATGGTATACAACCAGATTCTATTAACCGCAATGTACTGGTAGTTGGCCAGCAAGCCCCCCATCATGCTGATCTTCAACTACACATCAAGGACGAGAATCATGTTGACCAGAAGTTGTGGGAAGGAACTAACAGCGAATTAAAGCCTAGAGGAAAGGCGCTATCCAGAGCAAAGACTAGCTCAGCGCTAGATGACCGCAGGAGCCGCCAGTCCTCTGCCGATGACATCAAAGAAGATAGTCGCGAGATGAAATCTAAAAAGGAGATGAGGAGAATGAGGACGAGTCTCGAACTCGATTCCCGAGATGGATCCCTGTCACGAGAGAAACGCTCGAGCAAGAATTCCAAAGGAGACTTTTCCTCGTAGCGCATCAACCCTGTTGTAGTTTGACGCGTAGATATGCCCTATTCGTGATCACGAACACATACCAATTTCTTGCAGATCGCCTTTGTAGAATATTACACGCATCTGAGCACCATTGCTAGAAAGAATTGAATTTGTATTTTTATTAATTTCGCACATCATCATCAATTATGAAGATTTATTTCGCGAGCAGGATAGTAGAAGACTTCAGACGATGTCGTTGTTAGAAGTCTCTATCAAGCATGTGACTTTCAGAGGAGACGAGCAGTTACAGATGTGCAGGTGGCGTCGGGAAAATGTAATGAAAACCGTCTGCAAGAGTAGCAGGTTGCAAAGAAAAACTAAGCAAGATTTGAAAAGCGCGATAGTACAGTCTTTCTTGAAAATTAATATGAGTAATGATGCATCGCTATTTATGAAATTGCAGCTCTTGAAGATTTGTCCAAAAATATCTCGCCAAATTTGTGGTGATGTTTGCAATTCGCGTGTTCAGCAGGGTGAAATTACGTTTACCAATCCTCGGAACAAGTCCAAAAAGAAGTAATATCCTGGTGGTTTTTCTCAAGATAGAAGTCAACATTTATAAGAACGTCGGAGATCGAGCCCTTTCTTTGTGAGTGAAAAGCTTGCCCAACCGCAGAACAGGAGGTTTGACGAGTACAGGAGGTGTGACTCGTGATCCAATGTGAGTAAGTAGAGAAATCGTCCACGACTTGGTTATAAATTGGATGCGATTTGTAGTTACGATTACGAAGGGAACAACAACGATGATGGCGCGTCCGTCTGTAGACAAGTTATTTATGCTCGGCGCTTTTGCTCTCTGCTCGTTGCATGCGCGTGGTGATGATGGCAGTGCAAATCGTCGAATACACACTGCTGCTACAAATACGCAACGACAAGGAGAACCTAGAAGTACGAGTACAACAAGTAGTCAAAAAAGCGAGAACAACGGTCGAGCTCATGCACAAGGCGGTAAAAGTAGCAGCAGTTCCACCACTACCGCAGGTTCGACAGGTGAGACGAAAAAGAATTCACGTTCATCACCAAAACGGGTTACGACACTTGCGACACTCGAGTCAGCCATGAAACAGAGACCCTGGTACGAGGTTCCGTGGAAGCGTGCATTATACTCCGGTCTTGAGGGTGATCCTGATTGCGGAACGTGGTACAACCCAGACGACACCATAGAATGGCTAGTCGAAATCGCCATTGCAATCCCAGTCTTGCATATTTATGAATTCGGAGATTTAGCACTAGAACCCCTCTTAGCTGCACTATTCTAAGTAGTTATTTTTCGCTTTGTAATTTCGAGTTCCGCGGCATATTAACTTTTGTCTTTGTCATAATGTTGGATGTTATATTAATAGTTCGCTCTTCAACGAGTGCATGTACATCGTCTTTCTAATACGTGTTGTGGCGGAAACGACCAGATTCGATAGCGGATGCGTTTTTGAAGAGCGGCAACCGCTATAAAAAGATCTTTTCGGATCCTACAAAACTCGACTTGCTCCTTGCGTTCATCATATTTCTCCCCTTGCCTTACTTGATCCAGCAACGACTTCAAAAGCAGTCTTTAGCTACGATGGGCCACATTTGCCATTTCGCACTTGTCTCTGGATTACTCGCCATGACTTTGCCTGCCTCTTGCGGTGGCCTCACAAGGCGCCTCCTTGTTCACGCCTGTCTTCCGTTTTTAGGTTGTTTTATTCCACCACTGGTGAAGCCCGATTGGCGCGGATGGGGTCCGGAGTACGACGTGTGGATCATACCCGAAAGGTTCAAAGTGAACATGTACACGCTCTCGTTCTACGGCGAACACATAGGCCTCGGATTCATGAACCTGTATATGATAGCACTTCTAGTTTTTCACCCGTCTTTGTCTACTACAAGGTGTTTGTTTTTTTCTACGATACCAACCTCGACCTGGTTGTTGTTGAGCATAATGGAAGAATTTTAATTTCGTTGTTGCTAAGCTGCATTTTTTGATGGACTTCAATCGGAAATTATCATGTGATGAATAAGAATAGGAATCATGCCAAAGCCAAACTACTGATCATTTAATTTTTCTCATGAATCTGCTCTTTTGAGTTTATATCGACACGACTCATGATTTTCAGGTGGCTGCTTTTTGGTAGCAGATTCGCACCTCTCTTCGAGCACATGTATCACACGTGCGCGGCTGAGTTCTCATGGAATACAATTTTAGGTGCATATTGGATTCTCGAGATTCCTTACACGGCTGCCGCGCGACTCCTAGAGTACAATATCGGGTACCAAAACTGTCCACCTGCAGTCATCAAGCCAATCGCAATTCGAATGCTAAATTATGATTCATAAATTCATTTGATGGAGCTAGGGATAAACGTCCTAGATGCTCGATGATTTATACCGCAAATTTGATCTGATCATGATTTTGTCTTTTGATGTTGAGGGTAGAAGATGTGTTCGCGTTTACTTAGATTGTTGAAGTTCTTGAAGTCGGCCGGAAGATAAAGTGGCCACTTGATGTATGTTCTTATCTAGATGAAGCAAAAATTGGCTAACAACTCGAGTCGACGACTCAGACTCTTCACTCTTCTTTGACCAAATAGAAATTGCGATCTTCATCTAATGAGCGTCTGTTGTTCCAAATGTGCATTATGAGCAGTATCTGGGACCCGTTGACTGGTATGACCATGCAGTAGTTCCGCGGGCTGGCGCCTACATAGACCCCTTCAATCGCACGCATGAGGTTTACTCACGGCGTGACATATACGCAGACATGGATCCAAATGCGGTTCGTCTGCGATTCTCGTATTGGCACTTCTGGTACAACATGTGCATTGTCGGTTGGGCCTTCGCGCCCATTTTCCTGGCCGCGTTTTGGTTCGGCGGACGCATTGTATGGGGACCGCGTCAACAAAGTTCCAGGGGTGGAGAGGCTTCTACATCATCTTCGCGACCTCCGTCTTCATCTTCAAGAAAGAACCAGCAAAGTTCTAGAAAGCCAAGCGCAAGTAGTGCTGCAAAAGCGAGGGCCCCATCTTCACAACGAAAGAAGGCTTCAAAGGTGCGCGGAGCATCGGCTACTTCACTGGCCAAGAAAAAGAAGAAGGCAGAGTGAACTTTGTTGAGCAAAGATCCACGATCACACATATTAAAGAGGTAAATCTAAATGTCCATTGCTTTGCACACATAACGAAAATCTTGCGCTGAAGGCTGTCTTAGTATTTTACGCCTGGCTGCTTATTATAATTGTAATGATTCACACGCAATTAGATAGCCATAGCTACTTTTATCTGTCCCTGTTCCAACTAGTAATTTCGTGGTTGTTACCAACCTGCTCGACCGCAGACCTCGGCATGCTCGTGCTTCGATGGTTTGTTCCCCACTACGACAAGCTTTCGCGTAAGCTGGATCTTCTGTACTATCAGGTTCTTATCCGGTGAAAGCTCTCAGCATGTCTGTTCCAGTAGATCTCATTCCTAGAGACACTAACACTATCTTCGTGGTCGTCCAGGAAAAAGGATCTTATCAGCATCAACAAGACAGATCTTTACGAAACAAGTTGGATTATGTTTGTTCTCCAACAAGATCATGCACTTCGAAATCGGACGTTGAAGCTTTTGTGGTTCCGAATTGACGATGCTCCACGCTTGATGAATATATTCGAGATTATACAACTAGGTCATCTGAATAATGCGTTATTGATCATAATTGCGTCATTACATTTTTACAAACCAGGAGCGAGGTGGTGGTTTCTAGTACTTCAGCTACTTTTTCGTATTTGAGTAGACGAGTAGCGACTGCGACAAAGTACTTCCTTGGTAAGACACTGGTAAAACAAGTACTAGCTAATATCACTTCTCATTCTTCATCTTCCAATTTCCTGTTCCTTCGCATTGCTTTTCCGTGATTGTGACTGACGACTGTTACTAGATATATCTATCAGAATCACTAATCTCTATCAACTGACTGTTTCTAAAGCGAAAAAATGGTGCGACGTTCCGGGAAAACGAGGTCTGGCCTTGAAGAGCGGCAAAAGGTGGAGAAGAACAAGAAAGGGCCGTCACCCGCAGCCGCCAAACGTGCAAGGAAAGAGAAAAAGAACGCCCCCTCAGTTTCATTCGACCTCTCAACCCGAAATTCATACATTACGGGATTTAGGAAACGTACTTAAGATTTTTAGTAGGAGTTCCATGAATAATTTTTATGTTGAAGACTCTCTTTATTTGTATCCTGTCTCTGCTTGGTACTTAGTGTTAGTCGATGCACATACTTGCTCCTGACATTTGACCAAATTTAATCATTCAGGCAAACAAGAGCGACAGAAGAAGGCACAAGATGAGATTGCCGAAAAGAAGAGGCAAGATGCGATCGATTTCCGGAGAGAAAACCGTGAGCGCATTGAGGAGCAGTACCGAGATTTGAAGAAATCCATGCGGCGCGATCTCGAATCGCTCCTAGAGTCAAAGCGCGCAGCGAAGAGAAGAAAGAAAGACGAGGAGGCGAATGGAGAAGATGGTTCTGTTAGTCAGAAGAAGAAGGACGAGGAAGTCCGCTCTGAATCCGACGCATCGGACAGTGAAAGTGATGACGCGAATGACATGAAATCTAGCGATGCTCAGACGACCGGAAGACACGCTTCTTCATCAGCGCCGAGTGACAAGGTAAAAGTGGATGTATTTGCCGACGACAGCGACGACGATAGCGATGACCAGCTGTTTCCCAATGCCACAGTAACAACCACAGTTGGCCTTCCCGATGAGGTGTACGCAAAGACAAACGCACCAAAGATCGGAACTTTTCAAACAGACGACGCCTCCGATAAAGAGGATTCCGATGGGGAATCAGATAAAAAGCAGGAGAAAGAAGCTGCTTCTAGAGACGATGAAGATGACGACGAGAGTGAAGATAATGAAGATGCTGCAAGTGGAAAAAAATCATCATCTTCCTCAGGACCTCATTCTGTATCAAAAAGTAAGGGAAAGGGAAAAGGCGACGGCAAAAAAGGAAAAGGCGGGAAGAAAGGCAGTGGAAAAGGCAGTAAGGGAAATTCTGGAAGCTTGGGTAAAGGAGGGAAAGGCGGCAAGGGTAAAGGAAAGGGAAAAAAGAGCTCATCTTCATCTTCTAGCAGTGGAGATACTGCTACGACCTCTTCCACAACTTCATCTTCTTCAACGAAGCCATCCTCTAATTCAAATACAAATTCTACACCAGCTCCTTCATCAGCCAGCTCTAAGAGTCGGAAAGTGAAAAAGACTGGCAAAAAGCAATCTGGAAAGGCGAAAAAGAAGGGATCGAAAAACAAGAAGGCAGGGGCTGGAGAACGGAGGAAACGTTAGATTCGGTGGGTCACGCTCACATGCATTTTTTTGATCCTTTTAGAATGAATTTAAATTTTACTCATGAAATAGATAGCCAATGCGCTGCTCATTGTAAAGCTATGATTATCTAATCGTCCACGCGGTAACTACACTAGCTGCATCGGACACTCAAGTCCAAGCGAGTGGAGTCACACAGCTTCTGGTGTTCTACTAGTTTCTACTGTAATAAGTATATGAAAATGATGAAACAGGAGTACTCCCTCCACCTCTGTGCTGATCTTGATGTTGTCCACGCTAATGCACGGAAGAAAGTGAAAATCTTACTTTTTATCTATCAACATGTTGTCTAGTGTCGACTAGTATCGAGTGACTTTGTTGAGCGCAGGAAAAGAGTGAGTGTTGATAAAAAAGAAACAGAAGAGATGTAATTAACGTTGTGTTTTTGTTTTGCGGTGTCGTGAGACAAGGAGAAGGCTGCGAGTGGATTTCACGCGGTCCCGTTCTTGTTTAATAGTGTTGAAGAGACCATACTGATTTAGTGCAAAAAGAAGCGAGCAGTTGAATGCAGTTCTTGACCACGTGGTAAGAAGGTGAAGGAGGAAATGAACATTACGAAGTGATAGTATCTGTATTAAATTCGCTGTAGAAAATGCAGAATCAGGCAGCAACGTCGTTCGGAGGCAGTATGGCTAGCAATAAACAAGGACGGACGAAAAAGCCGGGCTTCCTCGATCGGGTCGGCGCAAAGTATGAAAACCTTCCCGATGCCGACTTAATTTCTACCGGAGGTGAACTCAATCCGTCTTCAGGGAGTGGTATCGTTGTACCTGGAGGTGGTGCGGGAGCGTTGTCGACCTCTTCACAGAAGAATGGTAAGATCATGTCGATATCGAGTTTACCAGGTAGGGGTCGGGCAGCAATGCCACCAGATCCACACAGCCGTGATAGCGATGACGAACGCGCACGAATGCTCAAAGTCGGGACGTCTTCGGCCACCTCTTCAACTGGGCCTATGAGCGGGATGACCAGTTTCTTCTCCTCAGTCGGCCAGAGCAACGGTTCCACAACGCTGACGAGAGGTCTGGGGCTCGGATCTTCTTCAGTCGGGCCATCCTCCACTGCAGGTGGAGTTGGACGCTCCACCGCTGCTTCTGGTGGTATGGGTATCGGAGGAGGCTCATCATCATCAATAGGAGCTGCAGGAGGACGAGGAGGCGGTGGAGCATCGGACTTCGATTTTGGAAACAAATTGGACACTGCTGCTTTGCAGAGCAAACTTTCGAGCATGTATCAAAATTTTTCGGCACAGAGCAAGAACTTCTTTGCCACGTCATCAAGCAGTACCGGAATCGGGGACTCTCCAGATCGGCCGCCTGACCTCGAGGAAGGGCGTAGTGGGGGCTTAGGCGCATCTTCGCAGTACATGAATGACACAGTGAGTAATGCTTCCGCAGACACGCTGGCCAACGAGTTCCTGGCGAAGCCGAGCTTCAAGGGCTTTACCCGGTTCGTCAATAATGAGTTCAGCAGTTTTTCCCAGAAAGCGAAGGTGAACTCCGAAAGAGTGCGCGACAATATGAAAAATAACCTGAACAACGTGATCGGAAATGTGCGTGAAGGAGGCTTGGGCGAACAGGTCTTTTTAAAAGGTCATACAGTGGTAGTGGTGACTTGTTTTTGATGGACAGTGCATCTTGTGTGTTAGGTTGTGGGTCTAGGTTCTTTAATACGTAAAAACACCGCTTGAATACAATATGGCGGCCTTTTCTGCATGAGATCATGAACACAAGTGCCGATTTAGATCTTCTGCGCTATCTTAACAACTCTTTTAATTTGCATGTAGTACAGGTGCGCGCAGCCGGTAGTATGGCATCCGAGAAAGCAAGCAAAGCGGCTGGTGCAATCAAGACGGGCGCATTGAATGCAAGGGAGAAAGTAGGAAATCTGAGTCCTCCGAACATGGTTTCGAAGACGACCATGATGAATTTCTTAGCGGTGTTTCTTTTTGGTAATTTCATAATGGGCCTCGCATTCACGATTGGCCTGCCAGTAATAGCAGTGGCACCACAAAAATTCGGCATGCTATTTGGCCTTGGGAGCGCGCTGACTCTCGCTAGTTTCGGCATTTTGCGCGGTTGGCGAGCCTTTTCCGCTCACCTAGTGGAAGAAGGACGCAGAAAGTTTGCGATCGCATACGTCATTTCTTTCATCGGGGTATTCTGGGCCGCGCTGTTTCATCCGCCAATGGCCTACGTGTGGCTTCTAGGATTTGCTATTATCGAAGCGGTGGCTTTGGCGTATTTCCTGGTAAGCTACATTCCAGGTGGAACACGAGCGCTCACCTTCATCGGCAATAGCATGGGCAAACTCTGTGCCCGCTTTTTTGGAGTTTCGCTGTCGTCTTCAGCGACGGCGGCTTAGAAGAATTCCAGGACGAAGATGTTACTAGCGACGGAAAGAGCACAAGCCTAGGCGAGGGAGATGACGGATTCTTCTACATGTAGAGTACGCGCACACAACAGCAACACAAGCTGTTGTAGTGCTATGGATGATCATCACCAGATGAGCTTCCAGTTGTTCTGGTTCAGGCTTCTTCTACTTGATGTGTTTAGCGTCAGCTTCAAAAATTCAAAAATCACTACTAGCAGCACGCACCGAGTCTCGAACGCATGTCGTGGTCCACAATCAAGCGCAACACTGTCGACAGCGGTCCGTTTTCAACTCACACACTGACACTGGAAGATGAAGTTCTTGATCTACGCAGCTCTGGTCCAAAAAAAGTTGTACGCGCAAGTGCTTCCTTGCTGATCCTTCATCTCAGCAGAGAATTTTGTATTGTGTAGTTGGCGCTGACACACCTGCACCAAATGGGTACTTCTGCCCTATTGTTGTTACTTGTTCACTTTAGGGATCCATCGTGCTTGATGGACGAGAGATATGGATTGCACCTGGAAACGAAAGTCGTTCTACTTTCTGTGAGTAAATAAGTGTTCTCTGTGTACTTAATTTCTTTTACACATGTGCTCAATACGCTTTCATGATTAGTAGAGACTCGTCTCTACCATCATGAGGATTCGTGTCACCAAAACAAAGAGAGATCCGTCGGGAAAGGATCTGATTGGCTGGATGCCGGCTACACGAGTGTCCGAATGCAAGCTATCACATCGTTACAACTGCGCACCATCGCTTTACGGAGGAAGATGATCACATTATCCCTGCTCCTTTTTTCACCACGCTGCTGGGGTTGCCTTAGTAATGCACGACTAGTTTGTCTGCCCTGGTTGCACCGTTTCCGTTTCTTTACTGTCACGCTGGTCACGATCACTATCCTGTGGCCAGATGTGGCGTTTGCCAGTGGATCAAGAAAGAGCGCCACTACTTCATCTTCTAGGTCTACAACTGGACACGCAGTTGTAGCCTTGGTAAGGTGGATTAGTCCCCAGGAGTATTGTCTGACACAAAAGTCTTCCAAAATAAAGACGAGAACTGGAACCTGTCCGTTGAAAGTCTCGGAAAAACTGGGTTCATCCACTGGCGTCTCGTCATTCGTATCTCCAATTTCATTCCCGACTTTGTGTCCCGTAACTCCTCCGTCGTCCTCCGGAGGTGATCTCAATCGAGGCAGTACCCACGATAGGGATAACCATGGAGGAGAAAGAAGTGGAAGTAGATCAACAAGTCATCATCCACGTTGCGAGCCAAGTGATGTTTGCGCTCCTGGAGAATTCACGGCGAGTGTTTCCCCGGGTTACTTTTATCCAGGACTGACGTGGAGCAGCAGTGATCCTCGTGCACATCGGGGAAATGCGCAAGAGACGTGCGTGGCCCGACCTTGTTCGGAGATTCGATTCTCAAGCCCACGCGCTCGTACGGCAGAAGAGCACGCTCGCCGTGTACGCCTCTGCCGCAATGCTGAGCGAATGCGGGCGCTCGAGGACAATACGTCCCGTAAAAAGGATCTGGAAGACGGACCGCACCTCGAGACGTGTGTCTATGTCGAAGAAAAATCCGGCACTTCTACGTTTACGTCGCAGAAGGGAGCCCGTTGTCGCGTCGTAGGACGTCATATCCGAGGATACTCGAAAAATCGTGATCACAGGTGGAAGGGGGAACGCCATCAGCAGACGAGACCAACTACATCCCCAGAGGAGGAAGCCGCATCTTCTCCTGATGAAACTGAATCTAGTATAACAAGTGCAAGCCCGTCGACTACATCTTTTGTTCAGATGCGAAGCTCAGAAGAACATGGAGACCATTATCATCATGATGTTGTTCATCACGATCAGCCTGCTGCTCAGAGGACACCGAGTACAACTCTCTTTAGCGAAGTGTGGAATAAGCATTTTTCAGTCGAGGGGCTTGCGAGAAAGGAGAGAGTCGCAGCTGGCGCAGCCTTGAAATACGACGCCGCAGCAGAGGCATTTCGCTCCGCACTTTCGAGGCTCGGCGCCGTGGCAAGAACCTATCAGGCTGCGGTTATGCGCCTCTTGGATCACTTGAGCCTTCTGTCAAATGCAGAACTGTATGGCAATCACTGGAAAATGAAATCACGTAAGCAACAAGTGCAAGAAAAGAACACCATCACGTATTATATATAAGTTCATATTGACTTCATTGAGGTCTTCCCGGTTCTGCACTGTTCCACTATTCGAATGACAATATTTTCATTTGTTACACGTCAGTTTCATAGTATTCGTTTGATTCGTATGATTGGAGGACAATCTAGTTTTGACTTGCCAAGCGCAAGTTGCTACAAGGGGTAGAAGTTCACGCGGCTCATGGACAACTCTTCCTCTCTTGATCCTCGTTCATCTGGTGCCGCACTTGAAAGAGCAAATTCGGAATGCGTATAGTGGCGATGACAACCTATCGTTTGCAACGCTGCAGGAGCGTGTGCGGGAGCTGCGGAGGTTGCAGCACCGCGCGGCGCGTCAAAATGATGAAGCAGAATCGATTGAGAAAGAAAAGGACATCAAGCCTCAAACTGAAGCTATCGCGAAGTCGGTTCAAAAAATAGTAGAGGCCGGCAGTGAAGACAAGAAAGACGATAATGATAAGAAGGAGCCCCAGCCCGTCGTTGCGAAAGACAAGGAGCAGGATCAGGAAGGTGATTTGGAAAAGAAACCTGTCGCCAAGAAGCGTGAAGAAGAAGGACAGCAACACTCCAAGGTAGAACATCATCATACACACAGTCACGTGCACCATCATTATCATGGTACAAAACCGAAAGAAAAACGGAGAAGGTCAAACCAGGGAAAGACCAAAGATGATGAGGACGAGGACGAGCCTTCTGCTGATGAAGAAGAAGAAAACGATTCTCAGGAACCAGAGCAGAGGCCGTCATCGAGAAAGAGAACTCCTTCTAGGGCTAAGCACCATCATCGACCTCATAAACGACAACATCATCGCCATAGATCGCCAGATGATGACGAGGAAGACGATGATAGTTATACCGATACCCCAAGACAAAAGTCTCGATCCCCTATCAGGAGTTCGCGAGGTGTAGCCTACACTGACGACACTCCGGCAGTTTTGCCAGAACAGATACTGCCCTTTCGGGAGGGCTTAGATGCTTCTTCTTAAAATAGAGTTGTAGTTGTTTCGTGTGCTTGTCTCTCTCTTTTGGCTCAGTTTTTAGTGACATATATAGAAGATCAAGCATGACAACTATGCTCCTTTTCGCGTGGCTTAAGGTTGGTACCTAGGCACGGGGAGTCGAGTTCTCATGCAGCTTTGCTGCGGAATGATGCTGCGCACGCCGTAAGAGGACTGAGGACTCGATTGTGTCTTTGCCATAGGAGGACTGAGGATTCGATTAGTCTAATAAGCTACTCATGGAGTAAAGCGGGAAGCCAGAAAATAAGGGATGCATGTAGTAATAATAAGATAAGCTGTAGCTGAGGGCGGTCTTTTCTTGTCGTTGTCGCTCTTTACATGCTACCAGATTCCAAAGTCAGTGGAGTATTTGTATTATATTTTGTGCTCGATGGCGCGGTCAGCTACAACATGAAGTCTCTTGAGAGGTCCTCGTTCAAGTGGCTATCCCAGCCGCAGAGGCACGACGTAATTATGTTAAGGCCTGGTGGCGGTGGCAGAGAAAGATTCTAATAAATTAAGTTACAAAATGGGAGGACACCAGCATGGTGCGTCTTTTGTCCCGAAGTGGTCTACTTTGCGCTTGCCTGCGTCTTCTGCGTTCGGGATACACTCGTACTGTTGTCTCCAACAGCTCAGTTACCATTGGTGCTCCTGGTGTTGACAGGCCAATGACGCAAGCGCAACGTTGACGCTCCTGTGCTCCTGCCGGAAGATAGAAGCCACTTTGGCTTTGCCGGAAGATAGGCGGGCACGACTGTTTTGGTTGCCCTGTTGGTTCTTTGACGTCCTCCTGGCGGCAGAAGGCAAGGCAGTTGCATACAACAAAACATGTGCAGCTTTCTTCTTGTGAGTTGGATTCTTCGGAATCTGAGTGTCATAAACACGTATCTCAAGGCGCGAGGACCAGATGCCACATACCTCTACAAGAAAGATGCGCCGGCGCACTGGGAACTGCTGTTCAACCATCTGCATATGACAGGGGCAGAAAGGTGTTAAAGGTTTTACAAGGTTCTTCTTGTTGTCAGTGCGATTATCTACTGCTAAGGTCTGCAGAAGTGTCTCACTTGCATGCATGCTACGGAAATTATGTGAAATATTATCGATTGAGATTTCGTCAATGTTGATGCGTGGTTAGCGTTCGTGTTGATCTTACAATATCTGATCACATGCTCTATCAGGCCACAGCCGTTCTGGGGCGAGTCGGCTTTCGCTACGTTCAATGGAGAGATCTATAACTGGGCCGAGTTAGCGAACGATCTGCAGGAGAACAGTGATCATGAGGACGATGGCAATACTAGCAATCAAGGAGAGCATGAGCATACTCAACATACCGGTAGTACCGGTTCATCTTCAACATCTTCGACCACAGCATCGTCTCTACGAATTCGGTCAGATGGAGACGTCATTCTTCCGATGTATCGCCGATACGGTCCTAAGTTTATCCAGAGGCTCGATGGGGAGTTCGCCATTGTCGTCGTGGACCTGGCGAAGCAGTTGGTCATCGTTTCCACTGACGTTTTCGGGACCAAACCTCTCTACATCAGTGCGTTTGCTGTCTCTTCGGCACCTGCGGGACGAGAGTTTTTTGAGGATACGAATACGAAAGCCACAGGAACAGAAGCGCTTAGTAGTAGTAAACGAGAAGATGATGTGGTTGTGGACCACAAGGACATCAGAACAAAATCATCAAGTAGAGCTCTTGCTCCGAGTCCGAGTAGTCCGCGTTTTCACTTTGGTACTTCGGTCTATCGAAGTGGGCTTGCAAGAGCCGGCGCACCGCCAGGTACTCTGCGAATGGTTCCCCCGAATGCAGTGCTGGTCTTTCAATACGAATTCGCGGGCCTTGACGACGTGGCTGTCTCCAAGACAGAGGAAACGAAGAAGACGGCGGAGGACAGAGCTATAAGAAGAGCACCTGGAGACGCATTAGAACGTGACCTTGCTGCTGCATTCGCGGAGCACAAGGGACGCGACGCAAGCCTACGAGCCGCACTAGATCACGTGGTGTTCCCTGGGCAAGGAGAGGAGGAAGTTGAGTCAGTGAATCTAGATGTGAAAAATAGCGCAGCTGGGGCCGTTTACACCAATGGCGTCTTCGACAAAGAGTCAACGCACTTGCGGTATCCGGCTGAAGAACCTCCTTGCACCAGTAGTTCTTCAGATGACGCCAAGCAAAGTTCACGGTCATCTTCACCTGAAAGTACAGGTAGTTCCTCCTCTTCCTCCTGCCATTGGCTTTCAAATTTGCAGTTGGTAGACCATTTTCCAGTATTTGAGTTCGATTTGCGACAGTTTAAACCGGACGTAGAAGACGCGATCAGCGCCTTTGAGAACGCGATTGCAAAGCGGGTTCGGACCAGCTTACATCCGCCATTCTTAGGACTCTCATCCGGCTACGACGCTGGTGCGATACACCTGGCGCTCACGCGGAACAACATTCCGCATTATTACTACACAATCATGGGCCAAGAGGACATGAATGTCATCCGAAATCGTAACGAGTACTCGAAGCACGTCGGGCGGGCGACGATCATAGACTACTCCTACAACATGTTCCAGCAAGTGCGCACCTACTTAATGGCTTTTATGGCTCGTAGATGATTTACAGTGTCGGACGAAGTTGTTGGACTTGAATACAATGAAATGCTGGAAATTCATCATTGATTCAGTTCTAGTAGTAGATTCTCGCTTTATTTCACTCCTCCGTTTGAATTTGCACCCCTCTTCGGTGGTCTAATAGTAACCACTAATTTGAATCACCTCGTCAAGCTCAATGGGCTTCTACTCACGCTTCTTATGAATTTCAATTTGATGAAAGCAAATTTCCTTTCATGTTCGGTGCCGAGCCATACGAATTTTCGCAATTTTCGCGGAAAAATGTTGGACGAACTACGGTCGTGGACGACGATGCATCGATGGGTCTGGCGCAAATCATGGGTGTCGCGCGACAAATGGGGACGCTGGTTTACCTCACAGGCAGTGGCGCGGACGAAGTGCTGTCTGACTACTTATGATGCATGGTTAGGTATAGATCACATGTGTGAACTCGGATTTGTTTTGGTAGAAAGCAAAAGATTATAAGATCAAGAGTTATTAACTATTAAGTAGTTAATCGTGTAGTACTAGTACGTTGTGTATCTCAAAATTCTTGGTTTCACTTCTCCATCTCGTCGTCTTGCTTTCCTTCATTTTGCGGTTTCAATGGAACGCGCATCTTCCCGCAAAGTACGTTGGGCGGTCGATTTCCAGAGAACTTGGCCGAAGTTTTTCCTTGGGCGATTTTTCATGGCGGTACGATGCGGGATTACATCATGAAGGAGGAGCTTGTCGGAGGAGCATTTGGCATCGAGGCGCGCTACCCTTTTTTGGACAAGCATTTTGTGCAAGAGTTTCTGTGGCTACATTCTGATGTCAAGAATTTTGAGTACAAGCATGTTTTGCATTCGTACTTTGCGCGACACGAGTATCCGTTCAAGCATCGAGACAAAACGGGCTTTTCCTCAGCAGAGAATCGTATTCTTAGTCCTCAGAGCCTGGTGTACGAGATGGGCGAGTATTTTCAAAAAGGCGGATCTGAAGAAGGCTTCGGTGGTGCGCGCACCTTGGACCCAGCGACAATGTCGAACATTGACTTCCTAGTCGATCAACATGTAGATGTTGAGAACGGAGGGTCTACTCCTCCTGAGATAGGCACTTCATCATTATCCTCTGGCGATAGCTTAAAGGTTCGCAACATGATGTTGTTGCAGAATCACAAAGACGTATTTCAACGTCGCCAGCAGGCTCGGATGTTGCGGGAACAAGGAGGATACGCAAAGAAGTACTGGAATGCTGAGATATCACGAAACGACTTTGGTCGCGACATTTACATCGGCTACTACACACCGCTGATCCACATCGAGAGAGATTCCAGTGACATGTGCTGGAAGGACAACACGGGCTACAGTATCACGACTCTCGATGACGACTCTCTGAGGGCATTGGAAGAACAACACGTAGAAGACGCTCCTGGCACTAAAAATATAAAGGGTGAGGCTCCTAAAAAAGAAGACGGATCAACAACGACATCAGGCGCAGATGGTGTAGCTTTATCTCCATCAACAACCCCGCTCCTGGAGGCCAATTACACCCATATGAGCGAAGATTTCCTAGCCGCTGATGATACAGGTCAAGCCACGTCTAGCGCTTCTCCGGCATCAGCTGCACTCAGTGAGGAGAAAAGGACGGATCAGGAAACATCGGCAGCATCCTCTTCGGCTTCCGTGAAGGCTGAGAGGAAGATAGAGACCTTCTACGTAGATCCCGTGATTCATAGGGAACCCGGGGATAATTTCATGCGGTCTCTGGGGTACTGGGCGTCTCGCCTGCTGCGTGAGCAGCCTTGGCTGACGGAAGCCATACGCCCCGAGATGGTGGGGTTTATTCAGGAATTCGAAACGGCTTTGCACGTCAAAAGCGAGCTGAACGAGTTTTTGAAAATTCTGGTCGTCGGGAGGGACGAAGAGAAAGCGAATCGGCTAATCGACAATCTTCCAGAAGCATTGAAGCTCCATGCTGTGCGTTTGGAAAAGCGAGCCGAAACATCGATATTGTCTTTTTCACAGAAGCAGTTTTCAGACACGATGGGTTTGAAAGCGAAAGATGAACGCAAAGAAGCTCTGGAGTCATTCATGTCAACACCCGGGATGGAAAAGTATGCCTTGACCGATGATTTTCTCACGTTTGGAGCACAAGTGTATGGCGAATACCGCAGGCGGGAATGGGGGAGTCTCGCAGAATTATACAATTTCCTAGAAGATAAAGTGTCAGTCGTCCTCTCCTCTACTCCACCTCCTCCAGAAGTTGAAGGTAGCGGAAATAGTAGGAAACACGAGCAGCTACTCGAAGGAAAAATAGAAGAAGAGCAAGGACCACAAGGAGACGCCCCGACATCGTTCGTGACTACCTCACGATTGCGTTCTGCATTTGAGAGCACGGGCTGGCTCAATGTGCAAGTCGATGACAAGTATCTGGGTCTCATCGAGCGCTTTTTCAGAGTATTTGCGGAGTTTTCTCTCCTCTTTTACGCAGAACCAGCATCCGCTACTGTGATGCTTCTGGATAGCGACAGACTCAATTTCCATTCACATGGCTGTGGGGCCAGGCGCTCTGTTGTGAACTCGTTTCTTAACTTATGAAAGGAAAAAGGGTACTTATTATACTCAAAAATAGAGGCAGCCTTCCACTTAGAACGTGCCTAGTTTTTTGACGAGGATGAGTGCGCTTTTTCCTGTCATGTAACTTGGGTTTCGGGGATAAGATTGTGTTTGGCGCGGGATTGCCAGCGGAGCCACCAGACCTCTTGGACACGTGCAGCTTCATGAAGTGGCCAGAAAGCAAGAGTCGGAAAGAACTCGAGGCACGACTCAATACTCTCGACGAAACGGCAAAATCCGTTGCAGATCATGGATTCTCAACTCTGGTGGCAACACAAGATGAAGAAGGACACGATGAGTCAGAAGACAAGTATCTGCCAGTCGACAAGAATGGCGATAATGTGGGGAGGACGAAAAGAAGCGCAAATAGAGAAAAGCTCGCAGAATGGTTACACGACAAAGTAGATAATCACGAAACCGACACTGAAGGTGAAGGAGGTGCGTATGATGGTGAAAGCTTGAAGGCTGCTGCATCGCTTTGTAGTGGTTATTTTCGGCGTCCTAAATTTGCGGCCTACCAAGACGGGAGACAGGACATTCGTATGCCGAACTTCAGTAGCCATTACAACATGCCCCAAGAAGGTTTCTTCGTCGGGCGTCTTCACGCTGTCTCAAGATTTTTTTATGTCGAGGATTAACTGTGAAAAGGTTTTTCTCGAAGAACAACTACGTTTTGTAAGTGAAATCTTCGTTTTGTGCGTCCATGAAATATATGCACACTTCGTACTCTCAGAGACAGAATCAGTTCGTATATTTATAAGTAAGTAAATCCCACCACTTGTAGATATTGATGTCGTACTATCTAATGGACCCGGTTCTTCAAAGCTTGGACGGCCTTGCACGCCTCTCAGTGTGCGGGCGAAACCTGGGTTCCGGTGAAGGAGTTGGCGCAAGACTTGCCCGCTGCGGAGTTGCTCGCTTACCTCCAAACACAAGAGGAGTATGGACCGGTTCGTGATCTCTCTAGTATTATGCATGGGTACCGTGAACCCATCTCTTACACCATCTTTTAGCTGATTCCTTCTTGGAACAAGTTAAAAGATTTTCTAAAAGATGGATTGTCGGCACGTCTAATAGTAGTTCTGGACAAGAAGGACACGAATTCCGCTTTTCTCCTGCGGGAGGACAAAAGGAGGTGCCAACAGCAGAGCAGATCCAAGAGATGGATCAACCAGCACTTTTATGACACAGAGCAAAATGAAACATAAATATGGGACTGGGATCACCATTCTTCTTCAGAAATTTTTCATCCTTGTTGAATATACTCTACAAGTACAATGACAATGTTGCCTATGTGGTTTTCTCTCTTTTCATGGTCTATGCTACGCGGTGCGGCAACGAACCCACGCTGCAAGGCCAGCCTTATTTTCCATCTGTATTTTCTTACGGCTCCGGAGCACGTAGAACTGGATTACGAAGGGTCGATCGTGATGACGTTAGACGGTTACACAAACCACGTCTGGCACCAGGACTATGGTACTGCTTACTGCTTGACCTGTACCTGTAGAAGTGTTTTAGTTATTTCACAACATATATATACATGCCCAGAAAGCGGGCCCATCAAGGGCCCGCTGCGCCGGGCATAGGTTAACAACTAAACAGATTGACTACTAAGAGACAGAAAGACAAACGAAAAAAGTCGCCAAGTCTGCTCGCCAAGGCTGGGAAGGTGGCTCCCACTGTGTCAAGGAAGGGAAGGCTGGGGAGGCGACTTCCTCAACGGCTTCGATTTTCAAGCACGGAGGTGGATCTCTTTGGCTTTCTCATGGATATGATGACGCTCACCAGGGTCCACCCTTCAGGCATGCAAGTGCTCACGGCTATCATTCTCACAGACATCGACATCCTCAACAGTATCGACTTTCACGCACAGAGACGCACATCTTTGGCCTTCTCATGGATATAATGACGCTCACCAGGGTCCGCCCTTCAGCCATGCAAGCCCTCACGGCTATGTATCATTCTCACAGACATCGACATCCTCAACGGCTTCGACTTTCACGCGCAGAGATGTATATCTTTGCCCTTCTCATGGATATGATGATGCTCACCAGGGTCCACCCTTCATCAGACACGCAAGTCCTCACGGCTATCATTCATTCTCACAGGCATCGACATCTTCCCCAACGGCTTCGGCTTTTCTTTCACGCACAGAGATGCGCATGCGCATGCATATCTTTGGCCTTCTCATGGATATGATGACGCTCACAAGGGTCCACCCTTCAGACATGCAAGGCCTCACGGCTATCGTATTACCCTCACAGTCATCGACATCCTCCACGGCTTCGACTTTCACACACAGAGATGTATACCTTTGGCCTTCTCATGGATATGATGACGCTCACCAGGGTCCACCCTTCAGACACGCGAGTCCTCGTGGCTATCATTCTCACAGACATCGGCATCCTCAACGGCTTCGACTTTCACGCACACAGATTTATATCTTTGGCCTTCTCATGGATATTATGATGCTCACCAGGGTCCACCCTTCAGACATGCGAATCCTCATGGCTATCATTCTCACAGACATCGACATCCTCAACGGCTTCGATTTTCAAGCACGGAGATGGATCGCTTTGGCTTTCTCATGGATGTGATGACGCTCACCAAGGTCCACCCTTCAGACATGCAAGTGCTCACGGCTATCATTCTCACAGACATCGACATCCTCAGCCGCTTCGATTTTCAAGCACGGAGATGGATCTCTTTGGCCTTCTCATGGATATGATGACGCTCACCAGGGTCCACCCTTCAGCTATGCAAGTGCGCACGGCTATCATTCTCACATGCATCGACGTCCTCCACGGCTTCGATTTTCAAGCGCAGAGCTGTAAATCTTTGGCCTTCTCATGGGTCAACACGATGACGCCCGCCAGCCTCTGCCCTTTCAGGTGCTCACCCTCTCCCTTACAAGTCTCCCACTTTTGTGCTGGTTAAAAGTATACTGGTTAACCATCTCCAAGGGCTGCCGCGCGCTCCTGTGGTCGATTGCTGTGTGCGGAAGGTAGTCGCGGAAGGGGAGCGAGCTAACTTTTTCACAAAAGCTTCAGGGAGGTCGTTCCGTTTTCTCTGTATTTTAAAGGCGCTGGGCGATAAATAACAAGGGTAGCGGCTGGAAGTTCGTTGGGGCGATTCGCTAGGGGTGGGCGCGTAGTGTCCTGCTGCAGATGTGGCCGGGTACGTGAGTAGCCTACAAACTAACAGCCGTGAACGCGTCAACATGTTCGCGGTGCCTTTGAACTCGTAGCACTAGCAGCGCAAGGGCTTTAGAGAGCCTTGTGAGTCCTTGCGAATCCCTTAAGGAGGGGCCTAATATTAGCCAAGGGCTATAACAGATTTTCCTTAAGGCCCTTCCTGAAGGAAAACTTTCCGTCTTAAGGAAAGTTATAATAACTTTTTGTAATAGGAATTCCTTAAGGAAAACCGCTCTCCTTAAGGAAGCCACTTAAAGGAGTCCCTTAAGGATTTCACAAACCATCGCTAACCCTATAAATACTAATATTCGTCAGAGCAGTCTTGCACGATAAAAAGTTTTGTCCTGCGTGCGAAAGGAAACTTCTGAATCACTAAAGGTCTGCTCTACATCACGTGGGACCATCTTTTGTGCTTCTCCGGTGGCAGCCGTGAGTTTACGGAAAGTAGAGAGACAATATACGAATATGAGCTGCTTACGAAAAGGCCACCACAAGCGAAGATGAGCAGTAATCATGATGTGAGCGAGAGCGGCCACCCAGGCTCCAACTCCATGAATACACTAGCCGACAGGACCACCATAAAGAAGATGCAGGAACTGTCCTCAGAGGACCGCAAGCGCTTTTTCCAAACGATGCAGCGTCTGGACATGCGAGCGGCTGACCGTTCTCTTTCAGCCAGAGAATTCGAGCGACAATTGCGGGACGCAGTAGCTGGTTATGATGACAGGAATGAACGAACAAGTAAGTATCTCCATAGTTGTCTAGTAAAAAAATAGAAGTTTGGCATTTTTCTTACCTGTTGTTTTCTTTTGATCTCCAAACCGTCGTGCTGTCAAAGCCTAGGACCATCAAATGTCAAGATGCTACTCTCATTCAAAGGCGACCTCGACAAGCGATGGCAGACGACGAGGCCACTTCGACGCTTCTTCTCTATTGGAGGCTGTTCGTGAGGTTTGGCAATCGCTGGAGTAGGGCATGGACAATAGATCTGTTAAGAATTCTTTCACTCTCATACGATAAAAAAGGAAATTACATTCAACACTCATAGTGGTGATGATCAGTTGCTACAGCGGATTCAAGAAGTTCTTGCTCATCTCTTGTTTTTGTCTTTGTCTACTACGGGCAGCGGCTCGTCGTCGATTTTTATTCGTTGAAGAAGTATAAGGATATAGTTTTCCATGTAACCGAAAGGCCTACACTTACACAGCGAGGTAGGTACGTAGGATCTTCTGGAGATGGCCGGGTTGTCATGTGAATTTGCAAGTGGAGTGTTCCAACGTGAAACGTTTGAAAATCGTGAAGATTTGAAAATGCAAACTCATTGCCCATCATCGTCACTATGCGCAGTCTCGATCTTCTCGTTCGTGTCTTCCTAAAAATCTAAATTTCTTTCTGTATCGCCGAGGTTTTCAGCGTAGTATGATTTTCACGTTTAATCTTGCACTTGCACTTGCTGGCGTCAAGAATATGTTCATAAGAATGCTCTACAAATCTGGTCAGCGCTGATAATAAAATGCTAAAGCGATGATCTTATTTTTCGGATTCGACTTTCGCCAATTATCGTTCAAGTGTGAATGCGTTACATAATGGAGGATAAAAAATCGGTGCAAGAATGAATCCCATCCACCAGCCCATCATCGAAGTCGATCAACTAACACTTGTTGAAATATAGAAGATGAAGCATCACAACAAGAATCTTGGTCATGCATCAGAAATTTCATCATCGATCATGTGTGGTCATGAAGAAGGCAAGTACATGTACATCTTAGATTTACTTACAAGAGATCAAAATTTTGATTATGATTTTCATCATTCATGTTCTCTGTGCTGCTTGAAAGCTTCTTTTCATCATCCATCATCATGACTACAGAAAACGAACCATGCAAAAAATCTTTATCTTTCATTCACCTTGAGCTTGATCAAATACAAATTCCACAACAATCAAAATGCGCAGATTAGGAGATGTTGAGAGAGATATTAAGCATTGATTCATAGAGGAGGCTTAATAAGACGGCCTTGGGTTGTGTCGTCGGCTCTCACATCTCGTGTCAGTTTGGCTTCTGAACTGAACTAACGCTAACCACTTGATATTTCTTTGAGAAGTATATTCTTAATTGATCTTCAGAACATGATCATACTTAACTGCTCGTTGCCGTGCCCGCGTCTGAGGTACTAGAAGGGAAGCGACTGCTAACTTATATGATGATGGTGATTTATTTCATTTTTTATCCATCTCAATCTCAATCTACTCTCCTCTTTCGAATGGCATTTTAGGTCTTGAGCCGTCGTAAAAAACCAGAAGATGAATGTTGATGAAAGATCGTCATAAATGGATAGTGTGAAATATATGATTGTTTTTGTTATAATTTCTTGATTGAACGGTCGTGAACTTGATGTACAGTCGTGATTGCATCCCGTGCGCAATTGTTCCTTGTTGAGCTCCTCACCTTGTTTTTTCGGTGACTTTTCTTGTTATTGGCGTGACGCCTGGTGCCGTTCCGTACTCACTGTGTCGCTCTCGCCGCATGATCTATATGACCTCCACCTAGGGTAGTACTACTAATATTGTGATGTGTCGACGTGGCGCCGCAGCTTCTACCACAACGCTAAGATAACTACTTCTCGTCCTACAACAACGACCCTCCACGTCGTATAGATGAATAATTATAGTACCACTTCTCAAGAACATTGGCACTAGTAGATTCTTTTTAGATATGCCACCGTCTTTCGCTTGCCTACAACGAATATAACTCTCTTTCTCCTGTTCAGTCTTTAGGGGCCTCAACTACATTTAGAACTTCCACAACCTTCCCAGTAGAACAACTTCCCCCGACGAGACTAGACTGAGAACTACTTCATATTACAACAACTCGCTGCTTCTACTTCATCTTACACATCATAGCTTGAGCTCGCATCTGCAGAATTTTCACGAATACCAGGAGAGAAGTACTTATATAAGCTCAACAAGGAGGAAGACTGTCTCCGTTCGTGGTTTTCCTCCATCTTGCCATTTTTCCATCTTCAGGCAGGGATCTTGCTTTGAGTATCTAGACCACTGCAGCACCTGCACATCACATGATTTATACAAAGAAACACAAAAAAAAAGTAAAAACTGCGAACAACAAGAAAAGCAAGGGGTGAAGGACGTAGGACCCGTATCACAGCCCATTCATCAACAGTCAAAGTATTGTTACAGAGGAGTTTGTGGATATGTTCCGAAGTGGGTGTAGTGGATCATATTGATATTAAGTTTAGAGCTGATTTTTTTTGCATTGACTGTGTTTAACTCTATGTTGTGTTTGAATGACGTTGAGCATACTCGTCCCTTAGTCACCATAACAGAAAGGTCTCCTGCTCCGTGCTTCTGATAAAGCATTCTCTCTAAAATTCATCTTCATCATTTAGGCAGGTAGATAGCTTCGAGTAGCGAAATTCATTAGAAGAAGGTCGGCACTTATAGATACAACAACTAGCAGGCCACGAGTGATCTGTTGCTGTTTTTCGTCAGGCTCGCGCGTTTCTTCGGACGGACCTGAAAAATAGACATCAAACAACATAACTTCCGATAGATAACTGACTTCAGGTAGTATCTCAAGAGAAGATAGAGTCTCAGATTATTCCTGTTGATTGCTATTGTTTTCAACATCGAACTTGAGATTAATATACTAACTTATATAAGCATGTTCTTGATCTTCGCGTTCTCATGCTATTAGAGCTAGTAGAAGTAGTTGAAATAGTAGAAGAACGACTAAAATGAAGATTGTTTTCTTCGTCTTGCTTGTACCAGGGGAGACGCATGTGCTCACTTTTAGTGTCAGCACGTTGTTTTCTCGTCATTGACGACTTGACAATTTTTATGCTCAAAATTCATATTGTCATCAATTTTAACTACCGCGATGATTATTTTCTGGTTATGAAGAGACTAAGCACGTCATTTAGTTTGTGACGGCGACCGCATCATAATAGGAATCACTACACAAGATACATGTATATCGAACAGCAACATACTTCTATCTCACTCCGCCTCTACCTCACATAAAAATGGACAAAGCGCCGGCTTTTTTTCAGTTTGGAAAAGAATATCGTGTATGAGCGCTGTGTACTACTAGCTTGGAATAACAGGCCATCTTGTGAATATTATCACATCTACATAATATCAGTCCTCGAGGAAAGAGGTAACAGCTTCCTCGTATCTTCGATTTTGATTCCACTTCTATCCATTCTCGTACATGTCACAACAACAAGAAGAAAGTTGTAGCATCACAATAACAAAGTTGTAGCCCCTCACCCGCAGTGCAAAACTACCTAACCAGGGCTGTCTGGTATTTTTGTAGTTATTTTGCATCCACAGCTAGTTCGGATCATTTCCCCGCTTCATATTCAGCAATCGACAGTATATCTTAATGTCGTGAGTCTTGTTCTGGTTCCGTTGACAAGAGACCCGACAATATTTACCGTTCGTTGCAACTATTGAGCACATAATATCATAGCACCTGTTGCTGTCGTACCCGTACCCCTTAAGAAGGATATATTCTTGTATAGAAGTGCGCTACTTGCTGTCGCATTCGAACCATCAGGCAACACTATTCACAATTGTAGTGTTTCTAAGTACCCCCCTTGGGTTCTATTTTTTTCCTCTCTGTCTTTCCTTCCATAGTGAATTATTTGCTACAAAAGAGATGAAGTTGTACTGAGACAAGGATCTTTCTTGGCTTTCTAGGCGAGGAGCTTTTTACACATGCATTAACTTAGCCGCTTCAGTTCTGTCAAATCTGCATTCTGAGCGGGTGGTTGTGTGTATTAATTCTTCAACAACAGTCGAACAAGGCTTGATTTAGTTAGCGCCTATCCTTTATGTGTCAGTCCAGCAACGACCTGGTCACCTTTCGTCTGGGTCTGGTCGGGCCTCGACATGAAAACTTGAGCTTCTGGTGCTAGTTTTTATCGTAAGAAGTATTTTTGCTTTTGGTTCACCGTACTGAATCCGGTGCAGAAGTTCTTTCATAGAGTTACAAAATCGCCTTGGACTTGGTGAGGGTGTGATTCTCTGATCGACTTCATACAGGTTAAATTGGGGCTGATCTTGTTTATTCTGTTATTAAAAGCTGCAGGGGACATTGGGATTGTTGATTCAAACGCTTGTGTTGTGCCCCACTGCATTGACTGGGCGTGTTGGGATTTCTGCGCTGACGGAGGGGACAAAAACTTTGTTGCTCCATTGGGAAAAAAAATGTAATATCTTTGAATGCATTGCTACACTTCTTTATCTTGCTTCCTTGCGCGTGATACTATTAATAATTGTGGTGCAAACCACTCCTACTGCTATGATTAGGCATCTTTATCTTCGTCTTCTTCATCATCATCTTCTTCTTATTCGCTTCATCTTCATCTTCGTGACCAACAACATGATGCACATTGATTGTGTCCGTCCTCTTCGAGGCTAGTGGAGGCGATTATAGAGTAAGTAAGTAATCAAGTCCTACACTACATCTTTAGTTCTTCTTGTCACGGCACTCATTTTTTTGATTCCAGATTACATATTTATACGTAGATACATCCATTCATGGTTTCTTTTTCAGGTCGGAGCAAGTGGAAGATCACTCAGACCGTGGTTTGTACCAGCACTTGCGCAGACGCGCGCACACAGATCAACATCAAGGGTCTGCTACTTCGAGCAGCGTTTTATCAACAGGAGCTCTTCAGAGTCAGACTGGCGGCTCTTCTGCGAGTAATGGCGACGGGCCTGCCGCATCAAGCGGGTCTACCGTGGCCGCGCAGGCTCCGAACGACGAGGAAGATAGGCAAGCCGGAGGGGAAGGCCGTAGTAGAGGTGCATTCGCGACAAATAAGGTGGATGATGGTGGAGCTGACGGACAAGAGCCAGAGACGGGAAATGGTAGTGAAACTGTCCTCGCTGCACCGAACGAGGAAGCAGGCCTCCAACATGAAGCAGGAGGGGCAGAGGAAGACGATGACAATAGAGATGTAAAAAGAGCAAGTGAGAATAGAGGAAAAGATGAAACCTCTGCTGGTGTCGATCACGAAAAAGCTGCTGAAGTACAGCCAGACCAGAGTGCTGCCGCTAGGACGACCAGCGAACTGGAGGAGCGAGGAGAGAAGCCGCAGGACGATAAGAGTGCTTCAGCTGACGACGGGGAAGAGCCTGAAGACGAGGATGAACAGGGCAACGAAGATGTAGATGATGTGCCACCTGGTGGACGTGAGCCAGAATCGCACACGCAAGACGAGGATGCTGCCAGCGATGGTGAGGATGGGGGCCTAGCGATGGCCATGGCAGCATCAGCTGTGGATACAAACCCGGAGTCCCCCGCAAATACTGGCCCTCAGATGGTTTCCTATCTTCAAAACGTTCCAAAAAAATACGACGCGTGCTGCACCGTGAACCTTCTACTCGCGAACGACATCATGTTGAAGGTACGGAACCAGGCACCTCTGAGTTCGTTGCTACGTGGTTCGAATGAATGAATGAATTTAAATTTTCTTTATGTTCGATTGATTTTTTGTTGACTCAATGAAACTGAAAGACCTAAAATATTTATAAGACAGAAGTATCTCAAACTCATAATATCATGTTGATGCGGTAGCTACAATTGATTTAAGTTTTTAAACATCTTCCATAATTCAAATTCATCAACTTCGATTTCGATTTCATTTTCAACTTGATGATTCCGCACTACCAGGATGAAGAATTTCAAAAGCTTACTTGGGAAGCGGTGCGTGCGGATCCCGAAGTGTTTCCTCCTGGATGTCCGGATTTAGACGAGGAAGCTGTTGAAAGAATGTACAAGGACTGGGCTGACAAGGTTGTCGCAGGTGTTGTAGCTGCACATACGCAGGAGATGCGAAAGGCCGAATACAGGGTAGTTGTACATAACAGAATTTTATGTTACGATGGAAATGAATTGGAGGAATTTATTACTGATAGAAAAAGATTGAACTTGAAGACAGAGTGAGTGTAGAAAGACGAAGAGCAAAATGTTTACGTTTATTATGTATGGTTTTGCTTTTTCTAGTTAGGTGCTCCACCACTTTTATTATAACAACTTATGAACAACAGAAAAAGCGGTTCTACTATTATCATCGGCGATACCTGGAAGAAGAGCTGAGGAAAGGACTGGTTTTTGGGGCGTGGTCTATCCCAGCACCGGCCGGACGAGAAGAGGGAGGCGACCTCATTATTCCCTACAAAGTGCTGTCGCCAAACTTGCATCCTAGCATTCGTCGCGTCTTAAGTTTCTTCACGGTCCCGCGATCGAAGACAGCCAGAAAAAATCTAGGGTACAACTGACTGACTACCTTTATACTCTCGGTAGCTAGGACCGGGAGTGATGCTCTTCGTTTAAATCATGATCATTTTTGTTGTATTTGGAATTTGTATTATTTAACTTTATTTGGTAGGCCTAGACTTAATACGCTTAATATACGAAAAGAATAAATGACATCCAGGAGAATAAATGACTACCTCCGCATCCCCGAATCTAAGGTATTCCTTCCTCTGTTTTCGAACTGGCGCTCTGAGAGACCGGTATAATGAGCTGATGCGGGGCTGCCGACTTGTGTGCACAAGTTCGAAGGTTTTGCAGATCTACGATGGGCGGATGCGGAATTTGGCTGCACTAGAGGCATACTTTTCGCGAGCGGGCATGTCGGACTTTGAGCGGTGGCACTCAGCGAACGTCTTCTGGCTGAACCGATCTCCGGAAGAGATTGCCAGAACTCTAGACGTGAATATCACAAGCTGGAGACGGGACGCGCATTCCAGTGAGGAGGACCGCAGAGGTGGCGACGGCAAATCGGGACGCGAAGGGCGCTCTGGCGGAAAGGGCGGTGGCAACCGCGGAGGACCATCAGGAGGGTACGACTAGAAGAACATGAAGAAACTGTGTAGGTGTACGAATGATATTAACGTGCTGATTAACAAAAACCACTTATGGTTTTGATGACTTGTTTTGGTTGTGTGTTGATTTAGATCTATATTCTCGATGGTACTTGATCTTAATTGTAAATGTTCTTGTAAATACTGTGATATAATGAAATTTGTCTTCTTAGCAAGCAAATTAATTAACGACAATACAGGTTTCCCGCACAGAGGAGAGGACAAGAACGGAGGTGGTTGAGAAGTGGTGACGATGGCTCTTCTTGGCGGGGAGGGGGACAGCGTCGTGCCTTCAGAGACGGCGACAGGGAGAACGATCGCGACTACAACTACAGGAGCGGTGGTCCAAGTTACGACAACAACAGGAGCCGCGGGTCACCAAGTGGTGGTAGGATGAATGACCAGCGCCGCGATGGAGGAGGCAGTCAATACAACAATATGGGTCCTCCTCGAAGTGGCGGGGGAGCACCCTATCACCAGGATCCACGCTCGCCGCCGCCATACAATCAGGGGAGTCGCGGCTATGACCCCCCCGGTGCTCCTCATCAGCATCCTTCGTCACGATACAGTACAGACCGCGAACAAGGTCCCAACTACTCGAGAGGGCAGCGTGGTCAGCACGATCAGTACGATCCCTACAACATGGTGCAGCAGCACGCTAGGACACGTGATGGTCGCGACGACCAGTACCCGACACCACGAGGAAGTCCCGCTTCGTACGGAGGATACTACCAGGATAGCAGCCGCGGCAGCGGAGGACCCCGTGACCGCCCTCCGCGTGGAAGCGGCTACCCAAACTCTGGTGGCCATGGAGGTCCATCTCCGATATCATATGCTGATGGCCGCTACCAGGCGGACGGCAGCAACGAGACCGGCGCGCGTTCTGCATCCTCGCGTGGGCCGCCGCGTGGCAGGGGAAACGATGGGCCACTGGAGCAGGGCCAACCATTGTCCTCGCACGACTACGGATACAACGAGGACCACTACGGGCGCAGAGGTCCAATCGATCGCTACAATGACCAGGGTGGATACAATCAAGGAGGACCGGCTCCACCGTCGCAACGAGGAGGTGCAAGAGGCGGCCAGCCTTATCGAGATGGAAGAATGCAGGAAGGAGACCGCGGCTACCAGAACAATCACAGTTCCTCCTCCCGAGGCGGAGCAGCATTGCAGCAGCACAACTCGATCCCTCACCCTCGAGCAGAGTACAATCACCGGAACTACAACGTGGACGGTGCTGGTCGTGGAGATGGGGTCCAAGACGCTTCCGCAGGCCAGCACATATTTTCGCCACGCGACCAGCAAGACAGCTCACGGCGAGGCTCTTATCCTCGAAGCGGATACACCACATCAAGCGGCGGAGCGGTCCCGGCTAGTCGAAACTACCAATCCCATCCTGGCTCGTCCGTCGTGGACCCGAGAGCAGGACGTCACGACGCTCAACAAAGACTGCAAGCGCGAGCAACCGGGGCTGATCGTGGGTTCGGCGCACCAAGGGGAGCGGGAGTCCGAGGCAAGCCCAGCGGTTCCAGGTCCGGGGGAGCAGGTGGTTATCCTGGCAGCAATGAGCAGGCGCATCGTTTTGCTCCGCCAGAAACATCGGCACCTCAATCAGGGATGCTTTCCGATAACCCAGATAGCTACGAGCAATACCAAGATCATCAATACCAACAGCGTGTGGCGGGGAGAGGACACGGACATGAAGCAGGGTCATATCATCCGCGCGGAAACAACGTCAACGACACTGGTTGCTATCCCTCGAGCGGCAACAGATCTCACCAAATAAATTATGCAGCACTGTCAAATAACTACAATGGCCATACTGGAGCAACGCCGGGCGCAATCGGACGACCTGGCTACGCATCACCCGACGGAGGAGAGTACGGTGCTGCACCTCGACGAGATCAGCAAGGTGCTTACCGAAGCGGCGGCTCGAGCAGTGATAACGCGGACGGCGGTAGTAGACACCAGATGAAGGGTGGTCAACAATACCCGCGCGGTGGAGCTCGAGCGGGGCGAGGGGCAGGCGGAGCGTCGATGCAGGGCTACAACCCATCGCAACGAGGCGGAGGCCTGGAGAGTGGTTTCGGGGAACGGCGGCAAAACAATGCATACAACAGCGCGGGCGGGCAGTTTCGGCAACAGCAGGCTTATCAAGCGGATAGGTACAACTCACACGGCTCTCCTGACCAATACCCAGTAGGCGGCATTATTGACTCTAGTCGAGGAGGTGGCAGTTATTCGAGCGGCTCCCACCAGGACTCGCGCCGCGATAGCAGAAGAGGTGTAGGACCAGAGACGCGCTTCGGACCACAGCACAGAGGAGGAGCCCACAACAATATCCACCAGAGCGGCGTAGCCATGGACGGTGCACCTGGCGTCGTACCGAAAGGCAAAGAGCCGCTGACACCGGTGAGCCAAAGCTCAGAACATCCGTTCAAGGGTCTCCGGCCTCTCGAGGACGGCGAGGTGAGTCCGTTGGCTGTCGCAGGTGGCGCCGCTACCTACAGCGGGTTTTTGCGCAAACCTGGCGGCACCAGCCCTTCGAAACAAGTAGAAGCAGGAGGTCGCTCTTCTGGAAAATCTCCTTCCAGGAGAGTGTCAGGCGGCAGTGTGAGCAAGAGCGCCGGCGCTGGCAGCTCCACTTTGTGGACTTTGAACAACAGCACAGCAACCGCCTCAAGCAGCGGCGACGCGTCCATGGGTTTGGGGCCCGCGAGTTCGCTTGGGTCCATGGGCGGGCCGGGAGGAGAGACCCGGACGATGGAGCAGCAAGGACCAGGAGGAGGACCCGCCCAACAAGCACAAAATGATTGGGAAGGACATCATGCAGGAGGAACAATGCAGCGCCAGGGAACAAACGCACAGAGGAACATCAAGTCCTATAGCGGTGGTTCACCTGACCAAAATCGTTTCGGGTACTAAGTCTTCCTTTAGTATTAAATCGATCATATTGAATTATGGGTATGTCCTTGATTTGCTCCAAGAGAACTCATTTTATTAACTAGGGAAGTTGCTCCTTTGGACCTCACGTGGCAAATATAGTGGGCTAGGAAGTTCTTACTGCAGCAAGATTTTTTTAGCTTCCTTGACTATTTTGAAAACGAGAAAGAGAGAAGAAAAACACCCAAACCCTTTGAAAGGTTCAAAGAGTTGCAACGTCGAACGTGAGCGAGAATAAGAATGAGTGCTATGCTTCGTCGCTGTTGCATTTTCTTAAGATGTGAAAGCCTCTACGCGTGTACAGTAAAGCGAGCCCATACCTGGCGCAGCCCGCCAGAGTAGCAAGCCAAGCCACGAACCCGAGAGAACTCGCCGCTGCCGCTTCAGCCGCGAGCTCGATTCGGCCCTGTCCTGCATGATTAGGACAAATCAGCCTCGCGAACCCGAGCCGGGCCTCGCGAGCACGGCCCCTTGCGGGCCCGGCCCCGTGCGAGCCCAGCTCCGTGCGAGCCCGGCCCTGTGCGAGCCTGGGCCATAACGTGCCCCGCCCCGCGCGACCCCAGCCGGCATCGCCGGCTCCGTGCGAGCCCGAGCCGGCCCCGTATCCCGGCCTTGCCCCGGGGAGCCCGAGCCGGCTCTGGCGAGCCCGAGCCGACCCCGCGAGCCCGGCCGCGAGCGCACCCCCCCCGCGCGCGTTACGCGCGCGCGCATGTAACGCGCGCGCGCCTTATTTCGCGCGTAACGCGTTATAACGCGCGCGCGTAGCGCGCGCGCGCGTTACAGTTTTCACACCTTAAAAAGATGAAAAATTTCAGCTTAATAATAGATTGCTCGGGAATTTTTCTTGCAGACTTTGACAATATTTTTTTTTTCTTTGGCTCCTCGATATATTTTTTTGTTTAGAAAGAAAGATGTAACGACTTGGTGGTCTTCTTCGGTTCAAAGTCATTTTTTGATTTCCGCTTTTCATCCAGGTCCGAAGAATCGCGAGGCGGACGGTCGACTTGAGAAGACGATGAAAACCGGAATCGAACCGGAACCGGTACTCCTGTCCTTAACGTTTTTCTACAACTCAGTTGATTTGTTTCGTATCAGAAACAAAATTGAAATATTCATGAAAAATCCTTGGCTTTGGAAAGGGTGAAAATGAACAATATACATCAACAACTTTCTCAAAGTATCTTGATGTTCCTCCTGCGCGCCTCCAGGTTTTCGATTTCGGAAGATCGAGATAGAAGCAGGAAACCTATAGAACCAAGTGCAGCAGCTATGGACCAATTTATTAGCGTAATGATGACAATAACAATATGCCGCTGGCCCAAGAACAATTTCTCTACTTTCTTGCTTGCTACAACACGAGACTGACGTCGTCGCTTTCTGAGCATGATACATAGACTAAGTTCGAAGTAGGATTAATTTGACGTCCTGGATATGATATTGTTGTGTACAACAACCAGTGCACGTGCTATTGCCAGATGAGGGGTCTGGGTCTTGTTTCTCTGCCCGGGAATCTTATGGAATGTGGTGGTGCTAGATTATGACTCTTTCATGGAGCTGGAGGATTCTTGGGGTTCTTACTTTTCAGTCGGGATGGTGGTCACTCTCATTGTCACGTTGGTGCTGGCAGTCTCCTCCGTTTTTTTTTTGTTCAGAGACTTTGGGCTTCCGGCGTGACGGGTCGTGCGTTACGTACTAGGTGATTATGATACATTTTTTATATATCGGAAGAAGTCTCAGCCAGTGCCTATGAGTCTGTTTGCAGGTACTGACGCCCGGCGCAGCGTTTTAATGGACTACGTACTGCGCACTACAAGGTGGAGACTCATCTTGTTAACAAAAATATGAATACTTATGTATAGCATAATCTTGTGCAGTGATGACATCAATATAGTCCGTGAAGATGTTGAACGAGGTAATAAGTATAGACAAAGTGACACTTTTGCTAAAAGGTAAATGAAACCAACAGAGGACGCCTCTTGCTAGACATCATCATCATCATCACCAGCAAACATCGGAAGCAAAAAGAGTCAGCCGATGCCGCGGTGCCGAGAGCTCCTTCCTTTTCTTGCCCACAGAGCAAGCTGATACTAAGGCATGCGTATTACGTTGACCATGTAGGTTTAGGGCAAATCCAATAGATGATTGATCTGCGATTGTTGTATGGTGGCTAATAGCTCGAAACTCAACTTCCTTGTAAGCCGTGACTTGCAATCCGTGGTCGGGGAGAAGTAGACTATAGTCTCATGATTTATAGTTACAGCTAGATGTCTCTGATATTTGTTGTCCTTGGATTGAATGCAACCATTTTTCACTGCAATTGTTACAAACCTTACTCACCATAAAACCTTTTCGTTGTTTGGTAATACAATACACTCACTTAGATTCATCGAGATAATTTATGAGCTCTATATTATTTTGTTTCTATCATTTATGTGCGGTAATGTTCATTGTAAGCAGAGATGTTGATATTGAAGGAGAATTATTTACTGGTTACAAGCATATAAGATGAAGGACGATCATCGACGGGTGTGAAAACAGAAGTCATACTAGTCTGGCATTTGTTCCCCGAAAGTGATAGGCTTATGCTTCAGCTATGGTCGCTGTAAGTGGAGCACTTGGATGGTTCGGAGCGGTTTTTAAGAACAACAATCAGCAACTCACTTGTGTCGTACGAAAATTTGAAGAAATGAAATAGATACAGGAGGGCGGATAATTTTTTTAGAAAAAGGTCGCTAACCGCAACTACTATTGAGATTCAGGAGAAGGGATGGCCGGTGTTAGGTGGTGACAAATGATTGGTTTATGATGTTATCGAAACAGAAAATGGTCCTGATAAAAATAATTTTCATTCATGGAGAAGACGAAGATAGATGTCGTGGCTTTGATCCGGGGTCTTAGCATGATGATCACGGTTCCGCTCTAATGATAGCGCTACGAGATAGCGTGTTAAGACGTGCAGAATTCTCCTCAACTGCGATATACACATATTTGTAGGTTGCTTCGTTTTTTCTTTGTTAGTTTTGCTTCTAACATTGCACTCGTTCGGCCATTGTTCATTGTTTTTCGATTGTTATAGAGATACAAGGCAATCCAAGGAACGCGGACCCAGCCCTTTCGGTGGGTAAGTAATTAAGTGGGTCCGAAAGTACTTAAGGTAGTAGGGAAAAGTTCGTCATCAAGAGGACTCCCAGCACCTCATCTGCTCAGCAAGTAGAACTTTTAGGCACGTCGTTCTTTGTGCACGACCCTTCGTGTTCGGTCTGGTCGTTGCAGCTGGCGTTTGCGCTGGCTTGAATGCTCACCTTTCCTGCGCTTGCGAATCGCGCGTCTTGATTTTCTCTTTTATACATCTGATGGATCATAGTGGATGCTTTTGTAGAACTAGTAGGTAGCTGCGTCGTCTTTGTGTAAAGCAAAAGTAGATGCTCATCTAAGATGAACAAACTTGTTCACTCAAAACGCTGTCCTTCGCCCTGTCAAGGAAGTCAAAACACTCGCGATGCTCTCGCCTGTGCTGTCAATCCTCCTTGGCGGTGGTGTTTTCGCGTTTGATCTTTGCTTTGTTTCTCTTTTTGCTCTGTACTTAAGTTTTGTTTGTTTGTAATTTACATGATCCAGAGACTGCGCAGCGTGAGCGAGACTGCGCTTCGCGGGAGCGGAGCGGAGCGAGTGCCTGTCACTCTTTGAGTCTTCCTCTCTTTTTCATATCGCTCTCTCTTTCTTTTTCGGGGTGCCTGTTCTATGGGGTCTCGAATAGGCTGTAGATGTATCCGCCACGAGCTCTCTCCTACTCTGGCGGTTATTTTCTCGACTGTATTTTTAAAGTGAGAGTTACAAACTCCGAAAATGAGGAATCGGTCATTATATTTGAGGAATCTAGTGGCCAGCCTCCTTGTGCCTTTTTTGTAAGGACTAGGTGCTTTAGCAACAAAGGCGTATGGGTATGTTCATGCTATAATCAGTGAGTGATAATTTATGGAGGTGGTGGGTATGTCTTCGTTTGTATCTTTCTGGTAGGTTCGCGGGCACGCAATGTGGCCCGGACTCAACATTGTATCGTCTGATTATGTTGTTGAGCAAAGGAGGGGTCTGGCTAATTTTTTTATCCAAGAAGAAAAGGATAGAATTTTCATTAGCCAGGAGCGAAGTGTGGCCAAAGAGCTCGCGAAGACCCATATCACCAGGATAGCTTATCATTTCCGGTGTTTAGAAATATGATTATGAATAAGTAACCGTCGACCACGCACCGAAATAAGGCAGGGGCTCGTTGCTTATTGTCCAAACAAAAACAGACAATCGTGAAAAATTGCTGCGGTATCTACTTAGAAGTTGCAAGCGATTACTTAGTGAGGAACAAAAAATTTACTCCTATGAGACAAAGAAGAGGCTGTTCGTCGAAGGCCAAAGGCGGCACCTAATCAGACCAACGATGTTGCTGGCTGAGGAGCGCCGTGGCGGTGTTTTTCTGCGACGTGGTGAGCGGGAGATGAGGTCGTCATTATACTTTTACTGTAGAACGCGGCTCCATCAAGCAACATCTACCATAGGTACAACAACAAAAGAAACAGTCGGGGGGCGCGAGGGAATTCCGCTAGAGAAAAAATTACATGTGCGGTTAGAAGTAGTAGTGCTTCTAACTAAAGAGAGCAACAGCAACCGTTCCACCTGGAAACCTATCCTGAGGAGGTTCAGAGAGCAACGGAGACGAGATTTTCTTGCTGCTACTTTTTTACCCAGCTTCTACGTCAACAAGTAGAAACTACAAGAACAACAACACAACTACACCCTACCTTGCAAGTGTGTCGTCTTCGGTTGTGAAAAGGAGTCAGGTCGTCGGGGCGGAGCAATGTCGAGCTAAATGTGTGCGCGACATGATAGATTGCATATTTGCGCTGTCTCCTCGCGGTGTGAGTGGGGATAGCACTTGTGATCGTAGGGCGTAGGCCAAATCAAATGTTAGTCTGAGCCGAATACTATAATGTCATCGTCTTCCCGTGATCATTTTCGCCAGGAGGTGAAGATCTGCAAAACATGAACGTCAGAAGGTATATTAGGTTCTTCTTTTTCGATAACAAGCAATCCTTTCATCTGTCAACCAGTAACATCTCCGAAGGAATGAGTCACTGATGTCGTTTCCTTGCACTGGTCCAGGAGCCTTTCTGGTGGACCACTATGCGGAAGTGACATGATCGGGCGTTCGGATCCTCTAAACGAAAGAAAAGCTTCATACGGGTTAATGTTATAGTTTGAAGAACAGGAGGAGGAGTGAGGACAATAAAACCATCACAGATTCCCAGAGATCCGGCTTGAGCATTTTCATACATTATGCAATTAGCTAGTGCTGTAGAAAAATTCAAATTGCTATCTCGCGACGCGACAAGTTAACGGTAAGGGTGGGCACTATCGTAGCAATATTATCATTATCGTAGAGGCGTCAACTCTTGTTGTCCTCGCGACCTGTTGCAATCTTGTCAGTGTGCAGGATCTATCTAGACTTTTGCCCGAGAACGACCTACCAGAACTTAATGGCATCGTCTATGTTCTAACATAAAAATCTTTTCCGACTCGTTGTTTTTGTGGTCGAACACATAGCGCAGAATATCGTATCATGTTGAAAGGTCATCATAGTCATCGGGTGTCGTTGTGGACTTCATGATAGAAAATGTATAGAGACCAACTTTCATAATCATGCTGCAAAGAAATACTCCTCGACACGTTGACGCTCCTCGCCCTATTTACTTAGTCATAATCTAGCATGACTGGCGCAGTGGACTCTGATCCCGCGTCGGCAATTCTAGTGCATATTTGTTGCATAATATTGACACATGAATCATTCGACATACAAAGAATTTGAATTGAAGATGCAAAAGCGAAATACTATTAACGAAAAGTTAGTAGCATATCATATATCAGCGAGACTGTTCGACGCTCGCACATTAGCGAGCGCGACTGCATAAAGAAACTATCTTTACCAATTATAGTAACAGACTCATCATATCGTCCTGCCCAAGGTCCCCTGTTGTTTCCCATAATTTTGCAAGTCTCGCCATTGCTAGGATTGGATATATTGGCTGCGGTGGGTGCGCACAACGTACATCGGTAGGCTAATACCACTACTAGGAACGCGATCGATGTTGTGAGTAGGATGAATGTACAGCGGAGAAATGTTAAGTCAGGATCTTCTCGTATCATCTGCCCCATTTGGTTTCCTTTTCTGCGAACACCCAAGCTGGCGCGTTGGCTTTTAATTCGAAAACCTTGTAACTTGTCTAACTGTTTGCTTCCTTCTTTTTTTTGTATATGTCTTGATTTTCTAAGGGATTTACTTTTATGCTGTAGTCTTCGATCGTCCTTTAGTTCCGGGCCGCTTTACGTCATTTCCTTGCATCATGTCTGCGCTGCCTTCAGGGATGGATAATTGAATGCGAAGAAGACTTGAAAATTTTCATTCTGCTCAAAAGCCTCAGCCACAAGCATCGCCCACTCGTCGCCGCAGTAGGTAGACAAAAATTGGCATAGATTTATATTGTAGAAGATCGTGCGTTGAGATGAGCGATCATGTACCAAAGAAGACGTGACTGAAGGTAGCCTGAGGCCGCAAGCGAGTGGACTCTAAACCTTGAACCACTTAAATGTGAGTGCTTGATCTACTATATCGTGAGATCGTGCGCTGTAGTATTTTTGTAAAAGAAGAAGAAGAAGGCGACGAAGTGCAAAAGTACAATCGTATGGCCACGAGTGAGATGGTCAACGTCCTTGCTAATCGTTGTCCGTTTTGAGCCCTTCTGGTAGAAGTACCTGCTACCCATATTTTAAACTCGTAACGTCTAGGGAAGGGCCATGCGTTGTAAGCACACTTGCTGCAGGAGGGCGGTTTTAGTGTCTACATCACATGACTTGCCTCGAAGTGCGTCTACATTGGTTGCTGTAGTATGGCTTCATCTCAGGGGAGGAGACATCCACTTTTCTGATTGAAAAAAGGCCGAGCCCCATGCTCGAGTGGTTAGCAAGTACGCCTCCCGCGTGTTGTCGTCGTTGCGTGGGAGCCAATGCAAGCCTTCGCGCCTCTTCGTGGCACGTAGCTTGAGGTAGAAACATACTAAGATAAAGATCTCTAGCGGTAGTAACGTCTACGTCAGCAGGTCTCTACATCGCCTTTTGCTAATCTCATCTGAGTTTGGTCGAGCTCGGTCGAGATTCATGCAGCTTGAGGCAGACGACAAGCTTAGGACTTTTCCGGGAAGAAGAAATAGCGACTGTAGCTGGAGACGAGGAGAAGACTGACCTGAGGGGCAAGCAACTAGATAATGTAGCGTGTAATAGCGCGCACTCTTCCCATCAAACCCAAAACAACCACCGGACCGTCAGGAAGGTCCCTGGTGCCATTACATCAACGTCCTTATTGACAGATGGCAAGGGCGCTCGCGAGCGCGACACGTGCGAGGCGGTAGGGGCGCGCGCGAACATATTAATGGAGTGGTCCAGGGTGGGATAGCGGTCCAGAGTGGAAAGCCGAGATCAGAAGAGGGGATGGGTGGCAGACAAGGCGATCAAGAACGGTGGACGAAGGAGAAAAGGGAACGAGGGGGACGGGGAAGTGCCGGAAGAGCAGGGGAGGGGATGAAAGACAGGAGAGGCAGGGGAGATGAGAACAAGAAGAGAGGGGCGCCAGAAGCGAAAGGGCCCGAGGGATGGGAGGGTGGAGGAACCAAGAAAAAGCCGAGCGTGGACAAAACTAAGCGCGCGAAAGAAACGAAGAGGCAAGCAAAGACAGCAGAGACACGCAAGCGGCGCGCCGGTCGCAGATCTCAAGACGATAATCTAAGTTGCGCCACGCTGCCCTTGCAAAAATTTGGGGGGGAGGCGGGGGGGGGGGCGATCTCAAGGACGCAGCAAAGTTCTCCTGGCAGGCAGAGTCGACCAAGGGAAGGCCACAAGCGGCCGCACCCCTATGATTATGACAACGAAGAGCAGAAGCCCGCCCCCTCGCTCTGAGATCGACAGCGCGCGGCCGTTCACGGTGGTTGGAATGCCACACGCAGCGAAGCCACCGCCGAGCGACTGACAAGCCTCAAGCGCGGGCACTTCCTCCATCGATTGGGGCGCGTCGTCCTTGCTGGCGCTTGGGTCTTGGTGGAAGAGCGAGCGAGACAGCAAAGACCACACGGCGCAACAACTTGCACCAGCGGCCGCAGACCAGCGCCGCCGAGCGGTGGTCGTCTTTGTCTCCTTGCCGCCTCAGGCTGCTCGCCCCCGGTCAGGGATGGAAGCTGCGCTGAGCCCCCGGGGGGCACTCAGCCGCCAGCAAATACGGGCGCCCAGTCGCTTCCCTTGGCACTGCCGCCCCGACTTCAAGGCACAACCGTGGCAAGCCTGCCGGGGTACCAAGGTGCCGAAACAAAAGGCCCCCCAAGCTAGCGCCTTCCCTCGAGAGGGTTGCCCGTCTCTTGTCTATCACCAAGTAGACGCCTAACATTTGCAACCTTTGGCATAATTATCGCGGCTGCGACTTGGTTCAGGGTGGCAGAAATTCCACCCCGGACCGGTTTGGGCGGGGATAAAATAAACCTGCAAAAACCTGGGCCAGGGTGAGATAGAAGCCAAATCAAGGGAAAAAATTGCCAGCGTTCCACCCTGAACCAGAGCGGGAGCCAGCCTGAACCACGTCCACCCTGAGCCGCTGCATTAATAATAACAATAATATTAAGAAATGCAACTGCTCTTCACATATTGGCCACCCTGTGTGGAGTCAACACAGACGTCTGTCAGAGTACTGACTGATTGGTTGAGTGACATGAAATACGATAAAGCTTGGGCAATTTGTTACATTCTCTGGGTTAAGTCGTGACTCCCATCATTCAGCAATATTGTAAGGTAAAGGTTGAAGAACTACAAGTGGCTACTGCTCCTGTGCGCAGCGCTCTTCTCATCTTCATGCAGCTCTGGGCTGGCCGGTCGCTAAGGAGGAAAATGCGGCGTCCAGAGTCTTTTTTTGTGACGTGGGAGGGAGGTCCAGTTTTTACCTTAGGCATTGATGGGAATACAATAAGAATTCTCTCTCTGTAAGAGGGTAGTCTGTAGAAATCTTAAGCACCTTGCCGGATAGAATCAAGATGCCCAGCGTGATATGCATGCTGCGCCCAACATGCATTCTTAGTGACATTGCAAGGATGGGAAGCCACTGCGAAATAAGTATGCGCCACTAATAGGAATCCTGGCGATTGGGTAGCTGGAGTCTCAGTGTACATAGAGATGGCTCCTGTTATTGCTCTTTTCGGAATGATTGACCAAGCGTAAAAATGAAGGGAACCCCTAACATCATGGTCCATATTTGTTCTATAGTCTTGATTTGTTTAAGAAAGTATTATCTGGTGAAGGAATTCTGGCGCTTTTTGTTGACCCATTGTCGGCTCTGTTCAGCCTAAGTACTTACAAGCAATTATGACGCTAGCCTCGATTCACACCCTCCTATCTTTTATTACAATACGCAAGCTACATTCGTTATCGTTTCTTACCTGCGTCCTTGACGCTGTGAGGTTAGGTTGTGTATCCGTTCCTGTTGTCTCGGAGAACATTATGAATTTGAATACCAGGATCATAGGCATCATTGTGAATATAAGCCCTATTGATAGATGAATCTCGTGGTCGCGAATAGCTAAACAACCTGATCACCGATCAACTGCGTCTTCTACGCATGCGTGTCTATGTGCATATAGGTCAATTGTGTAGGCGTGTCGATGTCTTGACTCGTCCGTGAGCTGGGAGTTTGTTCTAGGATTGCCTTAGTTCGTGCGTTCAGTTCTATTCTCTCAGCCACTCATGGATGACTCAATGACATTCAGACTTGTGATATGATAAGATTGCGCTTTTCGTATTATTTTCTTGAAGACACGACCTGCCTGTCAGATAGCACTGGCGCTGTTTCTACTACTAGATTAATTAGAACAAGTAGCAGTAATTTGTAGCTGAAACTGCAGCTGCAAACTTCTTTCACGACGGTGCGAATGTACACTCGATTAGACCGAGATACAGAATACGCCGCTCTGTGTGGAGCAGTTCCGCAGACTTTTGGAGGATGCTAATTTCCGATGGTCGTGTCTACTTCTCGCCGCGTGATGAAGACGAGTTCCTATTGAGTTGGCGACTTCTGGCACTAAGAAAAGTGAAACACAACAAGGCACTATGTATGTGTTGAAAGCTAGTGGCTGTGGAACTACGACCAGAGTCAGGCTGATAGCCCGCACCTCCTATAAGATCATGCTCGTCCTCGAAGCGATTGCGTCCTTTGATCAAATTGATAAGTGTAGGAGTTGGCTTAGTCGTTTAGGCGTTGGCCTGTACACTTATCGCAAATAAATGGCTGCCCCAGGGCCACGACATCAACATCAAAGGCCTACTGTCGAGAACAAAAACAAACATTCACATAACGAAGAGTGTCAGTCACGGTCAACATATAAATATGGACAATCTTCTACATTAGATACTGATAAAGATCATCCTGAGAACATATAACATTCAAAACACGACCATCATGTTATAACTCATTCTTATTGTATAAGAAACGACATAAGTATCTATAAGTATTATTTTCAACATTCGATTACTATTCTGTATCTTAAGTCCTTCGTCCCATTATCCCCATTCGTTCGACCTTTGTTCATGTGCTGTCCTTACCTCTCCCAAAAACTGGCTGCTGGGTCGTGACGGTTACTCTCATCAAGTACTTGGTTGTGTTTTGTGATGAATATCGGCATGCACTGGCTGCTCCCCGTGCTCTAGTTGTCGTAGAGCTGGGGACCGACATTGTCGTCATGCGCGAGAATAACACTACTGAAGTCGCTGTAGGTCGCTCCGCTTCATTTCTGGGAGGAGTGAGCAGCCATTGCGATTGTGTACTAAATAATTTAATTGCGTAGCATTATATATTGTGGTAATACGTTTATGGACCAAAAGTGCCGTTGCTGAATCTGTTACGTCTTGCTGGTAGTTTAGAATGACTACAGGAGACGCGACGATCGATGTCGATATTACTCTTAAGATTGTGGTCTTTTTTTTTGGTACGTGTGGGCTCCTTCCGGGTGTGCACGATTCCGATCGAGTTTGGTTACGCTCCTCACTCGTGACATCTAGAGGAACCTGCATGGACCTATATGAATCTAGAATTACGACGAAACAAGTGCTGTGCTATCACGATAAATTATCTACTTCATCTAGTTCAAGAACACTTTATGAAACACATCAAAGGAAAAAAAATGCAAAAGATTAAGATCGGTGTTTTATTGCCTTGTTTGTGGTAGCAGGACCAGGACTGTCTCCGGAGTAGAAGGGACAACGATCAGGGCTAAGAAGTCAAAAAGGCTCGGTCTACAAACTCAAACTCTGCTACCCCTTTATGGACCTATTGAACGCTTCCTTGGCATGTATGTGGGTCTACGTGCCTAGAAAAGTCGGCGAGGAGGTAAAGACAAAGAGGAAGGCTTTATTATAGGGAACCGAACTGGAGATGGAGAATCTAATGTTAGTTCCACCAGTCGTGAGTATGTTTCTTTTCATTTGGTGGGTCGGTCACCAACTATAGAATGACTGGAGTCAGGGGAGTCTTAGATTATATCCAAAGATATTGAAAATATGGCTCATTTACATCGAGTTCTAGTATAACCACTCGTCCCTGACCCCGTGAGGGGGCGTCATTGAGGGAATGTCATCGAAGTCGTCTCAAATTGGTTCAAATGGATTGCGCATTCAAGAAGAAGATAGAGATTATACTTATAGAAAATTATAGGCGTAGCCGTAGTACTAGAGAGGGCAAATAACTACCGGAAAACATGAGCACTAAACATCGGGCAGCATGTATGATGTGATGTCCTCGACGTGGACGTCATATAGTTAATACATTTTGTGTGAATCCGTCAAAATTTGCGAATATAGAAGATTCATGATCGACGATATTTTGTTTTTGTGGTCCGGTATTATTAGTTCTAAATGTACCAGAGAGGGAGGCCCCCCCTGTGGATGGAGCGGCGGCGACGTCCGCGCGCCCTTTTTTTCGCGGTGGTGACATGTAAGGACTCACGGGGGCGAAGGCCTCAAAAAGCGAAGCCGGAGGCCCCTGGCGGCTCTCCGCATGTACCCCACAGGCGTCCCGACACTTGGGCCCTATCAGGGGGACGGCCTCCGGGGGGAGAAGGGCGCCCCCGAAGGCGGCCGCGGTCGCGAGGCCTGGCTCCTTTGGCCCTCATGGGGGGCAGCAGGTGGCAAACTCCTCCGGTGAGGAGCCCGCACACGGGAGGTCTGTGGGGTACATGCAACACGGCAAGAGGGTCATGCCTTGCCAACTGCTGCCCTCGGAGGCCCTCCACCCCCCAAGGGGTTCCCCCAGTGAGGAGCCCGCACCCGGGATATTGGTAAGGTACATGCAACACGGCAAGGCGGTCAAGCCTTGCCACTTGCTGCCCTCGGAGGTCCTCCACCTCCCCCGGGGCTCCCCCAGTGAGAAGCCCGCACCCGGGAGATCTGTAGGGTACACACACCACGGCAAGGGGTGGCAAGTCTTGCCACCTCTGCCGCCTTCGGAAGCCTTCCACCCCCGGCCGTCGGTGCTTGAACCGCCTCAGGGGCTTGGGCTCTGTAGGGTACACGCACGAAGCCGCGAGGGCTCGAAGGTGGGCGTTTGGAGGCCTTTCCGCCCGGCAGTCTCTCGAAAAAAAGGGCCCGGGGCTGGAGGCCCCTCCCCTCAAAAAGTTGCATCGGGGGAACCTTCCGCCTGGAGCCCTGGGGCTTACTTATGATGTATATCCTCGGGTTAGTTTTCCTTTTCGTGTTCAGTTGTGCTTCATATTGCGCCACAAACTAGAAGCTCTGCGAATCATTTAACAAATCTAAATCAAGGAGCCTGGACGAGTTCGTTGAAAATGGCAGAACTTGATGTTGTGGCCAAAGGAACAGACAATTCTGATTCTGGATAATAAAGTTCGTGGTGGTGTTAATAGATTGAAGTTGATGAAATTCTTTTCTGCTGAACTGGTCATAACTTGGAAAAAAATGAAACTACAGTATAATCGTGATTTTCTTGCTTGGCTTATGCTAGGCGCGAAAATGTAACAATCGACGGTCTACTGCGTGCTGCGACACGACCGGTTTTTATGTGGTACAAGAATGCGCGGTTTCGATCGGGCCAGATGATTTACCAGAATGATATGAAGTGAATCATCAGTGCTGAGCATAGTTTTTTCTTTCAGATGAGAAAGAGAGAGGGAGAGCGGACCGAGCCCATCTGGAGTTTGGGAAATTAAGGGAGAGAAGCCGGGGGAAGAAGACAAAAGTCAAATTGAACACTGTCTCCAAAAAGTAAGCAAAAGGGGCAAACAACATGGAGGTACTTTGGTCTCAAGTATACTTACTTCATCCTAGTAACACGGACGAGAGCTCCTTCCTAGACTTTGGCTTTTTCCTAATCCCAGCAGTATTGTCTACATCATTTTCATGTTCACCGTTCAACTTCAAAAGAACCAACTTGATGACAGGCCTAGTATTTCAGAGGAGGTATTTCAGAGTCATTGAATAATCGTCGCAGTGTGCTAGGGCATATCGCGTGGAAAGCACGCAGGTGCGGGGGATGGCACACATCTGACACAACGCGCAGATGTACTTACATAGGGAAATCCGCAGGTCGACTACTGTCTCTTTGTTTTTGTAGCGGGAAGAACAAGATGATTGAATGACGTCACCTTTGCTGTAGACGAGCTGCTACTCCAGGGACAAGAAGGCAGTGTTGTATTTAGCACGTAAACACTTAAATGCGGATACGGATTCATCAGACATCGAACAGGACTTTCTCTTTTGCGGAGTTACCACCAGGAACAAGCGGCAGACACGAGTAAAGGAGCGTCGACCTATTGTCAGGAGCAGGACAGCACAGTAATACTTGGAGCAGAGTGCTCCTCACCACGACCATTCGCGAGCTGTAATATTAGATGAACCGATACATTAACCTCCACCTCGTCGAGCTCGCCGCAACGATTGAATAAGAAGTACACCCTACCCCTAGTACTACTCGAGAGTCGAGTCATCACATCTTCCGGTGCGTGGATTTATTAGAGCTTTGCAAGAAGTCAACAACATCAACAATAAGGTCACCATGGTGGTTCACCGAGCAGCGGGCGCAGGCCTGGAGATAGGACAGAAATTTGCGGTGTCGTTCAGCTGGTTCACTTCATTCGTTCTGTTCGTCACCGTCTTCGCCGTACTCTCTTTCACGTATCACTCGCGTGTGGATACTCATCTCGTTTCCACGGTTGGTCTCTTCTTCGCCGCAATCTACTTATGCTAAACTGCTTTGACCACTAGCACAGTCTAACGTTATTCAATTTGTTGGTAACCTATGGATCTATATTTGTAACAGTAGACATTGCTATTTCTATGTTGTATTTGTTCACTTGCACTTGTTCCACTGCAACTGCATTCTTACATTCTCTTTCTAGTACTTCTAGAAAGCGATCCGGAACCGGAGGCGGAGGCCGTGAAGAAAGACTCTCGTGGAGGCTCCTGTTTGGTAGTTCTTTAGACGCACTTCTTGATCTTGACTCACTCGGACCATTGCTTCTAACCGTTGGCTTTCCCAATGCGGAATCACGTTTCCGAGAAAGCGTTTGGAGGTGGGTGCCTCTTTTTTCATGTGGGGGTTCAGTGTTACTTGCCACTTGGCTCGGCGAGACCAACTACGCATGGTACCAGCGCAATTTTTATGTAGGGCCATTCAGAAGCTGTTGCTTGAAATGTGAAGCTTAAGCTGTACTTGTAGAAGGGCGGAGGTCGACCAAATGATAATGTTGTCTAAAAGAATATCAATATTTATACCTTACCTACGAAAGTAGCTCCTAGGTGGAGCAACAAAAAATAGATGCTTTAAAATGGAGATGCATTCGGTCATGTTTATAATCATAATGTGCTAGATTTTTTCCGATACGCTTGAATTGCTTCCTCTTCATTCATGTTTCGACATCGAGTATGGGCATGTTTACACGGGAGTAAGAGCAACGAATCCCGGGACATTGTATACCGACGCCGCCGTCATTCGATTCTCCTCAGACGCGCGACTTGATAACACCAGAGTGACCGCCCTCACTGACGAAGACGGGACATCGTAGTTGTTTTGGTTTTGTTATCTTGTAGGTAGGTACTAGAATTAGAAGTTAGCACAACTACTTCTGCTAAGTGGAAGTGTACTTTTTTACTGGATATGGACTTACTTTTGCAGTAGCATCTTAAAAATGCTGGTCTACTTAACGTATTTAATTTGGTCTTACAGGTACTGTGTCGCTCCAGTAGTAGACCAAAACCCAGTGAAAAAAGGGCTTCCATACAGCTTTTGGGCAGTCGGGACTGGCTGTTGCGCACCTGAAAAACAGGACTTTTGGTGTGGAAGCGATAGCCTCAGGAAAAAACTTACTGCAACCGAGGTCGAGACTGCGAAGACAGGACTCGTCGTAGGGTCGACAGGTGTCGCGGTTAGGAAAATTATGAGGGGTTAAGAAAATTATTGACGAGGACTCGATTGACGTTAGCTGGCCAGACTAGTGATGACCATGGTGATCTACGTAGCTGTTTCTTCCGTCACGATGTTCAAGGCAAAGAGAAAAACTCTGACACTCAAGTAGCTTCTACCACTTACCTCTGTTTGTTTTAGGCTAAGCATGGGGATTCATTCGTATTAATTAGCAATTGCTGGTTAGTCTTGGAAGATATTGAATTGACAGCCACTCGATTCCGTACCTACTTCGGTTTTGCGACCCAGTGACTAGGGTCTAGATACCTCGTACTGCACAATATTGCTAAGACACAGATCTCGACGACGTCGATGTCACAAAGCAAAAAAGACGAACTGGCCATGTTTGAGCGAGCAATCAAAATGGCGAACAGTCGACACGCCTTGCCGCGGCCAACCGCTCAAGACTCACTTGTACTCCTAAACTGGACGACAAGCGCGACAAAGGTATTACCAACATGATAGATGATCTAATGGGGTGACAGTGTTGCAGTTTTATGGTTCAAAAATCCGCTACTAGTTTGTTCTGACCTTCTCGAGGAGAATCAAGCTGAATCAATATATCACAATCAATGATACGTCTACAACCTTTTTCCCTCACAGACATCGGAGTTTTACTTTTTCTTTTCCCGCCCCCATGTTTTTCACCCTCTTATCTTTGAAAAAAATGGTTCTTCACATCGGTTCTCTGAAAAAAATGGGCCATCGATTCGTGCTAGTACTGAAATATAAGAAACGCGAATGACATTGACACCTCCAGGATAAGTCGGATTATCGACAGGCGGGTTTGCTATTCTTCTGGGTATCGCTTTTGCTAGTACTAGCGCTGTACGTAAGCTTTCTCTTGTTCGCGCAGCCAGGAGAGACGGACCCAGCGCATCCGGACTGGGTTGCGGCTACAGCAGCTGGAATGGGCGACAGGGGTCTCGTTTTGCAACAGAATCCGATGATGCAAAGGGGCAGATAGATGAAATACTACAAATTCAAATCGATTCTCTCTCAGAAAAACTCGCTGCCGTTGGAACAATCGGACAGCATTCGGATTCTACCTTGTGTACTGAAGCTACACTAGTATCACTTCAGAGCCAGTGTTGGTCGTGACGGTGACACCGGAATAAATTAAGCATTCAGATGAATTTCCTTGCATGGCAAACGCAAACTTCAGAAGGTGGAAAAATGTTCATAATTGTCTTCTGCCATCCAAAAAAGAAAGAAACTGAAACATTTTTTTATCAAGATAGGTGGCTGCATTATCGAAGGCACGGGTCCACAATTTCCTTTACCTCTTTGGCTAGTTCAGGACTTGTGTACTACAGTGGTAAGAAAGAAAGCACCACCAACAGAAACACTTCAGTAGAGATACCCAGCAGTATCAAGAAGGAAAGGGATCAAAAACAGCTGGACAGGCATTCAAGAAGAAGAATTGTAACCACAAAGAACAACCACACGCAGCGTGTGGTTGTTCTTTAAGGAGTTCAACTAAGATAGGTTACTCTGTCCAGGAGTTCATAGGTAAGATGGACGATCATTCGTCAATTTAATGACAGCACTTGAACAGCAATAAAAGTCGCGATCTGCATAGATGTAACCATGGTTTTGTTTTTCATGAAAGGTGGTTTGAATTTTATTCAATTTCGACCCCAGAAAGTGTATGTAGTATTGATGTAAGATTGTTGCTACTCGTCTCCTATCCGCTCTACTAACAGGTTGTGATAGCCAATCCCCATTATTGGCTCGATGTAGGTACGCATGCACCATCATTTCCTGAGCTATGTAGTTGTTGCCAACATTTATGTTCAAACATGGGAGACGGTGAGGGAGCTTGATTTGATAATACATGATGATGCAGCTTATCGTTGTTCATCTTCAACATCATATCCGCTTCACTAATACTACGTAGTTGTGAACAAGATAGACGACTTAACATGGACGCAGTATCGATCAACGCTCTTGCCCGCAAAGCAAAGTCCTTTGTGCTCGCGAATGAGGTATTTTCCAGACTGGATGACTGCTTAAAGCAGAGGACTGCTGAGCCCTGGAAAGGGCTCGTTGTCTACGTCGCAGGTCGAAAGCTTTCAGATGTCCTCCAGCAGATGAGACGAAGAAAAGACGAACTCAACAATGCTGACGATGGATCAGGGTCCCGAGGAGAAGGAAGCGGCTCAGCATCTTCTTCTACAACGACAGCAACAGTGCTGGGTCAGAACGACGATCATTTTGGGCTTTTAGACGAGTTGGGACTGGACTTGGAGACGCTACAGAGATGGTTGGACCACATTCCTGCCGAAAAGGAGCAGCTTTTCGTAGATGAAGCTGACGCGGAGAGATGGCTTGTAGAGCATCTCTGCGACTACGGACGGCAAGAAGTCTTCAACAATCGCATCTATTTTCTGCCGCGTATGCGTCAATTCGCCTTGTCATCCTCACTCCTGGGCTCGTCGTCAATGTCAACAAGTGGAGCTGCATCATCTGGAGGTGGCTCCTCGTCCTCCAGTAATGCGGGAGCGGGGCTGCAGCTTGTGGACGCAAGTAGGGACGAGCAGGAACGAGACGGCTTGTTGGCTTTCGTAGGGAGCGAGCGGGCTGTTCGGGGAGAGGCCTTGTTGAATGCTTTCCCAGGGTCCCTGTTTCAGATCTTGAATTTGGTGCGGGCAGGAGAGGTGCGGCTGGTCCAAGAGGGAACGCAGACGGCGGGCCTGCGTGCTGCGGCGCAAGTGAACCAAGAGCTTTTGACGTTAGAGCAGCAGTGTGGTGCGCAGTCTTCTTTCGGGCAGACCGAATGCATACAAGGCCGACTGATCCAACAGGGCTTATCATCGGGAACTATGAGTCTTCGTGAAATGGCAGGCGACGTGGATCCGAGTTTACTGCGGGCCCCGCTGGCCGATCCGCTCAAATTCGTCTCCCAAGTGGTTGATACACAGCCACCGACAATCACCACGACCGAGCTGATGAAGAGACGGCGCGCCCGCTGTTGCGTTGGCAGCGATCACAAGTACCCAACCCTCGATGTTCTGCTCGAATCTACCAACCCCCGAGCCCGACCCCCAGCACCCACTACTCCATCAAATGGAAACAGTAGCAGTAGTACGAGCAGGAGCATTAGTGGTGTCTACGAGGTGCAACCTCACAACGTGTGGAGCAGCCTTGGCCGACCACTTTACTACTGTGCAAGAAACGGGCTCTACTTGTTTTATGCGGAAATAACGAAGAAAAATAGCTCTAACGTGTGGCGCGGGTGGTGCATAGCCAATCGGCCAGCGATTGCCGCTCCAGCTCAGCAAAACAAAGACTCACCACAAGCTGCCTTCGTAATGCACATGAGGTCTCAGAATCTAGGAGGCGCTGTGTCCACAGCTAGCTCTGCCGCCGCAGCCGAAGCAGGAATGCCTTGGGCCTTAGATAGCTGGATTCCGGTGTCTCCGCTCGCGAAAACTGAGTTCCTACGGGAAGACGAAGCGGCAAATGCAGCACCCGGTGCTGTGGGCGGAGTCAAGGTACCCAGGTTTCCTTGTAAATATAGTATCAGCATACGTAAGTACGTTTTTCCATACAAAAATTGTAGAACAATGAATACATAGGATTATAAACTGAACAGAGTTAATACATATTTTTAAGGGGACGATCATCATCATCATCATCATCATCATCATGCTCAACATGATATATTTAGGTTGCATGACTTTCTATCACTTCTCTCACTCGTTGATTCTTGGAGAAGATGGCGCTCTTCAAATGACTGAATATCAAGGTACGCGAAGTCCATGCCTACCAGTGGGTGTTTTACCCGTCAGCATCCGGCGGATCGATGCCAAGCGCAGAGGCCTTGAGCGCGCTAGCTGAGCGCATTCGGCATGCACGCACACAGAACCCTGAAGATTTGGAGATTGTGCGCAGTTATTTCCGCTCGGGACCCAACGAAACGGACGTGCGTAGCTTTTCGCAGCTCATTGGACCAGTAACGGAGGTTCGAAATCTTGCTGGAGCAGCTCTGGGAGGTGTTCCTGGAGGCCTGAGGGGGGCCCCAAAGAGAGCAGGTCGCAAGGCAGCAGAAGGTAGAGCAGAGGGCGGAGAAGCTAGCGATGAGAGAGTCATCAAGCACAATACGCACATGTTTCAAGGATCGGCTTCGTCTGGTGCGAGTCAACAGGACCAACCTGAGCCCTCGCAGTCAAACGCAAGTGGAGCGCCGTCTAGTAAGGGGGCTGGAAAGAGACCGAAAGCGAAAGCGAAATCTAAAGGCGCGAAGGCCAAAGCAGCATCCGCAAATGCTGTGGGAGCAAAGCGTCAGAAACGAAACTGAGCATGAGGATTTTTTGCGCCTCTACGTTGCTGTCAGACTGAAACTTCCCTCCTCGACGTAGAAGTTGAGTGAAAATATCTAACGAAAAACATCAAAATAATGCGATGCTGCGGCGGCTTTTCTGGTTCCGACTAGTACTGAGTTTTCCAAGAGTGTTCGATAACTGGCAAGGCTGATACGATGTCAGTCTAGGAAAAGAGAAAAAGCCTGAGATCCGTCAGTTCACAGTGACAGTATTCTTGATGTTTTATGATCATCTTTAACGCTGTTCTAGTCGATTTTCGTCACTGGGATTTTGTTCTATTGAAGAGAAAGAAGATCAGCGCAAATTTGAAGTTCTTGCGGAGGAGGTTGTGGGTCTTCTTGAAACGAAGATCAAGTACTTACATATGACCCGAAAGCATTCTTGCGGATGCGGTATTTCGCGAAGATCTGCCAGATCCTGATCGTTCTTCCAAAATGATTAGTAGTTTAGTTATGATAAGAAATTGTTTGATGACCAGGACATAACTCATTCTGGTTTTTCTCCTCTTCATCAGGAGTTATATCGTGCTTTTGTTCCATTCGTGAATTGTTGCTGGCTACAAATGACTTCCAGAGCATTCATCTTCTGATGTCAATCAAAGTCTTCAATAGTTGATAGAGGAAGAGGAACAATATGGCAGGACGTGGTAAAAAGGTGAATGCGGGACAGCCTGTGAGGCGTACCGAACAAGCAAAGAAAGGATCTGAGCGACAAGCTCCAGTGAGCCGAGGTAAGACGTCTACTGAGGTGAAGGAAAGGACAAAGGATATACACACTGAAAAGAAGACCACAGCAGCCACAAAAACAAAAGTAGCAGAGAAAACTTCGTCCACAGCAGTGAAGCGAAAAAAGCAGAGTGCCCCATTGGCTAATAACCCATTTGCAGCTCTTATGGGGCTAGCAGGGACAGCGAGTGACTCGGACTTGGAGGAAGCATCGGCCGACGTGGAAGAACGTGACAACTATGATGACGACGAAACTAGCCACCACGATGAGGACAGAACAGATGAGAAAAGCACTGCCGAGACTGAACAAGACGATAATGCAGATAAAGAAAGCGTAGACAATTGTGACGAGGATGATGAAAGCAAGCAAGGTGACGACAATTCCGCCGAAGCTGCTTCGTCTAGCAAGACTAATAGGTCTCCAAGCACAACGTCACGCCTGTTGTCGTTTCCTGGAGGCATTATCGGCGAAACGATTTCAGAGGGCAGTGGTGACAAGCGTGTGCGTGTGGGTGATGTCGTAGAGGTGAAGTACAAAGTGTACTTGGTGCAGAAGCTACTTGATACTGCTGATAGGAGTCAACAAGGAGGTGCAACTTCTAGTGCCACTGGAGGTGCTACAGCTGGCGTATCAGATACTAATGAAACATCAAGAACTAAGCCAGAAGCAGAACGACGACAGGCTTTTTCGGCATCAAATATCGCTGGCAGCATCTCGGAAAGAGTCTTCGCACTCTTGCCTGGTCGATTAGTTCCCGAAGAACCACAAGTAAATGCCGCTCAGGCAGACGGGACACCAAAAACGGAAAGTTCTTGTGCCTCTAGTGCATCTACTTTCGCTCCAAGAACATCAAGCGAAAATGTTGATGAGAGTCAACACAAAGTCAAAACTATTGTATTGGAGGACACTTCTTTTTCTGCCCAAATGAGAAAGAATGATGAGTTGCGACTCGCTGCCTCAACGGCACCTTCGTTGGACGACTTTTTGAAACTGGTGCAGACCCATGGCCTTAAGGGTTCTTCCATATTGGAGAAGGTTAAGCCTGCTGACAAAGGCGAGGTCGATTGGGTCTGCGGCACTCACGGCATGATTCAGGGCTTCGACCAGGGCGTCCGCGGAATGCGCAAAAGCGAAATCCGCAAGTTCTTCGTGCCCAGTAAGCAGGCTTACGGGAAAAAGGGAGCTGCGGGAAAGATCCCGAAAAACGCGGATCTAGTTTTCCTGGTGCGAGTAGAAAAAATCGGCATAGATTGGGACGGCGAAAATAACGTGTTGTCATCGACTGTGTCAGGAAGAAAGCGGAAATACACGGCGAAAGAGCGCGACATACGTAACCGTAGGGCTAAAAAAGCCAAGAAAAGTTAATAATTGTTGAGCTTGAACTCAGGAGAGAACACAAGAAACAACATTGCACTTGCATTCATCTGGCACCCTTGACCTCACGATTGAACTTTATAAATATATTGTGAATCTCAAAACTTATCCCACACGCAACTGGACCTCCTACTGCAATGCAGTTTCGACTGCGTCGAATCAACATTCTTCACAGGCGTAACAAAGCATCACACGGCTTTCTCCACACATGCCTGGGTCCTACTTCTCCGGGAAGCAGATGCATTTGAGGTCCCTAGATAAGTGTTCATCACAAGGTGCTGATCTTTCAGTTCGCGTCCACGCACGAGAAACTGAACCTAAAGCTAGAAGATCAAGATCATCATCACTATGTGGACTGAGAAGTGGAAGTCTTCGTGAAGAAATAACGGGGGAATATGAAAAGATTTAAAACATTCATGTTAGCAATTCTATTAGCACCTCTACCTGCTCGAAAGTCCGAAGATTCTCATGGGTCACTTCAATACTTGTACGTATACTGCATTTCACAAAGTACAAGCTGGAAAATGCGCTCGGTGTTAGTTCTTGCCTGATTCGTACGAGTCAAGAGATTGGCATCGCGAGTTTTTGAAGAGCAAGGTGACACTAAGATTAATGATACCTTGCTGTTGTAGACAAGCTAGTTGTGACGGACTTGCTTCAATGCTCGAGGAAAGCTCTCACTGATTTCCTGAAGTACAACATTCAGTACCACTTGTGTCCCTCTGAATAAAATCACCTTCCAAATAGACAAGATATCATCTTCAGCATTGATTACAAAATGCCATCCGCCGTATCTGCTGCTCCCTTTGATCCCACTGTTCTTGCGGATGAGCTGGGCGAGGATGTCGACGACTCTTTGCTTATGGCCTCGGTCAGCGTGATTCATGCTTGCGAGGAGTGGTTATCTTCTCCAGATTGGGCCAAGTCTCTCCGTGTCGCGTACGAAAGAGAGTGCTACGGACAAGGGACCTCGGACCGCAACATCGCAATGCATGTGTGGCTGGATACTGTAAAAGCGGTACATCACGACATGGCAATATCCTCCATACCCTCGGAAGGGAGTTTATGGGAACCATCTTGTCATGTGGGTTCTTACTGATGTCGTGTCCAAAAAAGTTAGTTTTTTCATCTTGCATCTTCTTCCTTCGATAGAAAACTGCTAGCAAACTAAGGATGAGGACCTCAGACTGTCTGACTCAGATTCAGATACCTCAGCAGGATGTCAAGTAAGGCATCGGAGGTATTGCTTACAAAAAGCGTTTCGAGCACGACCACGATAGCCATCCCTACCTCTAACAACGCCAGTTCCTGGCTTCGCCGGTGTTCACCCTGCCAACCTGCAGCAGCTTCAGGCTATGCTTCCGGAACCTGATGACGATTTTATCCGGACATGTTGTGAGATGCTCCGCACACAGACAGCGGGAGAGGACTTCCAGTTCCCCTCGTGGCTCGAATTACAGAAAGAAGGCATTTCAGACTACGATAATTTCGTTGAGATGACGGAAGCTGTGTTCGTGCAGATTTAAGATGAGCATCTGGAAAGTTGTTCCTGAGTCATAATATAAATATTCACTTTTACATACCTTTTCTTCGAGAATCATTTCTAAGAATTACTATGGATCTTTTTTGATGAACGATTCAAAGATCTTTTCTAAGAAGCGGCACATTGTGCGGAGCTGCTTGCGGCCCAGCTTTTCGGTGCGTTGGGTAAGAACAAGGGCCAGGACATTGACGCGGCAGAGGACGCCGGTGGGCGTGGCGCGGGTTCGATGAACATAATGGCTGATCCTATGATTCGATCTAGCCTGCTAAAGGCACATGGAAGAGACCCAAGTGTTTGTGGGGTACAGACCAGAAACTCCTAATTTCTATTTCAGGGTTCATCAACTACATTCAGCACTTTTCTTGAGGAATCACAAATGATCATGTTGAAGGTTTACATAACATAGCGTTGTACTTGTAGACACGCACTAAGCTAAGATAAAACTGATTTCGACGATGTGAAACAAAAAAAAAATAGAAACATGGTGTTATGATCATTTGATCTGAAAATTGTGAGGTTTTCTCTTCGCGCTATGATGAGGACAACAGCCACCAGAATGTCCTGCCTCTAAGATCGAACTACAATGTCCTTCTCCTTTGACAAGGGAGATTCTTTTCGTTTTCTGGGGATGATCACCATAAAGCACCAAAAGAAGATGAGACGATCCCTCAAAGATCCGAAAATCTGATCCATTAAGGTGGTTGATCGGGATATTATTGGAAAGAGCAATCACGAAGGTCTTCTACCAAGATCCACTGATTTCCATAACACCAGGATCATGCACCAGATATAAGATCAGAAACACCATGGGCGTTCTAGTAAACAAGAGACTTGTTCAGGAATACTTACATGACTCTGCCTTGTTCCCATTGACATCTTAGTTTGAAATTACAGGTCGAATTTGGACCGCCCATCATTCTTCATGGTTGGATGCTTGTTGTACGTACTTGAATTAGAATTATTCTTGTACTGGTTCTGATTCCAAAAAAATATCTTTGCTTATTGATTCTAGTTGCTGTTAGTTCCGTTTCTTGCAATGGATTCTTTTTGGGGAGTGACTTGCACTTAAATTGTTGCAACCATCTTTCTAGAGTGCGACAACATCAAGAATAATGTTGACCAAGTAACCTTCGACGACAGTATTAAGAAAATGAAGACAACGTCTTTAAACGACTTGGACGCCCAGCTGGCTGCTCTCGAGGGAGATAGCGGCTCTGATTATGAGAACGCCTCGGAGTCCGAACCATCATGTGCATCCTCTGCGAGCAGCGACATAGTATGGTCATCGGATGAAGAGGCTGGCGCAGCCCCATCTCCGCCAAAGAAACCAAGGCGAGATAGCGCGGATGAGAAGGCGAAGGCAGAAGAAAAGAAGAGTAAGAGGGAAGCAAAATTAGCGAGGAAAAACGCGAAGAATAATGGTGCGAAGCTTGCAGACGCGGAGAAGTCCTCGCCGTCGTCTCCGAAGAGTTCTACGAAAGACAAAAATGCGTCGTCAATAAGCGGAAAACAAGACCAGCAATGCAAACAAGTCCCTGACATTGAGGAGGAGGAGAAGAGGCGACAAGACGCGAAGAGGCGGATACGACAGCACGCGCAAAAGGGGTTTTCTAAAGTGTGTTTTCGTTTCGTCCGCGATGGGCAGTGCAAATTTGACGACTGCCTGTTCGAGCACAAAGCAATGCGTCACTTCTCGGAGGAGGACCTAGTCCGGTTCCGCAAAGAGCTGGAATACAAACCCTTTGAGCAGAAGATCGCGGACCAACTGAGGGAGCTGAACATCCCGAGTTGCAAGGACTACAACCGCACCGGTGACTGCAAGAAGGGCGCAAAGTGCAACTTTTGGCACATCTCCAACGCACACGTAGCTCGTTGGGCTGGCTTTCCGTACTATTGCGAGCTGTGTTGGAAACCGATAACGAGCAAAGACGCGTGGGACGAGCACGTGGCAAGCAAAAAGCACCTTCAGAATGCAAGACAGTGGGGTGGGGCTACGACTAGTTCTTGGCAACCATCGTCGTCGTCCAGCACATCAACATGGTGTCGGGAAATACAGGACGAAAATGATGCTAGAAAGAATGAGAAATCCAAACCTAGTGCCACTGCTGGTCAGTCTGATGCATCGAAGTCGACAACACTGTTCTCCTTGAATAGAGATGATACTGGCAAAGCATCCGCTGCGGAAGTTCATGCGATATCAGAATCTGGTGCCGAGCAACATAGAGCAAGGAAGAAAAAGCGACCAGCTGAGGAGGACAAAGCGGCATCATCAGCAGCATCGGTAGCGTCAATATCAGAGGCTAAAAGCACAAATCACGACACTGTGGAAACAAAGAAGAAGCCAAAAAAGAGGAAAGCACGTCCTGATATGGCATAGCTAAAGATGGGCTGACTTTTTCTCTGCAACACGAACATAATCACCTCTTGCATGCGGAAGTGCTGCATTTTTCCCTTACCCTCATGCCCACATTAAATCTCAACTGTCAACATTAACATCCGCTGTAGCTCAGCCGCCGGTTTTATTGGCTTTTTATGGTTTCGAGCAAAACCATTTAATATGTACATAAGTTGTAAGTAAGAAGGTGTTTCTAGTACTGATGATCGACAGTTTCACTCGCGTCGGTTTGGCTTTCGCCAGTAATAAAGTTGAAATGAGTCAAATCTCTGTCGTTCGCATTATATTTTCTGTTGTTGACTTACGTTCGCTTTCCCTTTCGGTTTTTCGGATCTCTGTCGGTTGACATCCTAAAAGATGTGCATCGATTATTTAAGTTTCATAGTCGGTCGTGCGTCGTGACGTCATTTCTAGTGCGATTTCTCTTGAGTGTCGGAGTATTATTGTGCAGGAGTCGTGAGAGTTGATCGTCCCCGATGGAAGCGGCCTTGAACCTACTTAGCTTTACAAGGTAATTTATCAAGAGAAAGCATGATATTGATCGGCATGCGCGTGGGCATACGCATGTTTTCCCGTAAGAAAGACAGTTTATTAAAGTTAAAATAGGACACACAGTAAGCAAAATAAACGGATTGCATGCAAAATTTGATGACTACTTAATTTTGATACCGACGTCTCTGTCTCAGAGTCTATGTATGTCTAATCTTCTATCATTAAAGATTAAGATTTCTTAGGCATCATGACTGTCTCCACTAGTCTTCTCCCGAATTTCGCTAGTGCGCTGGATGCCGGGCTCGTAATGCGTGCTGACGCACCGCTAAGCGGTCACATAATAGGAGATGGATCTTCTAGCGGGCCATCTAGTAGAGTTGGAAGCGGGACGAGTTTTGGACGACTTTCCAGTATGAGAATATTGTGCACCGGTTCTTCTTCCGCGGCGTCGAGCAGGAGTTCCAGCGGCAGTTGTGGTACGACCAGATGGCCTGCTGCGAGGACTGCCTCCAACTCTACGTCCTTTTTGTCCGAAGCCTCTGCGTCCTCGTCCTCCTTCAGAACTCTGACAACGAGCTCTACGTCATTTTACGCAAAATTTGAGAAGGTCCCACTGTGTGAGGATTTGGATCCCGGTGTTTTGCGTGGTGGAGAGAGTTGCTATTCCGATTGTGGTAAGACACGGGTCAAGCAGAAGTGCGATCGGACTGTGCTAGAAGATGGCTTGCAATTTCAAAAAGACGAGGGCTGCCAGAGCAAAGTTGAATGCATAGCCGAAAGTCGCGTTCTCTGCAAAGCAGTTGGAGGAGTCAGTATTATTTTTACATTTGTAGTGTTGACATGAGATGAAACTGAAAACTTCGAATGTAGGTAGGTTGTAGTTTTCTAATCCATTTTTTAGGTATAAATTCTTGTCCGGACGAGCATGCTTTGTCTTTCTTTCGATTCGACTTGAAGATTTTCATTCTTTTCTATTCATCCCCGGAGAAGCCTTTCCGCATCTATCTATCAGGTGAAGCAAGCGTTGGTTTTGTGGCGGTTGTACTAGCGGCGGGCCTTTCCCGTACTTCAGCAATATTGACAGGCGATCAGAAAATGCTTGATGAATGGCCAAGAGAACTTGAACCACGCAAAGAAAGGCCAAAGACAACAGCGAATTCGCTCCCGGCACCACGAATACTTTCATCAAAACAATTCTGCTCAAATGATTTCTTCTGATTAAGACTTATTGCGCCTTTGCGTTTGCGAGCAGCGAGCTACACCGGCAGTGACTAGTACTTGCATGTACAGTAACGTGTGATGCGATACTTTTGTCGGACAAAGAAGAGCCTATCCGAAAACATCAATGCGGTGCTGTTTCGTTGGTCTGCTTCGAGCGCTACGACGGACGAATTCGATTTTTTGGTAGGGCGAAGCAGTCAAATCAGATTGTCGAGGTTTGTTTCGACAGTCGTAAGTTGCGCTCTAGATTGTCGATCGATAGTCAGTCGTAAAAAAGATTTTCCATCAGTCATTATGAATCGCCTATTTGTCGTGGTAAAGTCGTTATCGTATAGATTCGCTATTTCTACTTCTTGTCAGACAAACTGGATACTACTCAGAATTAAGGTATTCTTAAGTAAATGGGCTGTCTATGTTCGAAATCAAAAAGCTTCTATTTTTTCATTGCTCAATCATGTAGATGGATAGGTAGAAAATCTAAATCATTTGAAGGAGTAGTTCCTTGCTGCATATCATTCACGTACAAGAAAACGACGACGTACAACGTCTCAAGCAGACATAAGTACACGTACACCTACGACCACAAGGAAAACGAAGCAAAGAACACCATCAACAACACCCATTACACGGCATCTGTCATCGTCTAGTACAGTTCGTTGTAGTAAGTTCTTCATCTTCACCGTCGACCACTAGTTGAAGGGGTCCGCTGAGTCCCTTCACAAGAACCGGCCACGAAGATGAAGAAAAGCTCCTCCTCAAAGATGAAGAAAAGCTCCTCACCCGGCCATCATGGTAAGCGTGGCCGTTCTGCAGATGGAAAGGACAAGAAGAAAAGTAGTTCTTCGCGCTCTCCAGAAAGAGGTAAAAGTAAATCCGGTAGTAAAACAACATCCCCGTCAGTAGCCGATAGGGAGGCGAAGCGAGAACGGGATAGGGTATGATTTCAATTTCTTGATATCTTCGCCTTTGAAATGGTAATTTCAGGCCTCCATAATTTCTTTGTTCTAACATTGTTTACGCTTGCATCTTTCCCTAAAGAGGCTCTTAATAATAAAGTGTCATGCTCATGTCATGATCTCAATACAACATCAACATCACCCTCACTGTTTAGGCAAAGCAACTTGAGGATGCAGTGCTTTTAGAACGGGCTGAGGAATATCTTGCGGCGCTGAAAAAGCGTGATAAGCTGGATTTCCAGCTCAAAGCCGCACAAAATCGGATAAAAGAGATGCAGTACTCCAACTTCTCACTAGAACCTATGTGAATGATGGTCAAGCAAGTCGAGTGGAAGTGGTCACAGCTTCATCGAGTTACTACAGCTTGATCTTGTTGCATTCCTTTTCTTTGCACAAGCACAATTCCGAGATTTTTTACTACAAAAAATTCTTTCATGGTACAAAAAAATGTCTCCTTTATTTATCCGTTTCTATCTTCAGGGAGGAGCAGCGTTTTTTAGTCGATGAACTGGGAAAGGTTGATGTTGAAGGGGAAGTAAGGTTGAAAGCCAAGGACAAGGAGCTGGAGATAGCACGCGAACAATTGCGGCAAGCCGTTCATAAGGTGCATTACGACGCGATAGAAAACGAATTTGCACTCGGCAATTCGCCTCCGTCGCATAAGATTCTGACAGGTTCTGGCTCGCCAACTGCACACCTGCATGTGCCACGACCTGAAGACGTTTGGGTGGATTCAAAAGACTATAAGAGGTACAGATGAGCCTGTTGAAAAAAAGACTATAAGAGGTACAGATGAGCCTGTTGAATAGTCTATAAGAGGTACAAATGAGCTGGTTGAGTATTTCTTTGTTTACAGTTGGTATAAGAGGTACAAGTGAGCATTACTTCAAGTCAATTTCTACTTTTTCCGAGAAAGTCGAAGTCGTGAAGCATTAACATGAAGAGTACACGTTATCCTTAGTTATCCTTATCGGTATTGCATTTTACTCATGTTCGTTGCACATGCAGTCTTTGTCTCAGCATAGTACTATAAGCAGTGGCGTCGTCCATGAAGACGAACCAGAGAGCAACGAGTGAAGGACCCAACAAGTCGAAAGTTGTGGCATTTTTTTAGCTCTGAACGGCGAGGATTAGATGAAGATGCAAAGAGATGCAATTGCACTACATTTTGTGTACCGTTAACAAAAAAGAACGATAGGAGGCAGTCATATTCTAGTCTGCGTGCAAGAGCTCGGGATGCTTGACCAGAGTAGTCGGTCCTTGATGTAGAGCGGCCATGCAAGATGTTGGAGATGGATTCTGAAGGAGCACGATGAGTTGGAAAAAGGTCACGCTTTTCTTGAAAAAGGGACGTTTTTCTTGAAAAAGGGACGCTGGGACCTGCTGGAGCTGAAAAGAAAACAAAGTTTGGAGTGCTGAACAAGGACATAAGTTTGAGAAGCGAGTTGTAGAGCGAAAGCTAAATTTTAGTTTTAATATAGCTGTAGGACGAATACACGGAGTAGGTACTTACAGAATTGATTTCTGCGCGACCGGGGCCGAGAGAGAAGAGCGGGAAAAGTTGCTTTTGGAAGGAGGATGTACATGTAGTCGTTGTTTTTGTGAGAAGTTAAATTGAAACAAACTATCTAAAATGAGTAAAAATTTCCAGTTTCTTTGGTTGATCACAATTGTTCTGTATCAACACCATGACGTAAAAGTCCCGGTTGGCGTGCTTTGATAGGGTGCCGCCTCCGGTCGACCCTGTCGGACGGCGGGCGCCGTATATCTTGTCGAGCATCTTCTACTGGATCACCTGCCGCAGCTGCTTCGCGCCTGATGACGTAGCCGCGTGAATCGCATCTTGGTCACCGCAGTTTCTTCGCACGCTATGGCGTAGCCGCAGGAGTCCTATCTTATTGGCCCGACAAGCGCAAGCAAGTGACGCAAATTTGGCCAAAATGCACAGATATACAACATTTCAATGCGGTCGAACGCGAATGATAAAAGTAGAACGGGGCGAAAAGTATCTATCAAGTACGAAAGTGACGCACTTGGAGTCGGAGGTCTAGGCACACCAACGTCCATCGCCTTATCGACGACAGCTCTGAATTAACCTCTGCATGCGCACCAGCAGGAGACGAAGCACATCAATTACATGAGCCGTAAATTTTAGCAGCAGGTGCAGCTATTGGGTCTACAGAATCGCTATTGTTGCCGACGAGGACCCAGCCTTCGAAGTGTTACAGTCAGATGACCTTCTTCTAGGCTATTTAACGAAGAAGAACTAGCAAAGGGGTCTTCAACATACTCTCGTCTAGGGGTCTTCAACATCCTTTACAACAAGGAACAGGAGTATGCCGACAGGAAAGCCGCCTACTACCAAATAACGCGATCGGCATTCATTCGAGACACAGTAGAGTGCTGGGGAAAAGCCGGCGCCGACCAAGCCGAATGCTACGCCAAGCTCCAAGCCAAGTACTTCGCAAGACACGGGAGAGAGCAAGAACTCACCAAGAACGAAATCCGTCAAGGCTGGACAACAGAAACAATCAGATGCTCGGTAAAAGGAAGCAATAAGTTCAGAATCACCCACAACTCTCGAGAATCGTTAGTCAGTGCCATCATCCCTTCGGACGGAGGACACGTGCCACAGATAGGAGGTGCATTCATCCACTCAGGCACAATAGGTCAAGGAGGAGCTGAGGCGTACACCGCCACCATCCCGAGGAGAGGAGGCGGATTAGGCCCACTGAGAAAATTCAGATTGCAAGCGCTACAGCCAATATGGGTAACAGTAGTGGTCGTTGGCTCCCCACAGTCACATCAGACTAAGAAATCACTAGAGGCAATGGAAGCGCAGGGCACAGTTTGGCTAGAAGACAAACAAACTACGATACAGGCGGGAGAAGCACAGGGATCCCAAATAATTGAGGCAAGTAGATGGACGGCTTTAGTGCTACCAGAGTGCGACATGGTCGAATTCGCGCTTATGCCGACAGTATCGTGCTTTCTAGTATCCGAAGTGCACAACCTAGAGGCACGCTGGATATGGCAGTCGAGGCCAACTTTATCACAGAGGTCGTGTTCGATGTGCGCAATGGGATCGCCAATATGCTTCTCACACGAATGTAGGAGAAGCAAAGCACTACAAAGGAACATTGAAAGGGGCATTGCTCCTCCGGCAGTAGTCCCCACAGAATTATCCCAGCGGATGCAGATACTAGCAGATGACTATCTGAAAGAACAGGCACTTGAAGAAGCGCCTAAGGTGGCCAGTGCGGGCAGAGCATTCAGATTGGTCCGCAAAATGGGTCCGAAGCGGCATGGCAGAAATCAACATCCACAGAGATGGAAATGTGATAGATGCAAGATATCCTACCACACAACGTATGGAGCCATGCAGGAGCACTCCAAAGCGCACAAAATAGAAGACTTCATAAAAATTGGAGTGATAAAGAGTCGAGCACGAAAGGAGACCCTGTCGGTAGGATCCATCCGATGGGAATACAGACCTGAACAACATGCCCACAACCCACGCACGGGAAAAAGCTACATCGGTTCGGATGCGGTACTCCATGAAATACGAGTGCCTCTGACGTCGTGGAAAGATGCAAATAGGCTAGAAATTCGATGCAGAAAATGCAAAAAATGGTGTCTGGAATACAACGAGGGAATGACACTAATGCAAAAGGCCAAAAGGGTGGAGATCATGCGCAACCATGAAGCGCGCTGTAGATCGAAGTAGAGTAGTCTCCCCTTACACCCCTGGAGTGGGTACATTCATTCATTCATTCAACTCAAGAGCCACAAGATGGGGAATTCGCATTGCTACGGGCATTATTACGCCTGCGCCTGTTTTGGTGCTGATGAGATCGCGGCGAAAGAAACGTGGGGCGAGTTCAAGGGCTTTGCTGAGCCAGGATTTCACTGCTTTCCGATTCCATGTGTCTACAACACGAACGACATGATAGCAACCACGAGGCTGCAATTCCATACTACCAATTGCGAGACGAAGACAAGGGATCAGGTTTTTTGAGGAAATGAATAAATTGCGACTCTCTGACTCTTTATTAGGTTTAGACAATAATAGGGTTAGGGTGGAAGTAGATTACTTACATGGCACTACCTAGAAGTACTAGTTTACCAAAACTAAAAAGTATGTATCATCATCATGTACACGTACAGGAAATCAATGCAATTATCGATCATAATTGTAGTAAGGCAGCACGGCAGCATCAAAACACCAGAAGAACCGCTCGAACTCACCTAGCAGCACATGAATCATGATCTATTACGTAGATGATTTGAAAACTAGGTCTTTGTCGAACTTGCCGTACAGTTGCAGTATCGGGTAAACACAGATGATCCGTACAACGTTTTCTACAGAGTCGATTCCATTGAGGATAAGCTGAGCTCATTCGTCAAGGACATTATTCGGGCCCAGATACCAACTATGGACCTGGACGAGGTCTTTACAGACTCGGTTCGCGTCAAAAAAGACATGAGGGAACGAATGAATCGTACTAAGTAGTTATCATGATCTTACTTTGCTCCGTTTCCGTAGAAGCAATGGCAATGTTGGGGGCATCATCTGTACGACTGTAGCCACTGATGTAGTGATAACATCACGGTCTCTCTTGGTCGTGATTTATTTGATTGGCATACTCATTGGTTCTCAATTACTCACCAAATAATATATAAAAAGAATAATCTTAACCAATGTGAAATAGAGTATATTGGGCCATCGAGCTACTTCATCTGCAGCCCACCTGATGAATATTTCTTGTGACTCCTTCGCGCCAAGCCGCATAATTACCTTGTTGAAGGCCTCAAAAAGATCTTACTAAATCTAGAAAACTCGCTTTAGCAACCCTCTGTCACTCATACAATCTAGAAAACTTCACCTTTCTCCTAACTAAAGCCGTCCTCGCTGGTTTCGGTTACCAACTCGTCGACACGCTGATAGTAGATTTGAAGCCGAATCGCGTCGTTGCTGCATCGATGAACGAGATTCAAGCGGAGCAGCGGCTAAGGGTAGCTGCCTACGATCGCGCCGAGGCGCAAAAGATCATGACTGTGATCCAAGGTGAGGCGGAAGCAGAAGCAAAGTTCCTTCACGGTAAGGCTACAGCGAGTATGCGCAAGGCGATTATCGATGGTCTCAAGAGCAGCTTCACAGACTTTGAGGCGAACTTGGTAGCCAAAAACGAAAGCGTGTCAAGACATCAGGTAGTAAACTTATTTAAGTTGTATGTGGTCTTTTCAGCTGTCACAACACCGCTCTATATCGACATCTTGCAACAATCAACACAGCATCTTCTCCGATGAACACAATTTCATCACACAAGCACAGTCACAAGCCCGTCCTACCCTCTATAACATCCAGCTTTTTCTTCAGGTAATGGATCTGCTATTGATCATCCAATATTTCGATTATCTGGCGGAAGTCGGGGGCGGAAAATTTTCTACGAAGCCGGAGTCGAAAATAGGCGAAGTAAGTTTCCTGTACCACAACCCTGGCGCGATGGCAGACATGCGAAAGATCATTCAGAATTACATACAAAAAGGCGCTGACGAACCTGCGGTGTGAGGACGTGAAGCTGCTAGTGACCATTATCACGAGGAAGCACTGCTACTGCACTTCAATTGCTCGTATGCTTGGGTACAATTCTCAGGCCTACACGCTATTGTCGAGGATTATCAGCAGCAGTCATGATGGGGGTTCTGGCTGTTTTGTCAGGGCGCGGAGGTAATGACAACATGTGACCTTCAGTTATCATGACGAGCACGAGGCGGTTATGAGCACCTTGATGTAGTCAAACTCTCCTGCTTTTGGATGGCTTTGTCCGTGCAGACTCAACGACATTCCTTCACGATCGTATCCCATTTGCCATTTCAATCCCCACGACATCGTCAAATACTTGCGCAAATATAGGAAGTCAAAGCCTCATCATGAGGCTTTCATGCACGACAGAACAAAGATTGTGGGTTCGCTTTTTCCAAGCGAGATTCTGAGGCATTTGTAGTTGTCCGAGAGGAGCAGACAACAACAAGATACTCATAAACTGGAACTGCGCAGGAATCATATTAGAAGAGAGCAAAGTTCTTGTGCTCCAACATAATTCCAACAACTCCTTCTAAAAAGAACAGTGGATGTACTTGGCGCTAAAAGTCGAGTAAAAACAAAACGAAAAAGATTTTTTTGAATCTGAAGAAATCACAGCTTTGTTGTGCAGTTCACTCTATTCCATCAGCTAAGAACCACTGAATTTCACAAAGCTATCACGAACGAGTAACCGCATCCTTGACGAAGGAGCTTCGTACGAGACTCGCAATTTTCATCGACACAAATTAAGAGAAGCTTGCACGTGCGTCGACAGACTACCGTAACAACTTCTACCGTGTTGGAAAGATCGTGTTCCACTCAGTTGTACTCTGTTTGAAGACCTGCAGGAGCGCTGCGACAGCGAGAGCGACTACAGGCACTTGTGCCGGACACGACTTGCTTTGGATTGGCGAAGTTGCGACAGTCTCTGCCGCACACTTGATTGCGGCAAAACCAAAATGCTAGGGAATTCACAACGTGCCGGTCATGAGGACTGTTACTGCTGTCTCTTCGTACCGCAGGATAGTGTTGCAATCATAGAACACTTCGGAAAGTTCGACCGCGCAGCGCCAGCAGGATTTCTTTGTCTCAAATGCCCAGGCGTGTGGGTAGTCAGGGACCTCGTCACGCTCAGGGTGCAGCAGCGATTCGTCGAGGTCGAAACGAAGACAAAAGACAATGTCTTCGTGCAGATACAAGTGGCTGTACAGTGTACTATTTGATACGTTCTTCTAGCATTTTAGTTTCATATTCATATTTGTTCCGCTTCCGGCCCTCCTGGTTCATTAAGAACGATGATATAAAAATCATGATAGATAATGTACAGATGGTATTACAACTTCTGGCAGCATAAATGATTGATTCGTCCCCTCTTTCCAACTTTCAGTTGAAGTGATTCCGGGTCGAGTGGAGGACGCCTACTACCGATTAGCACAACCAGCAGCGCAGATCTACGCTTATGTCTACGACGCGGTACAGTCTTCTGATACATCATGATCTTCTGACTCATCAATCATCATTGGAAGATCTTCTCGTAATGAAAATGATAATCATAAGAAGAAGATGAATACTTCCTTGACTTACTTACCATACTTATATATACTTCCCTTACCTATAACCTATTCTTGCTTGATGTGCAACACTTTTTGCCTCTACTCGTGTCCGTTCTTTATGAATTGGGGAGTTTCCACCTTGCGCATTTCCACCCTTGCCAGAAAAGAAAAAAAAAACTTTCACGATGAGCGAGGTTGCTTCGGTGCCTGACTAGGCTTTGGCACTTCGCGACACCTTGCGACTACTGCATGTAGACCCCATTCCAGGCGTCAGCGCCATCGGTTGGAAGCGACACCCGACGGAGAGAGAGGCGGGCCAAAGAGATGGGCAAAAGGTGGCCTTCCTTCTGCAGTTGGTCGATGCTTCTGACCATCGCTAGAAACCCGAAGGAGACCAGATCCGCAACCGTCGCAGTGGGGCGATTGGTCACGATTTTGCCCACTTCCACCCTTACCCGAGAAAAGCCTGATCAGATCTTGGTCAGGTGCCTCAATTTGGGACAGGGTGGACCAGGGCAAAAACGTGACATCCCGATGGCGTCATATTTATTGGGGTGATTGGTCACGTTTTTGCCCACTTCCACCCTGTCCCGAATTTCTCCAATTTGAGTCCAGGAGGCCTGCCAAAATGCTGGACAGGGTGGAACAAGGCAAAAACGGGACCAACCACCCTAATGCGACGCCAAGAAAAGCCCAGGCCTCGCGAAATCTGGCCTCAGGTCTCGGTGGATCCGATCAGGGCGAGAGGGTGGACGACCTGACCCGAACCCCCGACCCAACACCCCATGGCCTCTGAGGTTGTCTGTTGAAAGCCCACATCTGTCGCCCGCCGCGCATGCCTGCCCTGTAAATCCACCAGCAGCCGCTGCCACTCTCATGAGCAACTTGGGCCAATGGGATCACTATCCCACTTTCCTCCAAAAAACATTTTTTTTTTCATTCAGGGGTAGAACCAGGCAAGGTGGAAAGTCCCCACTTCATATTCTTTGAGGTGGAAAAGCGCATCGTTGTACAAACCCTTTTCAGGTCCGATCAACCATTCCTAACATGAATCTGGACGAGGTTTTTGAGAACAAGAGCCAAGTTTCGGCAGAAGTGGAGACTCAGGTGGCAGAAGCGATGATGAGTTTTGGTTACAAAATTCACGGAGCGTTGATCGTGGATGTACTTACTTTTTTTTGTATAATTCTTTTTTGAGTGAATCTGAGTAACTCCTGTAACACGCCATCTACAGAGGGATCGTTGGCATCGAATATTATGTGTCTCCGACTTCTGATTTGCGTGGGATACAAGTTTACCATGAGTACACGGCCGGTACTCACTGAAGAAAGCTACAAAAACCATCTCCGCCAATATATCATTCTCATCTTCGATTTCGATAGTCCCCTACGCGCGACCTACGGTGTCCTCCATTTCAATTGATGTCTAGATATCTCCCGCAGCAGCAGTGAAGAATAGTATGAATGAAATCAACGCCAACAAGAGGAAGCGGATTGCTGCTGCAGAGGTCGCGGAGGCGCAGAAAATTTTTTCAATAAAACGTGCAGAGGCGGAGGCTGAGAGCAAATATCTTCAAGGTATTTTTAGTCTTGAAGTTGTATCTCTTATTTTTTTTGGATCGTGTAATTTCTTTATCGCCACGAAGGTATGACATGACACGACTCTCCTTTCAATAGCCCACATCCATGTACGTAGTGCAGTCGGTTTTCCCACAACATGTTCATTTTCTACGTCCTCCTCCTGTTCCATCAGGTGAGGGCATCGCGCGGCAGCGACGAGCTATTGTTGAAGGACTCAGAGATAGCGTGAACGAGTTCTCAGAGCGGATTGAGGGCATGAAGGCAAAGGACGTCTTGGAATTGGTCTTGATAACGCAATATTTCGACACACTCAAGGATATTGGAGAAAAAACTACGACAAGTACCGTGTTTGTGCCACATAATCCGGGAGCATTAGGTCAATACTCGAAAGAAATCCGAGATGGAATGGCAAAGTAAGAGTTTTTTGGCTCTTTACTTCCTGATTTTCTTAGCATGTGAACTTCCAGCCTGCAATAACGTCTTTTCTCCCTTCTTTTCTAAGACTTTCACTGCGCAAAAGTTTTAGATTGTTGTGACGACCATGACCAACCTTTTATTTTGGATTTGGACGTCGTATTGGTAGTATCCCCTTCCTCTCCTCCTGATTCACGAAAGTACCTCTGAATCTCCAGGCTACAGTACTTTTAGACCCGTATCACGTTACCAGACGCGTGCTGTCAGGTATACAATTTCTCTCTAACGTGATAGGCCTCCTCGGTTGCATTATCCGTCGGTCTGTCAATGAAGCGTGATGTATTGAAAAAATGTTCGACTAGCAGGAATGTTGATGAACATGGACACAAATCGGTCGTTTGATGAAGTTACACGAGCATCTAGGAAGGGTCTGTCATCGGGAAGCAGATGATATCGGTCTCGATACAGAAATATCGTTCGCATAAGTGTCATCGTCCACCTTCTGCTCATCCTCCCTCAGGGTATGAACGAACCAACTCACCTCAGCAGGGTATGAACGAATCAACTCACCTCATGCTCATCTTCCCTAACTTGCTCCTTTGCAGCTTCAACATTGACTACGAAGGAATGTGAAATAAACACTAGTTGTCGCACCCTCAATCATGAATCAAGAATGACTAATGTATTATTGTCTTGCTTTTCAAGCATCTCAGACACAGAGGACTGTCAGCATACGAATCATAGATTGTGGCATTATGACGAATAAGGAGATTCATTTGTTGTTCCTGTACACTGCATTTCATCAGGCATTTTTGAATGAAAGGACGATCCAGAAGTACATGAACAAGATGATGAAAAACTATCTAAGGTTGATGACACGGAGGTTATTATGTCTTTCAAGTACTTAGCTCGTCTCGATTCATTTACTTTTACTTGTGTTCTTGATGTTGATATACGAGTGGGAGGACAATTACCAGAGCCAGAGTGCAGTACACATGCTGCCTGGTAGCAGCAGGGCAGAATGTTTGACCATGTGCTCTTCGACGCGTTGGACCCAACGCTACAAGCGCAGCTGAAAAAAGTGGCTGCTCGAGGATGGAAGAAAACGGAATTTACTGGTACCTATTTCCTAAAAGCACCATCGCGATCACCATCTTCTTTTGATTTTATTCAAATAACTTTAACTTTATTATAGCACCAAATGAATCTTCATAAGTAGTTCCTTTTATTCCCACAACCGCTATCACTATCTATTGATATCAGTATCTTCAATTGTTGTACTAGTACCAATTATTGCAATTCCATTGTTATAAAATATGCTGTAACTTCTACTTCATTCACATCACTTTTTTTTTGAATATGAATTTCAGATAATCACACGCTACTCCACTGGGCATGTGCACAAAACCGGTCCGACGTGTTGCGTCTCGTACTGGAGTCAGAGCTTCGACATGACGTCGATCTTCAGTTGAGGGACGGAACTGGCAAGACAGCCCTTCAGTATGCGAAAGCCGAATCCCCTGAAGCAGCAGAATATCTCGAAAGGTACATGCTGGCGCAGGGCGGAGGGAAGACACAGATTGATCCGCGTGGTGATGTAGTAGTGAATACTGTGCAAGCGGCGTCGTCGAGCGCATCAACAGAGGATGGCAATGCATCATCCAGTGGCTCGTCACTCGGTTTTTTTGGAGGCTTTTTTTCTTCCTCGACGAGTTCCTCCTCTTCGAGTAGTGCATCCTCTTCCGCTGGAGCCGATGCCCTTGCCCCGCCGAGTGCGGCGACGATAGAGGAGCTCCTGGCGTCGTCACGGAAGGCCAGTGCGCGACTACCATCAGGAGGTGAAGGCACCGGGACCGGACGCAGGAAGCCTCCAGCCGCGGAAGGGAGTGCACGAGTAGGAATGCGAGAGGAGGCAAGAGGATATGGGAAGATGGCGGAAATCGTCGCGGCAAAGCTCGCGGAGCACGAAGCGGGTCAGGTCCAAACGGGCGGGAGGCCGTCGACGTCCAAGGAGGCGAAGGAAAGACCGCTGTCGCTGTATGAGGAACCGATTCTGGGATCTCGCAGAGCCCCTGCGAGCAACCGGCGAGCGGGTGGAGACAAGAGTGCAACGGCAGCTTTGGCGAGCGGCCCAGCAGCGAGCGCGTTGGGTGCTGCTGGAGGCACCGCGACAGCGCATTTTATGGGGGATCTAACCAAAGCCAACATAGGAGGTGACGAGAAGCGCGGTGGCGTTTTGGGAGGTCTCTTCGGCAACCTATGGAACAACGCCTCTGTCGACGAAGACGCGGATGCGAATCCTTTTGCTCCTGGTGCGCAAGGCGGAAGCAGTCTCGGAGTTAGTCCTACAGCTAGTTCCCCGACGAGCCCCTACGCAGGTGGCAAGACGCGTCCAACAGGCGGCATATGCACCGTTCTAGGTGGGTCGGCGGCAGATGTAAGTCCTAAACCGGGAGATCGCGGCTTTTCCAGGCCAGATCTAGCACAACGGCAGCTTCTCGATACGTCCTTTCTATCGCCGACGCAGACAAAGAAGTCAACATCTAGTACTGTAAAACCAAATACAACTTCTACGGGGAGCAGCGACCAGAGCAAATTGGTACTCGGCGGCGTCGAGTTTTCGCAGGAAGAACTGAAGGAGCTCCAGCAACCGCTGCAGTTCGATGGACTAGAAGGGAAACTAGGCAAGAAGGGCAAAGGAAAGATGAAGGGACCGCCTCCAGGATACTACAACTACAAAGGCGGTCCTCCACCTCCGGCTTACTACGGCGGTCCGCCTCCTGGAGCTTATCCACCGCCTATGTACGGAGGATATCCTCATGGGAAGGGCGTTCCGCATTACGGCGGTTACGACTACTACGGTGGAGGCGGCTACCAAGACGCGTACGGCAACACGTATAATCCGAACGGCTACGAGCAACCGGGTCCAACCTACAACACGCTAGGTCAGCGGCACCAGTACTCGCAGCCGCAGCACCCGCGCTACGTTTCGCAAGAGTCTGGCGCCTGGGTGAACCCTCTCGCGCCTGTGCATGGAACCTACGGAAGCGGGCAGACGGGGCAGCTCCTTCCGCAAGGCGTCACCGGCCGAGCTAGACGGGTCACTTCGAAGAAGAACGCCCGAACGCCGTTGATGGGGGCAGACCACTTCAACGAGAAGGAACAGGACAAAGCGAAAGGATTGATGGGGATGCTGGATATGCTCGACCCCCGCACGTCGACCGAGAACATGACAACGACCTACGGCGCCACTGGGAGTGCCAGCGGCTGCGCCACCGGCTGTTGTCCGCCTCGTGCACCTGGATCAGAAGAAATCATCTGTCCGGCAGCCGGTACTCCATCGCCTGATGTGGGGAAAATGTCAAACGCAGCAAGAATGCGGGCTCTTCAAAGCGAGTATCGACACGAGGAGCTGAGTGCCATCAACGAGGCAGAGGAAAGCGAGGACGAAGACCTCTTCTCCGACGAAGAAAGCTCGGCAGTGCGTCGCGCCCGTAGGGCATCTCGCCGAAGACAGGCCAGAAAGCACATATAGTACTTTACCCTTTCTTCTTTTTTGATATTGCCAGGAGTAAATGCCTCGACCATACTTACTGGAGAAAGCAAAAGGAGCACTTTCTATGCTTGTGTGAGTCATTATATTATAGAACAACTAGATGATGTCTAACTCTAATATGAAAAGAAGCCTCTCCAGCTCCACCACGATTGATTTTAAATTACATTTTCCACCACCAACAGCTTATTTCCGACCCCATGGGGTGGGCAGATACCGCTAACGCGAATGCAGTTCTTCTGTTGTCTCTTGACAATTCTCGTTGTCTCATCTTTTGTTAAGGCTGTAGTATCTCATCACCTCGTTCTTGTGTCTGTGAGGCTGAGGTATTCTCAATGGCGGTTTCCCCTTAGAATATATGTTGCGGGAATCTATGTATAAAGGGAAAGAAGGCAACTCACAACTTCAACAGTACGCTTAGCACGGATAATCAATGACGCACCAGTACTACACGTAGCTCTAACTTTGGCTTCTATCTATTGTTCGCCTGCCTTGCGGCCTTGTTTCCGACTTTTGGCGACAAACTAGAGGCTACTGTCACAAGCGCACCCGGTTCACACTACATTCTGGGTACCAGCACCAGTAAACCAGGACAAGCGAACTCGCTTAGGGGTGGGAGCGAGCAGCAGGAAACGTCGATGCACGGCGCGACAGACGCTGCAGACAGCACGAACTCAGCACTTCTAAAAGGAAGGGTGAATGCCGCTGCTAGCAGTAGCTTTGTAGGCGCAAGGGTAGGTACTGATACAACATCACTTAGCAGGAGGTCAAATGGCGCCGAGGAGCAAACAACTGCGAGAACAGCTTCGCAGACTAGTTTCTTTGGCACAAACATGAACCACCTCTTCGATGTTCTCACTGGCGTAGTAAAGGGAGGCGAGGAGGAACATCCGCCCGACACTGACAACGTGGCAGGAAATGCAGATGAGCATGCCACGGCAACAGGAGACGAAGAGGCGGTATTAGCCCCTTCTTCGTTTGGTCAACTAAACAAGCATATTGCAGAACCGGAAGAGCAGGCAGGCGCAGGCGAGGTGCTTGGAGTTCTCGGTGAAAGACGACTTGGCGACGATGAAGCAACTACAACTACACAACTTCATGCACGACCTACAGCTGACGAGAGAGCTTCGCAGACTCAGGTGGATGTGGGCGGAGATGCGATGCCTAGTACTACTACCTCTTCTGCTATTTCATCTAGCACGCAAGTAGCGTCTGCAGACGGCGGAGACAAGCACGTGCGCCTGTCGATCGATAGCGACGGTGAGGCTCGCGCATTTTTCCAAGAAGCATAATGAAAGAAATGCTAGATGGCGTCTCTGCCATCTAAGATTGTGATTCTCTTTTTGTTTTGTCAACTGCAAGAGCAAGAACTTTGTGGAAGTTTTGTCAACTCAAACGAATAAAATACAACTTCGTTAGCAAGAACAAAGTGGAACACTTTCAGTTTATGGTCATTCTTCATCTTCATGTTCGTCGGTGACTAAAAAGAATACGGACTACTTAGCACTAGCAAATTGTCATCAGAATTCGATTATTATTTTCATCCATCTTCGTTATCGTTTATGCAACAACCACGACTACGGTCTTACGCGACGAAATATTTGAAATTGTCATGATCAGCTTCGTCGAAGCTATCTTTTGGCGAACTCTTCAAATTACATATCACAGCGATCTGGATTTCGTTTCCGTGATACTTAAATAAACACACTTACTAGAGAATCACACACGACATCGCCCCATTGACTAAGTTCGTTACACATAAGTAACCGATATTGATAAAAACCTAAATCAGATATAGAATTAGAAATCGATAATTCGACTTGTTGTTGCAGTTGAACTAGATAGATGGTACCTACTGCTACTGGTAAAAGAGCCTTCTTCGGTGCACAGAGGCGTAACAAAGCGACAGCGATAATTACTTCGCTGCTCGCTCAGAGTGGTTTTTATTGTTTATGCAATATGCATTTGCATACTCTCCAATAGGTCATGAATTCTCTTCGAGGAGATGGCTCGCAAGGTATCTTTTACTCAGAAGAGCACATTAATGTCTTCTCCGTCTACTTAGCGTTACGTCAACATTTAAAAATCTAAATTAATTTATCTTCTTTTGTGTCCTCGAAACCAACTAACTCTTTCAATTTTCTCGATTTTCAAAACTGTCATTCTGCATAAGCATTGACGCGCTACGACAGTGTTAATAAAATAACTAACAAGAACTAGAACATCATCATCATTCCTGCATCAAATTGTCATCGGCGTTCCCCCTATAATATAGAACAATCCCGATCCCACCTATCGTATCACCAATGGAACCCGTTATGTATGTCATGAGATGTGAATTTCATGTGCTGTAGGTAGATGCAGGTGCCTAGACAACAACACACATCATGAAATCGGTATCTGATTTTTCCAAAGGGAACACACACATTGCAGCCATAATGCTGTCTGTCGTTTCCGACTTCCTCTGTCTTCTTGGGGCAGAAAGACAGAGAGAGCCGTGTTCGAAAATCCGTACGCGGAAAGTTTGATGTGCTTTTTCAATCGAACTAGATGTGACATAATATTTTCGCATGCCAAAGAAAAGGAGCTAGAGCATGATCTCCCAAGAAATGTAGTTGCAGTCCGCGGCCACCATGATGGAACCCCCGGTGCTCATCGTGACCGTCAGGTGACGCGTTCTTTGGTGCTAGTTACTTGTATCTAGCATTACAAGTAGCAGTTTACGGAGGAATGAAAAACTACCAAGTTGTTCCATCAGGAATGAAGACGGTCTTTCTGCGAGCCTCAACGCCGTCGTTGAGCAGCACGGCCCCTTTCTGGCTGCATCAGGATAGCGCGCGGCTTCATCAGAACAGATGCTTCAGGCAGCGTGTCAGTGTGGCCGATTTCTTCGCTGTTGACACAATCCATGCAGCGTCATCACGGGCGCGGCCGCAAGGCAGAGGAGTATGTGGGAGACAGGCTTGCACGGGTATAGTAGTACCAACATCAAGTGGAAGGGCAATAGACGGTAACGGAGCATTTGTTCTCGGTACAAATAAAAATATGGGCAAAAGTATTATACTGGGAACCACTACCACCACCACCTTACCACCAGCTGCGCCGTCCTTTCCATCAGCACGGAGTCTGACCATAATCGCAGGCAGAAAACCTAGTTTCTCAACATTCTTTTATCCATTCTTGCAGCAGGAGTCTTCACGTCCCAATCTCAGGGCCGCATCAAAATTCTGCATGATTAATGCTAATTTCCCGACGCCAGGAGCAGCAGGTGCGGGTGCGGCGCCAGGTCTAGATGATGCGAGTATGTTGATGTGGAGAACGCAGCGACGCTTTGTAAACACGAATCGACGCCAGAGAGTAGCAATAAGAAAGTACCACTACATTCGCAATTTCAAGAAGGCACAGGCCTACAACAAGATCCCCATCTACTACGGCCCGATTTCTATGCGCCCAGCAACGGAGAACGACAAAAGGCGTACAATCATTCGCCATTACCTTAGGTCACCAAGGATCAAAGTATTCAAAAGACAGAGGTAGAAGAACAATGAAGTAGCATTCAGGTGCTGATCGCAAAAAGTGGATGTTGTAGACTGACAACATCGACGTCGTCACTGCTACTACACTATGCTCGAAGATGAATTCTATCTGGGTCCACTTCATAATACACGTATTACATGGTCATCAATGAGAGGACAACTTTCCTGAGTATGTTCGCCTCGCAGCAAAGAATTTTGTGCGGTCGACCGAGAACCTTACCTATCTCTGAAAACGTGGATCATGCTCTTTCAGTAGAACGCCTGCAGCAACCCACATCAACAAGATCTGGAATTATAATTGTTGCTGTGTTGTTCTCCTTCTCCTTGCCTGATCTTACTGGGAAAATGCAATGCAACTTCTAATAGAAGAATTGAGTTCAGGAAATTTAATCGTGGACGAAAGTACGCTTCTCAAGCTCTTGATAGAGATCCCGATAAGTGAAGGTACACGATCAACTATGGAATCTCCACGCTGTCAGTCTTAGAAATTTTTATCTTTGTGTCATTCTAATTTTAATTACAGGCATGATTGGACGCATTTTGTGTTGCTTTTGCACCAGTCTCTTTTTTTTCATTTCTTAGTCACTGCTTTTCTTTTTTCAATATTTAGTTGACTGAAAACCGAAAACATTGCATAATCTCGACGTCATCTCATTATTCTTTTTTACATGTCACAACTAATCTATCATTGTTTACATTATCGACGTCTCGTTGGACAAACACAAATAACAACATCACAGAATCGGTATCCATGATCTATATCGTCGTCAATATTCACCTTTACGCACATATATATTCACCTTTACGCGAATGTTCAACATAAACTTACTTGTATTAAGCATATTTCTTTCAGCTAGGAGGATCACCAGGGTTGTGCTTTCTTCATCCATCTGTTGTAATTATTAATATCATCGAGCAAGTTCATCTCGTCAAGATGTTTTTGGTTATTGAAAGTTCATGCGCGTGAAAATCGTCCTTGATTAAGTACGATGGAACGAAACGTCGTGTACCGGCTCGGGCTATTCGCTTGTGAGCGTACCGCTTTCCAACAACAAGTGGTGGCTGAAAATTACGTAGCAGATAATTTCGGCTACCAAGTGGGGAGTAGAGGCACGTCAACGAAGAGGAAGAAGCCAGGACGGATCAACTCCCTCTAGAAGAGTTGACGTTGGACAGTGTCGAATAGAAAACTCTACGAACAAAAAGAACAATCTTCACAAAGCGTGACTTTTTCTCCTCTTCTTCTTCAAGGACAAGGTTTATCACAAGGCATTACCCGAATTTATATTGACAAGAACTTCCGCAGCACCACGTACACGTTATCCTGGTCGTGTCGTTACATCAAATTTCACAACAGCACGTCCTCATCACATCTAAATAGTACCTGTTGTATCTTCTATCTTCAGTAATACGCAAACAAAATGAAACCGTTGGAGACGTTTGGCGATCCTGCGGATCCCTATGTGATCACGCAGGAATTAGGAGGTGGAATGCAGGCTCGGGTGTATAAATGTCGCAAGGGTAGCGATGCGAATGGTGACCAGCCCTTTGCTGTTAAAGTCGTGCAACACAAAAGGGTGCTGAATGAGACCGAGCGGGAAACGCAAGTCGCGCACTTACTTAGGGAAGCGGAAATCCTGCAGAATCTACATCACCCGAAAATCGTACGACTATGTATAGTTTCAAGTTTATTTTTATCTCAGTATTACTCAATCACAGTTGTTACTGTTAGAATTACTTAGTTCAGAAGTTGAACTACTAAAATAGCGCAGCTGAAGTTCCTCGTCAACAATCATACCTGAAAAAATTAGAACCTTTCTACTACATAAGCACATTACAACATCACACTCCGCCTTGCTTCTTGCTCTACTTAGGTAAATTTGGTGCAGACACTGCGCGACGATGAGCACGTCTTTTTGGTGATGGAGTACGTTTCAAATGGGGACTTGTTTGACAAGATAGCAAGCCGTAAGGGTCTCGCGGAGGTGGAAGCCAAGTACGTCTTCCAGCAGCTGCTGGAGGCGCTTTTGTACATGCACGAAGAAAAGGTTATCCATCGCGACCTAAAGCCAGAAAACATCCTTGTTGGCAAAGAGGTCAGCGTGAAGGAAAACGACAAGGAAACGACGTACTTTGAAGTAAAGATAGCTGATTTTGGACTATCGAAACTGCTCACGGAGGAGTCGGTAGCCAAAACCCACGTGGGCACGCCTTACTACTGGGCGCCCGAAGTGATCAAAGCGTCGCAGGTACAGCACACGCGTCGCGAGGCTGGAGGAACGACGAGGACGCAAGTCAAAGGGGGTGGGAAGGTACCTTTACTAATTGTCATTGATTTTTCAGAATGGTTATGCTTCAGATAAGATGAAAACTAGACTTGAAGATAAACAAGATTCCCGAAATAAAAGTCTTCACTTCCCCATTTCGTTTTTTAATAAACTTTTTTTCCATAACGCACATTTACATGCACCCGCAGGTTGTCCAATACGCGCGCAGCCCTACGAACGGCGATCAGGAACGCGGTAGTTCTGGGGGGCATCACTCTGACAGCACCAAAACGGACTTCGCGGTATACTCCGAGGAAGATATGGAACCCGGAATGTACGATGATCGGGTAGATCTGTGGTCGCTGGGGGTCGTGCTTTACGTGATGCTGTTGGGGCATTACCCCTTCAACAAGAAGCGGGAGCTGCCTTTGCACGACCAGATCATGCAAGGGCTGCCTCTGAACAAGCTGGCGCGGGACAAGAAGACGAAGCACTTGTCGCCTGAAGTCCAGGACCTGATCGCGCGCTTGCTAACCCCGGACCCCGTGAAGCGGTTGAAGCTGCGCGAGTGCTTTCATCACCCCTGGGTGAATTTGGGCAGCGAGTACTTTCAAAAGAGGAAGCACCCCATTCTGTCAGGCCACATCCCGAGTCGCATACCAGTGCGCTACGAGACGATTCCGGAGGAGGCACCAGGACCCGCTGGTGTAGAAGGGGGTGACCAACAAGAAGCAGCGGGACCTTTTTCCCCACCACCTCGTGGAGGAGGCCAGCAGATGCCAGGTTCCGGCGTAGAGACGACGCCTGAGGTGGTTAATCTCGAATCGATGAAGGGTGAGAATAGTACCATCAAAGCAGGCTCACCCCCACAAGCGCATGTGTCGCCAGGTGCTGCCGGAGACAAGCAGCAGAACAACAAAGATATTGTAGAACAAGTAGGCGGTGAGCCTGGTGCCAGAGTAGAAATCAAAGAAAACGACCGAGGTGGAGCTGGGGGTGGCGTCGGAGCCGCATCGGCAGTTTCCGGTAAGGCGCCTGCGAACAAAACAGAAGCTGCAGACGCGAATCTGACGGCGCATCTCCAAGGCACTACGGCAGCGGAGGAGCCAGCAGGAGCGGGCAGTACGAAATCAGACTCGTACGATGAGGTGGTGAATCCGCCATTCCAGACGCGGAGCGAGCAAACAGGCACACCGAGTCCACGGCAGGACGTAGTTTTAGACGCTGGTCCTGCAGCTACGGACGGCAAGATGAAGGCACAGCACGCGGCGCATCAGAACTTCGATCATCAGGCTGGAGGAGGGCATGCAGGAGTGCCGTCGTCGGCGTCTTCTCGTTTGGCTCCGCCAGGGAGCGGCGTGAAACCCAAGGTCTTAGCCGTGGACGGCAACGGGGTGCTCACCGCGGCGCCCGCGCCAGCGTCGGGCAAACTGGGCGCGGGCACTACCACTGCGGGAGGTTCGGTGATCGGAAGTCACAGTCCGCCTTTACACCCGATTGCGTCTAATCTTTGGCACCAAGGCACGAACGACCAGTTTCACGGAGCTCGCAACGATGCGCAGGAAGTGCATTTGCAATTTTACCACCAACTGATGCCGGCTCAGCGGCAAGGCGGTGGGGGCGGGCACTTGCAGCCCTTCGGCAACCCGATGGGACTCAACGTGCACGAGAACGGAGGCGACCACCTGTTTCACGAACTCTTGCAACTGCAAGTCACGATCGCCAAGTGTCTGGAAAGTGCGTATTTAGCCTATCGCGGCGCCGACCTGAGTGCGCCGGCGAGGCGTTCGGACGTGCGGCAACGCGGAAGCAGCGCAGGCATAGTAGATCCATCCGGTACTCCTGGTTATGCAGAGATGAACTCGCGATCCCCCGGAGGCAGAAACGTCAGCATTCATACCGTGCGGACGAGTACCGCCACCACAACGACCACTTTGCAGCACGCGGGTATTACGACCGGGAGCAGCTCGGGAGGACTGTACACAAGCGCAGACAGTGGTGTTAGCAGGCCAGGAGGGTCTTCTTGTTCCTCCGACTCGGGAGGCCAGAACAACTATAGAAGCGGAGCAAGTGGAGGTGGACCAGACGGAAGAGGTGGACCAGCTGCCTCCGGACAAGTAGAAGATACTGGTGACCACGACGGCGCCGTGGAGAGGCAGGTAATGCTTGGGAAGCTTCGCAATTTGGCGCAAAAGTGTTTCCAGGTGACCGCCTACAAGGCCTACGAGTGCGTGACACGGTACGGCGCCACTGCGCGCCGTGTGCGCGAGGACGTCTTGCCCGATATGTCATTGGCGATCGAGGAAGACGCGCCAGAGCTGGCGCAAGAGTTTCTGGAAACCATCAACGGGTGGGTCACGGACATGAAGAATCGCGGCTCCGAGATGGAAGACGCGTATCGGGAAATTTCCCAGGATATCAGACTCTTGATCGATAGCACGCACGTCATCAAGAAGGCGGTGGATACGGAGATCGCCAACCACAACGAATTATGGGGATCGGTGATGCTCTCGACGACGCCCTTTGCGCCCATCACCGGGTGCACGCCACCGCCCCTCGTGGGCGGCGCGCATCAAGGAGCGCATGCTGTCGGTCCCGCCGGAGCACATCATACAACCGGAGGACTCCATCAACATACTGCAGGACTAGTAATGGATGGAAATAACAATCATCAGTTAGTAGCCGCGAATAACGCGAGCGTCAACGTCATGGCTGCAGCCTCCAATGTGCCGAACTTGAACCAATGTCACGATCTGTACCAAAAGATCCACCAATTAGTCAGCGGCCAGCCAGGCAGTGTACCAACGAATGAAACCGCAGACATTGACGCTCAAGTCATTGATCTGCTGTTTTTCACTCCCAATTTGCCTAGGAGCCAGAATGTCGAGAGCGCCTCTTCGGATGACAACCAGGGGATGGAACCTTTCGTGGTAGAGGATAATTTGCGAGGCGGAGGCGCCACCATTGAGGAAGTAAGAAGCAGTTCGCAGCTGCACCAACGCAAGGGAAGCGAGCAGAATCTCACAACTTCTCAGCTGGCGACGAGCAAGGTGGGCCCATTGCAATCCCGAGAGGTTATCTCCAAGGAGCAGCTGTCGAAGGATTTGGACCAATTGTCCAGAGATTTGGATGCCTCGTCACCTGCGCGTGCTGCGGTTTCAGAAGGTGGGGAAGAAGGCGGAAAAGTTACTGCGGGGAATCGGAATCGCAGTAGCACAAGCCCGGGACTTCTAGAAAACTCGAATTTGCTTCCTCCAAAAAATCAGCCTGCTCCTACGGCCACCTCCAGTTCTTCAAGTGCAGCTTCGTCTAGCAGTGGCAACGATGTGCAGAACCCGGCCGGGCTGAGCTTACCGGCCGGTAACCAACCGACTACGCCCGTCGAAACTTCCTCAAGCACAAACAACTTAGCTGCACCTTCAACGTTGTTACGTCCAACGACAACGACTTTAGCCGTCAACGGACCTGGAGGCGGATCTGCAGGAGCTGCTCCCTCAGGAACAGCCTACTGGACCGAACAACAGCGTGCGCAGCAAATTCGACACCGAAGTGCGATCGCACTTATGCGTGCAGTAAGCGCCCTTCGAAAAGTCGATGAAGTGTTGCAGCGAAGCACCATGTTCTGGAGCCATCTAGGTACCAAGTGCTTCCAACGCTTCGGTTCCTTCTTGTTCTTGTAAGTGTAACCAAGGCTTAACATGATTATCCTGATGTAAGTAATCATAGGACCGAGATGAAGGATTTATAATTTAGAACAGTTTATAACACGAATGGCGGTTGGCACGGTTGGCACGAATGACACGGTTGGAACAACCCGACGAAGCCAAAAAGTGCCACGAATGGCGCGGTTGGCGTTGGCACAAGCGGACAGGGATGGGGATTCGAAGGCAGGCCTACAATTCTACGGAAAGCCCCCCTGCCATTTTCAAAATGGTAAGGGAGCTAGCCAGAAACAAAGCCGACTCGGCTGCTCTCTAAAGAGTGCGGGTCTTAGTGCGGCTGACCGTCGGAGGGCTGGCTTCTTTCTTGGAACTACCGCGCGGGCCACGCAAATTCTGGTGGACTTGCATGACCCCCGCGGAATTCCACGAGAGGAATGCGGCGACGAGGCGGGTGATTTAGCATGCGGCCTCCGCCCTAGGGTGCTCAGCTGATCCACCGCGCCGCCGCCGTGGGAGAGCGGCGACGGAGGTGGGCCGTGGCTTGGGGGGCGGGTCGGATGCGTGGCAGCTTTGAATCGCGGGTGGCAGAGGAGGGCTGGCGCAAAAGCAACGCGCCCGAAGGGCGCCGGGTTTGGGGAGCCTACTGAAGCGCAACGCCGTGGAGGGTGTGGCAGATTGGTCGCAGGGCGCCCGAGTGGGAGCCCCAAAGTATGTGCGCAGCATTCGGCGAGAGCGGTAACGCCGCGGGGGAGGTACCGCTTGAAAACGCAGGGTGCCCGAAGGGCGCCCCGCTCTCGAAGGTCTGAAAGGTCCACGAATGGCACGAATGGCGGAGCACATTGAAGCCCCGGATTGGATGCCTGCCATTCGTTCCAACCGTTCCATTCGTGCCATGCCAACCGGCCCCCGGAAACCTTATATTCATTTTCTACTTTCTCTTTCGTCCCCCTTGTCTGACTATTTTTGATGTAGATCCTGCTGAAGAACCGGTTACGACTAACAGAATCCAATAGAGTCAATTTGAATCCTCTTGAAATATCAACAGGTATGACGACGTCGCAGGTAGCGCAGATGAAGGATACTTTGACCTTGTGGATTAAGCATGCGAGTTCCAACGAAAAGCTGCGGCAGAGGCTAAACGAGAGGCTAGAGCAATATCGCAAGTTCTGGCTTGAATTTGAAACATGTTCGTTAAGATACTGTGAGGAATTACGGGAAGGTTGCAACCGCATGTTCTCTTTTTTGACGCAAATGGAAACCAGAGCCGACTGCCTGGATACAGTGAAAAGCATGATTTCGTAGCCAGGAAATGATGGATAAGGAGGTCCGTCGCTACTAGAAAGTAGAAACTTCTAGATGCAGAAGAACATCGTAGCTAGGAGTTAGCAGGAGAAGCTCGTAGCCAGGATCTACATCTCGACGAAGGAGGATAGAATAAGAATAAATATCAAGCGGGTTGATTCATGATCGTTTCTTCTAAAAGTAAAATGTTGAGATTGCGCAATTGTATTTTACATTATTTGATTACACTCTTCTATGTTGTATTCCTAATCCTATGTATCTTGTACTTTTTCTACTTATTTGGAGGTGAGATAAAAATGATGTTTACATATATATTTATAACTGAAGATGAGATCGATGGGGACGCATTTCATTCGGAATTGCACGGGATAAGATATTCGCAATGAAACTCGAAGTCGTGTTACAGCGGGAGCGCGTTTACCTCGCTCTCTCGTTTGCTTGCGATTCAGCCGCATCGATGTCGAACTGCACAACTACTTAGATGGGGTCAAAAACTTGCACTGAAACTATTGATACTGCATGTTTAGGATCCGTTATGGATGGTGATCCATAATAAAATGTCATACAACTACTGCTCATTGAGATTGTTGAGTGGTCGAGGTTCTACAACTAGTACTAGGGAGAATGATAAAGAAAAAGAGCTAGTGTCTATTATGAAGTCATCAACAAAGATAGGCTTACTGCTTAAGTACTTCTACTTGTTCACGCGATTAATAGGGTGAACCCGGTCAAAGTTTAAGTTGAGCAGCAGGGTGCGGATTGACTTGTGTAGAATGATGCACATTGGGATGGAACAGGTAATATCATATTGGTAGAAAAAATCTTGGCTGGGTTACTAGGAGAGCAAACTCATTTAGTGTGAATCAGTTGCATCACAAAATATAAAGATCAGAAGTTGGCCTCTCATTCTTCGCCCAGTGTCAAACTTGCATAAAAAGAGTAAAACTAACTAAAAAAGCGCTCCCAAACACTAAAGGGTGAACGATCTTGTCGTGTGATCTTTGAGTTGTTTTGAAATACTTTAAAATGACCCATCCTAGCTCTGCCTCTAGGCTGTGTGTACCTTCGAATTCTATAGTTGCAACAGCTGTTCCCGATGATTCTCTACCTATGCCATTCCATGGCATGCTGATACTGATTTGAAAAGAGGAATGTTGTTGTGATACCAAAAATTGAACTAGCTTACATGCTGCTCGAAAGACTCTACCTGCTTATGTTGTGAGGAGCATTTTTCACACCTCAGCCCTGGGAACGAGGTTCCCCACGTCCTCTTCCTCCTCGCCCTAAAAAAGTTTTGCCTCCTTCTCTATTTATTTTTACGCTGCCATGTCCTGGCCCGTCTTGCCCTTCAATATTGCGAAGGAAAGAACACCGCAACTATATATACTAACACGGACATCTTTATCTTTGGCGCCGTGCCACGACTTGGGCTTGGTGTTCATTGCCTTTGAGTTAGCCTAAGAATGAAACAAGGAAATCCTTCCTCGCTTATGTCCCTCGGTATAGTGGTCTTTACATTGTGTTGTGCTTTATTCATCACGACCGTCTCGTCTGTACTAAGCCGTTGCAAGGATCATTTTCCAGAGAAATCGGTTGAAGAAGAGACTTGCTTTCCACCGAGAGGTACTAAAAAAAATGATGGATGCGGAGAACAAAGATCCAGGAGAACCGAGAGAAGAAAATTACAAGAACCTGATCTGGCCACGAGATTCAGCACCACGTGCTGGAGGGGATGTATTTCGATGTTATATCCGTTAGGTGGTCGTTGAGAACTGCCCAAAGGCTTCATTGGTGGGCTCTAGCTTTTCTACAGCGGTTGCCGTCGTGCTTAATCGTTTGCGTAGTCGTAGCGCCTGGCCGTTGTGCTTCAGGCTTCCCCCGGGCTAAATAAATGGAACTATTGCGGGAAATTGTAGACCCAGGCACCAAGCCTGCGGGTTCGTAGGCAATTAGTGCGTCCGTAATATAAGGAGGTTAATGCACTCCACCTGCCGCTGGTTTGCGAACTGGATAAAACTGGGATCATCCTGCCGGCGGTCTTGGCATACAAAAAAAAAATAATTGCCAGGGCGGAGCACATAAATGAATTGGGTAGGTTTTTTAAACTACGAGAAGTAGTACCACAATAGCAAGACACTGAGTACTAGGTGGGCTAAACTTCTTCTACACACGGATCTTCATATTTTTGATTTATTATTAAATTCTCCTGAACAACATCACAAAAAATGTCTGCGTTTCCTGCTGGTAGCGTAAGTCATCAGCTTGTCTGGTGGTTGAAAGAAGGCGTCACCGAAACAGACATGACCTCGATCTATGACGAAATGCGAAATTTTCCAGTACCAACTCAAATTTATGTTTTTACATCAGACCACTGTATAGGTTTGGAACGAGCTGAATAAGTTTTTAGAGGAACTTACTACTACTCGTCATGGCGACGTAAGAGCTTGTATTTGTATACATATTTAATAATCTTTAGATATTTAAAAATCACAGTTTTTTCTTTGGCATCGGTGACTACTCCCTTTTTCTGGCATTACTCATGCCTGTTGCATCGGTGTCTCTGGCTCTACTCGAGCCTGTTTCGTCCCGGACGGCGCGGCCTGGCCGCAGAGCCGCGGACCTGAAACCTTGAACCTTAAATCACAGTTTGACATAGACATCCTCAAGTAGCTCAACAACATCCACCAAAAAATGTTTTCCCAGAAAAGTATACCGGACTACGTGCTGTCGGTCTCGGTCGGCACCACTTTTACCGATAACCGATCGGATGGCGCGGCCGCTGGTGCGGTGATCGTGCTAAGGGACGAGGCGTCATTACCTCTGTACCGCGACTGTGAGATACACCAGGAGTTCGTGTCGAGATTCGCACCGAAACTGTCGAAACTCCAATGTCTAGATTGGGTCAACTGAGATGAAAATTTTTTTTTCGTCCTTCCGAAATGGAAACGTTAAGACCTTCTAGCGTGAACAAACTACTCCTTGTGCTACGTCTAGATGTGCTTCAGCTTCTGAGTACTTCTACTTTCTTGGCGAGATTGATCATGAAGCATCTGGTGTCCAGGAGCTCGCTCCCAACATAGCGGAGAATTTGCAAAACAGTTGATTGAAGAAGTCCTGATGAAATCGAAGTCAGACAAAGTCTTTCACTCCGATCCATTCCATGCGGCGTTTGAGGAGAGCTGCGACGATATATTCTATTGAGGTTGGGGAGTGTGGACGCAGGTCCTGGTGGCGAGCAGAGCTGATTCTTCGGTTACAGCGACGACTATGTTTACACTCAAGGACAAAATTTTTTGATATTAAGTTTTTTCACGTTGATGTTCATGTTCTTGAGAATACAATCACTATCACAAGTTGTCATGATGACACTCGGTGCCACCTAGTGCTACCCGATCGATCATGCCCTCTTTCACAGCGCAAGGAGGGACATCCAGCACTTCCCTGTGAACATACATGGCCAAAAAGATTATTGTCACTCCAGGAAAACCTCTAGAAAATGGCGCCCTCGTCTTTTAACAATCGCTTAAATGATCGCCGTGCTCGTGGTGGCCTGAAGGAGATCGTTTTCACGTATTCCCTGAATTCAAGTGCAAAAAATTCAAATACAAGAATAGCATGAAGAGATAGCTTCTTCGAATGGTTGGAGTTGGATGGTAGCTGTAGCTCTTGCTATAATTTCTCTCTCTGTAGTCCCTCTCACTTTCAGGCTCCTTGAGTCGGGTATCGATGAAGATGAGCCTGATTGAACTGTCAGACAACATTGCGATGTTGAAGATCCACCGAGCAGATCTTAGAATAACCCGGTGACGTGCTCCTGCCCGTGAGTCGTGTGAAAATGTCCTGAAGGTCAAAAATCCGTTTCTTGCTCGTGCACGTGAGAAAGACATCTTCTAAGACAGAGCTTTTGTCATGCTGTGAGAAACGGGACAGTCATCTGTTTCTGTTCCGGGGAAATATTTCATGCCAAAAACTTCCAGTGAGACTATTGACGATGTTGAATGATGAATGCAATTCCAATTGTACAAAAACAACTTATATATATTAAGTACAAAACGCAGACGAGACCAAAAAAAGATCTGCAGATGAAAGAAAGCTCTCGCGCCGTCAGGTGCAGAAACTGGTAAAGAAGATGATTTTTTTCGGAACATTGTCGCATGGTGATCATCTCAAAAATCTCTGAAGGAAAGTGGATCAACGTATCATCTGTTCCTCCTATATCGTTCGTGAGACTGACGAGATCAAGGAGTAGCCCAGAACCGTGAATGAAATAAGCACATGTTTTAGAGCCGTTTACTTCTACCTGTTACCTGTACCTCTGCGATCATAAGCTAAGGTCACCCTTACAAGTACAACTTCTACTAGCGATGTGCCCTCTACTAGCAGCTACTGAAGCTGAATCCTCCCCGCAGCGCCCTGTTTAGCAGCAGTTTGATGGCGCTGTTGGGCTGACTTCGGAGCACGCACAGCAAGAATAGGAACGCCTTTTTTCTTGTAGTTCAATGGTTTTGGCTGACTTCAGACTCGATCTCGAAGGTCGACGAATTTTTCAACGTCCCCGCTCTTCTATGACAGACTGATTACAGATCAAGAGTTTAGGAATGATAATGATAACTACGCATGGGGATGAGAAGTTCATTCTCTTCTTTGAGTAAATAAGAGAAACCCACCACCGCCCCTTTGTTCTCCGTGGCACGCTCTGCGAAGTTCTTGACGAAGAGGTCCCCCGCACCGCTATTATTGTAGTTCGCGACCGACCAGATCAACATCAAATCAATGAATACGGTGAAAATTGTTGATAGATTAGAAATGTTACAGGTGCTTCCACCGCACTGTAGATCAAGCATAATTAGTGGAAAGAGGGCTTCGACTCATCTCTTCTTAATATTCCTCCTTTCCAAAATTTTACTTGATGGATTGTTTGTTTGTGTTTTCCATGGGGGTGACCAGGCGACCAGCGACGGCGACACAGCTACTTACATCAATAATAGTAGTTGTCGATTATACATTTAGATTATCAAACTATCGTAGATGGTGCTCTTGCCTCTTTGGTGTCAAGGAGCCTTGCAAAAAAAAGCTTCTTGTGGATAGTTGTTGTATTGATTTCAATTCATACATAGTTTGATGTTTCAGTTTGTACAACGAACAAGTTGTAGAAGTAATAATTGTTCTGCAAAAACGAGTTGTACAACTTATAACTTATTTGTCTTGCAGCGACGTTTCACCACGAGCAAAGACACCTCATGATACGACGCTTGAGAAATTGAAATGAATTCTAAGTGTAAGTAAATGATGTAACTTGGATAAAGTTTGATTGAAGAAAGTAACAAGATAACTGCAACACTTTTTAAAAATCTAGTTTTCAGCAACGTGCGTTCATCCTCAAGTAACGCCATCTTCTGTTACTGACTTTATAGCAGTGGCAGCATTTTCATTTTTCATCGGACAAAAGCAGTGCCACCCTGCTGGTGATTGCACTCGCAGGATTAGGAGACGCATTTCAACTTTTGCCTTTACTAAGTGTGACGAGGACAGAAATTTGAGTGCGCCTCCACGACTTGCACTTCATCTTGCTCCCTCTATGTTACAAGTATGAGAAATGATCTCTCGTATTGAGTTCTGGAGGCCTGGAGGTTGTGGCGTCGTGCTACTGCATGGAAGATACTAGTTGGTTTCTATCTGCAACTTCATACCTTTTTCTGGAGTTTAGAACCAAAATCTGCAGCAGGCTGTTGTTGTTTTGTGTCCTATTTTTGAGAATAGGTGAAAGAACTACAAGGACGTCAACAACGTCTTCACTCCATTCTGAGTGGTGCAGCTGTTGAGAACAAGCACCTATACTGTGGTTGTGGATGTTGTGGTGGTGAAAATTGGACGACAGCAGACAACTCCGTATAGTTTCATCTGCAATTATTGTGCTGGAAGAAGATGGAGCACCTTCTATTATAGAATTGGGAGGTGTAAGTGTGCTGGATGAAGGAATCACAAAGAACTGGTTGAAATTCATTCCCGGTGAAGATTTTGAGCCTATTTGCAGAAGAGGACTCACATTTTTTCTTTTTGCTGCAACTAGCTTGCAACAAGAACTACAAAATACAGATGAACAATAGCGGTCGCTGACTGAGGAACAAATAGAATACTGCGCTTGCGCCAGTCCTTCTAGCTGAATGTAGAGGAAGACCTTGGTGCAGATGCAGAAAAACTTCATTCTTTCTTTGATGAAGAACATGAAGTAACCATCAAACAGTGACGCGACAATCATTCTGAGGTGGAGGATACACCATAGGAAAAGGACAACTACTTCCGCTAAGGCTTCTAAGTAAGAAGAGTCTAAAAAGCAGCTGGACGAGGTGAAGGAGTTGATTCTCTGGATGTGATGTGTTTCAACATCCATTCGTGAGCAGAAGTTGGGAAGGAAGCTAAGACCGGCGATTGAGCAGTTGGGAAGGGAGCACGACTAGAAAAGAATAGTGGAATGCATATTGGCGACTCTTGTTGTACCGCACCGAACATTTGCGCTCCGACTCTTGTTGTACCACACTACAAGTAATACATCCTCGCATCTGCATTTATAACGTAAAACCGACTGCTGGTTCAGGTTCAACAAACACGTAGCAGCTCAACAAACAAGTAGGAGTTTCACCCCACGCCCACCCGCACCCTAACAAGCACATGTGCAAGCGACGACCCCAACAACATCTCCGGCGAATACGATACACTTCCTTATAATACTCTAGTCAAGATCAAGTGGTCGATTACTTGATTTTAGACTTTCGCTCAGATGATACGGCGAACGACATCGAGAACGACAAGAAAACAAATATAGCAGCGCTGAATCAAGGTTGACTTCTGAGGGAAGACCAGCACAGACAACAACTTCCTCCACCGACCACTTCTGCCGTTACTACAACAACTCCTGGCTGCTGCCTTCTGTTCCACATCAAGCACGTCGACAGGATGAATAACAGTCCGTGGTCAACCCCTTCGCAGGGGCAGAGCAACGCAAGTCGCTCGACGTGCTCGAGTTCGAGCACTGGTGCACTCCTTTCTGAGGATAGCTATCTCGATCACCGCGTCTTTCCCGAACTAGAACGTGGCCTGATGGATCTAGTGGAAAAAGCAGAGTTCGATTCCCTAATGCAGTACCTCATCTTATGCCCGCATTCCGAATTATCAGCTGTTTGTTGCACATCTACGTAGTTCTTCTTCGTTGAAGAAGATGTTGTGCTAGCTAAAATACAATGAACATTTAGATTTTTTGTGCTATCCATGCGGATGTTGAGCTAGCATACATCATATTCCATCACAGATAGAGTATGTGCCCGTCTTAACATCAGCAATCTGTCATTGTCGTCAACAAATAGTTGCAGCGCTACTGTTCACAATATTTTCTAGAACTAGAACTGCAACAATTTTCTTATTCTTCGATGACACACTTCTAATGCATCCATTGAAGTCGCTGGTAGATAGGCCACATGAGTCGTTGACCGAAGACCAGGTGAAATTTAAGGCTCGAGCCCTAGCAGAATTGCGGTCTCTATCAAAACACCGGCAGAGCTTGGCGCATTTTGCGGCGGTGCGGAAGGCAGATCCGAAAGTTGGAGGCGCCTACAAAGTCCTGAAGATACTAGCTGACCTAGGGGTAAAAAGAACTTTCTTCTGGGCATTATTGTTCATTGTCATATTCTGTGGATTAGACCAGTCATGCAGTTGAAGATCAAGAAAGTGCCTTTCGTTTTAGGAACCTCATCTTTCGTCTTAGGAACCTCATGAAAAACTGAAACAGACATATTAAGAGAGAAGTAGTAGAAGAACAAGCACGGCGCGTTGCGATTTCGAAGTTGCAACTAGACGTCGTGAGGGTGACATTATTATGAACAGAGATAGCCAATCGGGTCGTCCTCTTCTTCGCAATCACGGCCTCTAATACTCATTTACAACTAGTTGAATTCATTGCTTTAAGTGTAATGGTACGTTATAGAAAAACAATTCTTGTTCAACGAGAACAAAATGTTTTTAGTAGAAAGCAGCAGCTTCTTTTAGTTCTCGTTCGCTAAATTTTAACGACAGGTCGATGTGTGCATGGTTGATGCGTTTTCGCAGACGCCTCTTTTTTACGCTGCGAGGGAGGGCAATGTTGAAGCTTGTGCCTATTTGATAGAAACGCACAAGCTCGACCCAAATCAAAAAGATCTCAATGGCCAGAATCCATTGTATTATGCGGCAAAACTGGACGCATCGCAGTTTGGGACTAAAATAGAGGTAAGTACATAAACAGTCGGAAGGCGTTTGATACTTTTCGATTTTTGACAAGTAATGATAGTGTATCGAGAGCGATCGCGATTATGATTGCTTGAACGCAGCACTTGCATTTCAATATTTCTTGTGATGAATTGAAAACAAATTGGCAGTCTGCACTCCACTTTGTGCGACCTAAATTTTATTAGATTGTATAGGACTAGAGATGAAGCAGTTTCCTCTACGTACTTGGTTTTTATGCAACTAGTTGTGATAGTAGATTATACGAAGGTCTTGCACATCTACAACTACATCTAGATTTGTATGCTGTTCCAACCACATGAATAGGTTCTGCAGAAACAGCATCAGGAGAAGACGGGGAAAAGTATTAGTAAGCAGCTTGCTTGGTTTCCGACGTTGAAGAGTACTGGCAAGTTAAAAACGGAGACGAAGAGATCGACAGACTTCAACGAGCGGACCCACAAACAGAACCGCATGTCTACAGTGAAGCTGCTTGTGGACGCGGGTGCAGACCCGAACATGATAGACGTGAATAACCGCCAACCACTGGACTACGCTATTGATACGGACGTGGTGCGCTACATGAAAGGTCAGATGGCAGCGGCACCCGATCCGATAATCAACAGAAGACACTTTCGAGTGCCGGCTGATATTCGAGCCCTTATGGAAGAGCAGGATCGAAAAAGCCCCATTCTGTACTCTAGATCAAAAATTCAATACCTCTGTGATCAGAATATTGATTATGATTTTAAAAACAAGCCGTTACTAATAATGAATGTTGTTTTTGAGAGGACAACGGGTTGCCTCACAAAGTAGATCATGATCAGGTGAATCAGAATCATCCTTGCATTATTCTCTTCCTCCCATTTATCAAAATAGGTTTATGTCCGAGCCCGCATCGCATTACGAGGGTCAGTACATGGTACATTACTCGGCGTTAGGTGATGCAGACACCTTGGCTGCTCTGGAGACCGAATTCATCCACGATCATGAGCGCATGATCCACAATGCAGAGGACGAGACACCACCATGGCCTACTGTATGCGCATCGGTGGGCCTGAATCAAGACCTTAACCAGCGACAGACAATAATCCGCAATATCGCGGGAAGAAAAGACAAAAACGCGTGCACGCTCAAAGTTAGCTACTTTGATGTAAGCCCAAAACGGCCGCCAGACGAACCGACTCACATCGAGGGGCTGTCCGCGTCTAGTACTAAACCTAAGATTCTTGATTATTTAGTTACGGCGGGAACGAAGAATATCTAGCTTGCATTTACTTAGTTGGTTAGTTCCCTTTATCAACATAGCTGTAGATGACAGTGAAAAAGAGGCAAACAAAACCAAGAGCAATCGTGGTTACATTAAAAAATACCTAAACAACCACAACCCCTATGTATTTATTACACTCTTAATCTTATTACACTCTACAGAACCCTCATTCTACGGGTCTCCTGGGGGATATCATCTTTGCGGAAGAAATCGTGTAAAGCAGCAAAATCTCGACTCAGTCCTTTACCCCTGTATCAAGTGGATGAGGTTCGAGACGGTTGGGTACCTTTACCAAAAATCGAAGCTAGGAAAAGTCACAGCGGCAAAAAGTAGCTCCGTCCTGGAGAAGCAAGAAAAAACGGTCTACTTCGACGACAAAGAAAATTGCCCAACTGTTGAGGTAAGAACACAGTCTATTTTTTTTTTGTTGGCATAGTAAGAAAGTAATCGATAAAAATTATCAACTGTCTGATAAAAGTAATGTTCATGTTGATGTTGAATGAACGTACTATAGCATGAGTAGCAGCTAAAAAGGACTCAATAGGGATGAAGAAGAACTGTCAGAACTTTGTTTTTAACATTTCATGCTTGGCCGGTTCTTGACTACAGCTGATGAACAAAATACTTTTCATCTCTTCTACGACCAATAATTTGCAGATATCGCATTTAAAAGTGTCGAAAGACCACAAGCGGAGACAAGTAGCTGTGATGCTTTGTTGTGGTCTCGTGCAGCACTTGGTGAATAATGCTTTAGTTCCTTGTATCGCGGATATGCGTTTGAGCGTTTTCGCGATGAACCTTTTTGCGGTAAGGTTGTATGAGAAGTTGCAGTTTGAACAGGACGGGGACGAGTGGGCCAGCGACCTCGTTTCCTGGCCAAGAAAAGTATCGTCCTCTGCAGACGAAGGCTCGTCTGCCGCCCAGCTAGCTTTAAAGAAAAGCAAGGATAAAGACAAAGAAATGGAGGAGGACGACACGAGAGTAGTAACATGGAGAAGGTATAGGAGGTTGGATCCGGGCACTGACCCACAAGAACTCCTGCAACGTTTCACATCCCTCATCCGATATGCCGACGAACTCTCATCGCCGAAGCCAGCTTCAAAGTACTAACTTCTTTTTGCTCATGCTTATTCTTCTGCATTGATTTTGCTTCTGAGATGTTTCCTCACGGTCTTCATAATCATACTGCTGCTTGCATCTTCTACTTCACGTTGAGGTTTACATAGAACTGCAGGTGTCGTCCGTGTTATAATGATCAACTTGTTTTACTACTTCTTTATTGACAGACTTACCCGACCTTGTACCTCCCTCCTCGCTGGCGAGAGGAAAAATATTTTCTTCTACTTCAACAACATTTCCACTTTCTACAAAAGGCGACGCGCTGGAAGTGAAGACTTAGAAGAGAAGAAGAATTCAAAGAGGCGGCGCCCGGCGAGCAAAAAGTAGCTTCTCTAAAGCTCCAAAGTCTCTGACTGAGATAAGTACCCATTCAACAGTATCTTCGCGCGAAATTTAAGGCTACGTCATATTAAACCAATGGTCCATTTGATCTATTTTATATATATTGTACGAAATAATAGAAAATACAAATTATTCTTATACTGAATGTAGTTGAAAAATCTTCTAGAAGATTCCTCTAACACTCTTATGAAGATTTCTCTAGTCCTACGCTTCATCTGTCACTGTCTTCACTGACACACCCGCCAAATGGCTAGGTATATCATGATACCCTATCTTTCTTCATGCCATCGTCGAAAAGTGCACTTTTACTTCAACTGCTTCTACAACGTACCCTAATCTTTTCGAAATGAAATGCATTTTCTTCCACTACTACACGATGTCTTCAGAGTTGTTATAAGTGATTTATTCTCGATGGTTACAACTTCTCTTCCCCGTTCTTCTTGATGTCTTTCCATGTTCGGCTACGGTTTTACCCGTACGCCCGCTTAAGAATAGGTACACCCTGCGAGCACGCTGCTTCTTCAGAGGACTCCATCTTCTAGTTAAGTATATTCTTCACGCTCGTTGTTTCGGAGCGGTTGCATCCTTCTTAAATAGTTTTTGTATGTCTTCTTTTTTTTGGGTATTCTTCATTGTCGATGATAGACCACGAACCGGGAGAAGGTGGGTGATGATGGTGATGCGCCTTTGCATTTCACTGTCTAGTACGAGTTTTTTCTTCCTGGGTTGCGCATCCAGGTCCAGCAAAATGACTCTAAAAGTCTCATCAGACAGAACAGGTGGATGAACTACTCTGTCTGCTACCCTAGTATACTGGTGAATGGACAAGTCTGCTCTTGTGTTCTCCTTCTCTCTTGGCGTCCGCGGATTGATCAACCACTGCTCGTGTATTGCAGGGCATTGTCCTGCTGCATGTCCAACTGTCCTGCTGCATTTATCCAAATTAAGTTGGTGCTCCTGAATAAGTAGGCAACAGTAAGTAACAGTAAGTAACAATAAGTAACAGTGAGTAACAGTGAGTAACAGTAAGTAACAGTAAGTAACAGTAAGCAACAGTAAGTTACAGTAAGTAACAGTAAGTAACAGTAAGTAACAGTAAGTAACAGTAAGTAACAGTAAGTAACAGTAAGTAACAGTAAGTAACAGTAAGTAACAGTAAGTAACAGTAAGTAACAGTAAGTAACAGTAAGTAACAGTAAGTAACAGTAAGTAACAGTAAGTAACAGTAATTAACAGTAAGTAACAGTAAGTATCAGTAAGTATCAGTAAGTAACAGTAAGTAAGTAAGTAAGTAAGTAAGTAAGTAAGTAAGTAAGTAAGTAAGTAAGTAGGCAACTACGCATGGTAATGCGATCCATCGCCATTTTGGCAGGGGTGTGAGTTTTATGATGACCCAAGCGGCCAACATGCCAGCTCCGGAGCCAAGACAGCACGAAGTGACAATCTCAATATGCTATCATTAGAGCATTTATCTTTTTCCTTCTTCGATGTAGTGGTGAATACGTTACACTCCGACGACTACCTACGTAGGTTTGTTTTCCCTAACAGAGCCTGTAGTTAGACCGCTTGCAGTCATGATATGCTGATATGATATGTAATAACCGTCGTCCTTAAATGGGTAACGGGAGGCAGAGCACTGCCAAACAACCACGCGAAGCCACTGCGTGGCGCGAGAAAGGTGAGGGCGTCCCCCTCTTCTGTTGAGTGATGAGCTCACCCCCCCCCCCCTTCATCTGTTGAATGTGGCGCGAGAAAGATGAGAACGCCCCCCCCTTCTGTTGAGGGTGGCGCGATACCGCCGCCATCCTCGACGTGGTTGCCTTCGAACAACCTGCCGTCTGCGAGACTGACCCGCAGACTTTCCCGCAGTAGCAGTGGCGCTGCAAAATTAGACCGGCCCTTTGCGTGGCGCGTAGTTTTCCGTCTTGGCTGGGATGCGGCGTTCTTTTGGTCCCCCTGGGACGCAACTGCTCTGGGCGAGCTCGCCTCTGCCTCGTGCTTCCCTATGTTACGGCGAGGCATATCGCGACCAGACTAACACCAGTGGACTAATTGGGCCCCGCGTACGACTCTCGGGCTGCCTGATGTTGGAGAACCGCCAGGCTTCTTATAGTAACTAACTAACTAACTAACTAGCTATGGCATGTAATATAGCAGCTCCCCCGACAAATAGTGGCCACTAAAACTTGGTTGGTGTGAAATGACGAGATTTGTATTTGAGTGTTAGGTCCGTTCGAAAGCAACTCTCCTGTATGAATCGATCTTAAGAACCCAACCTAAAAAAGATGATGTGTGTAGATAGTGTGGAATGTTTCTTCCCGACTAGAAGTTTCGGCAGGGCCCCGACTGCGCGCAGCAAAACATTGACCCGGTTTTATTTCATCCAGGTGCGCGAGCGACTAGTATCCCCGAAGAAAAAGTGTTGTCATCATCGTCGCGGTCGCAACTGGTCTTTATGCTGCGGTTGTCTCTTTTCACCTACTTCATTGCTGACATCAATGCTGTGTAGATTGTGCTTCTGGGTCGATGCCGGCGAAGAAGAGACTCTACTTGTTTTTTCCGAAAATTGTTCTCGTCCAAGTTGTCCTCGGAAGGAGAACACGAAGACGATAAACAAGATGCAAGAAGCCCCTATAGGATTTTCGATCAGAAGCATGCGAGGGCGCGGAAGATGCTCATGCTTGCCTCTTATTATGGTGCTGGTCCTCGTTTTGGTCAGAACCTCATTAGCAAGTAGCTCTCCTCTCTTGGTGCCTAGTAATGCCCCAGCATTCAGTGGACCTGCTGACCAAGGAGAACCCACTGGACCTGCAGACCAAGGAGAACAAACCACAGATGTGCCCTTCACGTCGACTGTCCACAAGTTAGAAGAAGCTGCAGAAGCTGTTCTACTTACTGCCGATGGAGCTGCTCCGCTAGTCGGAGTTGATGATAATGATTGTGGTAAGCAGAGGACAGAGGCTACGTCTACAAGAACAAAAGCTCCGCAGTCGTCACTTTCTGCGGCTTCGTCAATTGCAGTTGCTGCTCCTGCATTGCCGCTCATGGCGAATTCTACATTTTCAAGCGCAATAATTTGTAGTAGTATTTGTAGGCAGAATATTCGTAGAACGACTACAACTACATCATTTACAAGTGGATCATCTTCTTCTCTCCTCGTGGCGGGCCCTGATGCCAGCGCAGAGGCTTCCATGAATGGACTCCGATTTTTGTCAAAGAAGGTGGTGCACAGTTGTGAGAAAAACGGCCTGAGCAACCAAAAAGCGCATCAGGTGTACGCGACCCTGCGCAGAGCTCTCCCAGAGGGCGCCGCTACTCCGAACATTCTCGATTCTATCATGGATTTTGCCTACAGGAGCGAGCATGAAAAGGTCTTGGAGGATCTGAAGTACATGCTTGCAACCGTCAGGGAGGATCACGCAGCCGCTCTCATGCGCACTGCGCAAAATCAACAGCACCCAAATTATATCGCAGGTGCGGGACCCCGACCTCGAATTTCGGCAGATGCGGTCTCTATTGTTCCTGATGGAGGTACCAGAACTAGCTTTTCCTTGTTCGATGTACCTCGTCCGCTTTTATCCGGGGAGCCTGGGAATGGTATCAGCTTTCTTGGGCGGGGCAACGCCGTAGTAGATCCACATTACCAAATCGCGGCTTTGGAACGAACCCAACCTTATGGCTGCATGATATAAAGAACCTTGTAGAAGAGGACAACAGACACTCAAATTCCAACATCAAAATCGTATTTGAGGCCGTCCATTGCTCGTGAATGATGTAGATGTTGGAACTGGAAGTCTCGAACTTGAACTTCCTTAATAATCTTTTCTTTCTCGTCTAAGTCAGGTGGCAGTTGTTTCCGGAAACGAATTTACCAGGATGGAAATTGCAGCGAATTCTTCGCAATTGTTTCGATTTCACCAAGGTGAAAATGGAGAAGTCTTCTGCCACTGCGGGACTCTCTTCCCTACTTTTCTTGGAGCCCCCTGCAGATGATGCCCATCAGCTCTGTGGTCTACCTGAATCACGACGATGGCCGTTCTTTTTGGAGTTAGTGGGGGTATTATTGGATACATTGCGAACGAGAGGCGGAGAGCGTGAGCGCATGGACAGGGAGAAGGACGACACACAGAAAGGCGTCTACCTATCGCCAAAAGAACGAGGAATTTTGCAAAAAGTGCTCGAAGAATTGCTGCAGAACACTTTTATCTTGCCGGGTTCTCCAGCCACAAATACAAATTCTAGGTCCACCACTTCATCTTCGAGCAATCCTTCTCATTTCATTGGCTCCCTTACGCAAAGGCCGTCTCTTCAGAATCAGCATCAAACAAGCGAAGAGCTATTCCAATTTGTTCCACTTTCAGTAGTGTTCAAAACGCTGGGCATGTTGGTGGCTTTCATCCAAAGAGAGAACTATCGCCATACCCCCGCGTCAAGCAGCCCTAAGTCTCATTCAGCAGGATCGGCAACTTTTTCGTCGACGTTCTTAAGGCAAAAAGAAGTGTGTAGTGCTCCATATTTTTTCATTGACTTTGATTTACTTACTTCCGGATGCGGATTAGTATTAAAATTGACTAATTGCTTGTGATTGATGATTCGCGCGAGCAGATTGTTGTACGAAGTCCGTGGTGGACCTAGTACCAACTTACTTTTGATGAAGAACAATCTTCATCAAGTTCAAGTTTTACAAAAGTGAATAACTCTAAGTATCCTGTCAAGGCCATCGCTTGATCCTGCAGTCGGTGTCGCTGCTTCTGCTACACAGGCCCATAACAATATTGTGGAGAGACTGGCGCTCAATTTTCATCATCTGCATAGACGCTTACTCACGACCGCAAGCGCAATTATAGCAAATCTTCATCTTGCAAAAACGGGAACTCGGCGTGGTCCGTCTTCGGCAGTGGCGAAGGCAAAGCGTTTGCAAGAGCGGAAGCTGGCGAAAGCAGGTCGCTCGCAAGCGGAGAGGCTGGCGAAAGCAGTACGAGAAAATATGTGCAGTCTGTGCGTAAGACGAAAAAGCGGAAAAAGGATCGAGTGGCCCAAACCGAACAGGAGAAACGGTGAAATTCTCGATTTTGATCTTTTCACAGGAACTCAAGATCATACCAAAATCGTTCTCTTTCGGCCGGATTGGTCAGCGCTGCATGCGCTCGATGAAAACAAAGAAACTACTCGTTCCAGCCAGGCTTTATTCGTTTCGACTGATGAAAAAGGAAGTCGTCCCATGAAGAACGGGGCCAGCAATAATGCCGCACCAAGTAACTCTTCTGGCCGTGGAGAGATGAGAGGTATTAGCCCTATTATCTTGATGATGAAGATGATGATGGTAGTCGGTTCGGGTTGGACCTACGGCCTTCCTAAGTCTCTTTTGAGGTTTGCGGATTTCTCTGGTGTTGAAGCTGTGAGAGTGGTCCGCTGTTTCTACAGTAGCGCTGCTCGTTGTTGAGAGAAAGTCTCCGCTGCTCGCGCTTCCTTCTGTTATGCTCTTCCATCCTTCTCGGTTTAAGCAGTCCTTCTGTGTGGCAGATCATCTAGCCACTAGCTCACCTGAAGTCCTGCCTATCTTCGTTTCTTGCGGTCGTCCTTGTCTACATGATCTAGTTGGTTTCTCTGCATGCGTCGCCTTTGGCATTCTTCTCACCCATCGCTCTTCCGGATATGTTACGTCGTGCCCCCAGTATCTCAGCCTCATGGACTTCAGTCGTGCCGCTAGTCGTTTCTGGTTCAGTGTCGCCGGGGCCTCCTCTGTTGTTTTCTTGTCCTTCTTGCTGATCCCTAAGCACAGTCGCGGCTTCTTGCTCCAGAATGTGCCCAGCTCCTCCTCCTGCTTCTGCGTTGGCGTCGATGTTTCCGTCTCGGCCCCCCAAGCGACTACGGGGCACACGAACGGGCTTAGTGCTTTCTTTGGCCTTCAGCTTTGGCCTGATCTTGTTGCTGCGTAGTATGTTGCTGTGCTCTACTTCTGCTTTCCTTTGCGCCTTCTTTATCCTTTCCTCGATGTGTCACAAGAAAAATCACACTTACGAGAAAGCCTAGTAGTAGCGCAAGAGACGGGGCAGCCTTTTCTCTTCTGTACTCCTCTGCAGCGTCGTCCTCGGAACAGTCATCACGCAGAGCCCCAACCAAAAATATTTCGGGTACAACAGATCTAAATCCACGAGGACAGGCAAGTATATCAACACACGGCGGCATCGTTCTTAACGGTTTCCACGAGGCTGCCGACGCCGATGCGGAGCAGTCTGCAAAAACGTCAGCAACCTCACAACAAGGAAGCACATCGCTTGCTACGGGCAGCGCCAGTACGAGACATACTGCTGGAAATCATGTTGTTGACGAAGAGCAAGCAGAAGATCTTCATCATCACTATGCCGGTGGATATCATTATTTGCCATCTGATGCAGATAAAGCTTCGTCGAATGTCTGTCGAAATCGAGAAGAGAACGACCAGACAGACCTGGACTCGTCCTACCTACTATGTGTTGGTCTAAGCGAATCAACCACTCGCCGCATGCTGCGGTTGGCCACAGTACAGGATGATGAAACTCTTAAGGCTATTCTAGTTTTTGTAGAAGAAAAATGCAGATTCATTCATTGTTGTTGTTCATCTTGATGTTGGAGTCCTCCTCCTCCAGTTCAGTAAGTAACAGTTCACATTTTTAGACTTCAACAAAGATGATCGAACAAGTGGTCTTCAAGAAAAGCTACTTATGTACCCACCTAACACCACGAACTTCAAGTTCAAATGTGATCCTCTTGATGCCTTGAACTTGATAGACACCTCTAATGTTTCAAGTCGCTTTTTGCATATGAAACGGAGCTTCCAACGCCACGTGCAGAGGGCCAGAGTATTCCTGCGCATTGCGGTGCGCGGAGGTTACGAAATCAGCAAAGACTATGCTTCCTATCACAATTTGGAGCTTGCTGCTGCCGCTGCTGCTGCTGACGCTACTTCCAAGAAATAGTAGAAAAGCCGTAGTTTGTACTCGACGTAACGTACACAATTATAGATTGGTGCATGAAGATGAATGGGTTCATCAGTTTAAAATCGGCGGGTTCGTAGGCAATTAGTGCACATTGATATAAGGAGGTAACCGGACTCCACCTGCCGCCGGTTTGCGAACTGGTAAAAACTGGGATCACCCTTCCGGCGGTCTCGGCATACAAAAAAAAAAAATGAAGAAGACGATGGAATACATGAAAGATTATATTTATATAAATACATAACAAGGAAGAGAGCGTTGACGTATTGAAGTCGTAGACACTGCCTGCATACTTCGGACGATAGAACTAGAAGTTGGTTCAGGGAAAAACAACGACGACTTGTCGTTGACGCTATGCTGTTTTTCTACTAGTACTAGTTGCTACGAGTGCGTCAGCGTCTAATCATTTTAGTGAATGACCCGATAATGAAATCGTGAACAACTCTATGATCAAGTCCGTGCACAGCACGTCTATTGTGTAAATATGTAACTACATCATGTTGTTGTAGTTAGTTCTTTCTTTTCCGTCCGGCACTTAATACTACTTATTGTGTAATTGAAATGCATTCATGATACAGAATCACCATCACACGCATGTACGACCACACACACTGAGGCTGCTCTTTCTTGTTTTTACTATTTTTATTGTTTTATTATACTATTCATCTTACTTTCATAGTTCTCCTTCTTTTTTACGCGTCTTGAGTAATTTTGTACCTTGTTCTAATATCTAAGTTGTCAATATAAATTACTCTGCCTTAGAGATACCCTATGGATGCTGCTCTTGATGAAGTGTTGCGTTCTGCTGGTCGAAGATCCGTGTCTAGCTTGAAGAAGGAAGTCCGGTAAATGACGTGAAATAACCCAGTACTTGACTTTTTAGTAATAAGCTTGTGTAGTTGTACTGTACCTTCGTTTATTGTTCTGTTTTTACTCGGTTAGTCTAGCTCTAGTGCTCCGAACAAAGTTAATACTCTCTCAGAACCGGATGGGATATTTTTCCGATTTGCCTCACATGCAGGATAGCCCCATATCGTTTTACGGATTTGTGAGTAATACATTAACTCCCCCTAAGAGACCAAGCAGTCACGCGTGGCAAGGTCGGACGATCGCAGGTATGGGGGTAGGCAAGTACGATCAGCAACCAAGAAGAGTTGGGACGTGATTTTCTCCTCTTCGTAGTAGCTCTAAAGGTGCTTAAAAAATACCGCGATACAACAAGAATGCCTAACTTCTTCCTGCAAGCAGCGCCCCGATGCCGCCACGACTTGTTGTTATATATTGTGAGTGTCTACGTTGTGGTACTTGTGGAAAATTAATGAAAAAGTGTATACATGAAAATGCATGAACAACACAGACTTGATGCATACAATTACGTAGATCCATTTTTCTGCTCCTCGGGAGCTAGAAATATCTAACTATCAAAGCTATAGCTAAGTCATGTATCAAAGGTCATGTTGGCTTGATATGTTTTAGTTTTTGTTTATTTTCATATCAATGGCCCCATTGCGGAACCAAAGCAGAATTTCACTTTTACATACCTAGCCGAGATTATCGTGACATCAAGAACATGATGATGGACAAAAAAATACTACAAGAAAATTTTGGACGCCGGCACCATTCCTCGTGGTCCCGAACCTTGATGTCTCTCCGTGTTCAGCTCCTGGCCTCGATGGCACCAGTACCAGTCATGATGTGAGTTTGTCTTGTCTTTGGTCGCGGAAGTTGGATTATGCTACTCTGCTGCTCTTGTGGGAACAATCAGTGAACGCACTCGTACTTACTTTCAATATACTAAGAGATATAGATGAAACCCACTTCTCTGCTGTCATTTTCATCTCATGCTCCCCGTCTTCTAGAAGTGTCAGTCTCTCGAAGTCTCATTTCGTTTTCATTAAAGTCGTGAGGACGTCTTTAAAAGATCCAAAAAACCTTCCGTTTGAAAATGCGTGTCGTTTCTTTGCCGTCTTTTTCCTTGGCCACTGGAGGTGTAATCCACCTTGTGGCCGGAACGCGCGGAGCGCATGAATTTCTGCAGAAAAGCACTTTGTCGCCAGAGCGCGTCTCCGAACTTTTGTCGGAGACGGAAAATGAGTGGGTCGGCTATGCTATGGACGGAGAAGGGTCGCCAGAAATTGCTAAATCGAAGATGGTCACCTCGTGTGGCGACCTGGTGTCAGCTTTGGTCGCTGCTTCAGACGGCGACAAAGACCGCATGCAGACCTACTTCGGAGAGGTCTGTGCAGTGAGCGGCCACGACAACACTTTCTGCAGCAATTTCGCTACGACCTTACTGGGTACTGGCAATGTTTTTTGAGGCGTTGTTCATTCTGATTGGTACATTCACGATGCACTTGTTAACGCCCTTCTTCCTCTTTTTGTAGTGAAAGACATTCTAGTCCTCGTGAAAGCCATGATCCTCCGTAGATTGTATCCGTACCAGAGTCTAGTACAGTGAGTTGCAATTCATTTTCATTGAAGGTTACCTTTCCGACGACAACGAGTCCAACCGCGAGAGCAAGGCTGGTGAAGAATTCTGTACCGCCTACTGGGGAAGAACTATTCTGGGTCTCGCTGAGCAGAAGAAGGCTGCCGCGATTGCAGCCGAAGCGGCTGCACGCGCAGCGTCCGAGAAGCGCGCCGCGGCCGAGAAGCGCGCCGCGGAGGAGAAGCGCGCGGCGGAGGAGGCAGCAGAGCACGAAAAAGAGGCAGCGGAAGAGGCGCGCCACGAGGCCGCTTTAAAGAAAGAAGAAGAAAAAAAAGCCGAAGAAGCCGCGATGAAGAAAAAGATCGAGGAGCAAGAACTTTATGGCTATGCCCATGAAAAGTTTACACAGAAATCATACTTTTTCCGATAGCACAGCAAGTATTGAAAAACGAAAAGTTTAAAGCTGCACTGAGGAAATCATACAAGTACCCCGAGGATGCAAGTAGAATGATGGCACGTCAATGATTTCTAGCGAAGACGACAGATCCTGCTCTAATGAAATGAGGCGAAGAACCTGAAGAAGTACGAAGCAGCTGTTGTTGCAAGGAAAAAGGCAAATCCAACTTCCACGAAGGGCAAGAACAATAGCAACAAGAAGACGGAACAATCGAAGAAGCCGGAGACTGCTGCCGTCATTAAGGAGTCCACCAACAATGCGGACATTCTCGCGAAGGCAGAGAGTGCAAGGACGCATGTTGCTGTGGACATCGCCGAGAACCACTCGGAGTCCCATATGCAGGCCAACAATATGCCATCCTCCTCGAATGAGAAGGACACGACGTCATCAGCTAGTGCCGGAATGCATGGCTTTGTCGCTGGCGCGGAAAAGTACCTCTCAGGGTTTTTCAATGAGGTCCGCTCCTTGTGGACATCGACGTCTGCTACGACATCCTCGAAGCAGTCGGCGTCGGACAAGAAAACGAGCGGTAGTCCTACTTAGTTTTTAGGGTGCTTGTATATGTGTTCGATAACCGTACTTTCTCCGTACTCGTTGTACTTGTACTGCGTAAGGCGTACGTGGAGGAAAGAGAAACAGAATATTCGGCTCTTCTCTCAATCAGGTTTGGAACTTGAAATAGTCTCTCTTCAGTGTTTGCCGGGCAGATTGATACTTGATAATATTTCCAGGTGCCACCGCCCAGTCGTCCGCCAAGCACCGCAACGTTGCTGCGTCGCATCGTGCAACCTCAGTAGTAAACACCGCCCGCAAGGCAGCACCCAGAGCCCATCACGATACGCTCCCGACACTGCACAGCATGAAGCCATTGGTCCAGAAGCGCCGCGTGAGCCACAAGATGGCAGACATGATGAGCGACATGGCTGCTGGGCCTGCTGAAGGAGAACAGGGTTTTCTGGCAAAGAGTGATGTTGTCGTCGCCTTGCACAACGTCCAGGAGAAGACGAAGGGTGCTAGTAGTGGCAGCAAAAAGACCCAAAAGGAGAACACAGTGATGAGGAAGACTGAGACGACCACTCCGATGAACAGCAAGCAAGGCAAGGTGAACGTGAAGTCCGCCTCGTCGGCTAAACAGGAGAAGATGAAGCACACGACTGCAGCGCAGAAGCTGCGAAGCGCTGCGGCTAACATCAAGAATAAGAGCATCAAGAAGACGAAGAAGGCGTTATCGAATAAGAACACAGAGCATATGACGAACACACCGACGAAGCACGCAGCTCAGCCGCCAAATAGTGTCTCCAAAACCACCACCGACCTGCTGAAGCACGAGAAAGCAACCACCACTGTTGCAAAGAAGGAAAAAGTATAATTGGAGACAACTCTAAATCTAATTTTGCAAGTTTAGATATAGGCATCGTTAATTATGTTGTAAAGAATGTCAACCCTTTGGTCTTCCTCATCCTCGGTCTATCTCTTATAAAAAGTACAGGAACTACGATCAGTGAGTTGGTTCCGTAATATCAAGCAATGATGAGGATGAACTACACCCTGTCAAAAAACTATATGAACATTGATTAACATCTTCCGGCAAAGACAACAACTACTACACCCACAACACCTTAGGCTACGGATGCCAAGGTCGCTGTTGCCGCTAAAGTTGCTGCTATCAAGTCGCGTATTGCAGAGAAATTTGCCACGGCTGCAGTAGACAAGAACGCGAAGAAGATCACCACAGCAACAACATCCGCTATGGCGAATATGAACTCGGCCATTGACAGCGCGAAGGCAGGTGGAGAAGTCAAGCATGTTGTTGCGTCTGAGAAACATTAAGGACTTTTTGATTTTGTTTTGCTTCAAAAAAGTTTTGATTCCCTTGTTCGGAGGCACTTTTTGCTGACTTTTTTACTTACTTCAGTCCTAGACTAAATTCATGTAGTCAGCTTTTCTACTGAAAACGGTTATTTACTAGGCTCCTGTCAAGAAGATCAAGATCTTCAATAAAACTCGACTTACCCAAAGTGAAAGTGAAACTAGATGTTGTAGAAGCTTCTAAGTCTACGACCACCAGGTTCTGAACAAAGTCGCCCATTCTTCCAGTGTACATGCCGCCGCACCCCAACAGGCGAAGAAGGCTGCAGCTTCGATGGCCCCGCAGAAGGTAGACCATCATGCCTTGGAGCACACGAAGCTGAGTGAGGCCCTTCGTCATCTCAAGAACATGTCTGAGATGCGAAAGTAAAAACCTTATGTTGAGCTTCTTGAGGTTGGTTCTACTTGTAGAAGTAGTAAGTTGTAAGTACATGACACATATCGGATTCAGATTCAGGAAAATTGTGAAAAAATGTAATGAAGAAAATGATAAGTTGCACAGACTCAGAGGATAATTTGAAGTTTTTTCCAACACAATCTAAGTAATTGTGATTGTTACAGCGTTTTTTTTCCACGAAACATGAAATCAGGACTCATTCAGTTTCAGCCTGCCATAAAATCAACCTATAGCAATTTGATCTCAAGGCTATGTATTGATTTGACTCGATCTTGTATTTTCATGATTTCCTTGTTTGTCGTGATATATGTGGGGAAGATTGTTCTTCAGTAGAGTTAGACCAAGATCAGTGCTAGTGTGTTCCCTGCAATGACACGAAATGACACGAGATGTTCCAGTGAGAATCAAAGTTGTGGAAACCTAAGAATAGTGCATTTTGCAATTTGCGTCAGAATGGACGAGAACTGTCAACCAAATTTCGAGCGAAGCGTGTTGCCGAGCGATAGCGATGCCGTCTCATGGTCCTCGTATCTATCTTCGATGACGAAGAATACAACCGAAAGATATCTGTTGTGCAAGAACAATTTGCTCAATTGCTGTTGTTTCGGATCATGTCATTGTCAAACATTACGGTAGCGTTCAGTGGAGATACGGTTTTGCCCTCTTCCCGTCCCATGATCATCTTCCCATTCTATTCAATCTCTAGCCTGTTCCGAAGCCTGATCCATCGTAAGTAATCTTTTTTTGAAAACACAAAAAGTTTTTTCTTTGGCCATCTTTCGTATTTGCGCACAACACGTATGGTATCCCTGTTTTGGCAATTCTGATTTTCTATCTTGAACTCGGTCTTTGTCCTTGTGGCTGTAACGCGCATGATCGGCGGTCTGCGTGCGAGGATTCAACTTTAGTCAATATCTAGTGGTCACCAGGCATCTTGTAGTATGTTACATGATCGGACATCAATTTGTTGTTCTTCTCCTTTCCCATTCTCTTTTCGTGCCACCGCATGCTCATTGAAATCTGCTAGTTCTATAATTTACTTAAGTAGGTCTTGGTCTTGTTCATGCAATGTCACCTAGTACCTCTACTCTTATCTAGTACTAAAACTTGTACTTACTTTTACAATCTACTTCACGAAGATGAGTACTCCCCACCATCAGTTGTTAGCCTTGTGGCAAATAGGTCCTGCTGTTGCCCGTCTGCGACATGAAATCGAGCAGCAGACGCTATCTCCAACAAGTAGAAGCGAGGCAAGGACGTCGCTGTATGGCAGGGGGAAGCTGCGAAACGACCAAGACCTTAATGTTGCATCTAGAAGCGAGCTGGCGACGTCGTGGATGTTACAAAAAGAAGATGCTCGCTCACGGCGTGGTGTACCATTTCCTTTATTCAGGTTGAGTCAAGAAGAGGTTGCGTCAGCATTCCACAAAGATAGGCTTGACCCACGAAGACGCGAAAGGGTTTTTGTTCAACAGTCGGACGAAAACACGATCGGCATTAAGACGCAGTCTTATCCTGACGGTGACTTAAGAGATAAAGCGGGACAGGATTATAAAACCTCTAAGTTGTCGAGGAAGACCTCTCAACTACTTGCGCAAAACCTTTACAAACAAGAAGACGATTACCTCGACTCGCCGAAAGATCTCCTGCTTAAGGACGGAGGCAGAAAGCCGAGAAGCATATCTTCAAGTTCATCGTCCAACTGTTCATCAGCTACCTCCGCTGTGACCCCCTTGATGTCGAATAAAGAGTCCACTTTTTCGATTGGTGCGAGAGAAGACCAAGACGAAAATGCAGAAGAGTTCGACGTCGCCATCGTTGGTGGGGGCATCGCAGGCTGTTTCCTCGCCTATCATTTAGCACGTTTTGGCGATCAAAACCTGAAAATCCTCTTAGTTGAGCGGGAATCTCCCGGTGCCGGTGCAACGGGCCTTTCCATGGGGACACTTTTTCCTCTCTTTTCACGGCACCTGATCTACGAACCGGTCTCCACGATCCTGGAAGACCCAGACCAGTACGTCCAATTTGGCTCTTTGTGCATTTTTGACCAGCTTTTGAGCGATACGGTTGACCTGCGTAGAAGAAATGGCGATGATGAGGATGGAATATCTTCATCTTTATCTTCTTCGATCTCAACAAGTACACGTCCAAGTCCTTCTCTTAGAAACCAAAATGGAAATCCGTGTCGTGAACAAATGATCCAAGCAGGAGAGACGCTATTCGGCTGGTACCGAAACGGCGCATACCTGTGCGCACCGCGTGATCATCTGCGAGCCCAAGCGTACGTCCGCGACCTCCACAATACCTTCAAAAAGCGCGGCTATCTAGTGGAATTGCTAGATGGCGAAAAGGCCGTGCGAAACAAAATGTTTCCTACGAAAGCTGTTCCCACCCAAAACTATACTTATCACGGTACGCGACCCCGCAAGAGGCCTAGTACACATGCGCTGTGGCGTTACTCTGCTGATCATGGCAGTAGAGAAGATGGAATTGGAACTGCTAATCATCCCGATGGAGAGACAGACAGGAAGAGCCCTCGCTTCCAACAATATTTCACACATCTTGCAAACGGCGTTCAAGTGCCGGAATTAGCCATTTACGCACCGAATGGCGGGATGATCGATCCTTCGGCGGTTGTAGCGGCAGTTGTGGACCAGCTTGAGCTCATCCCTAGCTTCAGGCTCTGCGAAGGCGTCTCTGTGGTAGCACTGAAGCAGTGTATCGTGCAAGGTGAAAGTGGATGGCTTTCTGCTCTTCCAAAGCTTCGTCAAGACGATAAGCAGTCAACATCTTCAGGTAGAAGAAGAGGGGATTGTTTTTATCAGTTACTACTCGAAGGTCCGACATCTCGGTTGCCACCCCTCCTTTTGGCGCATTCTTCGACTGAAGCAGGTGCACAACGACCACACTTCGCTGACGAGACGACACGAGATGAGAAGACGCAAATACGAAAGGACGATACGCTTACGCGTCGACGCGTGGTCGTACGCGCGAAAAAACTTGTACTTGCGAACGGCTGTGGGATTTCGGACGTTCTTTCAGCAGGAATTTCCCGCATTTTCAACAATATGCCTCTACCCCCGGTCCGCGTGCCAGTCCCAATCGTCCCGGTACTCGGTCGCGTTTTTCAACTCCCAACACCGACTATACCAAGTAAAACTTCTTTGTGGTCTACACCTGAAAACGAGTGTCGCCCCTTCAGTTTCTTTTCGGCAGAGTCTTTCTATTACTGGGACCGGGTGCGCAGTAGTCTGGACGTCAACAGGGGTGTGCCGGAGAAATGTTCCGTGACTGGTTGGGGCAACGACCTTGTCCCCCATGCTTATGGGAAGTTCATTCCCAACGACGAACAGAACAATTCATCTTTGCTCATTGGCGCCACCCGTGAGCCCGCTGCAAGCTGCGCACGCCGAGGAATGTTCGCGAAGAAGAGCAGCTGCAGTGCTGGACGAGGAAGCGATCGTGTTGGAAGTGCTCACGCGAATAACCTCTCTCCTTTTACGGACCACGAGGCTCCGAGGTATGCAGCGGAAGCGAGCGCATATATTCAGAAACACTTTTTCGATCTCAGTTTGCCCCTGCTTAAAACACAATCAGAACGACAGAGAGCATTTTCACCATCTTGTCCTCCGGAACAAGAACTAAAAGTAGGAGATCAGCCTCTACAAGCGCTAAATGCAGCCGACGAGGCACCACCAGGTTGGCACGGTTGGCAGCCTTTCGCAATGTACGGCCGCCCTATGGTTGGCGAATTGAAGGGTGTGCAGGGTCTACAAAATCTCTATATTGCTGGCGGTTTCGGTCCGGCGGGAATCAAACTGGCTCCCTTCCTCATGGAGTTGTTAGCTCAAGACATACTTGCCGACGTCGAAGTCGACACACAACCCGAACTCGACAAACCACCACAATCACCAAATTTATCCGCCAGCACAATAACGATTCAAGAAGAACCCGAACAAGACTTCCAAAACTTGGTACGCGGCAGACAAGAAACACTAGATTATCGGGTATTTCGACACTATGACCCAGAGCCAGCCTTTCGCCGCTACGCATCTGACCTGAAGAAATGACGCAAGACTCACTGTGCCTAAAGCAAGTCCTCGAGGTTGTTCCTAGGCAAGCAAGTGCAAGTTGCAAGGTCTTTGGAGGAGGCTGCTGATGAAGTCAGGAGCAGTAGAGGACTTCAAAACATTGTAGAAGCTCTCATAATCATACTCATTGTTGATAGGCCTGAGAGAGTGCTTTCGTGATGCTGATAGTAGTCGTGTGCAGGAGTTGCTGGCATGTCGGCATTAGCAACTTCTTACAAAAAGCAGACGTTTTAAAAATGTCATGATTCACACCTTTGTAGTTGGTCATCCTTGCTCCTCCTCCTAGTTATTGCTCGGAGAAGGCTAGACGATAAAGGGGGTCGACTAACGGCATAGAAAAAGTGGCACAACGCGCAGCTATCTACATAAGATTAGCATGACATCCACAAGATCAACAGAGATCGAATTGCATTCCTAGCCCTCAGTAGTTTCACCTCAAAGTAACAATTGTAGTCGAAAGGTTTTTTTTAACCATGATACGCCGTGCCCGCGTCGCCGACCTACACATAGAAATATCTCAGTCACTGCTATGGCTTGAAAAAAAGTGTGAAGATCTGGCTTAGAGCAGCGAGAGCTCTACATGTGACTGTGAGTGAGTAGAATGAGATATTCCAAAGTAGACCCGGTAGTATAGGAGCCGAGTTATTCTCTCTCATGAATAGCGGTGAACAGTTTGAACGACTGAGTGTCCCATTGTTGATTGGTGAACCGCGAACAGTGTATTGAGATACCATAGTTCGCTCGTTGTGGAGCTTGAAGTTCCGGTAAAGAACTAGTACAAAGTGACAGACTGAGGAGGATTTGAACTACCTGTAAGAGGGTTCAGGCAGGAACGCGAGACAACTGAAAAATAGACGTGTTCGCCCTGTTGCTGCAGGCGCCTCCAGAGAGGACGCACGTCTCATATTGTGGAAGCGGTAAAAGACGAAAAAACCAAACGAATGTGTCAAAAAAGATTTCCGTGAGAAGAGCAACCCGCAAAATCTGAATCAGAAAAGAAAGGAATACTAACTTGATGAAGACTAGACGAGAGAGTATAAGTACGACCAAGCTCACAGTAAATTCTGGGAAAGTCGAGCTATAAGTGAACAACGAACCGTGAGAAGCTCCGACGATCGTCCACGGTGATGTAAGTAGTTCTAGAATTTGCTCCAGCATTGAAAAAGGCCATTATAAACACGGAGAAATAGAATGGCAACCGGCTCATCGAGCTCCTCAACTGGTCACGTGCCAGGATACAAGGTGGTATTACTCGGCGACGCGTCAGTCGGGAAGTCCTCGCTTGTGACACGCTTTGTAAACAACCGATTTAGTGACAACTCAGAAGCAACTGTGGGTGCAGCCTTTAGCGCTCAGGTGATCCAGACAGACGACGGGAAAACGGTACTAGGGTTTGTTATGGTTATGGTTATGGTTAAATTGATCAGTTGTCTTCGCACGTCATATATCAGCTTGCCTGACGAGTTGTCTTTCATCAAGTCACAGTCAACGATGTCATGCTTTACTAGTTTTTGTCCTATGTCTCTCGTCATTCTGCGCATCGTATTTCAAGATCTTCATGATTCCAACTCTTCAGGTCAAGTTCGAGATTTGGGACACCGCCGGGCAGGAAAGGTTTCGCTCACTAGCGCCTATGTACTACAGAGGAGCGGCATGCGCAATAGTAGTGTTTGACGTCTCACAAGAGGGGACATTTGAAAAGGCACAAGACTGGGTGGAAGAATTAAGGCAGAACGTGGCAGATTCAGGTACTGTACTGAAAATGCCTCATGTATATATGATTTCTTTGGTAGGCTGCAGCATAAGATCAAGATGAGCAGGAGCAACGGAGTTTGTCCATTTATAGTGTTTCCATGCTTACCTTGGGTAGATCGAGTTATTATTGTAGTGAATTCATGGATTCTTTTCTATGTATAGTCTTGTCTTACCTGCTGATGTGATGCAGCGCTTATAATTACCCCCGACTCAACTTCAACAGAGTATCTTGTCATCGCACTAGCGGCAAACAAGATCGATCTGCGGAGTGACGTTGGTAAGCGGCCACTGGATTACGCTAGAGAAGAAGGTCTTCTCTACGCAGAAACCAGTGCGAAGTCCGGCGCAGGAGTCCGGTCACTCTTTATGGACAAAAGAAGTAGATGTAGTACTACTACATAAATGGTCCCTCCGTCTCCGACTTTGACTCAGATCTTCCTCGATGATAATATTTTTTTTCGTGGATGATATTTTTTTTCTCCTCTTCGTAACTTAAAACTTTGACGCAGATAACATTAAACATTTTTCTTCTTTCATATACATCGAGGAGCTAGCGAGAACCGTGCCAGAGATGGTTTCTAGGAAACAACAGGCAGCCGCAAAGGGTGCGGGCGAGGTCCGGGATCGTATACAAATAAATCTGGATGATGATGGCAGCGGAAATGCTGGTGGCGGAAATGCGGGAGGAGGACGTGGCCAAGCAGGCGGAGCAGCTGGATGTGGATGCGGTTGAATCAGTTTAAGTAGACTGAATAAGTAAACACTGTTTGTAACAACTTCTCATTTTTATGGTTTCTATTTTACTAGTAGAAAGCGAGTAGAAATGCTCTTCGTCTTCACAGTAGGAGCATTTTCTCTTTTGGCAATTCATTGATTACAACAACTATCGTTATAATGACATCTTTCTCCTGAATAAAGGCAAAATCGTCGGTTACTCCTTCGACACTTTTGCTTTTCAAGACTTTGACTGCTTCGCTCTCCACCAATGGAAGTAGGGGCTATCGATATCTAATGATCTAAAAAAGTTTCGAGAGGCAGGAGCACCACAGCCATCCTTCAATAATTAATTTGTTTCCTCTCCATGAGGTTGTTTGTTTGATGACTGTCGTGACATGAACGACTACACCTAATGAATCTTCGGGTAGGAGCCTTGTACGAGTAGTTTTTTGCAACATCAACGAGCCTCATAGCAGTCTCATTAATGTTGAAGTAAACACGGTCACCTTGTCGCTTGAATAAACCTATTGAACAAGGAAATTCATTGCATGTATTGGGACGCATCTTCTCTCGTCCTGGATAATCTTAATGATTTCAAAGAAAATTGCTGAAAATGCACAACTTCATCATGGATTTTTTTATCATTGAATACGAGACTCCAACTCCATGTGGATGCATATGACCACAAATAGCACCAATCTACCTCAATTGAAAATGGGAGCAACAACAAGCTCCTCATGGAAAAAGAACTAGGATGACTGTATTTTTACGTATTACCTGACTTTACCAGCAACATCAGCTGCATCACATACATTGTCGGGAGGGACCGCCAAGACGGCGATAAAACTTGAAAGATCAAACGATAGAACTTGCTCAAGGCGTTCATATTACTACGTGACAGATATCATAACGTAGCTAGCAAAAGGTGGCACGCTTCTGTTCGACAGATCAGTATGGGGCCACACGAGAAAAAGCGCGATCGTTGTGTATGTGAAAAGAATCATGCCCGTTCTGAATCAGCGGCTGCATTCTACTTGTGTGACTGTTTACCAACAATCTCAGTGTCTGTGTCCGTATCTATCTAGTTAATTTTTCCGTTTTCTTCTCGAAACTACAACGAACTCGAACATTTATTTTATACTAGAAAACAAGAACAACAAGAACTCGAAAACGGACCAACAACTGCTCTTAACCGTTGAACAACAAGACTAAAGACTACATGTCGCAGTTTCACCTCTCTGATTCGGTGTATTGTCACACTCATCAGTGGAGACTGGACTTGATCGATTTCCTGGATGACGAGTGGGGTTCAGAGGTGCTCCCCGATGACGATATCTTGCTGCCTTACAAAGGCCTCTCGTTAGAAACGGACGAAGATGGCACATCCACTCGTCCACATCAACTTGGCATGGATGGGGTTGGGGGCGGTATAGTGTCACGCAGCGCCGCTCTCACGACGCCCTTTTATCAGTCAATATCGAGTTCTACTTCAAGATCTTTTAGAACTCCTGCTGGAGGTACAGAAGGTGGGAGTTTTGGGCCTGCTAGTGGTGTGCCTAGGTCTGGCTTTGATCCTGAAGATTCGATTTCATCTGGTAGAACGCAGGCACAACTACAAGGAAGACCAGATGATTACGTTGCCCACACGGGAGTCCGTCAACAACAGCCTTTCACCTATACTGCCTTTGGTGCGAACTCTCTGAGCGGAACGAGTGCGGCAGTACTGGATTCGCTAGCCCCTGTAGCGAGTACGCTGTCTTCGAACACAGATGCAGCAGAGAGTCGTTTTTTAGCCGATATCGGGATCGCGAGCGGAAGTGCCGCAGCAGCACTTGGGCGACTCAGTATGTTGCAGGTGTTAGAAAATTACGATCTGGATGTTCTATCTTCCTCAACTAATGGACCTTCTTAGGAGATTCTAACTTTGAACATGTCCACGTATAATAAACATGAGCACCTAGTAACCCACCAAAGATGAAATAAAGCAAATCGAAACCAGCAAGCATGCGATTCTTTGCGTCACCTGCTGAAGATGGATGCAGATTACGGAGAGGAACAAAGTCTGACACAGGTGTGCCATGATCTTCGTCATGGCGTTACAGGAATCGGAAACTATTTGAATAGAGTATAACCTACAACCATGCTGAGCGACGGAGTACCTACTCAGGGTACGCATTGACAAGAATGCCGTGCCGCGAACAAGTTTGTTACATCGTTGAGCGCGTGTTGAGTGAGACATGTTGTTGAGTACAGGATGAGAAAGATCAAAAAAGGATGAGATTGAAAGAGACACTACTCCCAGTACTACTAGTTACTGAGTATGAGACTGAGTTGTAGAGCAGATACTTCCAGATGATCCCGTACTTACTTAAAAACCAACTAGATCAAGGACTTTTAGAGGTAGAATTGTAGGAAGATATACAAAGAAAAAGTACTGCTGTAGTTGAAAAACCTCCCGATCGATCTTGTGGACAGATGGCAACGGTGCCAACCATCGGTATCGAGGATGTCGAAACAGAAAGAGAAAGAAAAATCATCTTCATTGATTAGCAGTTAGCGTATCTTCGGTGCTGATGTTGTTAAAGTAAGAAACGCATGTCCTCGAACATGCGCAGCATCCTTCGTGTGGGCGGGGTGCGGAAACCGCGGAAGCGCCGCCCGCCTCATGCTCACCGAGGGTCCGAGACGCCGAAAAATGGGAATTTTGACGGAGCTTCTGCTGTCGATTTTTACGACAACCATTCTATGTCTTCGGATCTTTCTGAGCATGACGACGAACGAGACGAGGTAGCTACTGAGCATTTTGGGGGTCCTTGGGGGACGACCATCGATGACGGGGACGAGGCTGGTTCCATTCTATATGCACTAGAAAACGATCCCGAGGATACGCCTACAGCAAGAACGCGCGATGTTTTTCCGTGCTCTAGGCCGTGCAGATCTGCTGCTAGACCGCCGTGCTGTGGACGCCAGCGGCGCGGTAGAAGAAAGCGGACGCGAGTGCAAGACAATGCCTTTTCCCGTGACAGCTCTGGAAAAAAATATGGAATGAATGCAGGGATGGAAAACAGGCCACGATCGCGGCGTGCAGAGCCATCACCATCTCCATACCAGCCAGAGGACGTGTACGGGGTTGATTCTCCCGAGGCGGACTTTGACGAAAGCGGTTTACGGGTATTGGCGCAACATGAACGAGAACGGTCAAGGTCGCGCATCGGCAATTCTACTCAGGCACCAAGGCGAACAAGGCGAACTACGACCAGATTTCTAGCAGACAAGAGGATAGCCACCTCTTGCAGCGAGGATGGGTCTAACGGAAGGACAGAGGGATCATGGCTGGAGCAGGAGGTGAGGAGGACCGAGGACTCGTTCAGCTTTCGAAGACGTGCGCTCGGCAGACAAGTGGTACCTCAACGTTTGGCAACGTTATGCTACACATGGAAATGGCGGAACAGAATACGCGAATCTATTCTTCTGTGGAAGCAGGAGCACCCAGATAGAATAGAAAAGCCTGGTGGGGATGGCGAAACACGATGGGGGGAAGACCGGTGTAGCGTGAACGACAGAGCCAATACAACGGGGACCTTTGGTTGTTGTTCAATACCGAAACCCTCAAGCTCAACATCGTCTTCGTCTTCCGCCATGAAGCACAAGAACAAAAGTATGGCTCTGATTTTTTTGATGCACCTTTTCGTACTTGTGAATGTGTGTTTCCCCTCCACCGAGGCCGCATACTTCCATGTGGACCCCGAGAAAACGTGGGTTCGACCGCTGATGTTGCCGTGGGAACCACTACGAGGAACGAAAGACAGCATTCTCGTCACTTGGACCACCGGTTGGAACCCGCATTGTACGATCTTGCGATCCGTTTTGCAGCAGAGGTATCCCAATGCGATCGGCTCAATGAACATCGACCTCCGAAATCGTGGACAGGAAAGTAGCACATGGTACTCATTGTCATTTATAATCAGAGGAAGATGCCATGATCTTGTTGATCAGTAAAATGTATTTAACTGCAGCCGCTGAAATAACCGCAATTATGGAGTAGATGGAAGCCTCTGGTCACAAATAGGAAAGCAAAAGCCTGACCATCGTCGTTCTACATCAGGACCAACAGGAAAATCCGGGAAAACGCTGACAATCCAGCAACAAGCTAGCTAAGCGGGTCGAATTCGTCAGGGAAATCTTAGGCAGATTGCCGAGTAGATTCCCATCATCATGGACTAGAAGATGACGCGCAGGCTACTTAGAAGATGGGCCGTCGTCAGATTCAACTCCTGTGCTCTAGCTGTCCCGCACTCACACGATTCACAACTACGTTTACAACAGGTACAACGATACGATAAACACTGTGGGTTTTTCTCCCTGGACTGCTGTGTATGAAGGGCCTGGAAAGGCGTTTGAGTCTACTGGACTGCTACCTGGACACCCCTACGAATACCGTGTCAAGACGATTGGTTACAACATAAAACTGAAGCAGGAAACGGAGAGTCCGTGGTCAGTTCCTCAGATGTTAAGACTGGTGAGATCGTGATCAAGATACTTTCCTACAAGTGGCGTGGAGGTGCAGCAGGGAGGTGGGTATATTAATTGTTCGATGAAGACTCCACGTTGACGTGCTTAGGCAGCTAGTACAACAAACCCACAAGTAGTACTAGTACTTGCTTCTGTCGTCTAACTCCGGTGCATACGAACTACGACCCTATACGAGAGAGGTTTGGGGTATTTCTGCAGGGTGCAACAGTCCACAACATGGATGACACAATTATCGAAGTCGATAGTGTGCAACTCTACCGACGCCGCGATGAAAAGGGCCTAGTACTTGCGGTCTTCTCGAGACTCAATATGCAACTCATATGGTATTTTTTTTTCGTTTTTTTGGCATTTGAAGATTATAGAGAATGAACGACGCTTATAGAAGAGAACGGAGGCAGCAGCTCCTGTAACTACTAGAACTTTCATCGCTTGCCGAAGTAGCGAGTACTTCGTCTTTTACATATACTTAATGAGTTTGGTTTCCGTACTAGTACTTAAAATTTATTTCTTGATGACCCTCGTCAACAAGGTTGAAAACTTACAACACGTTTAACCATCCTGGTGACTCGAACGCGATGGCGAGCGACATTCGTAAACTGGACCAAAGCCACTTCGTAGCTGTAGTTTCTACAGATGCCTGGGAATGGAATGTGACACCTGGTTTAATTCGCGCCATGGAGTTCTGCGGTGCCTTCCATTTCGCTACGTGGGTCAAAAATTTTGGCGGAACACACACCAAAATGCCGACGCAGACTGGGTACTTAAATCTCAGTGAAGATACTACAGACTGGTACAGGGATCAACATGTGCATTAAATGTGGGCAAGTATCATGTTATGAATGTTTATTTAGCTGCACTGTAGTTGTAGTATGTACCTCCTTTTACCTAGAAGTTATACAAGAATCGCAACTTCAAACTGCTCGCTATAACCATAAACACGAGCATCACAGGTTTGACGTAGATCAAACGAGCACACAAGGGGGTTTCGGACATCCGTACTCATTTTGGGGTATTCCCGGAATCGGTACTGGCAACGGCTGGGAAGGCGTGGCTTGGCCGAGCAGCCATTACTTAATGCAGAAACTTGCACCAAATGCTGTTTATGACTTTGTTTTTTCTAGCTATTGATTCTGATGAATGTATCTCCACCAAGTCCAGGGTAAGTTTCTGGACTCCTACTAGCCGCAGATGAGGACTCAAGCTAATGCTAATCTGAAAGCGTGCACACGGGTGCGGGTTCTGGTGTGTCAAGCGTTTTCTCATTGAAAAGTTCGTTCAGATCTCGTCACTACAGCTCTCTACCTATCTACATGTTCCGTCTCCTTCATACCTCGATCCGGCTTGTCCTGTACATGGATTACGTGGTGCGCCACTACTATGTCAGTCTTCCAAGCACAGACCGAGTCGTCGTTAGCTTTCAAGCGCAAGCGATACCACCACCCCTAGAGTCACTGCACAATCCCTACACCTTTGCTCAGCGCAACGCATCTTGTGAAGCACCAAATTGCCGTATGTATCAACCTGGCGTGAAGAGCTACATCCAAGAAGAGCCCTTCTACAAAGTCTATCATGGTACTACTTGGACTAGTTGTACTTGCTTGTGTGTTGCTATCCTTCCCTTAGTAGAGTTAGAAGGACAGCTTCTCCATCTAGTGCAGCCGCAGCCTGCACACGACCTTTCCATTGGACAAGTGGTATGATAGATACGATACGCGTTCATCAAGAAACCGACACAGAGGTCGTTTCGTTGATGTACAGCATTCTACGAGCATCTTCATCGCGTTGCTAAAATGAACAGGTGAACTGCGGTTTCACATGGACCGGATTCTGGAGGCGAACCGAACCGTCGATCCTCATTATTACCATTTTTTCCTCTTCACGAACAGTTCGGTTTACAAGTTCGATCCCCGACCGTCGTTCTACCTTAAGCCTCGCGCGGTCTCTGATTCTGATTCATTTCTTTTCGCTGGCTTCCGCGTCACGTATTCACATTGATGTAAGCTGTGGCTGTAAGAAGAATTGCAGCGAAGGCGAACAACGCTCAGAAAGTAGGTTTCTTTCATGTTGCTCCTGACCCTGAGATGATCTCTAATATTCGGGTGACCGAGCTAGAACGTATCTGGGGCGGTCCTAGTGAGCGGTATTTCTTCAACGTTAGTGCACAGCAATGGGAGCTCGCCTTTCCCGGCATTAAATACGCGGACCGATTTTGCCCAGACCTATTTCACAACGATAGGTTCGACATCAATCCAATCACGTGCCGCAATACCTCTCGCGCGGGAATGACAAGATGCTGCGACTACCTGGACTTCAGAGTCGGTACTTCTTCTAACTTCGTCGAGTCCACGTCCACTCTGTGTGGTGAGCATTGATGACCACTTGTCGTGCGTAAGAAAATACAACGACGTAGTCATTTAGATTAATACAGTGGTCGTTCCTAGCGTTAGCGATACATTGAAGATTCTACATTTATCAATGACAGTGAAACTATTTTTTTCCAAAAGAAAATAACGCACCACTTCTAACACTAAAAGGCAACGATCCTTCGAACGACTATTACCTTGGGTTACGCTGCGGCGTCGGTGTTGTGCCTACGCTGTGTAACGAGACACACAATCCTGCTGCGATCCCGCAGGCACCTTTGATTCCAGCTTGGGACCATAGAAACACTTTGGAGCCAGTGCCTAATGTTTAAGGCTTCAAGAAATACATCTTAGCCAGCATCTTAGTCCTCTTTTTCAAGGGATAATGGGCACCAGAATGCTCCGTGCGATGGATTTCTCCAAGCTCTAAAATGTCTATTCCAAGCTTCCGCCAACAGCAGCTGTAATGGCAGCGAGTCTAGGACTACCCATGCATACCATGGGACTGTCTGAGGCAGAGCGATTACACGGCGGCTGGGTTCCTTCAGCAGCGACGCGGTAGATTACCTGGTTGACTCCTGTGCTGCCAGATAGACATGGTTGACCTTGACTCCTGTGCTGCAAAAGTGTCCTAGTCGTGTAAGTATCGTGACAGCCATAATAGAGAATGCTTTTTCATGTTGTTGACTATCATGACAAGACGTAGGATGAAGATCACCCGCTACATTTTGTCGTTGATCGAGCACATGATGTTGAACATCTAGATTTATTACATGAAGATTTTACGGGCAGGTGGTTTCCCTGCCCCTACAACGTCGAACTGTATATTTTATTTGGTGAGATAAAGAACAAAAGGAGCTAACTGAGAGACCTTGAACAATTGAATACTACTTAATGAACTACAACTACAAGAAAAATTCCAGAAAGTGTAAATCGACGAGATCTTCTTCTACTTCCATATTGGCAGTTACTAAGAGTAATTTATTTCTGAACTACAAGACCGATTGCGGCCGAAAATCCAACTCATGCCCATGAATCAATCCTGAATTCCTGCAAAGTATTTGGACACGAGGACCTTTGTCAGTTGTAGTACAACATGTCAAAAGGACGATAAGTAGAGTAAGCACATGATCACGCCTCGCCGGGGACGAATCTTGTCGTGCTGTTCAATCACATGCGCAACACAGACACCTGCCAGCGCAAGCGCAGCACCGGTGAGTCGCACGTTTAAGAAACAGTTGACAAGACAAAAGCCTCTCACTATGAATATGATGTCCTAGATCGATGTAAGTGCTTACCCCGAGAAGTAACGCCTCCAAAATTCTCCGACCACTCATTCCATCTTTGATGACCATTATTTTTGAAGATGCATGTGCCATGCGGTAACAGCCTTTTCCTTACGTCGTATACATAGCTACGCGAGCCTTGGACGAAAAAAGTCTCGCTTTCGTTTCAGTCACTTTGTCTAGTATAGTCGTTTCTTCGAATTCATATATGTCTCCATACTTTCTCAAAACAACCCACAACTAAACCCTTAAAACTTAGAAGGTACCACTTCACGAAATTTGCCGCGCAGCTGCAGACACTTGATGGAAGTCCTCCATACAGTTTTACTCCTTAGAAATACTGACTTTGAAAAGTCCTAGGCTCACCTTAATATGACTCCAGCCGCAGTCATGTTTTGCTGATCAAAGAAAACACGGTTGACGAGGACAAGGAAAGCAGCCGGTCCCTCAAGATCCTCGGCTGCAACATGATGGTAACAGCGTGCGCTAAATGTGCCGCGTAGACCCTGTAGAAACGAAAAGTGTAGCTGTCTGCGTAAGTAGACCTGTTGGTCGTGGAGAAAAGGAGCAGCTAGGACTCGGATCTCGACTACTATGGTCCTCGTGGAGGGCGGTGAGGGAACGCTCCGCAGCTCAGCTGGCGTGCTTGGCGGAGATTCTTCCGATCACAAGAATGCGCTCGATCCCGTTGGAGGGTCGCTATCACCTGCGCGCCGACTTACGAGGCCACGCGACAGCTCTGGCGCGTTGCTGATGCAGAGTCACACGACCATCGGACTAGAACCCACGACATCATCTTCGCATGCGAGTCCAAATACTACAGGAGGAGGGGGCTTTGTTATGGCTCTTGCATTTACATCCCAATAGCAATAGACCGCTCGGAATTTAGAAAGAAAAACTTGGCGGCAGTTCGTACTAGTCGTACCCACTTTATCTCCACGCGGCCACCTTCTTCGAAGAGAATACAGACGGATTGCCGTGAGTGCCCCTTTCATATCTCGTCGCAAGAGCGGGCCTACGACTACGACCGGCTGCGGGCCATTGAGCGCCGCTCCGACCCTTCTCGCGTCTGCGTTGGGAGGAGGTGGCGATCCACCCCATCCTACGCCGCCACCAAACATAGCGCGTCGCGCGAGGCGGTCTATGACTCGGCCTGAGAGCGAGCTTATAGAGAGAGGCAATATGGAACATCAACGTACTTACTTCTTATAAATATGTTGGTCTTAGTCTACTTTTTGGGCTTTGATATGAGGATGTCGATATCCTGACTAACGCTGGCAAGATGAAGAACCTGCAAAAACTCTGATGTAAGTACATCAGGATCAGCTACAAGATTTGCGACAAATATCAAGTGACTGAGTACTTTTCACAACAGAGCGACGATCTTTTCTGCGACCGCAGCTTTCGCGTCAAGGCACACTAGATGTGGATAATCCGAGTAGTCGGCGAGCTTCAGTGGCGTTCGATCGAGAGTCGTTGAACGGGACAAGGGATGTTAAGGCCTCAGAGTCAGTCGGCAGACGCGTTTTCTTGCAGTAAGTATCTGATATCATGTTCGCAAAATTCTCGAAGCAAGTAGGTTGAATGTTACAGGTAGGGACCAGGTTACCAGATTAGGGATATGTTCAACTCTAAAAACGATAGCAACATCGGAATGCGTACAGGCGCTGATGGAAAGGAGATCACAAGGGGTATGAGCAGGTCGCGAATATGGGACGACGTTCACGAAAACAACACCCTGCTAAAGAATTTCTTAGAAAGTAGCTCCGGTGCTAGGGGAGATAAACGTATAATCGACTTGAAATTGCTCTTGATGCAATTCTGTTATAAGTTCTCACTTTCTTTGATGATTAAGTAACAGTTTTTGATGATGACGCATACTTACATTTGCGTACTCCTTGTTTGATCCCATGCTCTTTAGAGATTATGCAAACCGATTTCTTCGTTTACCCACCATAACCATATCATTCAGAGGGTGCTGGCGGTGGCGGCGGTGGTGGAGGTCACCATGCGCTTCCAGCTCGTGCGACATCCCATACGCAGCTGGAAAAAATCTTCCATCATGGAGGCAACGTTTTTTATGGAGCTATTCAGCAACTACAAGTTGTTTTTGTAATTCGTTTCTCGCTCTTCATTATTTCACGGAGCGACATACTACCGATGTTCGATCTATCTGCTCTTCGATCTTTATAAGTACTACCCTTTTGCCGAGAAACGAAGGTAGAGCAGTCTTCTGACAACCATTTAAGTAACTCATCTAAGTTTTAGACAACCTGCATGACCTACGGCCCTCTGACAACCACATCTCCTCTAAGTTTTAGACAATCTGCATGACGTGGTGAATGAAGTGCACTTGGTGCAGACCGAAGATCCGAACAGCATTCGTGCATGGCTGGCAAAGAAGAAGCTGCTGCTTTGTTAAGGGTTGAAACGTCTCATTTCTACATGCGCCTTTCCCATAACATAAACATTGCGAGTTAAAAATGAAATGTTTCAACCTTTAACTTCGGCTGTTTCTGGAGGAGCCTTTCCTTAGTGGCCTTTCCACGCTCTACTCTCTAGTCATGATCGGAATGACATTCTGTGGCTTTTACACGGCTGTCGGGAGTCAGGAGTATGATCCATACTTACGGCGGACACCTTGTTGTTGGCGACAGTAAATCTGGTTGAAACATGTTGTTGAGGAGGATAAATGAACTACTCAAAGAAAGTACTTCGTTGTTTGATGACAAGCAGCGCGCCTGCTGTGACTGTCTTTCTAATATTGTCCGGAGCCTTCTATAACACACCTGCATTCGGTGACCGGCGATACTACTTCACCTTCGGAGTCAATTTGCTTTTCACGTTGGAAACGATCATCCGGTTCCTCGTCGCTCCAGTGAAGAAGAAGTTCGTCCATCAGATGTACTGTCATACACATTTTGTTATTGTGCATGTGTGCTACACAAAATAGGTTCATTATTTCATAACAGATAGTATGCGTATGAGCAAATCTATCACATGAATCAACACTGGTACGCAAGGCTAAACAGATTGAGTTGAAATTTGCTTATTGGATCAGTGAATTGAAATTTCTTTTGATTGTACCAAGTCGAATAGTTGAAAGGAGTTCACCAGGAAATGAATTGATTAGATAAGAGATAAAATCAAAAATTTTGGTTTCAATAGTTGACTTTAATTTTGGAAACAAATCAGTTTCTTTAGAAATTTGGAGTAAATGTTTTGTTTTCATGAATTACTTAGAGCTAGAGAAACGGATTCAGATGCATACTCTTGACCAAAAATTTTGGTCTGCACATAATTTTTATTCGTTTCTATAGATGTACGCTGTGTTATGATCATGTAAAATCCTGCTAATTAGTGCGTATGTCCCCTGGTAAATCTCATAAATTTCAGTTTGGGCTGCCAGGAAATGAATTGGAATAAAACGAGATAAAATCAAAAATTCTTAGATTTGGATTTGAAAATCAAAATTCAGATATGGCATTTTGTATTATTTAAAATTATACGTGTTTGATGCCCAAACATTGAAAATCAATTTAGATATTAGAATCCATTTTGAAAAGATTTGCTCGTTGTGTGTCTTCATAATTTTCGTACTCACCACGTAAACTCACCACCACAGTTCAAACATCTTCGATATGCTGGCTGTGCTTCCCTTCTGGATCAATAATACCCTACAACTGGATCGTGCCTTGTCCGGTCTCCGCTATTTCTCTGTTTTCGGTTCGGTTTTTTGGCTTGTGAAGCTGTGTAGGTATTTTCCAGGCTGGTATCTGCTGCGGATGGCGTTGCGGAACAGTATGAGCGCCTTGTTGATTCCAGTTTTCTTCTTGCTGCTAATGGGAGTCGCTGGCGCGAGCCTTATCATGGCTTTCGACTGGGTGTCGGCTGTAAACGGCTACTCCCCGCTCGCAATATCAAGCTGGATGGACGCATTTCACTACATTATGGTATTACACTTATATTTTTGATTGCTCAATAGTATTCGCGTCGTGGCGATCTGGCTTGAGCAACACGCCCCTGAGTCCAGAATTATGAATGAGTTTCAATCCATTGACTTCGACGTGACGACGCCCATGTCAATTTGGAAACTGCTTCAAGTTATACGGCTTCTCACTCTTTTCCCAGGTCGTTTCGATTTCGATCGATGTTTCCCCAGTGTATGGTACAGCAGCACAGTCGGCGCCAGCACAGGCAATCGCGGTTCTGTGGATGTATTTGGGTGTGATTTTCATGTCGATGCCTATTGCGATTGTAGGTACGTGCTTTTCCCAGACTTGGTTCGACCAAGATCGCATAGTCCTAGTGGAAAAGGTGCGAAGTCGGATGCGACAGCAGGGCTACACAACGGACGACTTGCGGGAGGTGCAAAGTGAATACAAGTAGTTTTGTTTCTATCTACCCAGACTGAGATCGTGCATGACAATTCGAAGTCGTTGCTTCATGTCGGAGGTCTTTTTTGCGAACTTCAATTGTCGTGTCTTCAAATATGATGCAAATGCTCTAGACTCAAGCTCAACACGAAAATGCTAGGTTTTTGATGAAGTGGATGAGGACGGTTCGGGGGAGATCGACTTCTACGAATTCAAGCGCATGCTGGAGGCGTTTCATTTTTTTGCACCGATAGGCAAGACGCGAAAGCTTTTCAACCACTTCGATACGAACGGCACTGGCAGTATCTCCTACCAAGAATTTGTGTGCGTGATTTTCCCAGAGATCACAGATATCGTCGACTGGGAGTACGATCGTGGAGACAGAGACTCGCTTGGAGTGATAGAGGAGGTCGACTCGGACGAAGAAGCGGGAAGTAGTGCCTCTTCTGACGCATCAGGGTCGAACGACGATAGCAGCAGCAGTAGCGGTTTCGGATCTAGCGTCTCGTCTTCACGTAGTAGTGGCGAGACCGACGAGGACGCCCGTGACGCAGCACCATCGAAAAGAGGAGGAAGTCTCTTATCCTCATCGACGAACAGTATGGCCTGAGCTTTTTTGTTTTGTCGAGTTATTATTTTTTCACTGACAATGAATGATGTAGATAGATTCAAATTTGAACTTGATCTACAGGAGTGAGGATGTTGTTACAGGCCCTTATTATATTGTTCTAATCAGCATAAAGAGTCGTCAAGTGGACGTGGGGCGTCGTCGAATAGAGGAAGCGGGAGCTCGTCCGGTGCGAGGAAGAGCATTTTTGAGTGGGTAATTAAGCAAAGTTCGGCCGGCGGGACGACAAAAACGACACGGAAAACCATTGTAGACACTATGATGCCGACCGCGTGGACGAGTAATCAGAGCAAAGATAATGATCCACCTCAGCAGAACCAGAACAAAGGTACTGATGCAAAAAGAGACGAGCATCAGCAACAAGGTAGTGGCGGTGGTGGAACCGTTAGCATTATTAGCAGCGGAGGATCGTCGGCATCAACGAGTAAAGAACGAGCGGACTCTCACGGAGATCAACAGACTGAAAGAGAAAATTTCCTACCAAAAGTAGAATCGGGGAACAAGCCAGCGACTACTAGTACAACTAATGAGCAGGCAGAGACGGGTACTAGTGGTGCAGGTATTCTGGCTCGAAGCGATCAGGACGAGAAGGACTTGCCTGGCACGCTTCTTGGAGAAGAAACCACGACAGGAATAAAGTCTCGAGGCGAGGAGGCAGGTGGCGGTGCGAGTGTTAGCCCTGTAGTGACGCGTCCAGGCCCATCCTCTTCGAATTCAATACGGCGCGGCGCATCGATTGAGAGTTGCGTTTCTCGTGCCTCGACACGGAAATCGTCCTCACGGAAAAGTCGGCGGGGCTCGGGAGATAGAAGGAACTCACGTGACAAGCGCCGTGACTCTGATCATTATGAGAAGTGTTTGACGTGGAATTCGCACATCATCAACAACTTTCATGAGGTTGAGGAGAGAAAAAATAGCGAGATATAAATTGGAACATATAATATTTCATATAGGACTACAAGAACAGGCTTGAAGTTCATCGACGTAGTCTAGACAACGAAGATGGACTGCAGCGTGCTACGTGTTTCTCTATTCAGCGGTCATACATTGTCTTCATTTGGCGTCTCAGAGTGGCAACAGATTAGTGTCGCAGATCGGAGCTGTAGTGGTCAATGTCGGGAAAGCTGCGATCCGGCGCGGGAGCTCGATGGTGTCCATGGCGGGGCAAGACGATGAAGAACTGCTTGGACGAAACATAGTAGTGGATAAAGGCACGCTTCGGCGAGCGCGTTCCACAGATATGCTGGATGGCGGAGTCACTAGCAGTTTAGGTCTCGGCAGTATTAAAGCTGGACGACGATCGGGCGGCGCGCCACGCGCGAGCGCGCTCGCAGCCATGGCTTCGGGTGGACCAATACCCCGTAGCAGTGAGGGTGCCTCGCGGGCTTCGACGGTTGGAGGGCCTCCTGCTCTGATGGGCGTGGGTAAGGCGCATTCGGTCGGGATCGGGGCTTCAGGTGCGGCCATCGTTGGTGGGAGCGCGCCGTCTTCTGCTGTACGAGGTGGTTATCTCATTGTCTTTCCTTGTTTTGTAAAGAAGTGCTTTAGAGGCAACATGGTGGCCATCACCATCTGTTGCTGATACTGTTCTTTGATTCATCAATCATAATATGAGAGTTCTTGTGGTTGTGCAATCTTGTTATTCTTCATAGTGCGCACCAGTGTCTGGCTCAAACCCAGCGACTGCGTCTTCGGCAGTAGCAGGTCAGAATGTATCGCCAGCTGGCGCAGCAAGAGGAATGTTGACGAGTTTCTTTGGACGGGACCGGTCACGTGTAAGAGACGAGCCAATTGTATCTACAAATCATGGAGGAAACATCGAGTTTTCGAAATCTGCAGTGCCTGGCAGTCCCGTAAAAAGCAGTAAGCTGGGAGTACTGACGGGCAAGTCTTCTGCGAGTGCGGCGGCCGGGACAACAGCAGGAAGTGTATTGCATGAAGTTTTTGGCTCTTTACCGAGGTCTTGATGATGATGACTTGAACTACTTGGACACTTGTGAATCTTTCATGATTTTTCTGCGGTGCGTAGCGTTTTTAGGCCCTGATCATCTTCATCTGGTACTTGTACTCTTCTGAGTAACCCTCAGGTAGACGCGTTGCGGCAATCAGCAACTGGTAGTGCGATGTTAGGTCGGCAAAGTCAGACACTTGAAAGTAAGCGGAATATCGATGATGGGTTCTCAGGGCAGATCGGTCCATCGAATTCAATCCACGGTTTCGCAGATGGCGGAGCGGGCGCGTCAGGCGGGAACGCAGGCGGAGGTAACGGTCTAGGTTCTAGTAATGCAAGTAGTACCGGAGCAAGTGGTGGAGGCGGTATACTGACAAACGGAATTCTTCGGTCAAAAAGCGCAAACAAGCGAAAAAAGGACCATTTGAAAGTGGACACCGGTAACGTGGCATCGTCTGCGGGCTTAGCATTTCAAGGTCCAGGAGGTGGAGGAGCTGTAACTGGTAACAATTTTGCCAGCGGCATCCCCGGTGGTATGCACCAACCGGATCATCAGCAGTTTATGCAGACAGGGAATATGCCTGGACACAATTTCGGATCAGGAGGAGGTGACGCGGCAGGAGGTCCTCCTCTCGGAGGTGGCGTTGGGTTCGGGGGAGGGGGAAAAGGTGGATTCGGGAAGCCAATGGGTGGTGGAGGCGGTCTCGCTAGAGGTGGAGTACAAAAGATGCCGTGGCTCAGTTTCGGCAATACCGCAGGACTCAACCCTGCCGCGGCTGCGCAGCAGAATAACGCGGACTCGACACAGTCCATGCTGCTGCGAGTTACGGCGCGAGTACTGGTTCTAGAGAACCAGTTAGCGCAGGTGGCGGAGACCCAGAAGCAGTGCCTGAGTTTGATGGGCAGCATCTATCCGCCAGCCCTTGCTGCAGCATCTTCTCCGGCTGGCTCGCCTGCAGGCGATGGTAGAGGTGGTGGAGGTGGCGCGACGTCGTCTTCGCCAGGCCAATTAGGCGTAGGAAAGGCCGCTAGCACTGGTACACAACACTTAGCAGTATCGCTCTCAGCACAGCGACGCGGCAGCCGCGAAAGCCGACGCGGTAGCTTGTCCAGCAGACGTGGCAGCGTCTCCAGCCGGCGGGGGAGCGCTGCGAGCAGAAGAGGAAGCTTCGAGCAACAGGGGAAGAGCCTCACCCAAAGTGCACATCTAGGCGGGGCAACGCGCCAAAGCATATCTGTTAATGTGTCTTCTGCTGGAGGTGACCAGCAACATACGTTACACAGACGAGGGAGCTTGGAAAAAATCGCTGGCGTTTTGAATTTGGATAAGCTGCTGAGTGCGTCGAGTGGGATGTCGCACAATCACCGGAGGAGCAGTCGTACCAGCATCATATCGAGCGCAGAATTTTACGCATCGGGGCTAGGGGGGCATCAACACGGTCGCAATAGTGGCGGCGGTGGGGGTGTGGGAGGTGGAACAGCGAGTACCACCATGCAAAGAATGAGCATATCTGCAGGTGGGGGCTCGGACCAGATGAATATGCTCAGGTCCAGAAGTAAACAGAAGCAACTCATCGAAGTCGTACCGAACTCTAATAGACCGTCACAGGAAGTAGATCTAGATGCCGTAGCAGAACTACCGGAAGTAGACCAGCACTCGGTAGTACCGAAGATCGTTGTACCTGGAATAATAGCTCCTTCTGTACTAGACGAGCAGAACGGAACGGCTTCAGGAGTATCAGATAACACTTCCACTCGTCCTCGTCCTATGATACAATTTCTAGGAGGTGATGGCAATCTCTTAGGAACCTCAGCTTCTCCTTCCCGCAGTACATCAAAGATGACGACTGGAGGGGACGACAGAAAACCGCCACCCCCATCGCCTTGTGGTGCATCTATGATGGCACGGGGTGCATCACCAGGCCTAGACGAACCCAATTCCGCAGCCGCGGCTGACATGCTACAAAAAGTGAACATGCTTGCTGGTATAACAGCAGCTAGTACATCCACGGACGAAAGATCAGGAGTGGAAGAGAACAAAACAGTAGCGCCATCACCAGGAGGTAGTGCGGGGAAAGATGAGCAGTTACACAAACGGGCAACTAGCAGTCCCGACGCAGGTGAGGAAATCACTAAGAAGGAGAGCCCGACACTGGTGCTCACATCATCTGGTGCAGCTGAGGGGGCGCCGGGATCTGAAGTAAATCCGGCAACAGCGGGAGATGGTGGAGGAATAATACCGACAATCGGCATTGCGCCTGCGATAACAGGAACAGAGCCTCGTGGCACCAACGATGTAAATCCAGTGACAGGGTCTACTAACAATACCCAGCTGCAAGGCGAAGCCGGAGACCAACCTATTGATGCGGATAGGCCCAACGATGTGAGCGGGACAGTCCCAGACGAGGAGCCGGCTTGTGAGCCACCACCGACTGCGCGCTCGGCGGGAGCGGGTGAGCCGGAGCCGGATGAGGCTGAAAATCCTGAGGCCGATCATCCAATTCCTAATAGTAATGCTCCCGTAGATCAAACTTGATCTGTCATAATCAAAAGAACAAGAGATGTATATGCAGTAGAAGATGTCTCCCTGCCCTTCTAGTCTTTTTTGGAAGTAAGTAGCTATTTAGCCTTAGTGTTGTCGAGGAAGAAAATTTGGAACTTTTGTACACCATCATAATTCCTAACTCTATGGTGCGCATGCTAGTCGGTATATTTTACTTCATATTTCGATGGGATTCCCACTTGGAACAAGTTTTTCTAGAGCAATTTAGCAGCGTGCAAGTGCTAGATCTTATGCACATAAGTTGTCGTGTTTTTTAGAGTTGTAACGATGTTGATAAATTTGTAATCGGTAAACAAGTACAAGCAGAAGCAGTTCCTCTAATCAGCAGATTGATTGAGCATGAAATGTACGTACAGTTCACGTTGAACAAGAGTGAGAAATTTGCTATTCGAGTACGTACAGTTCACGTTGAACAAGAGTGAGAAATTTGCTTTTCGATCGAATATTCCTAACTAAAACTAACTCTCTCATCATTCGATCGTGCAAATTTTTTCAGTCTTAGTTTTGTCAGTCGTGCCGAGTCCAGTGAGTAAAAGTTTATCCTAGTTGACACCTTCTACTTCTAGTTCCACCTCATATTTACAGTGCTAATGACTGTTGTCTCTTGTTTTCAGTTTCTGTTGTCGGCAGATTCCTGACAGAGGAATTTAGTTCGAAACAAAGTGACACGTTGATAGTGATCAACTATGTTGAGTTGTTCAGGAGTGGCGCTTCAAAATATCTTCATCTAAGTTTTCAAAAACAAAAAATGTCAGAAGCAAGTCTGCTTTGTTTGCACAGTGCACCAATGAATATTCGCTAAATTTGCAGTGGCATCTAGACTCCTCCTTGTTCCAACATTTTATATAATCTCGCAAACGTTGATCTTGATGTAGTTATTCTTTTTATGACACTCTCAAAAAGGTACGAGCGCGCATAGCTTGCCGACGATTGTATGTATTCTGAGTATCATTTTACAAGAGACTTTTGTAGCAAGTGGAAGCGCCGCGGATGGGAGTACACTCTCTCATTTGCCGGAAGATGGTCACTCAATAATCACGACAAGACAAGAGACTAATCAGGCACAGAAACCCCAAAAGAACCAATGAGTAGATTAGTCTTCTCTACTGTTTCAACAACGTCGCCAAGTTGGCGAGTACGTCTGCAAAAGACCTTAGCGCCGGGATTGTGTGAGAGAAACGTCGCTTTATCGTATTTACTAGTTTGTTGAGCGTTCTTACCAAAAAGAGAAAGCTCCAATTCATTGCAGAAACATCGATCGGAAGAATTTACTCCTGGCAAACCACATTGGTAGGAAAGTCGTCTCTCTTCCGAGCATCATCGGAAATATCGAAAAGCAAAAGAATGAGAAAAAATTTCTCCTTGACAAATCTGTAAAAAGGTCATCACGGTTATGTCAAACAAGCTTCTATGTCGAAGACTCGCCTCGATGTTCCATGCATTCTTCATAATTCCACCAAATAAGATGAAGATCATCCTAGTATTTCAACTACTGAAGGATAAATTGTTCTACTTCTAGCTCATGTAATGTACTGACAAAAACAAAAAGTCAAGCACTAGCACGAGCACTAATATTAGCTTACTATCATTGTGCGGTCGAGTGATAGTGAGAATTCTACAAGTTGTTTTTGCCTCTGGACTAATTTATTACTTGCATGCCTATGCCTTAATTAGTTAGGTAGCACTAGCATCGAGAGAAAATCAAGAATGTTGGAAACGCTGTTCGAGGAACCGGAAGCCAGGGAGGCTCGGAAGGGCAGTAGCTGGGAGTTTCCGTTGAGTGCGACCGAGACTCGCGCCCGTCTTTTCGACGTGGTCGAGTTCGAAAATGCAACATACAAAGAGGAAACACAGGTATATTTATCGTCCCGTACTAGAAGTAGGCTTACAAAAATGCTTTCGTTCCGTGTCCTTCACCCATTTAATTGTTTCACCCTATTGTTTCACATCTTTATTGTTATTCTACCTGTCGTGTTGACCATATCAGTCGTATCGTCAGTTCCTACAAAAATGATTACCGAGCAGGAGCACAGGAGCACAACTTGCTTTCACAAAGACCTTGAGTTCCTCATTGCTTGACTTCAGCTGAGCTGAATCAGTTCCTTCACCTATTCAGATGAATGAAGAGCTTATATCGGGTTTGGTCGAGGAAAACAAAAAACTCGCGGAAGAACTCGGATTACTCGAACAAGACGCCTTGCAACAGTTGCGTTGCACAAAACAAGAGCAGGAAAAGGATGCGGTATTATGATATTCCAGAGAAATACCAATAAGTACAAGTAGTTCTTGAGTTATTCTAGCGAAAGTACAAGAAGTACTAGAGTCACAGTACTAGTAATAGTATGTAGTGATAAAAATGTTCTTGTTGTATCAGACGTAGTCTAGTGAATGATTGATTGTCGTAAAGGTAATGCAGCTCCTGTCCAAGTCCATCATCTGGCAAAGATCATAACTGGATTGCTTTTAAGATTTATAATGAAAACCAAAGAATCTCTGACTTCTCCCACTACAACAGAAAGAGCTTCGCAGTAAAACCGCGGCTTTGGAGAAAGCTATCGCGGAGCAACAGTCAAAGAACTGGGATTTGATGCGAGAAAAGTCTGCTCACTTCCGGGAAAAAGAGCGGGAAGTCGCTAGATTCAAGCAGAGGTTGGAAAAGCAGGAGAGCATGCTCCGAGAAACCAAGGAAAAAGTCGAGGCTAAGAGTCAAAAGGCCGATTCCGAAGCAGTAAGACGCGAACAAGTAGAGAAGAAGCTCCAAGATCGTGCAAAAAGCGAAACGATGCAACGAAATAATCTGCGCTATTTGGAGTTAAGACTCGAGTTCCTATTTCTCTCTGATGATGTGTTTTGCTTTTGTTCATTCTAAATTTTTTGATTTTATTTCCACTTCCGTGTAAACCAAAATTTCTTGTTCTATCTTTACGAACATAAAGGAAGACTACATACTTCTTACGCATTCATTAGCCGCACTAGTCGAGGATCCGATTTGGAATTTGGTATTGGTGCTCAACAATTGTCCATGATCCTCTGCGACTTTCTTCTCCATCTAATGAGTCAGCAGACTTGTTCGCAGAAAAAGACTATCAAGAATCTTCGTGGCTTGCTAGAGGAGAAGGAGAAGAGTGAAGCAAAATTGCAGTCGGAAGTCTCAAAGCTACAACAGGAGGTCTCAAAATTGCAAGCCAGCGTGCAGCAATGGACAGCGAGAGGTGCAAATAGCGAATTTCCGTTTAGCGTTGGGGCAGGTGGCTCATCATGTTCTAGTTCCAGTAGCGGAGGAGGAGAGCTGCAGGGAGTTTCTGCCCCGGGTGGAGGCGGAAAAAAACGTAATTCGCGAGTAGTCGTTGTCCCGCCATTGACGCTAGGGGGCTTGATAAAAGGTGCTGAGACTACTGAGAGTCGAGGAAATTCGAAGGACAGCAGCGGCGCAGCGACCGCACGAGCTGCCGGCTCATCCGGCGCAGGAGCCTCCGGAGGAGGAGGTCCGTCAGGCGCAAAAACAGCAAGGGCTCATACTGGAGGTGGTAGCACCACTGGCACTTTGAGTTCATCCTCTGCGATGAAAGGACCACCAATCGCTAGCCCACGGAAGAAGAGGAAAAACCCTGCTGCAGCGGCGGCGGCGCCTCTAGGTGGCACACCTGGCCCGGATACTAGGGCAGCATCCTCTAGTAGTTCGAAAACTTGTGCCGAAAGAGAAACCGGGACTCCTTGTGAAAAGAGCAGCAAGCCATTGGTCCCGGTGTTGTCGCTGAAGAATCTGAAGTTTCAGCTAGACGAAGCTGAGGAAGATGATGCAAAAGATGGTGCTCTCAATGACGGGTGTGAACCTCGCGTGGCGTATTCGCAGACAGCGCGCGAAGCGGATCGAGGGGATGCAAATGAGGTAGAGGGCAAAGCCACTATGACAAAGAGTATGAGGAGACGGATTGCAGCTAAACGACGAAGTTTAGGCGCCGGCGACTTGGAGTTGAAGAAACTAGATGAGATCAACGCGACAGCAGCCTCGTCATCTGCGTGTACGACTGCAGCGCCATCCTCAACCACGTCGAGTGCTACGGTGACGCCGTCCACGTCACTGCTGTCTCTAGGGAATAAAGTCTTCGACCTACTCGGAGGGGGTGGAGGCGATGCAGCAGCCCCTGACACTGCTAGAGGAATGCAAAAGAACGTGGTGGGCGTGGACGCAAATGAGGTGTTTTTAGATGTGAATTCGACACCATCGAAGGAATCGCAGTGCGGACCGCGTGCGTCTCCAACGACGCCGCCGCTGCCTCTTTTGGCCTCCTTCGGAATAGGGGACGAGGGCGACGAGGATACAGAAGACGTGGCAGCGGGTGGCGGAGGGGCGGCCAGCCGAAGCAAGTCAAAACAAGTGTTGAAGAACAAAAAAAGAAAGCGCAACAAAAAAGGTGGAGCAGCGTCAGGTGCTGGTGGCGCTGCTGTAGCTGCGGCGAAATAATTGGAGGTAAGAGGTGGACTGATATTTTTCAAGTCTTTTCATCTAGCTGAGTGACCACTGTCTTAGGAAGTAGAAAGTCAATTGGATGATCATGATCTCTCTTTCTACCGCGGGTGGAATGAAATATGAAAGAGTGTATGTCGGCTCACCGCGACCGCAACATGGTCTTCAGGTAGTTTCCGTGCCTACGAGATTCGGTTCTTCGAGATTTTGATTCCTGAAAAGGGAAACCGAGTCGCGCGCACTCATTATGCAGATAGGGCCAGCTGGAATTGCGTAATTTTGCTTGATGCGGTCGTCGTTCGGCGTTATTTGCGCTACAGATAATGTGGGTCTCCGTCTCACAAAGTGTAGCTTCATCATCATCTTCTTATTAACCAAAGCTCAAGATTTAGAGTAAGAAAAATTTTACTCAATATCACACATCGAAAACATGCGCGTTGCGCAACTCATTGTTACTGATTGCTTGCGCAAGCTTGTTAGGCATTTGAAGAAGCAGTCCGGGTAGGGGAGAAGATGTTGCTAGCATCACTATCCTGAACGTGTAGTCAACATATTTATAATACTTTTCTTACCTACCTAGCATTCCGTTGACTATCATTTCCTGAAGTATTTTGCTATTTTTTTGAGACCAGCCTGCCACGACCCGGTCATTCCTGGTGATGCCTTTCGACGCTGTCTTCTAGTTTTTAATTCGTTTAAATTCAATTCATTTACATTCATCAAGATCAAACTCAAGAGAAATGTTCTCCTGTATTATTATAGATACATCCATGTTTATACCGAAAATACCAATTTGGATCATAGATGCACTTAGTCTTGATGATGTTATTCGAGTGACATTTACTATTATAGTCGCACCATTCTTGTATTTTAAATTCATTTGGTGCATGGCCCTGAGGGCACACTCACGGTAGATGTAAAAAAATGTTTGGGCTGCGGCTGTAGTGGCATAATGGGGGTTGTACATGTACTTACTAGATCGAAGTAAAAAAAAAGTGGACTAAGAGTTAGTTGATGATGAATGAGGTAAGATGTCACCACATGCAAATCTTGATCTCCTTCGGCAATGTCTATAATCAACGGTGTACAAGAACCACTGAATTCGAAAAGAAAGAGTGTGGACGGACTCTTAGATCAATCGCTCTTTCGTGTGTATGCAAAGACTGCGCCATGGATGCGGGAAGGCCTCAAGAACGTTACTGAGGACGTAAAACGAGGTATCATTTTTACATGACATGCGGATGGAGGTTGGGCACAAATGGAGGGCCGCAGTAGCAACTCGATTGATTTGCCATGTTCAGCTTTCCCGCTGCGACTTCGGACAGGTGACATCAGGAACGCCGAAAGATCAACGCCGAGACAATGTGGTCTTATTAAGGTACGGGAAGGGATCGAGAACGAGATCTTTCTGCGCATAATGATAACTGAAGAGATAGATCATTTCATTAGACCCCACAAGAACTATGACAATGACTAGTATCAACAACAATATCATCTGCTTGTACTAGTTCTAGTACGAGGACGAAGATCATGGGTCAGGCGTTGTGTTCCTGCTTGCGTCGCCAGACGACTAAGACGGCTCCAGACGAGGAGAATGGATCTTCTGCCGTAGCGCATGTTGGTGTTCCCACCGTCGGCACTGGCGAATCGGCTCTCCAGTTGGAGAAGAAAGGCGAAGAAGTGCACACCGGTGCTGTCGATCTGAGTGGAGTGCAGACGACGTCGCCGGAGGACGAAGCTGGCGATGTTGACCTGTCTTCTGGAGATGAAGCAGATGGTGAAGGTCCCACCATCCCTCTACCTCCACCAAAAGCGGGCTTGGATTCGCTACCCGTGGAAACGATTCGGCATATATTGGCCTTTCTGGGCACGCAGCGATTGCCATTGAACCGGGAGTTTTTCGCTCTGTTTGCTCCAGACAGTAGTTTGGTGCTTGCGGCTTGCCGACGCGGTTTCGCTGCCTATTTGCAACTAGTGCTACAGGCGAATCCAGATGCCCTAGAAAATTGCGCAGACCGATGTCGAATGACAGCGTTGCATCACGCGAGCGAATCCGGGTCCTCAGCCGCGGTTGAATTGATGCTAAAGCACGTTGCTGCTCACGTTCAGGCCTCTTCTACTAGTACAGGAGCCGCCGTTGATAATGAAGTCTTGCAAAAGATGGCTAACGCTTTAGACGTCTGGAAGTGCGTGCCCCTCCACAGAGTGCGCACTGCAGAGGTATGCAAGCTGCTGTGCGACATCCGCGGTGCCAAGTTGGACGCAGTGACGCGTGCGGACGTCAAGGATACGCGCATATTAGCGGGAGATGCACCACTGCATGTTTCCGTTCGCTATGACCTTCCCGAAGTCACGAGTGTGCTTATTGCAGCAAAAGCAGACCTAAATTTAGAGCGGTATTTTAAGAAGCTAGACAAAATAAAGAGTTGCGTTATAGACCTAGACATTTCCTGGTAAGTTCTAGAAAACAAATACAAAACTAAAGAACTACACTGTATGCCTATGCAGTATGTGGCATGCTAAAAAAGCGGCTCGAGAAAAATCCCTATTGTAGCAGGATCTAAAGACACTAGCCAACCGCAACGGGGAGTCACCGCTAGATGTGGCGGTCGAGACTAGATCAGAGCGCTGTGGTGCACTATTAGTTCAGAAGGGAGCGACCCGCGCTATATGGGGAGCCCGAAAAATGACCTGGTACCAAGCAGTGGAAACGCAGTTGGTCTTCCTGATCGAATACATGAAGCGAAAGGGCTGTCCAAATCCGGTAGTCACTTTCACTCTGCTTCAGCTTACGAATATGATGTAGCTAGGATCAGGTTATGTTGATGTACTTAGTTGATGATTCATGTCCATGATCTCCATCTCCACTATGTTGTGGTGAAGATTCTCTTTTTCCAGTACTACAACTCGATGTCGATCGAGTCATGATGATATGAATTCTGCAATCTTTATTTCCCATCCAACAAAATTCTACGTCAGATAAACGCTTTGCATGACAATATCGAAACTGCGTTACATCTCGCGTGTCGTCGAGTTATGCCAGAGGTTTGCAGGATTCTGTTGGAAGCTAAGGCAGACGCGACAATACGCGATCAAAGAGGTCGGACCGCACTGCATAGGGCAGCGGATCTTCGCTTTAACAACACTGGATTTTTTTTCTTGACAGCGAGCATGCCGGAGTTGGATAAGGATCCGCATAAGAAGATTCAAATAAAACAAAATCAAGGTGAAGAAGATCATACGTGTTGTTTAGCCACAGTGCAACAGCTGCTGGACAACTGTCCCAAAATCTTGACCTACAGCGACAATGAAAAGGTCACGCCGTTGATGCATGCGGCAGCTTCCGGTAGTCTGCAACTAGTGAAGCTATTGCTGAGTGACGATATTCTCAACCGAGTCAACGTTGACTTCGGCACTGCGGGGGGCTCTAGTCCGTCTTCTAGCAAAAACAAAGCAGGAGGTGCGCGGCCTTCTAGTTCGTCTAGTAGATCGACTCGACGAGACGAGGAAGACCTTTCTCCTACTACGTCACAAAATAACGGCTCTTCTGGGGCAGGGTCTGCGGATGGTATTGAGGACCAGGAAGCGTGGTTAGTTGTGCAGAAGCGGCAGAAACGGATGCGCAGCTTGTTGCGGAACAGGGACACGCGACTACGAAGTGCGCTGCATTATGCTTGCACAGGTGCGGACTGCGTCTGCATCGTCGAATTTTTGATACGGAACGGCGCGGACCCAAAATTGGAAGATGAGAGTGAGCGCTTACCATTTTTGACCGCAGTCAGTCAGGGCAGCTGTGAGGTGGTCAAGTGGTTCCTAGAGTCCGCCTCAGAGAGGGGTGCCGCAGAAGTCGATGCGTTGCTCAATGCGGTTGACCAAAAGCTTCAGACGCCGCTCATGCTCGCAGCCGGGAATCCAGAAATACTCGAAGTGCTACTGAAAAGATGTACCTATATCTTCCAGTTCCGCAAAACCTAATGCTAAATCTTTAACTTCATGACTTTCTCTAGGACACCTTCTTTCTATAGAGGATGGATACGATAGTACCGCCCGCTACATAAGAAATACCGGAGAAGAAGATCATACAAATAAGAAGAAATCTGCCGCGGCCGGAACTTGACGTGGCGTTGTTGCTTCTACTTGAGGTTGTACTTCCAAATCGTCCTCTCCTCGTTGTCCAGATATTCCTCCAGACGCTTCTATGGATGAGGCAGGATCAGCCTCAAGAGCGATCGCGTATAAGAGTGTTATTGAAGCACAGGACTGGGAGGGACGCACAGCAGCTCATATTGCCTGCCAGCATGGGGACTCGAATAGTCTGAAGTTGCTGCACGAAACAGGCAGGCTGTCGGTGCACGAGAGCATGGACTGGGGTTGGACATGCCTAATGCTGGCGTGTGATCGCGGGTCCACAAGTTGTATTCGATACCTTCTTATGACACTCCTTTTTGCACTCGTAGTACCCAAAAAGAATGTCGCAGAAAAACTGGGAAATTTTCTACTTCCACCTAACCCCAAATGCTAGTCCTAAAGCTAAGCCCCTTAAGCAACCGAATGCTCGGAGCATCTAGATCTACAAGTGAGCTTTTCTTTTTCATGCGTATCGCAGAAGGCGTCGATCTTGCAGCTAGACGCTCAGACGGTAGCACAGCGATACTAGTCCTCGGCAAAACAGACAGGATAGCGGACGCCAAGGACATGCTACCGATCTTAGAACTATTGGGCGGCACAAGTTCGAACCAGAACTTAATCACCGACGACACGGAGACGAGCAGTTTGCGAACTTTGATGCATTTTGTCGCGGGAAATGCTCACATTAAAACGAACCACCACCTGGTCCTGCATTTTCTTATCAGTATGGAGGGACGTCACTACTTTGAAGAATTTTCATCCAGCCATCCGTAGAAGAAGATGAACAGTGATGCTGAGCAGCTCGTTAGGTGATGCACACCATTTTGTTTGTAACAAATAAGAGGCGGCTTCGTTAGCTTTATACGTAAAGCTGCGCAAAAGTTTTAAGGTTTTCTAACACCAACATTTCGGCAGACTGCAACCGTAAAGACTCTGTACAGTGGACGCCTCTACATTACTGCTGCCAGCGAGGCGATTCCAGTTCCGTGGAGTTGCTGCTACGCAGCGGCGCTGTTGATTCTCCGGATGATACCGGAACGACCGCCAAGAAACTGGCTGAAAAGTGTGGCCACCATCATTTGCTGAACCTGTTCGCAGATCGAGAATTATCACAGACCTAGCGCGAAGATGGATTGTATGTCTAATGTGATCTTTTTGTCACGATATGTAGGTTTTCTCCCTGCTGTCTAAGGGACAACAAACTTCTAAGTTTTGACACGGCTTGCTGTAGAAAAGGAACAAATCAAATGTAAATGTTGGAATTTTGCATTGGATGAGTTTTTAGAGTTTGTCTGCATAGCTGTACAGTTACTGTACCCGTCGTAGATTGCGCGTCTCGATGTCATTTGATTACACGTCTTTAGAATAAAAACTGTACTACCTGTAGTTAGGGTACCTTAATATTCTTACCTCAAAAAGAAAGAGAAACAGAAACTAAGTAGATGATACACTTTACTTTCGACGCTTGTTATGCTCCATGAAATTTTAGACTGCAAGAACAAGTCGAAATGGATTGATGTTGAAGCAAACAGACGATCAATATCACTCTCTCAAGCACGTCCTTCGGGACTCGCGGTGCATTCGGTCATGATCGGTGTCTGTCGCGTCAATGATGCTGATCGAATGGTAGTGCCGGTCGCTAACATCAGAAAGAGTGAGAACCAGATAGGATCATGATCCATGCCATGATGTGTTAGTTTGCTAGTGCACAGACGAGTTTAGCTGACTGCAATCAAATTCATAGACGGCGAATCAATGAGAGATTGCGGTGGCCATAGTCGTCAACAGACTAAAAAATGTAAATGGTAAGTATGATTTTGATTTCGGCCGACTCCGACAGGCAACTCTGATACTCATTTTCCTCCAACCGTCCCTCCTCTTCATCACCCTCTAATGTGAACATGACCTGGGCTCTTATATACAGATACCATTTTATTTGTAACGCTTTAAATTTTACGTGAGTTGTTGACTGGGTAAGTACAACGAATTCATGTGGAGAGTAATATTTTCATCGTCCTCCACATTTCTCTTATATATACATAGGATTTGGAAAATCAAAATTACTCTGTATTGTGTGGTCACAGTTAACTCTAACATCCTAGCCTGACATTCAACTTGACGCGTAATCCACTTCCAGTTATCAAGATTGATCAGAATACGTCTTTCTCTTAGAGGATCACGCACTCGTACCTATCTTCTGAAATTAAGATATCGTTTGACTACAACAGCGCCATCCAGAATCAACAACATGGTGTTTTCACGACGAGCTCCTGCCGGGTGGTCCGTATCAAGGGCAGCGTCCTCGTTCACGTTCTTGGCCTTGTTACCGCAGCTGCTGCTCACAACTTCCGGTGTACTGTCTGAGGTCGTTGTCACTGGAAATACGCATAGCGTGCGACGTGGACGAGGAGAAGACTCGTCGTCGGAGGATGGTCAATGTCCTCTTGCCGTTGATACGAGCGCGGCGACGGGCGCCACCTGCGTTTCCTCCGCAGAGCTGCATCCAGGCAATGTGATCACGACTCTACGCGCACCCCTGCAAGCGAACACGATCCGCAGTGTTGTTCCAGTCAAAATTCGCTACACGGCACCTGGTCCTATGGATGTGATGAGTGCATTTTTGGCGTCGATGCAAGATAGACAAGGCTCTTCATGGAAGGCCTCGCCCTCGCAAAATGGAGCGACGGCACCAGTGTTGGCGACCCCGTTTGGAGGCACATCAACAAGCTCGAACAATTTGTTTTGAATCTGAATCATCATATATAAAACTACTTCCATGACAAAGAAATAATATGGTGAACACATGTAAATGCTGAAGCTGATGCTGTGGCTTTGATTGGTGTAATGCCTTGGATACTCATGTATGTTGTCCAGGACCAAATGATCTTTGTTTCAATATCAGGAACCTTCCGCGCTCCCGTGTATCACTTCGTGCAGTCCCCAGACTTGACCACCGTTCAGTTGCCCTTCAAGTTGTTACTTTTGCGGACGCTTGTTGCTCCTTCTGTGTACGCCCTCGAAGTGCCAGAATCACAGGCCGTTGATAGCTGGTTCCCAGGCTACAAGTGGTCGGTGCTGCTCTGTATCGACCAAACAGCATCACTAACGGATGACAGAGCACCCGCAGTACGACACCTCGGATGGCGATTCACGAGGATCACCTCCAAGACCGTGAAGTACAGCCCACAAGCAGGTGAAGATGCAGCAGGAGATGCTCGACTCGAGGACGTTCTTTATGCTGTGATTGTGGAGCACACGAGCGAAGAGGAACCAGCTGGCAAAGTCGCAAGCGGGATTCCGCATGCCAGCGCTATCGGTATCCGTCATGATTACGGAGAAAGTGACGTCGATCGTGCTGTGGCTCACCCTGACCTAGCCGCATTGGAGATCGCACCGCGTAAGCCAGAGGCCTGGATGCTGGCTGCCTACGTGGCCGCGACGAAGGTGATGGGGAAATCGGTTAGATAAGTCTGACAAAAACTCGAAGATTAGTTGTGGGGAATCATGAAGTGAAGAATTGGTTCTAGATCGTACTGAGACGGAGTACAACAACTACTACACATGTCGCAATTACAAAGAGCACACAGCAGAATGAAGCTGGTCATTATCAATTTGAACATCATATCTTCTTCATGTAGATATAATTCTGTAATGTATAACTCTACGTTTACAACTAAGTGGTTCTTCAACGCAGAAAAGCCAAAACGTGACAAATACCTTCCCGCAAAGACACGCTATGTATGTACCAAATAAGACGCAAGATGACCACAGCCTGTTGCATCCTGCGTCCTCCCAAACATTGTCATACACTTAGACCTCCTCTGAGTAAAATTGTGATCAAGTAGACAGATCTTACGCGGAAATAAGGAAAGTCGCGTCCGTCGATGAATGTCACGAGCCGAATACGATGTCTTGCATATCATGCGTGTCGGTAAAGTCGGATCCTAGCCAGAATATGTTTTCAAAAAATGGCTCGGTTTGGCAAACTAAAAGAGACTGCTAAGCGCAGCTAAGTGTGACTGAATGATGACTACGTGGCGACAGTACATGGTTGTCTTTGTACCTCTACCCTTAATTGTACTCACTGACTGTCTTTCGATGAGGCATGTTGACGTCAGCTAGTTTTAGTATACATAAATACATGAATTGAACTAGATTCAAAATTCAGAGTTTTCAAAATTCTGAGAATAAGAAGTCGTTACTCATCTTTCTTGTCGTTTACATTGAGTTGACTTCTTTACTACCTCGTGCTAGGTAAATGAAATAGTCAGTCTCATATTCTAGTGGTCCTAGACCAAAAATGAAGATGTGGGGATCCCGGCTTGCATCTATCATTTCAGTCTTATTTTCCTGTGTCGTCGTGGATCCGTCATGCTTTTACGGAGGTCCTTGTGCCGTAACGGCTTCTGCGGCAGCAAGAACCCCTGTAGTCGTGTCGAATGCGGATCATGATCATGCGCCATCGTCACATACACATATGGACGAAGGAACTGTCGAAGATGATGATGATGATGCAGATGTGTCCTTGACTGCTGGCGCCCATGGGCAATCCGCGATCGATGCCGTTCGCCTGGTCCTCGAAAATCGTGGTCAGGACAGTGGCGGAGCGGCGCAGCTGGCCACCGCGTTCGAGCCGGTTGCTACGGAGGTAGAAACTTTGCTACAGACAACAGGCCGCTCAGTCACGCGCTTTCTCAGCGAGGTGCAAACATGGATGGAGAGCTGCGTGGCTTCCGCGTCGTCTACCGCCGGGACGTCTGCGACCTCCGATATTGAAAGTGGAACAGGCGAAGACGATGAGTCGGACTGCGGAGCTGGTCCGATGGTTGGCAAAAGTGTCAGTTTGCCGGCGCCATCATGCCAGGCGGCAGCCGCGCCGAGAGGTAGAAAGCCCAGCACCATCACGTCGGGAAGGGGCCTCAATCTAGGACCTCTACATACGAGTAAAATGGATCTAGTAGACGTGCAGTCGCAATCGTCGCAAGGTTCGTGGGCCTCCTCGACAACTAGATATAACAAGATAGGTCATGCTTGCTCTACGCGACAGAAAATGCTGGAAATGCAGAACCGGTCCATTCAAGGCCGCATAGACACTGCAAAAACGCGACTGCGACAAATCGGCCAGCATTTCGCAGTTCTGAGACCCTCCAGTCGCCAATCTTCGGCGAAAAAGACAGCTGCAGCTGCCAGAAAAAAGACGACATCTTCGGCGTTCGACAATGGTGCCGGTGTAGGTCTTGACGCACCAGCTGTGGTGGGTTCTGCGCCGCATTCGCAGACGGCTTCGACTAGAAGTGCGCCTCCTACCTTCGCGAAGCTGGAAACCTCGCCGATGTGGACAAATTTTGTCGCGAACGTATACGCCGATGCCCCCGAAGTCAAATCCGTGGTGATTGCCCGCTCGCGTGCACTCGCGAGGGAACTGGGCGCCTTGCTAGTGGGTTTTGCGGAAGCCCAAAAGCGATTTGAACTCGCGAAGTTAGCGTCAAAGTGGAAGGGTAAACAAATCACCACATCTGCAAGTGCCGAAAACGATTTGCGCCAATTCATAGCGGCTTTTGGGGAGAAGAAGCAAGACTTCACTTGTAGCATTATGATGTTTTTTTTGTTTATCCTGGTGCACCGCAATATTAAGAGTAATTACACCTACAGTTGCGCTTGCCCATAATGGTGTCGTCGCATAAAAGCACTAACACGACAAGGACAAGCACTGAAGATAGTTAAGCGTAACAAGGCTGTTGCACCACCTGAAGGAGTTCAAGTCTTTTCTTTTCTAATAGTGCAGAGAGAGATCCTCGTGCGATAGAAGTCACTGAATGCGGAGAACCTTGCGTCTTTGGAGCTGCCTCTTGTTTCGGAAGTGGTGCTTCTCCTTGTGGGAATCCAACGAGCACAGGCACCTCGGCCACAGGTCCTGCGACGTCTCCTCGTGGTGGCGGCCACGTACTAGAGACGAGTTCTGGAACACTCTTGAGCTTCGTTAGTGATCCGATGAAGAGCCGCGGCGAAGCGCCTGTGCAGGATTATCGTTCTTTACGAGCTGCAGATGCACCAATGCGAACGCCGAGTTGTATCGGAAAAATCCCTCAGCGCAGTGAGCCTAAGCTGATACAGTGGAACCTGAGGCAGAATCTCGGATTGGTAGTGAAGGACGAGGAGGAAATCGATACTGAGGCAACACCACATTTTGGGGCAGGGAAACAACATCGGGGAGAAGCTCGGCATGGTAGTAGTAGTAGTACAACGTTGACAGTAGCTGCAGGACCTACGGTTATTCCTCGAGTAGCGCTTAATGATGTTGGTCTAGAAAACGCTAGATATCCACAATGGGAGCGCGCAGCTCCGGTATCGTCAGAATCACTAGCAAGTTCCCAGTGCTATGGATTTACATCCGGACGTAATCGTTTGCCGCGGGCGACGGAGGAAGCGCTCACTGATGACGATGGGTGTCCGCCAGTTCCGAGCGAGATGGACGACAGCAGCGTGGCGCACGAGGACACTTTTTCCCGGGCTCCAACCCAAAGAGGGCATGGTGAAAAGTTACCGCAGATTCAACAGGCTGGAATGACTGGCGCGCCCTTCGGTTTTGGAGCGAGCCAGGATTTGCACGCTGTCATGCGCAAACAGAACAGTGAGACGAGCATACATCAACCACCTCCTGTTCATCTGTATTCTGCAAGCGAGGACTATCCTTATCCACCCACTGGTGCAGAGCCGCCCTTGCGCCTGCCGCCCTCTAGTGGCCGAACTCTGGAAATGCGTCGAAACCAGAGTACGAGAGTGGGACGATCTCTCGGACGATTACTCTCGGGAGCAAGTGCACGAGGTCTCGGGTTCACGCGAGGGCCACGGCGGGGATCGAAGTCTGGCGCGGAGGCTGGAGACGAGTCTGGCGTACAGCGAATCTCTTCAACTACCACGTCATACGCAGGTGATGTTGGGCCATTATCTAGCACGACACTGGGGCGGCCCAGCATCACCGGAAGAATGAACCCCGTTGTTAGCACAGCTGCGAATCGTGGAGGGGTGTTCACTAGCGGAGGCGTCGAACTTCCCCCACCTCAAACGCTATCGAGCAATACCAAATACGATAATCCTGCTGCAGCTGAACGTGGCGGTCTAGCGTCGCGCAGGCCAGATTTTCTGGACGCGATAAATGATGAGCAGTCAGGGGAAGAGAACAATTCGGGCGACGGATCAGGCATGTTGATGTCATCCACAATGAGCATGCCCGCACCAGGTCGACTCGCTTCATCCACGCCTAGCCAACGAGTATCTTCTACGGTTAGCCAACGAGTATCGCAGCCCATGGTGTACGCTGCATCATCCAGAACGGGGGCCACGCCTCACTCACGTCTGCAGCTGCGTACACCTGGCGGAGGCGCAAATGGTCCTCAGCATCTGCACCACGTTTTGGACCTTCACAACGTCGACATCGGGATCGATTGTCCCCTCCCTGCCATAATGGAACCTGACAACGCCATGCGACTTATGACCTCATCATTTAAGTAGAAGAATCAGATTCAGAATGAAAGACCAAGAGAATAAAAGAATGTTCTTGATCACAACGTCATGCGAAAAGAATGGAAGTATTCTATGTATACAGATATATGAACGACCGTTTAAGTTTTCCCGCGTAGATATCTCTAGCCCTACAGCGAAATACCAAATAGAAATTCGTCTATTTCTTGTACAGCCGACTTGTCTACACTTTCATATCTCCATCGCATTCTGTGCAGTCTCAGTCTGGTGTTCCAGCAACGCCGAACGTCGCACGAATGGAACAGGAATTGTTCGTAAATCGTAACGTTTTACAGCCTGCATTTCTTCAGGACACAGCCGAGCTCAAAGACAAAATCAGCATCCTAGACTCGCGCCTATCAGAGGAAAGCAAAATTACGACCTAGTCTTAGACTCATTCCAGCTTGGCCCACTACCCTTTATCATATATATAGCGATAGCGTCTACGAACGGGTACGGACACTCCTTTCCTTATCCGTAAGATCATGATTACGAATGAATATATACGTGAAAGATCAATAAAAGTAGGCGCAAAGTATAACCGTTCCTATCGCTAACTAGCCCCCTGGAGAGGTTCCCCAGGGAGAGAAGTCGAAGGGAAGACGAGACACTCGCTAGAAGATCAGATGGCACGTAAAGAAGCTAACTTTCAAAATTCATGCCCTAACTTTCAAAATTCATGTCCTAACTTTCAAAATTCATGTCCTAACTTTCAAAATTCATGCCCTAACTTTCAAAATTCATGTCCTAACTTTCAAAATTCATGTCCTAACTTTCAAAATTCATGTCCTAACTTTCAAAATTCATGTCCTAACTTTCAAAATTCATGTCCTAACTTTCAAAATTCATGTCCTAACTTTCAAAATTCATGTCCTAACTTTCAAAATTCATGTCCTAACTTTCAAAATTCATGTCCTAACTTTCAAAATTCATGTCCTAACTTTCAAAATTCATGTCCTAACTTTCAAAATTCATGTCCTAACTTTCAAAATTCATGTCCTAACTTTCAAAATTCATGTCCTAACTTTCAAAATTCATGTCCTAACTTTCAAAATTCATGTCCTAACTTTCAAAATTCATGTCCTAACTTTCAAAATTCATGTCCTAACTTTCAAAATTCATGTCCTAACTTTCAAAATTCATGTCCTAACTTTCAAAATTCATGTCCTAACTTTCAAAATTCATGTCCTAACTTTCAAAATTCATGTCCTAACTTTCAAAATTCATGTCCTAACTTTCAAAATTCATGTCCTAACTTTCAAAATTCATGTCCTAACTTTCAAAATTCATGTCCTAACTTTCAAAATTCATGTCCTAACTTTCAAAATTCATGTCCTAACTTTCAAAATTCATGTCCTAACTTTCAAAATTCATGTCCTAACTTTCAAAATTCATGTCCTAACTTTCAAAATTCATGTCCTAACTTTCAAAATTCATGTCCTAACTTTCAAAATTCATGTCCTAACTTTCAAAATTCATGTCCTAACTTTCAAAATTCATGTCCTAACTTTCAAAATTCATGTCCTAACTTTCAAAATTCATGTCCTAACTTTCAAAATTCATGTCCTAACTTTCAAAATTCATGTCCTAACTTTCAAAATTCATGTCCTAACTTTCAAAATTCATGTCCTAACTTTCAAAATTCATGCCCTAACTTTCAAAATTCATGTCCTAACTTTCAGAATTCATGTCCTAACTTCGAAGGTTAGGGCCCAAAACGTAGGTAAGCGCCGAACTCAAAACGTAAACTCAAAATGTAAATTCAAAATTCAAAATTCAAAATGTAAATTCAAAATTCAAAATGTAAATTCAAAATATATAAAGAAAAATCAAAATTCAAAATGTAAATTCAAAATTCAAAAAGAGAACTCAAAATCAAAAAAGAAAAATCAAAATCAAAAAAGAGAAATCAAAAAAGAAAAATCAAAATTAAAAAAGAAAAATCAAAATCAAAAATAAGAAAAGAAAACCAAGGCAAAACTTTATAAGTAAATAGATTAATATCCTCTAATGATTTGCTCGCCACACTCTTTGCGGAACAGAGCAAACGGCAGACGGATTTTTTAGTGAAGACGATGATTGAGCAGCACAGCCTGTTGCTGGAGGAGTTGCAGAAAATCTCAAAAAATCAAGTAGAATTCGAGGAGAAACGAAAAAAGCAATTCGGTATTCTTCAGAAACGACTTGAACAGCTCAGCGTAAAAATCGACAACGTCGACGGAAAAATCACGGTATAGCTACCTATTATAGATACATAGACAGCTTCTTGCAGAGAACCACGGGAGTCGCTGGTGCATCATGAAGTAGGAGAACCTCGAAAATCTAGAGAAATCTAATCGAAACTAGTGCTTTCTTCGCAAGCACAACTTGTAGTCGCAGCTTTTTCACTATAGATAGAGTGATATGTTGAAAACTACTACTACCACTACAACGACAGGTTTTGGATTCGAAGGTTGATCACCTGGACGATGACATTCATGATTTGGAGAGTGACGTAGGAGATGTCGCAAAGACGGTGAACAGTATCATGTGGTCAGCCACTTGTCTTCGTTGGATCGCATGCAGCGTGGGCACCGCCTTCCTTGCAGGTCTAGTCGTAGTCGGCGTCCTCGCGATTCTGTAGCCGAAGGTGGGGACGGTCCGCGCTCAGCGGTTTCGTACTAAGACGGAGAAAGAGGATGTTGATCTTACTGATATTGTCTTGTTTGATTGCTGGATCTGGAGTTGGACAATTATTTAGCTTTGTGGTTATAATATAGATACTGTTCGTTGAAAATATATTGAACTCTGGTTCCGTTGTACTCCTACCCACCAGTCGTGGCTCACTTAACCTTGTTGAGCAGTTATAGGTCACGCGATAAAGTAAGTCTGCCAAAACCAAATATAGCCGTGTCTCGACTGGGAATGACAATGAGACTAGTTGCGCCCAGTATTATTTAACGGGAAGCAGACCATATGATAATGATATTGTCCTCACTTTTGTTTTTGAGAATTTATACAACCAGACGGATATTGAAGAGTGATGAATGATTCTTACTCATACATATTGAAAGTATGGTTACAGTGCATATGTATTCTATAGCTTCACATCACGAGCCATTTTCCTCACAAGAATTGTTTCCATGGGAACACATAGTACATACACAAGTAAAGAACCTGTGAGACACCACATGATTTTCATTTATCGGTTCCGGGTTCCATCCATCATTCACGATAATGTTGTTACATTTTTACCGCCCATGTTCTAGCTCCTACGTTTTTGTCTGGCTGCTGATGCATAGGTTGCAGCTGTATTCGATCTAACATTTGTTGTCTGTGAAATTTCAAAGAACATGAAAAACGATACAAAAACATCTTCTTGACATGGCATCATGACTCCTCAAGATATCGCTTTTTGATGAATTCAATTTGGCGAGTAGAACCTCCCTTGTCCTCTCGGTTCTTCTTATATAGTTTTGATTTTTTTGTCTCAGGTGTCTCTAAATCGGCGCAGTATGCCGATGGTACAGAGCAGTTTGTTGTTCAACAGCGATCGGGATTGACTGAAGATCAACTGGTTATATCATGTGACATATTTAAACAATATCAACATCAAAAGGCACATCTGCAGGAGCTCAGCAGCACAACACCGTTAAGAACTTGAACGGCTCGGCGACAAACTTGATTACTTGTTTGACCTTTTTACCTGGCTTTGCATCTCTATTTTGTTTATTTCCGTTAGTCTTAGTTTTTATCCTTAGCAGTTACAGTGGCCTTAAGAATGACGAAATCAGATGGTTCTGCGACGTTGTCGTTTACAGCGGTCGAAGCGGAGAAGAATACAGCTAGTGTGCGTTTTCTGGAGCAGGTGGGAGGACATGGTGCACGCGATGCGGAAAACTATGCGATGATCGTTGAGGCCGATCGCGTGCTGAAGCCTTATATGGCCGAACTTCGTGGGAAAGAGCTCCTCGAACCTGCGCGGACGAAATCGCGCGGCGAGGTCGAGGCAGAGTTTTACACGCAGTGCCACAAAGAGAAACATCCGCTTGCGCACTTCGTTCCGCAATACTTTGGTGTGGTCGAGCGTCCGACCGCAGGCGACAAAATTAAGATGACAAGTGCCATTTCCGTGTCGACACGACCTCCTGCTGAAGAAATGAAGCTGGTGAAGACGAAGAGTGTTGACGAGAAGAAGAGTGGGAAAAGATTTGCTCCTGCTGAAGGTGTTGATAGTAAAACGAAAAGTAGTACTAGTACCACAAGTACAAGAACCAAGCCAGAAATAGCAACATCTTCACCAGCAAGAAAGGAGAACAAGAACAAGGATGAGTCCACGCCTGTTTCCACTACGAAATTGTCTACTACGCAATTGTATATTTCTCTTGAGAACTTGACGGATAAGATGCAGGCCCCCTGTGTGCTGGATGTCAAAGTGGGTCGAAGGACCTACGACGAGCTGGCGGGTCCTGCGAAGATCGCCTCCGCATTATCACAATACGCCAGGCAACAGGACGTCGGTTTTCGCATTTCAGGATTGCGTACCTATACTACGACAACTGCAACAACGTCCTCAACAAAGTCAACAAATGATACGAAAAATGAAGTTGCGGATGATCATGCACCGCCCTCCGAGATGAGCCGTGAGAGCACTGGTAGTCCTTGTCCTACGTCTTCGAAAAAGAGACGGAGAATTTCATCTGCTAGCGAGGTGGTTCAACTTGCACCAATTCGCCGAGATGGAAAGTGGGGCAAGTCATTGGTTACAGACGAGGACATCACTAGTGGCTTGTCGCTTTTTTTCGGAGAGCAGGGCACGACTGCACGCGAGCGACGACTGGCCTCCGCTATTCAGCAACTGGAGCGGCTGATCCAAACCTTTGAAGATTCGCCACGCTGGCGCTTTTACAGTAGTTCGGCGTTGCTGGTGTACGACTACAACAATCTTGCATCTGGAGAAGTCAGGCTTGCCTGGATAGACTTCGCTCATGTGTTTGAAATTTCCGAAAAAGACAAGGGGACCGAGCTAGACAAAGACTACAATGTGCTTTACGGTTTGCGCTCCCTCAAGACTTTTCTTCAGCGGTGTTCTGATCATACAAGCTAGTGAACAAGCGAGCCCGAGGAAATGCATCTTCTTCGTGTTGCCACATCTTTCGTGTAGGCGACTACTGATAGTGAGGGTTCCTCGATGAAGATGAAGAGTGTGTCAGGGTCGTCAAGGATTCTTCAACATCAAATCCCTTTTCGTAGTGGTCACCAGCAGCACACAAACCAACCCTACGTGACAGGGCAAGATGCATTCTCAGTTTCTTGCGTCGTGGTACTACAGATGTCCAAAACGGCTTCCTGACCGCTATGCCGCACTTACCGCGTCAGAACAGCCAAAGTTGGAGGTCTCGCGCGAAGATCGTCACCAGACACGAAATAAGACAGGTAGTTTGCGGGACAAAGCGTCGCGGAATGTCAAAGCTTCGGCTGCTCGTGTCGTAGATCCAGCGGTCACGACTGCTGTCCCGACGACCCTAGTGCAAAACAATGTCATTACTACCGCTTGTTCTAGCGCTCTCTTCGGCTTCGCAGAAGATGAGACCCAAGTGTCTTCCAAAAAGACGAAGTTGCAATTGCAGGACTGCATCGAGCAATTTGAGTTTTCGAAATCGCAGTCGCAGGTTTTTGACGGCCTTTTCTCATCAGCGGCAGGAGGGGTCCTTGATGAGCATGCGGCGAACCTGACGTGCCTTTGCTACGGGGCAACAGGAACCGGAAAGACCTACACCTTACTGGGTCCTATTCCTGGCGCAGTCGATGGAAGCTGTGATGGCCGATGCAGGCCGTTCCGTTTCAGAATCATGCTTGTCGACTCGTGAAATGATTATAGCGATTTGCTTACGGGTACTGCAATCGACCTGACTGACGATGGAATAGGTGGCTTCGTCGCAACCCGAATCAAGATCGAGGTAGTTGTTCCATCAAAACAACGACGGCTGGATTTGCCTGTCTTGCAGAGCGCGGAGCGAGGGCCGACGATGCTTCTGGGAGATCATGCGACGGATCAACATCGCACTTCGGGTACGTTTTTGCCGAAGGACGTACCGCGTTGTTCACTGCAGCTGGAGTTTCGAGTAGGACCGAAGACCGCTGTCGTTTGCGTCCAGAGGCAGACTCTTTTGGAAGCATCGCACAGAAGGGCGCCGAAAAGTTCAGGGGATACGGGAAGATAATCGGACCAAGTAGGTAAATCTCCCGATGGAGTTGGAGGCTTTGGCTTTGGTCTCGCTGTGCCGGTTGCCGGTGCCATGGATAAGATCGACTCAAAGTCATCACAGTATCTGAAGCGGACTTGGTTGAACAAAATGCGCCGCACGACTACAAATTTACCAACAGCGTCGGCCAAAAAGCTCGTTTCCATTGTGAAGACGGCATGTTCGCCGAGTTCCTCTTCGCCGCTGATGCACGCACGTCTGATCAAGATTCTCATATCGTTGGACGAAGATCACGTGCTCAATCAAAAAACCATGCTTCGCGACTACATTGAGCCAGCAATAAAGATGCTGTTTCTGTACAATGAATTGGTGCAGCGAAGATATGGTAGCGCAACGGCTGACGCAGGCAAGCTAGCGACCTACGGCATTGGACATTGTCACGGCCTCTCGAGTGTCGCAGCTGCAATATTGTACCCGTTGTGTCACGTTCTCGGCATATACACACGATACTGCGGAGGATACACCTTCGAGCGACGTGCCGGGGGGATGAGGCTAGTTGTACCACAGCCGAGGAGGTCTTTCCTAGTAATAAGTACCACGTACCGATGAAGAAGAATTCTGCAACATCAACACCCAGGAGTCAGATGAACACGCCGAGAAGCCAGAGTAGTAATATTCAAGCTCAGCAGGAACAACAGCACGTCGTGAGCAAAATGAGCAGTGAAACGCATGTAAGCAACACTGTCGAAAGGCATCAATCGTTGGAGCTGGCGCTGTTTCCGTCCATGGAAATGTGCCTGTTCGATCTGACGCGAGCGCGTCTTAACCTTGAGTATGTGGGTGTGGATACAATATGGGCCTACACTGAAGGACCCGATGGTCTGTATGCAAACGGTAAAGCTATGCTGGAAAGCAAAGTGTCCCACTAGCGACAGCTGGGGATGCGCGCGCGGGTGAGAGACAGCGAGTAGGTTCCATTTTTGGAATCATGTGTGGGTATAAATATTGCCTTCGGCCAGCGCCAGGATTCATTGCATGCCATTCATCACCTTCCGTTCACTAGTGTCTGCTTTTGAGAGTCATGTGAACAAGGACAATAACAATATAGACGCAGGACCGCTCATGATTGACAAAATGCCTCTCATTCGCTGCCTACATATGAATACGTTTTGCACCTTTCTAAGTACATTTACATAAAAACGTGTGCGGTTATTTCCGCGTGTTCGCTCAGACTCCTTGCTTTCACTGCAGGAGCTTCAGGCACAATCGGTACATGAGCGAATCATGTGCTTTCCCGAATGCGCTATCTACTAAAGGATTTCATCATATGACCTAATGTTTGATGAAGATAGCACGTCCCACGACCTTCGAGGGGTCCCGCAGCACAGAGGAGATGGAGAGAACGAGAGAGAGAATGATATGTTGACGGCGGCTGCAGCGCTGCTGCCTAGCCGAATCCTTGTCCCAGGAGTTGCGGCACACCGTCTCCGACGCATACCATGGCAACGTCTACGCGTGGCCCTTGTCGGTTTGTATCGGCCTTGGTTATGGGGACGAGGTACCACCGCATCGGGCGAAGAGTCGCGTATTTGCTATGTGCCAGCACCCTGACACTTCTAAGCCTGACCTCAGACGTGCTTGGAAACAAAAACTCGCAGCAAGGCGTTGGAGATGGGCAGGGCTACTTTCGTAGAACCAGGGAAGTGGAGCTAGACCCATGTCCGGTTTTCGGATCGGAATGCTTCAAGAATCCGCTTTACAAGTACGGCTAAATCAAAGAAACTAAGGTGGCGCATCGTTTTTCTATTTTAACTAGGGAAGTTGCTCCTCTGGACCCCACGTGGCAAATATAGTGGGCTAGGAAGTTCCTCCTTACTGCAACAAGATTTTTTTAGCTTCCTTGACTATTTTGAAAACGAGAAAGAGAGAAGAAAAAAACTCAAGCAGCTTGAGAGGCTCAAAGAGTTGCAACGTCGAACGCGAACGAGAA